GCGCCTGCGAACAGAGAGACGGTCTGGCCCGTGCAATCTACCAGCTCCTCTTCGTCTGGATCGTCGAAACAATCAACACAAAAATCTGCTACAACGACAGCGAACCCGCAAACTTCGTCGGCATCCTTGACCAGTTCGGCTTCCAAAACTTCAAGACAAACGCTTTCGAAGAATTCGCCATCAATTTTGCAAACGAGCGTGTCCACCAGTTCCTCATCCGCCAGCGCTTCAACGACTCCGAAGGCCTCAATGGCGCCATGGTCCGCGACGGCGTCCCCTTACCAAAGGTCATCACAATGGACAACTCAGCATGTCTAGAACTCTTGGTCGGAAGAGAGCACGAGAACCAGGACAAGAACGCCAGCAAGTCCGCTGCTCTTGGACTAGGCGGCATTGTCGGTGCTCTCGATCGCGACTGTGCTAAATACCAGAGCGGTGCCACCGATGCCACAGACGCAAACTTCCTCGCCGGCATCCAGCGCACCCAGGCAAACCACTCTTCTTTCTCAAAGACCTCCTATGCATTCGCATTCGGAATCAACCATTTCTCAGGCACAGTCCAGTACAGTGTCGAGTTCTTCCTCGAAAAGAACCTCGACTCACTCTCCCCAGATTTCGTCAATCTGCTCAGAGACAACAGTTCAAACGCATTCCTCTCCAGCCTCTTCCAGGGCGTTGGCATGGCCACCGAGTCCCATCCCAAGGACGACCGCACAATCGTAAAGGCCCAGCTGTCAAGCAAGCCAACTCGTGCACCATCCATGAAGCGTCCCAACAAGCGCAGACAGAACACCGAAAACGCATTTGCAAATGTACCAATACCCGAGAGCGGTGAGCTGGACACCGAAGACCTCCGAAAGCAAAAGATAATAAAGGAAGCAGAAGAAGCCTACGAGAACATGCAGGTGACCACAGTGATGGACCAGCTCTACATGACCCTGCGTGATCTCTTCCTCACCATGGCAGACACCCGGGTCTACAACATCATTCACATTCGACCCAACGATACCCAATCCCCTGATCTATTCGATGCCAAGCGTGTCAAGATGCAGGTCCGTGCATTTTTGCTCTCAGACCTCACACTGCGCTGCAGTCAGGAATATGCCAACTACTACACATTCAGCGAGTTCCTGGCCCGCTACGATCGTCTGGTCGCCTCGCTCCAGATCGACTCCTCAAAAACCGAACGTGGCCAGGTCGAGGTCGTGTCTGCAATCATGAACTGGACCGAATTCCAGGCCTACGTCGGCCAAGAAATGCTCTGGCTCTCATTCGACACCTGGAAGGAGCTCGAGGACGGACTCCGGGCTGCAGAAAAGGAAGAACGTGCACGCGCAAAGGGCGGCGACGGCCTCGCAAAGTCCGGCATGATGATGGACATGGGCGACGACGGCATGGGAGGCGGCATTGGCGGTGGGCCAGGTGGGCCCGGAGGTGGGGCCTATTATCACGACAGCGAAGACAGATTACTTCCCCCAGGCGTCTATGGCGATCCCAGTCACATGGGTCCCGGTGGACACGGAGGCATGGTCCGTTCATCAGCATACGGCGACAATGCTAGTTACATGGAGAGCGAGTATGGCATGAAGCCAGAAATGGAAGGGTCCCAATGGGGAGATGAATCAGAATGGGGCATGAAAGGCCTTGCAGAAGGGTAAACTTTTTTCTTTTTGTTATCAATTACAAACAAACAATAACTTTTAATTAATTTAATGTATGTATATTTTTCTGATAGATTTGGTCCCAATATGGATATGAGTAAGATGGTTGAAGATTTCCATGTACCACAAAACGAACAGGTCGAAGAAATGCCCATTACAGCCGTACGTATCTGGTGGGTGCGCTTTGTCTGGTTCTGCACCTGGTGGATCCCTTCACCACTGCTTCGAATCCTCGGCAAGATGAAACGTGAGGATGTACAGATGGCATGGCGTGAAAAGGTCACTCTCTGTATGTGCATCGGCTTCTTCTCCTGTGTTGTCATCTTTTTCATTGTTGGTCTTGGTGAAGTCATTTGCCCGGGCACAAAGAAGATGTATTCATTTGCAAACGTGGCGGCTCACACAGAGACCAATGACATTTTCATGAGTGTCCGTGGTTCTGCTTATGATGTCACAAACTTCGCCATCACTGGTCACGGCACAACTGCCATTAGTGCCAGCCAAGATGCCATGTCTGAACTGGCCGGCATGGACGTGTCCTACAGTATCCCTCCTCCATTAACTGTCGCCTGCGAGGGGCTCGTCACATCCTCGACCATCAAGGTCACTCCAAATGCCACCATTGTCCTATCCACATTTGTTCACAACTCCGGTGACCAGCTAACAATTCCCACACTAACCAGTATGGCTTCAAGCACATGGTACTGGAACACATTCTTACCCGAGATGAGTCTCTACAAAAAGGGTCCCATTGTCGTACCCATCAAGGAACTCTTAGCTGACTTCCAGTCCTGGGGACGTACTGCGGCTGCAATTAACGGAAGAGTATATGATATTACTGACTACATTGCCACTGCCAAGACATACGACAGTGGATCGACTGCCAGCGATTACCACTACCTCCACTCCACAATCGAAGAGATCTTTACCAAATTTAGTGGAACTGATGCTACAGACAAGTGGAACCAGTACAAGGGCTCCATGACTCCCGAACAGCAGGCCATGAACATGAACTGCCTCAACAACTTTTTCTATATTGGCGATGTCGATGAGCGCGAAACACCCCGCTGTCAGTTTACCAATTATTTGCTGCTTTCCTTTGCTATTCTCATGTGCGTCGTCATTGGTGTCAAGTTCTTGGCCGCTCTTCAGTTTGGCGGTGCACCCACCCCAGAAGACCACGACAAATTTGTCATCTGCCAGGTTCCTTGCTACACCGAAGACGAAGACTCGCTCAAAAAGACGATCGACTCTCTCACGGTGCTCAACTATGACGACAAGCGCAAGTTGCTCTTCATTATTGCCGACGGTATGGTCATGGGTAGCGGTAACGACAGACCCACGCCCCGTATTGTGCTCGATGTCCTCGGCTATGACACCAAGAATGATCCCGAACCCTTGATGTTCAAGTCGATTGGTGAGGGCAGCAAACAGCTCAACTACGGAAAGGTCTATTCTGGCCTGTACGAATGCGAAGGCCATGTTGTGCCATACATTGTGATTGCCAAGGTCGGAAAGGCTTCCGAACGTGCAAAGCCCGGAAACAGAGGAAAGCGTGACTCGCAGATGATCTGTATGAATTTCTTGAACAAGGTCCACTTTGACGGCGAGATGACTCCTCTGGAGCTCGAGATCTTCCATCAGTTGAAGAATGTGATTGGTGTCAACCCATCTTTCTATGAATACGTGCTCATGGTTGATTCTGATACAGAGGTCTTGCCAGACGCACTGAACCACATGATTTCATGCATGCTTCATGATGGTAGAATTATCGGTCTCTGCGGTGAAACCAAGCTTACCAATGAAGACGACTCATGGACAACGATGATTCAGGTCTACGAATACTACATTTCCCATCACTTGGCCAAGGCATTCGAGTCTTTATTCGGCTCTGTCACTTGTTTGCCCGGTTGTTTCTGCATGTACCGTATCCGCACACCAGTCAAGAATGAACCCTTGATTATCTCGCCCAAGATCATTCTCGAGTACTCTGACACCCATGTTGACACCCTGCACAAGAAGAACCTGCTGCATCTTGGTGAGGATCGTTACCTGACAACTCTGATGATGAAGCACTTTCCTCAGTACAAGATGAAGTTCACTCCTCACGCTCAATGTAAAACCGTGGCTCCTGATCGTTGGAAGATTCTGTTGTCACAACGTCGTCGTTGGATTAACTCTACTATCCACAACCTTTTTGAGGTCGTGCTGCTTCCTGATCTCTGTGGTTTCTGCTGTCTGTCAATGCGCTTTATTGTCTTGATTGATTTGATTGGTACACTCACTTTGCCTGTCTCGGTTTGCTACATGGTCTATCTTATCTATGTCATTGCTTCTGGTTCTGGCCCGCTTCCCGTTCTGGCCTTGGCTATGTTGGCTGCAAGTTATGGTATCCAGGTTGTTCTATTTGTTCTCAAGAGACAGTGGCAACACATCGGTTGGATGGTGTTTTACATCATTGCCATTCCAGTCTTCTCCTTCTTCTTGCCTGTCTACTCCTTCTGGCATTTCGACGATTTCTCGTGGGGTAACACTCGTGTGGTCGTTGGTGACAACAATCAGAAGAAGATTATCGTGGCCGATGACGAGAAGTTTGACGACAAGATGATCCCTGTCAAGAAATGGAGTGTTTATGAGCAAGAGTTGTGGGAGATGGGATCTCAAGGTTCCCGAGAGACCGGAGTGACAGGAAACAGCTACCGTAGCCACCAGACTCGTGGATCAAAGATTGGCGGTGGAAGTCAATATGGCGGAGGAAGTCAATATGGTGGTGGTGGTGGTGGTAGCCAGGCAGGCGATTATGATTATTACCGCGATTCGACACCTGGAATTAAGGGATCTCGAGCACAGACCCCGATGGGCTATCCTGGATCGGTTATCTCACCAGGCTCAGAATATGGAGGTGGCGGTCAAAACTATGGCGGCAATCCTCCTATGAACCGCGGATCTCGCACAATGTCTGTCAACAGTTTTGGTAACCCTGAATTCTTTGCCGGTGGAAATCCTGGGATGATTCCTGGCGTAGACCAGGGTAGTGCGATGTACGATCAGCGCAGTGTTGGTGGCAACCGCATTATGAGCCAACAACCACCACCACAGGGTGAGTATGAGATGCCAGCCATGAGCGCGCACATGAGCCAGTACTCTATTCCGATGTCTCAAGGCGGTCTCCAGCCAATGACACCACCCGGGTTCCCATCAGACGATGAGATTCTCTCTGAAATAAAAAATATTCTTGCCACAGCTAATCTCATGAGCATCACAAAGAAGCAGGGTAAGTTTGATGATAACAATAGTGCTAATGTTTGGCCTTTATCTACAATAGATATTAACGCTATGATTTATTGATAGTTCGAGAACAACTCAGTGCATTCTTTGGCTTTGACATGACACCCAAGAAGGAGTTTATCAACACAAGCATCGAGTATGTCTTACAAGGACGACTTTAGATCCCCTTCATCTTTCTATTATCCAATTCTCTGGTCATCTATATCTCCACCCCTCTTACCATCATCCTCTTTATCTACCTCTATTTCTATTTCTTTCTATTTACTTTTTCTGTAAACAAATTCCAATCCATACAAGCCATACACTTCTTTTCTTTAAATAATAAGATGTTATTTTTCTCTGTCTCTCTCTTTCTCTTTAACAAAAATTAAACAAGTATCCTTACCCACAATCTTATCTTATCCTACTACCTCCCTTTATTTTACACACACACACAAAATATATTGAATTTAATAAGGGATCCTGAGGAGAAAATAAATAGAAATATATCAATATATAACTATTGATATAATTAATTATTATTATTATTTTTAAAAAAAATAATGAAACCAAAATTATATTCACATAATATATAATTAGATATATGTACATGTGTAGTTGGGCTATTCAGTTGGATAGTGTGTTGTACGAATTACTTTAGGCGAATTACATCTTTCCACGTCCCCTCCTACCCTCTACAGAGAGGAAGAGAAATAATCAGGAATTAAAAGGAGAGTCAAATCAGGAGCTTCATCTGCCAAAGACGTTTGTTTTGGAATCCTAAAGTGGATCAAGTCCGCCACCTCCTAACCTTTCCTTGTATTCAACACTTGAATTCTGTCTGTCTATCAATATATTTCATTATTCTCTTATTCTTTCTTTCTTCTCCTGTATAAGTGCCTTTTTCTTTATAATATTAACAAGCAAAATAAAATGATGATCATCAATACGCTGTCAATCACAACCCTTTTACTGTGCCTGGCTACAGGATCCAATGCTTCTCAGGGGGGGAATTTTGCAACCTTTGAAGAAGAGTAAGTCTACAAGATAATAGAAAAAGAAACTAAAGTTATATTCATTATAAATATCAGGCACTTGCATGACACCCATCAGATCCAAAGTGCAGATGAAATGTCATTCTTCAAGATTCATGATCTCAATGGCGATGGTTTCTGGGATGCACATGAACTTCGTGCAATGTACGGTCTCGAACGTGACATTGATCCCGATGCAAAGCACATAAGGACTATTATCGATCGTGTGTTTGAAGATCTCGACAAGGACCTTGATGGGTATGTCTCAATGGCCGAATACATGACCACAAAACTCCCAAATTGGACAGAGGAGGAAAAGGTGGCAGACAAAATGTGGAAAGAAGAGCATCCATATCAATCAACAAACGAAAACGAACAGAATGATGCTAGTCAGCATGTATTCAAGGCCGAGATTGAAGATGATTTGCCCGAGACTCACACTCCTCAATGGGAAGATGCAGTAGAAGAAGGCCACATTCCTGACAAGTACAGAGACTAAAAAAAAAAAGAAGAATGGGTACAATAAAACCAAAGAGGTGAAATTGTATATTTTGATCCTGGATCCTGGATCCTGGACCCTGAATTTTGTGAATGTATTATTTACTGTATAATACACATGTGCTTATTAATATGAGTACAAGTATGTGTATGTGTTAGCTGGCTAACAGAAACAAAATCAAAGCCAATAAAATATTGAATAAACTCTTCTTTTTTTCTTTATTTTATCATTTCAGTAAATTCCTTACAATACAATTAATAGATAGAAATAAAAAAAAAGTACAAATATATAGTCCTTGTCCCAATGCCAGTGCCAGTGCTAGTGACAGGTATCAAAAGTACTTGATTGTATTGTAGCACTAAATTTCTTTAATTATATATTTTTATTAAAATCAGGAATTTTAGGATTTGTGTCAATTTTTTCATTTCATACACCGACTTCAAAAAACAGTATTAAATGTCCGCTAATTTTTTTTCTTAAAAAAAACTAAAATATTTGGTGTGGACAGACTAAAAGTTCAAAAAAGGGCACAAAAAGGGTAAAACAACTTCATCCAGAACTTAGTTAATCAGACTAATTTATGACTGTCCACACCTTTTTTTTTTAAAAAAAAAAAAGTTCAAAATTAGTTCAAAATACATATTAGATAAAATAGTGCATATAATCCCGTCTCTGTCATTAAGTGAGAACCTTTTATTGCGAGTTTTTCCAGAACTCTCATTATATGGCACATCTTCTCCATAAAAAATTGCTTCTCTTCTCAATCCTAGTGACAATTGAAAAAAACTAGCTAATTAGAGTCGAATAAATCTTTTGCCCTTTTTTTACTTTTTTTTTTTTTTGGAGGTTCAAAAAAAGGCAAAAAAAAGGACAAAATTAATTAAAACTCTCGCCCAATGATATTACTTAAAGTTTTGCTCTTTTTTTTTTGCCCTTTTTTTGAACTTTTAGTCTGTCCACACCAACTGTAATATAATATATATATATATACTATTTTATTTTATTTTTGTTTTGTTTTTGTTTTGTTTTATTTTCATTCTCGTCACACTGACAAAAAAAAGAGTAACTGCGCGACCTTGCCTTCTCTTCTTCTTAAATAATCGACTCTTACTAATAAAAATACACACACACAAAAAAAGACAATCACTGCAATAAACAAAGAATAGGTTGCCTTGAAACTACACAATGACAACCTCTTCATTGTTTCCCGACCGTTATAATTCAACAAACAACAACACATTACCAGCAAATGCAGCCAGTCAACAAGGAACAACCTACATAAGAAACAGATTCCATAACGGACAACCCACTCGATACGTAACCACTGATACGTCTAATAACAACCACAATGAAGACAGCGATACTGAAATCGATGTTGTCAATAATGAAGATTACACAAACAATGTGAACGGCGAAACCAACGGCAACGGAAACAACAATGCCTATGAAAATAATTACAACAGCAGAAAAATAGTCAGCAACAACAACATCAGCATAAGACACCTAACCTCTCCAATCACTCATCCTGAAAACTCTTTAATCCTCCCAGCATTGAGAAACCAATCAGGCCCTAGAAACATGCTAGCATCCACACCTTTACCACATAATAATAATAATAATAATGTTAAGCACATGCATCAAAAAAGACGACACCAATCTGGATTCACAGCATCCAGTTTAATCGAATCTTACTACTCTCGTTTAGGAAATGATTTGCAAAACCTTTCTGTTAAAAGCAGAAAAGTAAGTACTAATGATATGAGTCTGCCTGTTGAACAGCCAGAGAGTACATTAAGTATGTTTCTTTTTTATTATTATTATTACCGATATGTATATAGTATAAATATATATTCCTATTCACAAACAGTATCGATATCAGATCCTGTAGATAATAATTACCCGGAAGATTCAAATTGCATGTCTGAATATGAGGATACATATGGAGAGGAACGCAGACCTGAACAGTCCAATCATTCTAGACATTCTGCCTATTTTAGTAATCCTATCCACACCACCCAGTCCAGGCGATCTACCCAACCTGACTTTTACAACCAAACTAATCATGCACTTGATACTCAGCGGGATCAGAGCGTGGAAAATGTGGTTTCAGGTCCTATAAGAAGACCAGAGGTTTATGGTATTCGATATCCCTTACAACGGCAAGAGTTTGAGGCTCAGAACGGAATCAACAGACATCGCGCCATGCAAGAAGCACACGAAGAGTGGGTAGAGAGACAGAAATATAGGAGGACATACAACCTTGGAGGGTTTGGTATGCCTAGAATGCCACAATACTCCCCAAATCCACGCATAGTACCTGGAATGGCAGTGACAAGCAGTCATCGCTTTCACACGTCGCGTCTATTGACGCGTCCCCAACCGATTCAGGTACCCGTTAAAAGACCGCAACAATCGTCTCAGCCATCCTCCACATGGGTTGGACTTGATGGCTACAGAATGTTAAACCCCGAGGGCGCTTGGAACAACGACAAGTCAAAAGATGGTAAATGATTTTATTTCATTTTTCTTTAAATTTTTTTCTTTTATTTGACTTTGACTCTGTCAACCGAAATATATAGAATACACATTAGTTCTATAAGCAGTATCATACACACACATATATATATTAATAAACCCATGTCATCTTGTAATGATCCACTTAAACCCCATTTTTCTTGTAAATGTTTAGACAGGTCTCAAAGGTATGTTCAAAATAAGAGCTTTATAAAGAAAAGAAAAAGGCGTGGGTGATTCAGGAAGGGTAAACAAGAGTATATCAAGGCATGGATTGGGTCTAACGGAAAACGGAAATGAACATGAACATGAATATGAATCCCAACATGGTCACAATCGCACTCCAAGTACAATATTGGGAAAGCGTGGGCCAGAAACTCGTTATGGTGAAAATCAAAATGAATTTGGGTACCCTGGTGATCGCAATACCCTCGCCGAAAGTGGTGAGAGAGAAGAGAATGTCGGTTCTACTAGCTCCGATGCTAGTAATAACTGTGATGGTACCGTTGCAGATGGAAGGTGGCCATCAAATGTCAGAAACTGGCTTCAGAAATGGGTAATTATTATTATTACTGTTAGTGTTAGTGTTAGTGTTAATATTAGGGTTAATGTTAATGTTAATATTAATGTTAATATTAGTATTATTGTTAGTATTAGTATTAGTATTTTATTTTCTCTACAAAAATATAACACAAAATTTCTATAAAATATTCAATAGAAATTTAATGACCCTGAGGTCTGTTGTGTATGTTTTATGGAGACATGTAATGAAGACAATCCATTTGTCTATTGTGATGAGCCAGAATGTGATGTAATCATTCATCAAAGTAAGAAAGAAAGAAAAGAAAAGAAAAGAAATGACCCCTCCATAAAGAAAGCAATACAAGTGTACCATTACAACAATTACTGTGGTATTCACTATGATCATTAACTTGGTTGTTTAAATGTATCTCTATATACATCCGTGTGGGCGTGTACATATTTTAGAATGTTATGGAATTGATAAATGCCCGGGTTCTGAAGACACATGGAGATGCGATCGATGCGAGTCTTTGAAAGTCAATCGGTCAAAAATGGTTGTAAGTTCTGGAATCATATTTTCATCAAACTTGCTATTTACCTCGTTTTATTTCTATTAAAGATTTGTGCGCTGTGCCCAACATCCCATGGTGCTTTCCGTAAACTTGAGGGTCCTTTCTTTGGGTTGGGGTGGGTCCACGTTGCCTGTGCCTTGTGGATACCTGGTGTCTACATTGCAGATCCTGATCAAATCAAAGGAATCAATTTGCGTTCAGTAAAGCCGTCTTGTTGGAAAGGAGTGAGTAAAAAAAATTAACTGTCAATCTGTGTTAAATATATATACTAAATTGGATATAGAAATGTGCCGTGTGCCCTGACCCTGTACAAGCAGAATATGGTGCATGCGTGTCATGTCAAGAGCCTGGGTGCGATACTATGTTTCATGTCTCTTGCGGCCAAAAATATGGGCTGGTCCGAATAACCGTGAGTGGCAAGAGAAGTATTTGCTGCTACAATCATGATAAACGAGAAAGATTTAAACGCGCCCGACCAGAGCAACGCATGAATCTGTGGGACCGATGGGTCGAAACTCGTGATGAATATCTCGAGAGCGCAGATGGAGAGACTGGTGCAAAGAAGGAATTTTTGTCTGCTTGGCATAAAGCATACAAAGATATTTCTCATGACAACATAGAATCCAGCTCAGAAGCATTTTCTAAATTCTGTGACAATATCAACACAATATGTAATACAAGATACAAGGAAGCAAAGGCTATAATTACGGAAGGAAAAGCACGCCTAGCCAAATTGTATGAAAATATTCAAAGGCACAGCAGTTCAAGAGACCAAACTGCCCTTCAGATAGAATTAAAGGCTGTTATGACACGTATACAACGTGCGAGTGAATCTAATAGACGGAACAAGCGGTACTATGACGATATCCTGGAGCAAGCTACACGACTCTCATTCCAACTTGTCCTGAAAAACAATGACAAGAGCAAGCCGGTTTCTGTGCAGCCACTTGTACAAAACCCTGTAAATTCTCCGAGTAGCGTACAATTAAACTTTGTTGCAGAAGTCTTTTCACCAGACTTATCGGCAAATAAAGCACAGAAGGCTGTACCTCGTAATCCTAAAAAGTTTGTATCCCTTTCTAATCACTATTTAATAGCAACAATATTTTCTTTGGTATTTGATTATATATATATATTAAAACGTCCATCTTTCTTTCTATTATGTCCTGTCCTGTAGGAAAGATTCTTCTAGACTCAATAAGGCCTTAGTTGCATCAACTTTGGTAGGATCTGATTCGATCTTCAATTGGGTAGATGCTTCGCCTGATCTTGAAAGTAAGAAGAAGTCTGGAACCCAAACAAAGCCTCCTAAACCCACAGTTACCGGCAACAAAAAACTCACTGGAAAGAAAGCTTTGAATGTCATTACTGCGGATCCTCAAGTTAAACGAAGATCAAAAACAAAATCTACAAAAGGCCCAAAGCCTCCAAAAACACCGAAGCAGGCTATCTCAAAGCAAACAGTTAACGCCAACCAGAAAAAAAAGGCAGAAAAGCCATCAAAGGCTGCTGAAAGGTCATTCAAGACTCCAGAGGAACTCGATAATTGTATCTGTGGTGAATGTAATCAGCACGACTTGCCTCAGGAAGCTCTCGATAGACTAAAACTTCCAGAGGATTACATGAAACGTCTGGAAGAAACTGTCCATTTGCGACTTAATGGATACACTGGCAAAGGACTCAACTGGGATCCACGTGTATTTATTGAATGTAGTGCCTGTAAAGGCGAGTTCCACTGTGGTTGCCCCAATCCTCCGATCAAAAACTACCCTGCACCGTAAGATTCTTTGTTTTGTTTTTTCTCTTAAAAAAGATGTATAGTACTATTATGATTTTTGTGCTAACATTAATATTATTAAAATGATTTAGGCACGAAATATTCGTGTGTGTTCATTGTGACACTACAGCAGAAGATTTGGAAGAAAGCGAAGCCCAAAGAGATTTACGTGATAGTGCGAACCGTACTAGAGTTAAGGCTCGTATAAACTACAAAGAATGAACAAAGAGAAGAAGAAGAAAAGAGAAACTTTATATTTCGCTTCTTCTTGTCATCTTGCTTTTCTTTTATTTTTATTTTTTTAAAAAGAAAAAAGAGATGCTTAATTATACAACTTGACAAAAGCATATCACATATTCATATAATACTTCTTATTATTCTCTCCTTCTTTCTACATTTTTGTTTCAAGAATTTTGATAAAAAGAATTACATATAAACATATTCATAAACCTATCTATACATTTCAATTATTTCCTTTATTTTACTTAATGCTGGTATCGGTACTTTTATCGGTTATTTTAATGAAGAAGAAAAAAATAGCAGACCTAAATAAACATTGCTGGGAACAGTAGAAGAATAACTTATCTTGGTAGGATTGTTTATATAATAGAGAGGATGTGGACTTGAAGAGATTCAGCCCATATCACTATAGCCTAAAACATACAGAAAATACTTTTATAAAACTAATTATACTAAAGTAGAGTTCCCGATATATGGTACCCAAACATATATATATATATATATTTAAACCAAGAGAAACAAATTTGATAAAAATATAGTAGTGTGGTAAATTGCTACAAGTCCACACCATTTCTTCAATTCTCACCCTACGTATTTAGAGTAAACGTAACTGTTGCGAATGTTCGGTTAAAATACAGTAGACTAAAGATGAAGTCACATTCAATTTTCTCTTTTGTTCCACTATACAAGTCATCGTGCTGCTGCTTTAACCTGTTCAGTCCCAATAGCCTAACCGCTTAGCATCAAAATAGGTTAATCGTTTGGATATGAGCTATTCAAAAGAACTTCAAGATATATTTGGCTTGCCACCTTTGCGAGATGTAAAAATAAACGATTTTTTTTTATTGTGAGAGAAAAAAAAGGAGGGATCCTTATGATTTTATTATCTTTTAGAGCGAAGCTTGTGTAGTGGATGAAGTGCCAAACCTTGTCCAGCTTCTTTTATCACCGAAAAATGTTGAAAACTTAGAGACAATCTTTAAAGAGGTTACTATCTACCTTATCCAACGTGATTTTAGCTCTACTCGCTTTATTTATAGCTGCTGTATTGACTTTTTCATACAGATTATGAAAGTATCAACATTCATTGGAATCGAATCCATGACATTAATCAAGCCCTTTGAAAAGCAAATATGCGAATGCGCTACTGAAAATCTCATCAAAAACATCGATTCAACTCTTTTTATCGCCAAAATATATGCGGACGATATACCAGCATTTCTTAAATTAAAGATTTCCCATGTTCTTCCATTTGCTTTGGGCCATTCAGAATCTCTCAATCTTACTCAAGCTGTTTCGATTCAACTTGGTACGGATGCAAAAGATCTCTGCATAAAAAACATTCAGCACATCCTTGTTGGGGGTCTACTTGAAATGAACCAAGAAAAATTCCAGACCATAAAGGATAACCTCGATGTCATTCTTGCAACCTCAAATACTTTTAACCAGCAGCTCATGCTAAATATGACAAAGGTTACACTCTTGCTGGCAATGGAGCTTGGTTATGAATCAAAGAGACCTCAGGTAAAAGATAATTTTCCTAACAAAACTACCCGTCTATAATCATACAAAGCATAATTTTGTTTTGTTTTAGGTGGAAAAGGCACTTGCGAAAGTTATTCAATTGACAGGAGCGGGCCAATATGAATCTCTAGCCGACTATTTATATGATTTCTTTATCGGTATTCTTGATATATCTCGAATATTCATTTTAGAGAAACGGAGAGGAAAGAATGATGTTACTCATCCACAAACCCTGAATGCCCTAAATCACATTGCGACATTATTGGGTCCTGATATTGAAAGTTATGCTGTACAGGTAAATAAAGAAATGAGTAGTCTTAAAGTATAACTAGAAGCTTTGTTCCTCTCTTCCCTCCGGGTAGGGTAACCTCATCTTTAAGTAAAATTTCATAAATAAATAAATAAAAAATCATTAAACTACTCTGTTTCATGCAAATTTTAGTTGATTACCGTCATTCAGATGGTAGGGAATATCCCAGGCTTGCAAAAAAATGCTTCTATATTATGGGTAACACTTATCGGTGGACTGAACAAAGACTCTATTTCTATATACCTTCCAACTATCGTTGAAGGACTCTTGAGAGTATTCCAATATCTTGACACCGAAACCAAGAATACAGTTGTCTTTGCACTGCATGGAATCCTATTCGAGGAGTCAATATTGACACTACCTCTCCTACTAAGATTGCCAGAAATACCAAAATTTGAAGAATTGAAACATATCAAGACATCCATTGATAAACGCATAATAGAGTTTTATGAAGACACCATAATTTATATCGAAACTTTGTTGGAAAGTCTTTTTACCGAGGAATTCGCAACCATATTACCCATACTTACCCGACTCCAGCACTTTCTCAAGTACGGCAACTATGAAACAATCAAAAAATTGAAAGAAAATTATCAGTTATTTTCATTACTCCTCAAACTGTCAAAGGATATAACCGTCCGAGACGAGATTAAGATGGTTGCTGCGAAATGTCTAGGCCTATTAGGGGCGACAGACCCCAGCCGACTAGTTATCATTGAAAATACGAGTGGATTCATTTTCCTCGGAGATTTCGGAAATCAGAAAGATGCAAGAAACTTCATATGTAATATCATTCAAACACGACTCGTACCTTCGTTTATGGCTTCAACTAGCGTGAAAGTTCATCAGAAACTTTATTTCACTATGCAAGAACTTCTCTTTCAGGCTGGATTTAGAGATCTTTTACAAGACGATATAGAGATAAATCGCGAAATCCTGGATAGCTGGCATCAGTTCCCTGTAAAGTTACAAAATATGCTACATCCTCTGCTTAGCACAACATTTCAAAGTAGATGGGATATAGCCATTCCAGAATATCCAATATATCCAAAGGTGGGATTTTCTCAGTGGCTCAAGAAATGGTACCACAGACTCGTCGAAGACTCGAACGGAATCACTCGTGATATTTTCTCGGCTTGTATTCCGGCAGTGTATTCCGAAAGAGACGAAATTGTTTTCCACTTGATTCCTTATATTATCCTCCATCACATCATCAATGGAAATTCTAATACAATCAGTAATATTTCAATGGAGCTAGTAAAGGTTTTGGAAATAAATTCTACTGAAAATAATCTTGACGAGAAACTGCGCCAACGCTCCCTTCAGGTAAAAAAAACACACACATGATATATACTTAATTCTTTATATACAGCCAAAGAATTTTATCGATATTAATTGTATCTTTATACAACAAGGCGGTTGTTCATATTACAGCATACTGTCGCAAGTGGATTCAGCAAAAACAAAAAAAATCGGATATAGATCCTGGTTTTTATGTTAAGAAAGTCAACCATTTCCTTGGGTTTATGTCAGATAAACTGATGTCGATGGCTTCCTATCAAAGCAAAGCGTATGCCCAAGCACTTATGCACGAGGAAGCTTATATTCGATCAATACCAAAATCAGAAAAACCAAAGATCAATGAGAATTTGTGGAAAATATATGCTCAAATGAACGATGCTGAAAATATAGACGCTGCGTTTTCTAGTTTTGACATTCCTCTCAGCGAAGAAATGGGAATCATGTTGAATGAAAGTGAAGGACGATGGGAGCTTGCGGCCCGGAAACACCTTGACCGTTTGGTCGAGTCTAAGCTGGGTCCTCAGTATTACGGTGAATATTTTAAATGCCTTAGAAACGAAGGCGCTTATGGTAATATATACATATATACTTATATTGTCAGTATAATAATACCAATAAGGAGATCGTTAAGTATATTGATCACTTTTATAATAAGATACTATGCGCATCAGAGCAATTGAGCTAGGCGACAAGTATCCCGAATCTACTGCGCAAACAAATGCGTTGGTGGCGGAAGCTTCAATGAAACTATCGCAATGGGACGCGTTGGGTAAACTTCTGGAAAGACCAATAGCCGAAACCTTTGAGTCGCTTCTTGCCTTAATTTATTCGAGCATTCATTCAAAGAGCTACACAAATTCATTTTTCTACATCAACAAAGCCAGGCTAAACCTAATAGGCGAGCACTCTGCTCTTGCTACTTCATCGTATCGAAGCTCTTATCACTATATACTTAATCTACAAATATTACAAGAAGTTGAAGATTGTCTCATTGCCTTTGAGAAGACATCTATGCGGGACCCTTCAAAACCTGGATATAAGCCTATAGAGGAACTTAGAAACTCATGGAATTCTCAGTCTATGCTTCTTGCCCAAGATTATCCAACAAGAAAACAAGTCATTACATCAAGAATTCGAGTAATGGATTCTGTGCGGTAAGTAAAGTATTTGAATTGCATAAAGATTATAAAATATATGGTACACTATTGTTTTTATATTTTCTTTTTTTTTAAAGTGAGGAAAAAATGCCAAACAGTATTTCAAAGATGGTCAAGGCAGACATAGGAAACATGTGGCTTCTTTTAGCAAAAACAGCGCGCGAAGCTGGCGATACTAGTACAGCTTTTGATGCGGTTCAAAATGCAGAAAGTTTGAAGCTTCAATATACTTGTATAGAGAAGGCAAAATTATACTGGGAGACCCAGAAGAGGGATCGAGCTATTGCTATATTGAAAGGCATGTCGAACCCACTAAAGGAGGTAAGAATAAAGTATATATTTTCTTTTTTCAAATTATCTAGACATATCTTTGTAATTTTATATAGCACAATATACGTGTTTGTATTTAAATTAGCCCTTGTATAATTTGTGAAAAGGTGTCTTTGTAGCTTAAACCTAGTATATATATATATAGCAAATAAAAACTATCAACGAGCTAAGATACTCATTCTAAATTTCAATCAGAGGAATCTTCTTTTGGTTAAGTACCAAGAAGAGGCATTGGTACAGAATATCAATTTCAAGGATGCATATAAAATAATTGCCACCGAATATCCAAAGTAAGTGTAGAAAATTAATATATAACTTGTAAAGCTTACGCTTGATATACTCTTAAAAGATGGGAAGAAGGACTTTTTGCACTATGCGCGTTTTATGAAAGACAACTTCCCATTCTCAAAAAAACAGCCCCTTTAAAAAATTAGTAAGTTTTGATTTATGATGATGTGTTATTTCAGCAAGCTCACTATTTTTATTGCATTAAAATATCAGCGTTTACTCTCTTGTGGTTGTCATTCGATCTTATATTAGAGCACTCAGTGCAGGGTCACAAATGTTTAACCAAACCATGCCAAGGATGCTGACTTTGTGGTCCGAGTTTACTGAATATTGCTTAATGGATTTAAAGGATTATCCCACGTAAGTAGTCTATATATAATTAAAAGGCTATTCTATAATATGTATATATACTCATATTAAATGGTCTATTAATTAGATTGACCACAGTAGAATACCAAGATATTAAAAGTACATGCGAACTTGCAGCTGATAAACTTTCCAAAGATATACACGCTATTAAGCCTTATCAGGTAAAAGAAAGAAAAAGCCAATATATACAAATATGCGTAAACCTGTAAGCTTATTAACATTTCTACCCGAAAGCTTGCCCTTGTACTTCCCCGCCTTATATCTAGACTTGCAAATGACAAAGGAATTATTACAGCTCCATTTATTGCAATGATAAAGAAGGTTTTCTTGGCTTACCCTCGAATGGCTGTGTGGCCCCTCTTGGCTGCACTTGAGTCGCCATCGGATATGCTAAAGTCGCAATGCAGAGATATTTTGGATGACGTTCAAAAGGATAAAGAAGCTCGTGCTGTAAGATATACAGTATCCAATATATTGTGCTGTCTGTCAACTAATATGTATATACTGTATTCTAATTGTTTGTAAACTAGAAAACTGGCGAAAATTACAAGAAAATCATCAATGTAAAGTTTAAAAAATTGATACTCAAACAACATTTATGACCTCCCTTCTTACTTAAAATGTTATGATAGGATGCCAAAATTTTTAATAGAGTCCTCCAAGGAATATCCAATATTCATCCACGAGCTTTTGTAAATCGCGCGACTATTTTAACACAGCATCCTGGTATAAAACTCTTTAGAGATCTTGACCTTTATATTCCTCAAGAGCTCGCACTGGTAGCTAGACTGCCAGAACCCGAAGAAGAAGGTCATGATTATAACCCGTTCCCTCGAAACTTGCCAAAGATTCAAGGTAATTTGATAATTTACAAAAGAAAATTATTATTTATTTAATGTATGTAACATGGATCCTGCACTCTATGTATGTATATATGTTTTGTTTATATATTTCTGATTTTAGGAATTTATCCAAGAGTTATTATGATGCAATCTCTACAAAAACCAAAGAAGATTGAGTTGATTGGAACGGATGGAAAGCGCTATTGTTTCCTCTGTAAAACAAGTGATGATCTCAGAAAAGATGCCAGAGTAATGGAATTTTGCTATATGATTAACAATTTTCTAAGAAAGGATCCAGAAGCAAGAGATAGATCGCTATGTAAGGAGAATATTCTATTGTGTAAATTTATATATAGCAAGTTTTAATCATCTTTCTATAACAGACATTCGAACATACGCAGTTATCCCATTGGGTCACGAATGGGGACTTTTGCAGTGGATTGACAATCTAGAAACGCTTAAACTAATAACTGCGCGAGAATACGAAAAACATGGGATAGATTATCAAGTAAGCTTTTAACGTATAGTTGTTGCTTAATAACAAACGACTAAAAGTAAACTGCGAATAACAGAGTCGAGCGGAAAAAGCGAAAGAAATTATGGATCCTGTTGATAAACCGACTATTCCATTATCGTCCAAAAAGAAAATAAATAGATTCATCAAGGAAATACTCCCAAGGCAAGAATACAAAGATATTTTTATTAGCAAAAGCAATTTATTTTGTTTAACCTTCTTCTTATGTTACAGTTTTCCTTGCCACCTCAATAACTGGTTTTTAGATTGCTTTCCTGAACCTTCTCTTTGGCTAGCAGCAAGAACACGATATACAAATACTCTAGCCGTGATGTCAATTGTTGGATATGTTCTTGGGTAATAATTGCTATTAATGACTGCCAAAGAAAAAAAAATGAAACTCATGCACGTCTATATTTTAGTCTAGGAGACCGACATGCCGAGAATATATTATTCGATAGGTTATCTGGAGATTGCATTCATGTAGACCTTAATATGTTATTTGACAAAGTAGGGTAAACTTTCTGTAGATTATGAGCTTCAAAACAACCCATATTAATGATATTAAACTTGACATGTACAAAATTCAAGGGTTCGGATCTTCCTGTTCCTGAAGTTGTGCCATTCAGACTCACGCAGAGTCTTGTCGATGCGTTGGGTGTTTTGGGGTACAAAGGTAAGTTTTATACTTTGATATTTTAGTATGCATAAAATTAACACCTTTTTTTTAGGAAAATTTGAAAAGTCCTGCAGGGTGACTCTGCGAGTACTGCAAGAAAACAAAGAATCGTTACTGAGTGTTTTTGAGACTTTTGTACATGACCCAGTGTCATACAAAAAACGAGTGCCACACGCTAATGGAAATAACAAAAATGATGCAAAGTATATTATCAATAGTATGGCAGAAAAGATATCTGGCGATGCCTTATTTAAGGCTAACTTACCTACCGAAGAAGATAATGAAAAGCCAAAGGATCAAGTAGCTAGACTAATCCATGAAGCTACAAAAACCGAAAATTTGGCCAACATGTATTTTGGTAAGAAAAGAAAAGATTTTGTACAGTATATATATATATATATATATATATATATATATTAATAATTCCTTTGTATTTATCTATATATTAGGTTGGGCACCATTTATATAATGTTAGATATACAAATATTTAAATATTTAATATAAATACGCCTGTTGTTATTTTCAATATGGCGTACTAATTAGCTCATTTTTATAAATGGGGCTGCTACGAAAGCAAATTACTTTATTAGAGAAGGTCTTGAGTAGCGATTTCTTATATATGATATGACAGCTATTTTAATCTTCGAAGCAAAAGCGAGGGGGAAAATATATTTATAAAATATGTTTGCGTAAATGGTGCAATCGATAATAAATATCAAGGTTTTCAAATTTGCAATTTTTGAACTTGAGATTTGGGCGCTTTATATGTGAATATTGCTATAAATTTGTCATTGAAATAAATAGTTGCCTTTACTAAACTTTACATATTTCTGTACCTTATGTACAATCTATGGCGAAGCTCATATAAAAGCAAAGTCAAAAATAAAGCAAAATCAATATATGTTACAGTAGCTACCTTAAGACCAAACTATAGAAATATAATTTACTCAATAGCTCTTTGATATTGATTATTATTGTTCGGTGCTTAAGTACTGCTATATCTGATAACCAAGCATCCAGAGCTGGGAAAATTCATATTGAAAGTTTATTCCTTGCTATAGTGACCATCGGTTTTCTTTTGATATTAAGAAGAAGAAACTAAAACTTTCCTGTTTATTTATTAGCAATAACTTGGATGTAGTAAAAGTTACTGAATTTTGAAAAACACCAAAAGAAACTTGGATGTTTATCTTTTATTGCACCATATTCTTTTCTTATTGGAGTTATTCTAGTGGTATAAATTCTGGTGTATTTTATTGTTATTCTTATTATTATTATTATTTATATGGAGGTTCTGAAGTTATATATTCCACCAGATCATCCAGAATAAACCTATAAAAGCCAGAGATCCTGATACCTTTATATTTATAGCTTCACTAATAACCAAAAGTGTGGTATCTAGTCCGTTGCGATTACATGTTGGGTGATTAACATCATATGTGAAAGTTGTATCATTTGCACTGAGTTCTCCGTTTTGCCAATAGCCATACTGGTACATAGCAAGATCCCCAATAGGACAATTAAATTGTAAAAATGGAGGGCAGCTCTGAACAACCCGATAACACAGATCAATGCATGGAAGTAATTCGACCCATGGACCAGGTGTCATATTCTGATCAATCCAAGGATTTCGGGATCGGTTTGTAGGAATTGATCTGACAGATACTGCCGGGAATTGTCCGCTGGCTTGTGTTCCAGGTACAGAAGATAGAGCAGAAGTACAGCGAGGAATTGTGACTGAGCAAAGCCAACGCTTGTAATCCATATAACAATCGTTACAGTTGCGCACAAGAGAATACTGTGTTTTTTCACAGTTAAACTGTGACAGAGCAGTTCCAAAAGGATCAAACGTTGCTTTTGCTTGAGTATCATAGTTACTAGCAATTTCTGATGTATCAAGACCAATCGTAGCTCCTACGGGAACACTGTAAGCTACCTGGTCGCAAAAACCAAGATTATATATCAGGCGACAGCTTGCATCTGTATCTTCACCGTGGGCTGGTTAGTCGATCTTTGTTTTCTGGGTAGACATGTGTATGCTTGCCTGGTGATTTTGTCTGGATTTCTATAGGAGGTCCAAACGTCATTTGTCCGTTCTGTGTTTCCAAGAGATATGCAATATATACAGCGTCCCCGGTTAGACCTGAAACATAGAGTTGCTGCCGTGCTGCTACACTAGGTCCACGGCTAGTCAGGGTAGTGTTGAGACTAAAATTTGTAATCTGGTAAGGTTTGATGGCACAAAGAGAATACATGAGTTCTGTCGGTACATGTCCGGCTAAGAGAAGCGACACGTTAGGAGCTGTCGATGATTCGTAAGGAGAAGTAAGGAAGAGTGCATGAGTAGTATCGGTGTCGTCTAGAACCATAGCGGGCTCACCAAGAGAGCCAGTCAATAAAGGAGGGTGCATCCATTCTAGTGAGATGGTATTAGCATATACTGTATTATTATTATTTTTTTAAAAAAAAGTCATTATTAGCTTATTTACTTACGTTGAGTAGATATGCCAATCTCGAATGTCCAGCTTCCAGTCCAATGATCGTTTAGAGTCGGAGCTACTACACCGATCCATACTTTCGGAAATGTAGAATCTCCTTCCCATGAAGTTCTTCCTCCAAATGACCCGTTAACAGGTATCCCATTGCTTGGACCGGGAAGTGTATTATCGTTGCTCAATGACAAAAAGACATCCAGAGAAGGCACTTGACCTTGATAGTTGTCTGGAGGGGTTGGCTGGCTGCAGCTGGTAAGCGTCAAGTAAATCGGTGAAATATCCCTCTTTGTAAAAGAATCATGAATGGTTGACAAAGCAAGAATTGTTGCAGTTTCGACGGGAAAATAGAAATGTTGTAGATCTCCCGAGTCAATTGATAGCGATATGATCTGAGAGTTGTTCAGCTGTATAGTAATTGGTGCCTGAGCAAAGACATTTGATGAAAATAAAGAAAGTAAAAGTCCAAGAACAAGAATAAGCATGGCCGAAATCACAAAGTCACAGGAATGAGTTTCGACTGGACATTGCCTTGTACCCAACACTTAGACGTTCCTTTGAATATGGACACTGTGCACCTTTGCGGAAATCAAAAAGCCAAAAAGAGTCTGTGTGTCGTCACAGACAACGTCCAATCATTGTAGATCTTATCGAAAAGGCCGAATCGCAGCAAGGCACGCGTTACCCTTTCTCCACTTCATCGGCCATCATGCGGCAAGCATTCCTTCCATTACTCGTCCTTATCCTCGGTGTTCTTGCTGTTGTAAAGGCTGTAAAATTTGATCTGGTTGCAGTTACTCCTGACCGTGCCAAGGAAAACAAGAGATGTCTTTCTCAGTATGTTCCTAAAGACACAATGATTTTGGCTACAGTCCGTATTGGCCAAGGTTACAACCAGCGTATAGACCTTGAGGTAAAACATCATTATATGCTTTATTTAAAAAGTCTAGATAACCGAGAACTTTTTCAATAAAGATTGCAGATGACAGCGCTACTCCCACCGTCTATGTGTCCAAGAAAGACGTCTCAAATGAACTCCGCAATGCCTTCAATACTCATTCAGATGGTGTTGTCAGCATTTGCTTTACTAATTCTCTTTCTGAAGGTAAATAGCTTAGCCAGAAACTCTATGTATCTCATACTATGAAATAGGCTTCCATGAATCTCCCGAATATCTTCGTACTGTTGATCTTGACTTTAACGTCGGTGCCGAAGCTATGGATTTCGAGAAGATCGCCAAGGCTGAGAAGCTTAACCCCCTTGAGTTAGAACTTCGTAAGCTTGAGACTGTAGTTAAGGAAATTGTGGATGAGATGAACTATCTGAAGAGACGTGAAGCCCGTATGAGAGACACCAACGGTAAGTGTATTTAAACCAAACTATGACATTGACAGAATTACTGATATTTTTTGTGTAGAATCCACCAACAACCGTGTTAAATGGTTCAGCATATTGTCCCTGTTCACCCTTATTGGACTGGGAACATGGCAAATCCTTTACCTTCGTCGCTTCTTCAAGAGAAAGAGACTCATCGACTAAATCTGTAGTAATTAACACAAGCAAAACAACAGCAACGCAAACACAAACAAACAAACAAACAAACAAAGACGTTCTTTATAGAAGATTATATTAAGCGTGATACGCTAGTATCTAATGGATCGAAAACGGGAAATGGGATTTATGATTGGATATGAAAAAAAGGGTTTTATTGTTTGATATTTATGGCTAGGCAATGGTCTTGCATACTTCCAATAAAGCCTTTGCTGCTTTCTCAAAATCCTCAAGCTCAACATAAACTTGAGCGCAGAAGCGTGCCCACCAAAGACCATTGTGCTTAAATACCGAGATCATAGTGTTGTGCTTGTAAACAAGTTCGTTGATAAAATAAGCAGTAAGTTCGGCGTCAGACTTAGTTGTCTTTCCAACAGGAACACGCACATTGACCATGGCAACTGTCAGGGTTTTGGCTTTGTTCTCCATAACTTCCGTACCTAGAATTTTTGCAACTAAAGCACCGCCCTTGACAGCCAGGTCATTACAATACTTCATAATTGCATCTTCACCACCAAGGGACTGACGATAGTCCAAAGCTATATAAATATTTTTAAGGTTATTCTGTACTGTATACATGCTAGTGATTTATAAAAAAAACTGCACTTCTTTTACCTGCATTAGCGCACAAGTAGTTAGCACAGTCGATAGTGGTTGACAAACCACCAAATTCGTTTTGGAAAGAAGAATTATCTTGAGCATCTTTGTGATGCATGTATTTGGCATTGATTGATAAGGGATGAACATGACCCTGATTACGTTTAGCTACATACAGTACAGCACATCCACGGGGCATAAACATCCACTTGTGGCCGTTTGTGAAGAAAAAATCGGCATCCAGTGCTGTCAAATCCAAAGGAATTTGACCTTTTTAAGAAAGTAGGCATGAGTATAGCTACTGACAAAAGTGTTTGTGTGGATAATTACCAATAGCATGGGCGCCATCGACCATAGCGAGCATATTATAACTCTTGACAAGCTTAGTGACATCTTTGTAAGGAAATAGAACACCAGGAATGGAAATCAAAGCGTCCATTACACAGATTCGGAAACGACCGTCACCTTTCGCTTGCTCTTTCTCGATTGTCTCTCTTGTCAACTGAATGATCTCTTCATCGCTCATGGGGTAGTTAAGAGTAATCTTGATCAACTTAGCGTCTCTGCTGTCTTTCACATACTCATTAGCACGATCAATTGCATTATAAGCAGTCGAATACTAATGATAACATTGTAAGTCAAACAACAATGAATAGTTAAATGAGAAAATTCTTACACACAAGATCTTGTCCCCCTTCTCAAATGGAAGACTACGAAGAACAGTACTGGCAGCAGTTGATGCGTTCTGAACATATACAATATCATTGCTATCACAGTGCAAAAGAGAAGCGATTCGCTCAAGATTTTGCTTAACGACAGCTGCGAATTCTAGGCGGAACCATCTATCTGGCTGTTCCTCGCCTTTATCCTGGTAATCACGCATAACAGCACGCACAGAACGGGGGTAGGTACCATAAGATCCGTGGTTAACAGGAACGTATTTAGACTCGAGGAAAAAGTCCTTGCGGAGACTGTGTCCAAAGGCTTTTTGGGGTGCAGAAGGAGACATTTATATATATTTGTCTGTTTTGAAGTAACAATAATAATGTATACAATTATTTTGAGCTTCTGAAGACAGCATCTTTATAGAACCCCGAGTAAAAATGGAGTGACTGCGTCATTGAAGTTTGATGAAGAGTGACTCAAGGAAAAATGAATCATTGTATATGCAATTGTGTTTGACAAACTCTCTATCTGACAAGAAGTAGTACAAGTGGATTTGATGACCATGCAGGTGACTCACTAGCTTACAAATACTTCACGACTTTAATAATTATAAATAATAATAAAAATTTAATAAAAGGGATTTGACCCAATTACTCGGATATGAAAATTTGGCGGTGTTCAACTTTACTTTCAATCTTGGAAATCTTTCTAGGTAGATGAAATGTAGCTTTAACAAGACGGTCTTCAAAATCAACAAAAATATTACAAGCTGTTATATTAGAGGAATACATTATTTCTTGAGAAGAGAATGTAAAGATGAAAACTATTAAAATTTATATTTTATGTATTTCTGTAAACCTTCTACACAGTTATTTTTACTCTATTTACGTGTGCAAGTTTAGACTTTTGCATTTCGAAAAACTTCAATTCACGTATATATTCTTTTATAGAGAAAAATCTGGTGGCGCAGATCATTTGGATAAACCCAGTAGGCCTTCATCTAGTTGTGATCGACCGGTCTTCATTGCTATTTAAGATAAAGTTTATATTACTTAAAAGGGTAAATTTTCCTAGTATAAAAATTCTAACACAAGAATTGCTTACTGAGTAAATAGACAATAATTTACTTTGGGAGCATATTAAGTAGGCAAAGCAAGTTCAGGAGTTAGTGGTAGGTTGATGAGAAGCAGAATAGTATATGAGAGACTCGTCCTGAGAATAATAAATTGATGATACAAAGCGAGCTATATAGAGTCGAGTGTAGTTAGTAATGAAATGAGAGTGATAGTTATTTCAGAAAATATTCAGTATATGTGCTGAGGAAATGTATGAATTTTAGTGCAATGGATGCTGACATATCTTTATATTATGCTTTAACAGAGAAGGATACAGATAACTTTTTTGACTTTATTAAAGAGAATGGCTGATTTTTTTTGTTAATTAATTAATTAAAGATATAACGTTAATATTTCAGACCATAGATTTTTCTAAAGAAAGAGAGAGAGAGAGTAAAAGAATAATTTATATGATAGGGCAGTGCATTATGCATATGTGTATATAAATATTCATAAGCCCAACGGTAGCTATGTATTTTTGGCGCGCAACATTGATGTTATTTCTTGTCTGTCCATACACGGATGCTACTAAGGGCCTGAAGCTTTAAGCAGCGACTTCCACAGGATTACGCCCTTTCTTCAATTAACTTATTGGACCAAATATGTATATTTATATTATACAATTCCCAAACTTCTGTATCCTCGATGCACAAAGTGTATAGTTTGTATTAAAAGTTAAAGAAGCTAAAATACAAGTAGCCGTATATCTTGTGGCATGAAAGCACATTTTTTATATTTCTGATATTATTATTACTGCTGGTATGGCCAGTTTGATCAGTACTATTCTTAATTCTTAATTATTTATTCAATATTCCATATTTTAAAAGCTCTAAATTTTTTTCTCTGCTTAAAATTGCTAGATTTTTTTCTCTGATAGAAACCGCTACACCTTTATTTATTTCTTAAAAAATCGTTACAAACTTTTAGTTTCTCTTAAACTTAACTCTATAAAATATTGTCAGAACTTCAGTACAGTCATATTGTACTTTTTGGTCAAACTCGAACCCATTCCAAAAAATAGTACGGACGAGTATGGTGGTACCTAACACACACTTTTTTTTTAAAGAACGTCAATCGTCATTTCAACTACTTTAACGGAGTTGAGTTTCACGAGTTCCTTTTCAGTGAAAAGAATTAAAGTGAATGAAGAGTCTTCCATCTACTTTACACATCTCTTGTATCCTTCCATCATTTTTTTTGGAGGTGTACACGTCAGCGAAGGGGGACAATGTGTGACTATTTTTATATGCATGTGACTACTAGAGATAAAGACTATGAAAAAAAGCAAAAAGTAAACAAAAAAGGACGCAAAAAAACAGAAAAAGACGAGCGACAACGATGCGAAACCTTATTTACCATCAACAACTACAATTCTGCTAATGCGAATAGCTCATTAGCTTATATATAACTCTCATCATGTTCTTGCAGAAATGAGTTTGTCAGAACCTTGCGCATTAAAGATCAATTTTCTATTTTTCTCATTCGGACTGACGCCCGATGTTGATTCGCGCATCCTTTTAACAGCCACTCATGATAGAAAACAAGAGTTTCCGCGGCAAAAAACAGAATGCACACGCGTTTAAAGATTGTTAAACTCTTAAACGTACTTAGTATATATATAATATTCGATGTCTGATTGATTTTTTTAGAAATATAATAGAGTTTTGACTATTACAAGAATAATAGCAGAGTTTTCTATGTATTATACCATAAACTGTGTATATTTCTTAATAATAAGTAGTATATGATACAGAAAAACACAAGAGAAAGGCTTTTTTAAAAAATTGACTTGTTTTATATAGTTTAGTAAAGACTTTCACAAGGAAACCACTATGTCAAGATATCTATTTTACACGCTTGATAGTTATTTCTTCTTTCTACATCATATAATAAACCCCGACGTTCAAACAGCTTGGAAAGATACTTTACTATATATTACAATACTACATTTATATATATATATTATACAAGTATTCTAGTCAAATTTCTTGAAAAAGTCAATTTTGTTAATATCTCTAACAAGGAACCAGCAAGTGTATTTTACGATGGATATAATAATGTATACATAAAGCTTTTATTATTGCCATTATTGCCATTAGCAAGTTATAAAAGGATTAATATTGAAATCAATTAGTTTAAAGCCATAAATCTAATACTCTGTTTAATCTCGTATTGCTTTATCATAAAAAAAAACTCATTGATGAGAGTTGTGTAATATTTAGTCTTTTACAAGTTAAAGTATATTGCTTTATGTAGGACAGTTCAGACAGGTTTCACAAGCAGAAGAATGTACACATAACTAGACATGAAATTGGTTACTCAAAATTATAGTTATTTTCAGGTACTTTGCAAGTACAAATTACTCATTGTCATGTTCAATTTTTTATTGTCATTAGGATTTTTTTGGGGTGAGTCGGCTATAACATCAAACGGTATAGATAAATTTTACCACTAAAACATTACAATTAAACAGAAAACGAGATGTATGCTTTTTTTTCTAGGCTTATACATATTTTCTTATGACCAATGCCAATTTACTGAAGGATATTTTGTGAGATGTGAATGACCACACAATATATTTTTTGTTGAGAGAAAATAAAGGCATATTCTCTACACTTTTCTCAAACATTAATTATTTATTATTGTATTTAATCAGGCAAATATATATGTATCATATAATTACTGTATGATCCATATACGAGATTTTTATATATAGCATTGTATTTTAAGAAGTATAGTTAATGCTATTATTACTTCAGCTACCTAAATGTCTATATTTGTCTTTCCTTCGAGAAATTATATATGCAAGTTTAATGTCAATATAAATGATATATAGCGAGCAGTTTTGCTTTTATTTCGCTTTTCCTCATCCCAAGAATAAAAGTACATCTTATTTGTCTATTCTGAGATGTGTTTCATGCACCTATTAAAATCTGTGTAAAAAAATTGTAGTAATATTGGCTTTAGACACGATATTTTTCTTTAATAATATGACATGGTACAACGACACTTGGCAATATACTTCTTTGTGATATTCATATTGATTAATGTGATCCTTGTTGGCAGCAATTTCAATTAGGGCTTTACTTCTTTTGATGAATATTCATATTAACAGCTTTATTTTCTATAATGTATAGCTGTTTTTGTAAACAAGCATTTAATTATTGTAATAATAGATGAAAAATATAGATCGTTCTATCAAGTTATTCTTTCATGCATTATTTGTTTATTACTTTTGAAAATCTCAAAATATCCATTAACTCTTTTACATACATTCATACAAATTATTTCTATTGTAGCTTTGTTTTACCTATCACCAACTTCGCGATTAATTTAAGTTCTAGGAACGATTGTTACTCTTCTAAATTTATAAATTAGTTGTTAATACCCTTGTAAAAACACAAAAATATTAATTGATTCTTTTATATCCAAGTGCATAAAAGCAAATATATACTTTGGTACAGACAGGCTTTGTATTTCTTTTAAAAAATAATAATTATATTCTTTTGCACTCCTGAATTCTCGTACAACTTCTTCAATTTCTTCCACAAAATATTTAAAATCTTTTAAATAATTTTTGCTCAAAAACGTGAAAAAAAAAGAAAGAGAGAAAGAATAAATTTCTATGCAAAGAAGTGGTATTTACTCGTAAGTCATAAGAGAGGCATTAATAAATTTTTATACCAAAGCATATAGCATATTCAGTAATCGATTAAAAAGATTGATAAAAGGAAAGTATAATTGACTTTACATAGCATTTTTTTTTATGAAGATCATATTCATTTTTGTCTTTCATTATTATTTATTAAATACAAATGTGATACATATGAGTAACTTTAGTTTTTTTTTTGTATCCGATGTATATTACAGTCTCCTTGAAAAGAATATGAAGCTGTTGAGATAAAACTTTGGTTCGTATTTATTCCTTTTTCCTTTTATACTTTGAGATTAAATAAGGACAGATTATAGTAATTCTCGATAATTTCAATTATTGGATTTAACAAATATGCTGCAGATAGATTTGGTATTATACAATAACGATAAATTGGAAAATACTCGGTGACGTCAAGGTCAAAAGCTTGAACACAAGTATCAATCATCAAAACCATAACAATTATAGATGCATTTCTGTATTCAAATGTTAAGGTATTTGAATTTACCTCCATTCAATAAGCAGAAAAAAAATATTTTACGCATAGGTATAGGTATATATATATTCTCCTATTATGTTAGACAGCTGATTATCTTAAGTGTTATACATGAGAGTTTTTTTTTTTTTAAAAAAAAAAGAAATGGGTAAAATCAGGAAATAATCACTGTCCTTTGACTGTTTCTAGTAATTACAACGTGGGATCTCCACCAGTTTTTGAACTGCCCGCTCACAACATGCCAGCTTGTAAGCTTGACCATTTGGCTTAATGACATCCCAGCACATGGTTGAGGTCGGGGACTCTGCTGTTTCTCATCTGTATTCATGGTGATAGACGATCGGACGAGCCAGCTCCACGTGGGAAGTAGAGCCCAAATCCATAATTTGTATCCCGTTTAATCTCAGTTCGTAACCACTTTAAAACCAAGTGTCCCAAGCGTGGGTTTAGATACAGTTACTGCTTTTTCGTCCCTCTTTATATACATATGCACACCTACGTGTCATCCGTGTCCAAAAAAAGGAACAATAGAACCCAATTTGTGTCAAGTAGACTGTCGGATACTTATATAATGGTCATCATATAATCATAGAAACGAAACTTTGTACATGGCCCATGAGTGCACCTTTTTGTATTTAAAGAGGCGAAATGACCACCAAATACGGACGCTTCTCACATTGTTTCCTGTCACGGGATAATTTGCTTGATTGAGAAAGAAAAGAATGGGCAAAGATCAAACATTTCTAGGCCTGTTGTGCTTTTTTTGTTTTCCAAACCCTCATTTCACTTCACCATGGCAGTGCCCATTCTCCAGGAAGAAGCTGTGCCATCTCGAGAAGATCGCCCCCAGGTGACTTCCTCGGCCGAATTACCAAAAAACAACACTCGTGAACATCGCCAGGCAACACACACCCCTAGTCTCAAAGTAGTCGGCCACTATTCTCTTCAGCAAAGTCTTGGTAAAGGAAGTACTGGAAAGGTCAAGCTAGGTGTACACAACATTACTGGAGAAAAGGTATTAGAAAAACTTTACCGAGTCTCCCTTGCCCAGGCTGATAACCAACTCTTAATAGATTGCTGTCAAAATTGTACCCAGAGCAAACCTGCAGTTGCTGTCTACTACAAATAAATCGCCACGCCAGATTGCCAAGGAACGAGCCAGAGAAGATAACCGAGAAATGCGAACAATAAGAGAAGCTCACATAATGATGCTCCTGAGACACCCTCACATTGTCGGTCTCCGAGATCTAGTCATCAATGGGCCATATTTCTACATTCTTATGGACCACGTTAATGGTGGACAGCTGTTGCACTACATTGTCAAACGACAGCGCCTATCAGAAAGTCGAGCACGCCTTTTCACCCGTCAAATTGTTGGTGCACTTGATTATCTCCACCGTAACTCTATTGTTCATCGAGATTTAAAGATCGAGAATATTTTGATTGACAAGGCTGGAAGAAACGTCAAGCTCATTGATTTTGGCTTATCCAACCTCTTTAGTCCCACAAGCCAGCTCAGCACTTATTGCGGCTCTCTTTACTTTGCTGCCCCTGAACTTTTGTGTGCCACACCTTACAATGGCCCTGAGATTGATATTTGGAGTCTGGGCGTTGTATTATATGTGATGGTAACTGGATCAGTACCGTTTGACGACAAATCGATGCCAGGTCTACACGAAAAGATTAAGCGTGGCGAAGTAACCTATCCAGCTCATTTGAGCCCCGAGTGTCGCGATCTTTTAGCGCAGATCTTTATCACTGACCCGGCTAAGCGTATTCCGCTCGCCGACATCTTGCGCCACCCATGGATTAATGCCGACAGCCCGCCTATCAAGAGCTTCATTCCTTATCGCAAAACGCTTACTTTACCTCTAGAGACAGAAGTGATCGAAGCAATGAGCCAAGGATTTGGCTTTGGAACACCCAACGAGATTAGAGCTGAGCTTGAGAAAGTAATACAGTCTGAAATGTACTGCAATGCAAATGAACGGATTGTCAATCAACAAGCCGTGTCCGTCAAAACACTTGGTCCATCCTTAAACGTCAATGAGTACAATCATACAGCCGTCCGAGATTTCTTTTACGATGACCCACAATCTGTTCCTGAGGCGTATCACCCTCTTGTATCTATCTACCATCTTACTCGTGAACGTCAGAACTTCTTGGAGCAGGAACACACTCTTGTGAGTATCAAACACGGAGGACTTTCCCGAAAGACATCTGTTGAATCCGGGTTCTCCGCTGGATCATCCTCAGCTCCCGGAAGCCAGGTTTCATTGTCGCTTGGAGATGCTGACCAGGTTGATGGAAATGGTGCAGGTACCAGTCGTCCACGTCGTATTCATCAGATCGCCTTTGACAAGGCTGCTATCCACCACCCACCACCGGTATCACAAGAAGGGCAGGCACCTCAAAGTGGTATGTTTGGGTTTACATCTCAACCTTCTGCTGCAATTGCCTCTACAGATTATCTTGCACGGATTCAGCGATGGCTCAGATCTTCGGCCTCAAATGAGCAATTTGGCCATTCTACACCTGATGACGATGATGATGAACGTAATCACGCACCTCCTATGCCACCCCTTGCTCACCACCAACAAAATCACACACAGCAACAACATGAGAATGCTCAGCAAGCACAAAAGAGACATACTCAGCAACAGGAGCAGCGCCAACAGCAACTACAACAACAACAGGAACAGCGCCAACAACAACAACAACAACAACAACAACAACAACAACAACAACAAGAGCAGGCTCAACATTATCTTGATATTCAACAGCAACCAAACTCGAGACCATTGAATGAGTCAGAGTCTGTGTTAAACTCCTCTACAAACTTCAATCCGCCATCCTCTTCAGGTGGATTACCCCACGCATTCTTAGACGAAGAAGACACCTCAAACCAGGGACGTCAACCCCTTCCACCAGGAAAATCCCTGCTCCGGAAGATTTCACATGCCCTCATCCGTCGCGGAACCTCAGTCAATTCTATGAACCGAAAAGAGTCTGTCGCCAGGCATCACAAACACGGAGATTCCCAAGAGGGGCAATCTCTTTCAATTGACAGCGATTCTCATCATTCAACATCCCCTTCCAACACTACCGAGAACTTTTCTGTCAAAGAGCAGCAACGAGTAATCCCGCCCATTCCAGCACAACCAGACCAGCCACCACGTCTTCCTGAAAATATTGTACCAGCTCACACACGTTCTAGTCCCCTTGTACCTCAGGTGTCAGAACACCGTGTTCAAAACCCCCCACAAGCCACTCTGCCAACTGGTGGTTCCACTACTCTTAAAAAGTCCAAATCCACAAAGGCAGCTTCCAGATCAAGCAATAAACACCAGCGCTCTGCTTCTGTTTCACGTGGAGCTAGTAACCTTTCGAGCAAGTTTGGGGCATGGCTTAATCGATCTACATCCTTTGGTAAACCACCAAAACACTACAATAACAACGCATCCTAGACTTCTTTTTCTTTATACACATTATACACATTTATTATCATGGCAGCTGGCTCTATTCTGTCCTTTCTATCTTATCTTTCTTTCTCTTTCACCGTTCATAGTTAATTGCACTTACATATATTTTGTATACCCTTTATTATCTCGTTATTTCCAATATTAACTTAGACTCACAGGCGTATATAAAATCTTACGCTCTTTCCTTCCATTAATCTTTTGATTTGTTTTGTTTTGATCCACGCTTTTATCTACACTATATAAACCTCTTTTATTTCATTTTTGTTCGGTCATTTTACTTTTGATCTTGATCAAAAAATAAATAAAATTAAATAAAAATGAAATAGAGTAAGCTCTTTGTATCAAAACTGGTTTGATTGCAATATAGTTGATTTGTATAGAAATGAGTTTTTATTTGAACTTTCTAAGAGAAAAAAGAAAGAAAGCCATGATGTAAAGGATGAAAGTGAATTTAAATAAGCAAAAAAAAACTCCCAAACAAAAGATGGGAGAAATGGGAAATATACAGAAAGTTAATATAGCATAATATTTTTTTTATTTAGACCAGCAATACTGCATTGATACAACCATCGTTTTCTATAATAAAAATAATAGTAAAGAGAAACGCACACATACACACATACACACACACACAGATGGGTAGATAGATAGATAGATACATAAATACATAAATGCAAATTAAAATATATTAGAATTCATTTCAATTCACTATTTAGATCAAGTCCTTTGAAGACAAAAGAAGAAGAAGAAAACTTACCAGGATTGTTGGTGACCTGGGCATATTTACCCCAGACAACCTTACCACCAGTGGTTACCAAACCAAGTTCGGATACGTTGACTTCCAATACGGTACCCTTGGTGATAACACCAAGATGTGTGAAGAGAGGTGATTGAGGGTTCTTCTTGACACCAATAATTGGCAGTTGGAAGGTCGCCTTGAGTTCTGGGTGGGTAACATGTGCCTTCTTGAAACGAAGACCCATAGGACGGATGAAACGCTCATACTTCGGGGGCTTACGAGTGAAGCCATCTCCAACAAAGGTAGCCTTTGTAACCATACGCTTCCACGACTTGGTCTTACTCTTTCCACTCTTCACGACCTTGAACATCTCATCTTCGGCCATACCACGCACAGCGGGCAAAGGAACAGACCACTTTCCTGCCTTTTCCTTTCTCTTTTGCTTAACCATGTTGCTCAGAATCTTGGCGCGATCTTGACCTTCACGATCCAAAAGGTAAGCAGGAACAGCGCCTTCGGGAACGGCATCGGCGGTCTTTGTCTTTGCATTTCGTTCTTCGTGCTTCTTGATCGTCTTCTTCATCTGGATCTTTTCGGCACGACGCTTCTGGTTGTGCAACTTGGCCTTCAGACCATGTACCTTTTGAGCATACTGAGAGTCCTTGTGGACCTTACGAGCTTCTCTCTTACGCCTTTATTATATAAAATGTAAGTATACATAGTTTGTTAGGATTGAATGGATTGATTTAGATTATACATCCAAGAAACTTACTTGCGCTCTTCATAATCCAGACGACGTCCATGACGCTTAATGTGCTCTTCGATATGCTCGTTCTGGGGCTAAATGCCAAAATAATAAAATAAAAGAAAGAAAGAAACAGAATCTGGTTGAGATCACAAGATTCATTGGATAAAAATGACATTGATTTTGTTTTTTAGGATCGAGGATTACTTACCATTGGATCTGTCTATGCGTCAACCAACCAAACTCTTATGCGATTTAGAAAAAATTAAAAAATATAGAATATTCGTATCGAAATCGCCGCCTGTGACAAAAATTTGGACACAAACCGTAAAAACAAAGTCACAATTACACTGTCGAATTCGCCAAAAGATACAGTATCTCATTTCACAGCAGATGTGTCAATATGGAAAAAAAAATTTAATAAATATCTTTAATTTGCATACATGGCTATTTCGATACTGACACTTTGTATAATGAAATCAAGTTCAGAACAATTGTTTTTTTTGTTTTTTTTTGTTTTTTCGTTCTTTGCTTGGTGTAGTGTTGCTTGTGTTGTTGAAGCCAATAGTGTGGAAAGATATAATTCGCTTGGAGTTGTTGCGAAATGTGGGTAAAACAGCTTGTCTTTTAAAATACTCTATTTGATAGTATATTATTATGTTTGCTACAATTTATGAAAATTATAAATATATTACATACGAATTTCCATTGATGTATCATGCTAATTTCATTATCAGTAAATGATACAGGATTAGTATCCAACTTATTCGGCAATATATTGTCATAAGTAATATATGAAAGCTGTCTATCATTTAAGAATGCTAGCACAAAGTTATGTTGCCTTTAATAATACCTACAATCTTTCATCGAGAGAAGAGGAACAGTCATACATTTTCTGTTGCTTTTTATCTTCATTTTCTAATATGTCAATTTCGTTTGAATGCAGAATATAACTTCTTGTGTTTAAATTATCACCAAAATAACTCGGTGAATTTGGATTATACGTGTTATCAGACGTGAAAGAGCTGTGCTCCTAAATAACCGTTTAATATAGATTATATATAAGGTACTCTAATAAAGTGTAACTTACCGATCCCAGCTCACACTTGTTAGAGGAAACTTCCTTATCACTACCATTTTTTTGTATCTTCATCCTGCATAATATTTAAGAATTATCACTTTTATTGAGATATAATTACTAGGTTCAAGAATAAAACAATATTTACCAGTTCATGCTAATCACATTGTTCAGGCACACCGATATTACTTGATGTGCTATCATTACTTGCTTGTAATAATTTAATGAGACCATTAACATAACTCATTACTACAGTGTATATTATCTACTTGCTTTACGTCTCGCTGATTTGAGGGAGATGACATTTTGATTCTACCGGACCACAAATTGTGACCTTTTTGCCGACATAGAATAACTCTATCTGGTTCCTAAGAATACAGAACATTCGTGTAAAGTCATTTTTTTGTGCTTTGAAAAAAAGAGTGAATGGGAATTGCTTACCAGTTGGTGCTGTCATAGTCTGGGAATATAAGTAGATGAAAGAAAGAGAAAGACACGATATGCGTAAGGATAACAAATAGTAGAATATCCAACAAGGTTGCGTCACACTTTAATGACAACTCATACTGTTCTGCATAACTGGCTATTGATATAGTGTATTTGTGCTTAATTATTATTTCTTTACTGTCAAGTCTAAATTTAGGGCTAGTAACTGATTATACAGGATTTGATTTTTGCATGAGACAGTACTTTATTATCAAGTTGCCCAAATACAGGCTGTAGATCTTACAAGAATGAGAGTTAAGTGCCTGGGGATAGATAGATAAATACACAAGGTGTGGGGACAAGGTAGTAAGCTAATACGTACAGAGAGAGGAGGAAAAGACAAAATTACATAGAGAGGGAGGAAGCAGAATTAAAAGAAGAAACAAAGAGAATAACTAATACAGGAGAAAGTATAAAACAGAAGGCAGAAATAGCACAAAAGTCAAAGAGCTAGTCTATGAGATTGGAGGATTGAAAGAGAAATTGAAGCAATATGTTCACAGAAAAAACTGCACTGGAAGGAACGAAAGGCACATTTACAAGACACACCATTCTGTCCTGAAGGATTAAAGATACCGGGTCCCGGACAGGTAGTCGCAATTAATGAGTCCGGTTAGATAGAGACATCGTCCCCGTAAGATTGCTGATATATAAAGAGAGGCTGAAATTACTGCCCTACACAAATTATTTTGCACAGACAATATGATATTCTTTCATTGAATATCTTACTGCTTGATACTAATAATTATTTTATTGACTAAAAGCAAAGTCTCTGTAAATATATATATACTTGATATTATTGTTATTATTAATAAGATTTTGTTGGTCAAAAATAATAAGTCTTCATTAAATGTGTGGTTGTATTACTTTTTTTTCTCTTTTGGTAATGAGGAGTTTTGTTTCTGTTGAAATTCCACCAAGATGTGTACGAGTAATAATTAAAATATAGGTGTATAGCTTTAGCTTTGTGAATAAAAGTAAAAAAGAAAAAGAAAACACTTGTTTTTATACTACATTTGTCCCTTTGGTTGGTGAGTAACCAATAAAAAGAAGAAGAAGAAAAAGACAATTATAAGACTTTGTCGTCTTGGAGAATCTGAACGACATGTACATTAAAACTCTAAGTTGTATATATATATTTAAAAAAAATCGTTCATTTCCTCTCTCTTGGATGATGTGATTGATATGAGTTGCTGTGCCTTGATGTGTGGCGCTGTTGATAATGAGAACTATGCTGCGAAGAGCGATGCTGATGCTGAGCTTGCTGTTGAAGCTGTTGCTGGGCTTGTTGTTTTTCTTGCTTTATTTTGCGTCGATCGAATTCGTGTGATGCTTCATATTTTGGCAAACTACAACAGCAACAATAAAATTATATATTAAATATTTAGAGAGAGAAAAAGAGAGAACAGCAAAACATCTTTTTTAAAGAAAAAGAAACTTACAGAGCCGGGTCTGCTGGCAATGGTTCACTGTAGAAATAATCATGGTTTAATGCTTCCAAGGCAGTGAGACGTTTTGCTGGATCCAGAATAAGAAGCTTATCGATCAGATCGGCTGCTAGTGGATCAGGACGCGAAAACTCTTCGACGACACGCCTTTTTGTGACATCAAATCGCACTTTCCCAGCGTCAGGAAGTTTATTCCACCCTGGCATGGTTTCCTGTGTTGGCGATCCACATAGGTGAAAAATGCGCTTTAACTGCTCCATGTCATCTTGACCTTGTAAGATTGGCCGTAATTTTATAAGTTCTCCAAACACGCACCTTATTTGAGGATATATATAAAACCGTAATTAATCACCAGAAAGATGAATACTATTTGCTTTTCTTTTGTTTTTATTTACCCTACACCCCACATATCGATTGCACTCGTGTATCTTCGTTCGCCTAACAGAAGCTCTGGAGGACGATACCATCGAGTGACAACACATTGTGTATATTCACGGCCATCGTCTTCAACCCCGCGTGCTAGACCAAAATCTGCAATTTGTAGAATTCCATCGTTATTGATGAGAAGATTTGCGGCTATAATACATGTATGTATATACACACACAAAGATAAAGATAAGATGGTTAAATGCATGTTTTGTTGCTGGTTTGGATTTGGACTTGAATTTTAATTTGACACTTACCTTTCATATCACGATGAAGGACCTTATTCTAAAAGTGATGAAGCAAGTATTGTTTGATTTTTTGGTTTGTTTGAACTTGAGTATGCACATCTTATACTCATGTTTCTTGAATACATACAAAGTGAAGGTAGGCAGTGCCTTCCAGCAATTGCTTCATGTATGTTTTTATCTGAGGACGGCTGAGTCGTACGGAAGGATTATCGAGTAGACCAGCAAGATCGTGATCCATGTACGGGAATACCATATAGATACTACCCTGCTCTTTCCTTGCAGAGTCACCTAAACACACATATATATATACAGCAGAAAAGGTCAATTATTCTTAATTGATCTATATACTGTATAGTGTATATTCATACCAGTCTCAACAGCAATATCAGATAATGGAACAATATTCTTGTGTCGTAATTGCTTCAAAATCTTGATCTCTCTCATGGCTGTAATAGGAACCTGGATAGAAGAATTTGAAAAGGGATCAATTAAAAGAATATATATATATATGTATATATATATATGCATGTATGTATGTATGTATGTGCATATGTATGTATGTATTTATATAAATGTCATCGAATCAAATACCACTCTTATAAAAAATAAAATAAAATAAAAAGACAACTTACACCGTCTTTTTCATTGTGCATCAGAATTCTCTTGAGAGCAACAAGTTGACCTGTAACTTTATATCTCGCTTTGTGAACCTCACTGAAATACGAATTAGGGATCCAGAAAGAAGGAGGAGAAGGAGAACGAATAACGAAGAACGAAGTAGGAATCAGCATCGCAAACTCAAATAAATAACAAAGCACACACACGCACACACACACAGAGAGAGAGATAGAGATAGAGAGGTGTATATACATATATATACGAACACATGTATGCACATCCACACACATTCACACATTCACAGGAAAATAGATTCTAAAGGGGACTTTTTCTTCTTCTTCTTTTCTTTTCTTTCTCTTTACCCAAAAGTTCCTTCGCCGAGCTTTCCTTTCAAATCATAATCAGTAATTGGCGAACAGCCAGAAAACTTGTGTGTATGCTGAGAGACAGGTCTATGCGCTGGTGAAGACGAAATCGTAGACCATGCTGGAGAGGTTCCATTGCTGGGAGGTTCTACCGACTTTTCAATCCCTCTCCCTGTCTTTCTAAAGCGTTCGTCTGGCGCTTCGTCAGAAAGAGCTCTCTTCATGTGCAAAGTAGGATCGGTCAAGAAAAAAAAAAGGAAAGAGACAAGTCAAAATTGCCTTGATTACCAGAAAAGCAACGTCACTCACTAATGCGCTTTTCAAAATAAAATGACGCTGAATTAAAATAGTTTTTTTTTCTTCCTTTTCTTTTTTGCCTGTAGAATTTTATATTTTACATTGGTTTCTAAAGAAAACAAAAAAAACTGTCCGTAGCAAATACATAGTACATTCTTAATGTGATATATGTATATGTATATGTATATTTAAATGTATAGTTTGTTGAAAGGATGGTGTGTTTAGCTTCACACCAACAACAATAATAATAATAATAATTGTTTTCATTTCATTTCGACGGTTTTAATGAGGGTTTAAACACCAAGAATCTAGCTGTCACAATAACGCTGCAAATTTCATCAGTCAATTCAAGTGACACCAAAATATTGTCTTTTAATTTTATTTTTCCCTCTTTATTTTTTGGGGGAGGCCTTTATCCTCCGATCAAAAGTTGACATAAAATTAATGCCTACCAACAATACAACTCAAGACACCCAAAAGAGTGGTTGGGAAGAGTCGTGCTTGAAATTGTGCAAGCAAACAAAAGAGGACAGTGACCATGGTCAAGCTCCGGATTGTGTAATGATATGCCTGAGAAAAAAGGGTGTTGAAGAAACAAAAAATGAATCGAACGAGCCTATTGACGAGAATGTATATGCCGTCAACTTGTCTCGTTTCACTAATATGCTCAAAGGCTATTCTGTAAGAGTGGCCCGTGGAAGAGAAGAGTGTACTGAGACAAAAGGTAGGATTTTTTTAAAAAGAAAAAGAAGAAGAATATAATTGAAAATTAATCTAACATCTCATGTCATTGCATCTCATGTATGTATGTATGTATGTATGTATGCGTTTGGACAGAGCAAACTAGTTCACACACCAGCAAATCGAATAAGCGAGGGTATTGAAAAATAAAGCAAAAAATAACCTGCAATAGTAATACTGATGTTAATTTAAATAATAAATTTAATAATTATATCAATTGGTTTCTACAGATCAACTATTTATGAATTGGACCTTGACGAGAAATTATCAACAGCAAGTAAAACAGGTAAGATCCATGATAGTATTCAATATTATTATTGATAATAATAACAATAATTCTTTTTCTCTTCTTACACTTGTATTTTGCTTTGAATTTTTTTTAGCTGAACGACTTGTAAAAGAAACCGTGGATCCTGCTTACAAAATGTCAGTTGAGACGTTACAGGCATTAAAAGACAATGGTCCTCCAGCTGTTGCGACAATTTCAGCACAAATCCTAGAATCATTAAAGGACGGTTCGCCATCCTCTCTGTTGGAAAAACTTCCCAAAAATTTTGATGACATTGGAAAGTCCATTAAGGATCAATTTGGATTTCCATTCGATACAAATAATGACAAGGACAATGATAAAAAGTCAAAATAAATTAAATAATAATTTGTATATATAATATTGTCGTTGGTTTGCTAATCTTTAAAAATTTCTTATCAATTGTAATGTGTGTATATATATATGTACATATAGAAATGTATCTACGTATATATAAAGAGGCGAAGGATATAAAAGAAAATGATGTTTTTATATGTTATTTTTTATATATATATATATAATTACTCTTTCATGTACAATGTTCTCTAGACTACTTTTCCTTCAGGGTCTTCAACACGTATACTAGGCAGTGAAGCAGCTCTACTGGATGTTCGGGGTGGAACACTTGTTTTCTTAATTGCTGACTGCCGCATACAATCCTGCTTAACCATCTGGAATGCATTCAGATAAGTTACTACCATGTGATCTTCCAAACATGTCTTGGAAATCAAAACTTCTTCAGATATGAGAGGAGAGCTCTGGTGGAGAGTAAATGTGACGTCTCCATAGAGCGATGAGCTGGGAGGGTGTATGAGTGCTGGTTCAGAGTGACTGATGGGAATCTGGTGGGGTCCCTTGGCGTTAGTGTCGTTGACGGAAGATGACGCTCGGGGGCGAGACATAGGGGTAGCGACAGGTTTTACTTTTGGGAGGGGTTTGTTGGGTGTACGGCGGAATTGGAAGACACGACCAGGGACATACAGGAGTGGATAACGAGGCTCATTTGCGCGGTAGATTTCTTCGCGCCGGGTGTGGATGATATCAAAACAGGCCTTCTTAATTTCGGGATCAGAGTTAACCTTTGATGTTCCTCCCAAGCCATCAACTGCGGTCAATGCATCCATAATAAGCTCTTTGGCACATGTGGCCGTTCCGTACGACAGACGTGCGACCAGATCGTCATGGCACACAAAACTGTCGATGTATTCCTTGTATTTCTCTGAGATGTCAAGAGATACACTTGCTACGGGCGCATAGCTGTAGCAATGAACGTTGAATTCTGGATTTTGGGAAAGCTCTCGAAGCTCTTCGATGTGATCAGCTACCATCATGGTGAGAAGGGCAGCTGTGCCTGCACCAAGAGAGTGGCCAGTAATAATGAATGAAGAAACCGGGCGGGTCTCAGACATTGATTGGGTTGCTACATAATGAAATATGCTAGGAATAATGCAGGTAAAAAACCATTGGGCAGAAGCCAGCATGCCCGAATGGACTAGACCGCCCTTCCATGGTCGATATTCGCACACAAGGTCAGTAATGCAATCGTAAATACTCTGCAATGTATTTGAATATACGTGTATGTACATAACAATAAAGTAAAGGCTGTAATTAGATTTACTGCGTGTGTGCGTACATGTGTGTATATGTATGTGAATCACAAGCTTAAAAATATATAGATCCTCAAACATACCCAGGTACCACGAATGCCCAACACAATTGCCTCTCGTCCTCGATCAATAGAAACAAAGTAACTTGGTTGGAATACGGCACCTTTCCTGAGACCGTATTGGTAACCCAAAAGATCTTCAGAAGGAATCTTCAAGAATCTAACAATAGCTTCTTTGTTGGATTTCGTCTTCATTACATCTACAATAATTGGTTATTATTAGTATCGTCTTTTAAGCTTTCTTTTGGGTTTGTATTATATTAGATCCGGTTGATGACCACAGCTACTATTACTACTTTTTACTAACCTTTTAGGTATTTTGCATAGTCTCCCAAATAAGATATTCCTCGCCACCCCTATTAATAAAGCAGCCGGTTAATCACAACGGACAAACAAACAAACAAACAAATATTATACATATATACCAAGAGATAGCCAACACACTTCTAATCATAAACTCACATAGGCAATAATTGCATGTCCAAGATAATACGATGCATCGTCTAAGAATCGTAAATCCGTCACCTTTTCTGCTGGAGGAGGTCTATTTCGACTAGTATCAGTACCCTATCTCTTCTTCTTTTTTTGTCTGTTTGTTTATTGACTGCCGCGCACATACACATGCAAGTAATATAAGTATACATCATACTCTTCCTACCTGGCTATTTCTGAATAAAAGTTTTGCAGTAAAGACAATGAGCTCAAGAGTTGCAACCCAGTAATTTTGAATCCTTGACCCTAATTAACGCACATTAGACAATAAAAAGCATGAGTATTAGTATTAGTATCAGTATCAGTATAACAAGTAATAATAAATTAAGAAATTAAATGATTATCTACTTTGTTAAAAAAAAACTGGTTTTTTTTATTGCACTCACAAAAGCATTGCACATCTTGACAACAGCACGTAAAAGGGTTCTTGTCTGGGGACTTACAACCAAACCAATCATACGATCTAGACTTGGGTGGGATAAGGCAACTTCTTCAAATGTCTCGTTCATCCAGCTGATAGCAAAATTCTTGTCGCCGAACTTATAGCTCTTCACACTCGCCGAGTCCATCGAGACGCCGTCCTTTTCTTTCAGACCGGTATTTGAGTTGTCAACGTCGCACTGCGAGAATCCAAACGTATTCTTTTCAGACTTTTCTTGATGTTGGGGTATAAAAGGTAAGCCTCTAGACAGTTCTCCCTCCAAGCGCTTTTCAAATTCGATATTGATTGTAGACTCGCTTCTAACAGGACCACTGGGCGATCTTGATAGTACTCCGGTTAATGCAGCCGTTGGTTTTTCTAGGGTGACTCTGGCATCATTTACAAACACCAGGTTTGGTTCGATGGCGTCTCGGAAATCTTCTTGGCTACTGTTGTTGCTATGGCTATTATTGTTACTATGGTGATTGACGTTTGAAAGAGAGCTAAATGGATCGGTAGAATAGAGTGTGGAGCTGGATATGCTGCTGCTGCTATTGCTTGCTTGGCTTCTAGTGGAGGTGATTGTGCTTCGGTCAATGTGGCTGCTTGCAAAGCTCAGGGTGTCAAAGTCTCGGGATGGGTTATAGGAGAGATAGACGGGCGTCAGTTCGTCTGAGTGCAGGTCGGGAGGGTTCTGGAAAGCATAGCGAATGCGGATCTGAATTGACCCTATATAAGGTGTCATGGAGTGTCTACTGTGGCTAGGGTGCTGTCTAATTTCAAATGGCGGGAATTCATCTATGTTTTCTTCAGCGAACTCTTCGGTATCCTGGCTCTCCTGCGCCTCCTGTCCGTGCTCATGTTGACTTTGTTGCTGTGCTTGTGCTTGTGCTTGTGGTTGTGGCTGCGATTGTTGTGGGCGGGGAAGGTTGAACTTTGGCATATTTGGAAGAGTGGGCATGTGTGATTTGAGAAAGTTGTGGGGCAGCTGAATGTGGGCAGGGAGATAACGGCGTATATTGTATTCATACATCGGAAGAAAACTATAATCACATTTCCTTGCTTTAGCCCAAAGCCAGTGTATTCCAAGAAAAATACACATAAATACAAATGTGCTTCTATATCTACCTCTCTACCTCTCTCTCTCTCTTTCTGTGCGTGTGTACTTACGTGAGAAACACGTCTTCATGTCCTTTTATCTTTCCAAGTTTTAATTTAGCCTTTCCAATGTGCTTGGTTTTTGCTCTCCATCCTTTTCGCTTATCATACAAATCCAACTAGATATACAATAAAGAAAACAAAGCAGTAGTCGGCGTAGACTTTATCTTGTTACTATATATTTATAAACATACGCACAAAATACACACATATTGGGGTCTCCCTAACTATTATAGGTATCTCTTTCTACCCCTCTATATATCTATCTCTCTATACTTATCCCCTTCTTTATTTATCTCTTGATCTTACTTTTATTCTATCTATATATTTGCTTTGACTGTCCTCTTCTTTAATTGATCTCTTTCCGTAATCTCTCCTTCTCATCATCCCTCCGCCCAGCCCTCACTTCAACCCCCACTTCAACCCCTGTTTTCTTTTTCTTTTTTCTTTTTTAGTACCTCAATTGTATCAAATAGTTGATTGTGATACGAGACTGTGAAAATAAAGCCTTCGTTCCAATTCCCATTCTCATCCTTTGAGCGTGATGAGAAGTAGTGCTGAGAGCCCATACGCAGTCGCATTAATGGGCGTCTTACTTTTACATCTGAGCGAACATTGAGCAAATCAATCTATTTGAAACCTATACGAGATTAATAACTTGCTTTACACATGCATATTTGTATGTATGTATATATATATATATAACTATACAAGATTTATTTACATTCTATTGCATTATATTTTATTGTATTGTATTATACAAATATCACTAACAGTAACATCAAAAACAAGAACATCAAAAAAAGGGGGAGCAAAGGAAACTTGCCTGGAGTTTTCCTGGTGGAAGAGTATTGACTTGAAGAGCTTCTCTACGGGACCATTCTTCTTTGAGTTTGTGTAGATCTGGTACAGACAATCGTCTTGCTGGTAATGTCTTATTGGTGGGAGATTGCGGTACGGTTGGTTCGGGGAGGTTGAATTGGGCTGCAGATGGAGTAGATGGCAGCCGCGATTGTGATGGAGGTAGTTGACTTGACAACTCTTGTTGAGCTGTTATGATAGGCGCTGGATTTCCCATTCTTTATATATATATATATGTGTGTGTGTGTGTGTTTCTGTGTATGTATATATATATATATTAATATATCAATATATATTGATATATTGATATTTTTATATCTTGGTATATATATGTGTAGGCGTGAGCGTGTATATATATATATATTGTCGCTGTTGGGTCTATGCGTGTGTGTGTTGCCTGTATGGTGCCTATTGTTTTGAAGAAGAAGAAGTATATCTTTCTCTCTGTTGGCCTGCCTGTTGGACTATATCTTGTCTACTTGTTTGTATTGATATTTTTATTAGTATTATTTTGACAGAGTATAAAGTATAATAGTAATAAAGAATAAGAAGAAGAAGAAGAAGAAGAAAAGGGATAAAGCCTTGGCTTTGGGGCTGACGGCTGGGTATGCTATAAATCCCAATTGATCTCTACCTTTTTAGAATTAGTTGTCGTTGCCCTCTTGCCCTATAAAGATTTCTCACGTGTGGCGCTTGCTAAAAAAAAATGAATATCACCTTTTGGCTATGAATTTATTTTTATTTTTATTTTTTAAACTTTGTAATCTGCCTGTTTCCGGGGTGATCTGCGGCCCCAAATGTCTGGTGTACTTCTTTGTATTGCTGTGTATATTCCGTAGGCTTGTTAGAGAGATGTAAAGATGTACAAAGAAAAGAAAATACACAAGAATCCAGCAGCTATCAGATATTCATATATCACAATCCATAGATCGGATAGCAAAAAGAAATAGAAATCCAAGCCATTTCTATAAACGAATAAAAAAAAATAAGAAGTATAATACAAGGATCGGATATGTATTGCTTTACTCCAAATATAGATATAGATCTATGAGTATAAGATCATATAGAAGAAATTCAGTTTATGTATTTAGGACAAATATACATTTTTTGTGTTTGTTAAGCCTTGTTTTTATTTCTTTTTAGTACAATCATTCGGACACTACTTTTTTTTATATCAAGTACCAGACTCTTGAAAACTGACTCGGGGTCTAGTATCTAGCAATTATATCTGGTCCCTAACCACACACAGGATGCGTCTACAGGTGTATGTGAGTCTAATAGAAGATAGCTATTTTAACTTATATCCCAAAGAATTTTTATTCCCTGTAGTAGCAAAATAACTATAATATGAAGAAGGACTATACCTCTAGACACTACCAATATCTGTTCTGACTAACACGAATAATGAAATGTAGGTATCAGCCTATCCACTACATAATACTTAAAGCTAGTCAATTCTAACCTATGGCTGATAGGGAAAGAAACTTTGAGAATGAGTACACTGTATCACACAAAATACCTATTTATTTATTTATTTATTTATCGATAGAGTATGTACTCAAGTGTAGCAATAAGCCTCGCAAGAATGGTTTTGGTACATATGTTGTTTTAGGAAAGAAGTCTTTTCTTAGTCTTAAAGAATAGTTAAAGAGAGTGAGCAGCTTTTCTTTTCATAGGCAAAATCGATACTCGTCTTTTCAGAGACAGTCGATATATTCTTCTAAGCCATGCAATGTTGTACCGTAACCAAGCTGCTCTTGGTGTGGAAACTTCCGCACTTTCTTCTTTTTCTTTTTATCTAAAGAGCCAAGCACCCTTCCCGTACAATGTTTTGGTGGTTACTATACCCCATAGAAAGTTAAGCCAACACGGCAAGATTGAGTATGATTTGTCGTTGAACCATCAATATTTTTCTTTTTTTTTCAGCTAGTTCATTAGCCATGGGAATATTTTTGTTTATTTATTTTTACTTTTCAAAACAAAATGTTCCAAAACTCTCAAGATATATATATATAACTGTCACAAGACAAGTATGTTTAAGGGAGGATCTTTCAAAGAATATTCAATAAAAATCAGAGTATACCAATTACGCTGTAATACACGATAGAATAGACATTCATATATCCAAACTTACACCAACAGAATGAGTGTCTTGATCATAATTGCTCAGAAGAAGTATTTCGGAGCCCAGCAGAGAAAAATTGGGCGGTACTGGAGGAGGAAGGGTACAGGCCGGGTGGTTAGGCAGAATGTATCCAACATACCCCGTTGAGGCAATGAAAGGTACTCACCTTGTTCAATTATCTGTATCAGGCGAATTCTTATTTATTCATTCATATAGTATAAAGTATTTCCCAAAAGCAGCTGTCAAGCCCATCCTACTGCCCATCGGCATTTATTACTTGAAAAAAAAAGTACTTGAGAGGTTCAGCAATGACAAAAATTTCGCAACTTACTTGTATATTGGCACATAGTGTTTCACAGTTAGGTAACAAAAAAAAACAAAGACTTGTCTAGTGTAAGTCGCGGTAAGTATTAATCTTATTTCTAGAAATCCTTTCAATATTCAAAATCGACAAAGTGGTAAAAAGCAATATATCTTTTGGTAATTCACCAGCTTTCTCCGGGTATAAGTCAACATTGTTTCTGGATGATCTCAAAGTGTAGGCAGGCTCTTTTATTGGCCAAGTGCTTGGCGGTTTCATAGTACCTTTCAATCGAGCTACACGAAAAAAAAATTAGAGCTCTGGTACATATCCTCAAAAATGAGCTCCGTGACATTTAAGAGTAGAAAGTCTTGTTGTTGACGGGCTGGGAACTCTTTCTCATGGTATTTTCAAGTTGACTGATAATTGTATTAATGGTGGTAAGCAGACACCGATTTATCAAGGTATTGGAGCGAGCAATATTTCTTATATATCAAATATGTAAGCAGGCGAAAACTGGATTATCTATCAAAAATAATGGCAAGCTTATTTTTTATGTAGCCCATAAGATGGATTACAGAGAAAGCTGGTTTTGTCCGTTAGTCGTACTAGACAATGTAAGATCTTGGTGAACAGGACTATTATTGACAATACATTTGAAACAAACATACATATAAATGAAACCTGATTATCATTATCATTATCATTATCGTTATCGTTATTTAATTCTTTTTGATACTTACTATTTTACTTCCAACTCAACACTCATGCAATCTTTATTCTCCTAGGGACAGGCATGGGCCAAATTGAGGATTAATATATTGATTGACTTGATGAATACGTTTCACCTATAATCTATAGACAATGTTTACAGTAGCAATAAATGATCGTGACCATGACAACTGAATTGAATTGAATTGAATTTCCCAACAAGACTCTCTTTCATTTCATGTATCTACTATATTTATATTCATGAGTTTTGTTGAGAGATTTTTTGTACTTGAAATTCTCCCTGCTAATAACAAAATGAACAGAATCTTGACCAAAGGTTACCATACATATTATATTGTATTTTTTGTGTGTCTTGATATCAACCAACTCAATTGACTGTAATCTAAACTAACTAGTTGTAGCTAATGGGTTGACATTTGAATTTCTTATATTGAGAGAACATACAAATATATATATATATATTTTTGTATTATATATATATATATATATATTATTTACAGTACCAAAAAAAATAAAGAAAAAAAATTATAGAGTACTAATTTATATTTATATTTATGCTATATATTATAAAAAATATTTACAAAACGTTGACGTTTCCGAGATCCTGGCAAGCCTCCTCGACGCGCTGTTTCATGGTGAGTTCAGCGGAACGGATGAAGACACGGGGATCGTAGTACTTCTTGTTGGGCTTACCCTCGCCCTCGGGGTTACCGACCTGGGTCTGGAGGTAGTCCTGGTTCTTCTTGTAGAAGTCACGGAGACCGGTCCAGTAGGCCCACTGGGTGTCGGTATCGACGTTCATCTTGACAGCACCACCGGCATTGACGGCAGTGTTAATCTCATCCTTGGAGGAACCAGATCCACCGTGGAAGACAAAGAAGACGGGCTTGGGGTTTGATGAGCCGATCTGCTCGGCAACAAAGGCCTGGTGCTTGGCCAACAACTCGGGGTGGAGCTTGACGTTACCGGGAGCATAGACACCGTGGACGTTTCCGAAAGCAGCAGCGATAGAGAAGTTCTCGGTGATCTCGGAGAACTTGGAGTAGATCTCGTAGATATCCTCGGGCTGGGTGTAGAGGGAGGCGTTGTCGACATCCTCGTTGTTCACACCATCTTCCTCACCACCGGTAATACCGATCTCCATCTCCAACCAGCAGTTGATCTTGGCCATGCGCTCAAGGTACTTGAGGCAGACCTCGATGTTCTCCTCCTTGGACTCCTCAGAGAGATCCAACATGTGAGAAGAGAAGAGGGGCTCACCGTGGGCCTTGAAGTACTCCTCATCGGCAGCGAGCATACCATCGAACCAAGGCAAGAGCTTCTTGGCGCAGTGGTCAGAGTGGATGACAACGGGGATACCGTATGCGGTGGCGACTGTACGGACGTACTACAATAGATTTTAATAGAATAGTTGAGAAAAGAGATTGTTCGTGATTAAACCCAAATAGAGTAATAATAAAAAAATTTAAAAAAAAAAAATAATTTTAAAATTTCCCAACAATTCCCAACAATCACAGATTGTATATAATAAATGTATGTACACCCTCACTCAAACCCAAAACCATCGTTACCCTCGTCAATACCCATGCTGTAACCAGATACAGACTATATGTACTATGTTTTATATAATATTCTTACCTGTGCACCAGCAACGGCACCAATGATAGCGGCTTCCTGGTTCTTGTTGGAAAGACCCTTACCGGCAACGTAGGCAGCACCACCGTTGGAGAACTGGATGATGATGGGAGACTTGATGTCGCGAGCAGCTTCAAGAGCAGCATTGACAGTGCTATATAATAATAGTTATAATGTTAATATTTAATACTAACACATATATCTTGGGAATATGGTTTGGTATTGAAATAATAATACATTGTGCATTGTACATTGAACACACAGGCACTTTCGTTTGTCTATGCCGTCATGTTCATAATGAACAAAATACCATCCCCAACCCCCAAATATCTCTTCCTTTTTGACGGAGATTAGATGGATTGGCAGGACATTTTTTTTTTAAAAAAAAAGAAAAAAATTCTTTCATAATTCTCCCGCATAATTCCATAATCACCCATAATTATAACTACATATGCAAAACGCGTTGTCTTGTTCTGTGCGTATGTGCATGGTTGCATGCATGTACAATGCACAATGCACAATGCACAATGTACAATGTATAGCTTATATTAAAAGGGCTTTGATTTACCTGGTAGATGTACAGTTGATAGCAGGGATGGCAAACTTGTGCTCACGAGCTATACATTAAATATGATAATAAAGGTTTGAATTAATTATCGATATGAATATATATATATATAATATAGACATTTATATTGCTACGGGTACTTTACCATAGTCGAACAACTTGTAAAGGTTCTTGCCAGTGACAACACCAGCGGGGACAATATCGAGGACACCCATTATGATTGTTAATAAAGAAAAATTAATGTAATGGAAAGAAGTAAGAAAAGAGTTGAAGAAAGGAGATGTGAATCTTTGGGAAAATACAAGCTTTATTTATGCTAATTTTTTTTATATTAGATCTATTGTAGTTATAGAAAAGGATATTAAAATTCACATTGCATCATCATCAACTGATAAGAAACTTTTTTATATTTTGAATGAATGAATGAATGAATTATACTACACTACGCGCAGACACACACACAAAGAGAAAATAATATATTTAAATAACAGTAATGATCGTTACTGCAATTTACACATATTATATATATATATATATTTATATAATATATATAAAATTATAATAAGAAAAAAAAAATACTAGTCTAATATCAAATAGACTACTGGGAAAATAAATAAATATATATAAAATTTAATTTCTATGCAAGTTTTATATACGCTTGAACTTAGACTTTACACTATAAACAATATACCCTTTTTTTTTTATACATAATTATTATAGTGTAACTTACGTATCTACACATAGATTTCGTCACTAATTGAAACAAAGGTTGTTCTCCGAAATAAAAATATGTGTGTGCACCCTTTCTTTTCTCTCCTCTCTTGCAATTTACTCGGGCACCTTTCTGGAACCATATAATACAAAATATACACATTTGTGCCAAATTACTGCACGGATAATTAATAATTATTAATTTTGAACAATGTAGTTTTTAGCTTGGCACAAAATATGTATTCCTACTTCTTTCTGTATATATATATATATAATATAGATAATTCAACCAAAGAAATAAGTGTATATACTCGATTGCTTATCAATAAATAGAATTAAATCAAAATATTACTTGAACTTTCATTTGCTTTGTTCAGAAGACAGGTGATAATATTATATACTTATCTTTGGTGAGATCTAGTGCAACAAAGCGCGCAATTCAAACCAAAAAGAAAAACGACCACTTTCTTTGGTTTTTATTAATATTAAATTGAATTTATTACATATATTTGTTTATTCTTGTTCTTGTTCTTGGATTTTATTTTTATTTATTTTTATTTTATTTTTTCAAGGCATTTATGATACACATGCGATTTTGGAAATGAAGGGAATGCGCAAGTAAAACAATAATAATAGTAGTAATAGTAATAATATAAAAATAATATAAAAATAAAATAAAATTAATTCTATTACGGCAAACGAGAAACAAAAGAGGTTCGAAATCAAATAACAGCAAAAGGGGGAGAAGGATAAGAGTAGAGTTGAGTAAAAGTTGAATGATTGAATTGAATTGAATTGAATTGAGTTGAATTGAATTGAGTTGAAGGATAATGAAAAGAAAGGAGGGGGATATGGAGTAAAAATAAAATAAAGAATAAAGAAGAAGAATAAGAAAATACTTATGATACTTGGAACTGGGGGGATTCAATTGCTGTTCTTCTTTCTTTATCTTTTTAACAAGCATAGCTATTACATATGCAAAATATTATATTGAGTTATGTTATGCCATATTAGCAAAGGGTTTATATATTTTAAATTGATTTATATATTCAAAAAAAAATTGCCTACCGTTTTGTCCATTCTCGTGCCACTCGATCATGTTCTTCACGGTCAGTCAAGTATTCCTGTGCAATACTTCCTACCAAAGGATCATCTAATTGCACATTCAGAGACAAATACATAAAAATTGAAAACAAAAATAAATAAATGTCAGTCACTGTAAATTCAATTCTATCTTTGTCAATTATTTTTGTTTTTTTTTGAGGTAATAATAATAGTAATAGTAGTAATTGCGGTAATCCGTTGTCAAGGTGATTGATTCACTTACGAGGATTAGGGTCAGTCAAGAGAGAGCAAATGGATAGCAGGACTTTAGAAATTGTCAATGCTGGCGACCAATTATCCTTAAGGATATCTAGGCAAATAGCTCCTTGGCTATTGATGTTACAATGATAGATACGGGTTCTGAATACAACCTAATCATTATCAATATTAAGATATTCATATTCAATTGATTAGAATCAATCTTTTGGTTTATCAAAGTATATACTTATTCTTAGTCTTATTTGATTATTACCTTTGGTGGCTTAAAGGGATACTCTTGAGGAAAGTTCACATCCAAAAAGAAGATTCCGGATGCATAAGGTGATCCAGCAGGTCCAGCAATTGTGGAGACCCAATCATAAAGATTGTCACCCTTGGGTCCAGCGCTATAATAGAAGTTCCTTGTATTACCAAAATCTGTCCCTCCATACCACACCAACATCAACACCCCTTGCACCTTGCACTCTTTCTTCTTCTTCTGTATCATCACCATCAATCGTATTCGCTCATTCATTTTATTATTATTATTATTATTTTGCTTACCTGCAGTTTGAAGGAGGGTCAAGAGAAATCTCGGCAAGTTCCTTTGAAATTCTGTATCATATATAAATATAGTTTTAAAGCAATTTATTAGTATATATTTACATATATATTGAAGCAAACATACTACAAAAATTCATACTCATGAAATAAACATCCCCTCCTATCTATATTTCTATCCACCTCTCTATCCATACGTTCATCTATTGATCTATCTGTCCAGCTATTTTTTTATATAAATCAAAACTAACCTTTTGGCACTGCTGCTGAGAGATCTACCGGCGTCTTTCTTCTTTGATTGCGTTTTAGGTGTAGGAGACGAGACAGCAGCAGAAGGCAAGGGACGATTCACAGGTGTGGATACCTGATTAGAAGATTCTTCGCTGGCAATTGGGGATTCAGCTGCGGGCGCGTTGGAGGAAGATTGACTTTTGCGAGTTGCACGTGTGGAGCTCATTGATGTAGATGACTTGCAGGAACAAAAGATAATCCAAATAGAAATAGATAGAAAATGGGAGGATCGTGTTGGTACCCAAGTAAAGATAGTAAATTCACAAACGATCTATACCTTTTTATTTACTATTTGTTGTTGAATTTATGGAACAAGAAGAAAGAAAGCAAAAAAAAAAAAATCAAAAAAAAATGTGTCGACAGCCAGAGTTAGAGTCAAAAACTTCCTTCACCACAATTTGAACGTCCGATCGAAATAGCTAAATACACCATTTTTTAACAGTGACGCAGCTCTTTTTGTTTTTGTTTGTTTGTTTAAATGTCCGATAAAATACAGAAAATCAAGTTCAATTGAATAGACCATACTCTTGTATATGTAGCCACTGTGTATGAGTTATATATACATCTATACATATAAATTTCAATCAACATAACTGAAAAATATATAATTTAGCTTTACATCTATAGTCTATGGAATAATCTCAAGCTATGTATAGAGAGGGGTGGTCAGTAACGATCTTTTCTTTATTTTTATTTATTACAGCTTTGACAGGTATACAAGGTTAAAAATAATAATTAAAATCAACTATATAAAAATTGTAGTCCAAGCCTATTGGACAATGTTAAAATAAAGAACTTGAACTCAGCCATTTCCTTTTTTTTTTGTTAAAAAAAAGAAAGGTGCACAGACAGTAGTGATTGAATATGGTTTTTCAATTGAAAGAATGTATATATATGCTCTTATACGCTTATACTAAAAAGAATCAATAAGCATTGAAATATATTTAAATTTGTGCTCTATTAAATACTAAAAAGGTTAATTTACTCGTAAAATCCAAGTCTAATTCTATATACAATCTTTAAGAATCCAGGTACAGGAATTATGCTTGTTCATATTAGAGTCATATAAGCACACAAACTCAAAGATAAGCACGTACATACCTAGGCACACACACATATTCAAGTATCACAAATAGCTCTTAAAATTTTATTATCAAATATGTATAACTAATCATAGGCTATTGTTAATTATCCTATATTTATTCATGATAAACTCTTTAAATACTTGTAATTAAAAATCCAATCCAATTCGATTCAATTCAATTCAATAATTTAATTTAATTTAATTTAATTTACATATAGCATTGACTCTTTCCAAATGACAATATCAATGCATTTCATATAACCAAATACTTTTCTTAATAAAACAGGCTTCCATAATTTATTAAGAAACTCTGGGCCAAATACAAACGTATGCACACATTTTTATGTATAGTTCTTATATCAGTACACTTATTAAGTCCAAGAGTTCTTACTGATATATTGAAAGCTTGCCATGTATAATGTTTTATTTTTGGATACTGAAGACTAGCTCTAGATCAAGTTAACTCTTTTGATGAAATCAAGACATATTATTTCCTTCCGAGGCCCAATTGGAATTTGAATAAATCAACCTCATATTAAATATTATTTCCTGATAAATCGTATTGCAGACAAACACGTCAAAACATACACACATACATTGATATATATATATCAAGATATATTTGAAAATGAAATAAGAGAACAGGCAACCAACCTCAACTATACTTTTCGCATAAGAAAACCAAAGAATTGACCACAAGGTGACATCATAAATGGTTGTGTGTGACGGGTTTCTTTGGCGCGCCGCAAAAAAAATCGAGGTTCTTTGTTGGAAGTTGAACACAGCGGCTTGCTTTTTGGATTACGCGAGAACCTCACCTCTTCATAACTCAATCGCTCTTACTTTATTCTTCTTATTTTTCTTTTTTTTTTTTCTAAAAGAAAAGAAAGAAAGAGATTAATTCTCTATTGTAATGCAAAGAGACGCATACAAGAAAGGGTTCACATTATAAGTATACTTTCCAAACTTCATTAACCAACCACAAAGTCCTTAGCTCATTAGTTAATCCTTTCATTCATTTATCTATTCATTCTCTCATTCCATAATTGGCTGACGATTATTATTTCACTTATTATAATTATTTATTTATCTATTTCTTTTTTTTTTTGGTCACCTTACGAGTCATGAACGCTTTGTGCTGGAAGTTGATCCAAGCCGTCGCATCCTCCATGTAAGCGAAGCTTATAATAACAGTAGCTTGTACATCAATCACTGTATTTCATCCCCTCCTTCCTCTCCTTTTTCTTTCTTGTTCTTGTTCTTCTTTTTACTTAAATAAAGTATTGTTCATGTATGTTCTAGGGCTCAGCTGAGCTTACCATTCAACCACTGCACAGCAAACTAAACAGCATCCGAATCAATAGCCGGCATTGTCGTATGTAGAACGAACGAACGAAAAAAAAAACAAGCAACCAAACGATATATATATATATATACTTGCAGATTAGCGCTCACAAATACTGGATAAAAAGAAAAGAAGAAAAACCTTCTTTGAAAGCTTTACTAACTTTATTAATTTCTTTATAATGTACAGAAATCTTGAAAACATTTGTGAATAATGTTTCGGTGGATTTTACTCATTCAGACGCTGTTTCAGAATTGACATTGGGACCAAACACAACAGTTGCTCATCACCAAGTTTACAAAAGTCGATACTTAAATGCATTGAGAGAAGCAGATGAGGGGGAGTTGTTGATCAAAATACCAGAAGACAGCATTAAACAGGTAACGATTTATGCGTGTGTGTATGTGTTTATGTTTGTTTGTCTGTTTGCTTGTTTATGTGCTGATAAAATAATGAATACACATTCATATGCATATACATATATCTATATATCTATATTGTTTTGTTTTGTTGAGTGTAGATGACAGAATCAGAAGCACAAATGATTAGCAACGATATTTTTCTACACAGTCATGCAGGTTGGTTGGTTAATTAGTTGGCCAGCTGGCCGGTTGGCCGGTTGGTTGGTTGGTTGGTTGTTTGCTTATTTTTAGAGTGGAAGGAGAGAAATAGAAATAGAGAAAAATAGGATGTGAGATAAACAGATAAAGAGAGTGAGAGAGAGGATTTATTTATTTTTTCATCTAAAAAAAAACTGTAAATAAAATCAAATAAAAAATCAAAGTAAAGCAAAGCAAGAACAAAAGAGAGTACATATCTAAACTCAAATGTGCGTGTGTCATCTAGAGTTACAAGACGACGTTACTATTGCTGAAAAAGCACCCACTGCTCCTACGGCTGTACCAGCACCATCATTTGCACCCCTTGTAATTCGGGTCGATTATATACTTGATCACCCCAAGGCTGGTGTTGTGTTTGTTGAACCAGACGATGAAGTAGCACCTTATGTAAGTCCACATATACATTTATATATACATACACATGACTTATTTGTAATGGTTTATAAAGCGCCACAGCCATATATATACCGTAAATCAACCACTTCCTGGAGCAACCCGCGCATGGTTACCATGTATCGACAAAATTTCAGAAAGATGTACTTGGGAAATGGAATTTGTAGTGCCACGTCGAATGAGCGGTGTTACGGGTGAATACGATACAGAGGGAGTATTTGAAGAAGAAGAGGACGCAACTGTGGTAGTTTGCAGTGGCGATGTTGTAGAGCAGGTAATAAGAAATAAGGATTGCGTACAAATGTTAAAAAAAAGGGGGGAAATGGAAGAAAAAAAAACTGAGAAGAAGATTTGTGTATGTGTGTGTGTGTACGAATTTTTAGGTTGTCCATCCTCTAGATCCTTCAAAGAAAATTGTGCACTACAGTTTGTCTGTACCTACCGCAGCACCTTTTATTGGATTCGCTATTGGCCCTTTTGAAATGATAAAACTGTCGCCATCACAACTCCAGGAAGAAGTGTTAAATGCAGCCGATTTGGATGAAAATCAACAACAGAGTCTGATGGCTGAAATTAACATGATGTCTAACATCTATGCATTTGCGTTGCCGGGGAAGGAGGAAGAACTGAGCGTCAGCTGTAGTTTTCTTATGCATGTAGGGGTTTTACTATTATTGTTATTATTATTATTCTGTATCTATTTATTTTGTGGCGGATTGAATATGAACTTTTTGTGTGTCTGTAAATTTAGGCTATGCATTTCTACGCACAAGAATATGGATCCTACCCATTCTCTGATTTTAAAATGGTTTTTGTCGAAGATGCTTGGAATGAGACGGCTTCTTGTGCTTCATTAGCAATTTGCAGGTACGAAATAGTCAGGGTTATTGTTACTGCTTTGTTGTGTGCGACTCTTGCATTTATGATTTGTTATATATATATATTTATCTAGTTCACATCTCCTTCATCCCGCAGATATCATTGACCAGACATACCACACCAGGCAGGCACTGAGTTTGGCACTTGCAAGGCAGTGGTTTGGTATTCACATTACCCAAAAGTCTTGGCCTGATACTTGGTTGGTTTGTGGTTTGGCAAACCTAATATCTTCATTATTTATCAAACGTCATCTGGGTAATAATGAATATCGACTAAGACTGAAGCGAGTAAGTGCTTACAGAGGAAATTACACTTAGAGACAAAGGAACAAATAGAAAGATAAATAGTGTGTGTGTGTGGGATCGAAAAGAAACTGATGTTGTCTTTTGGTTGTGGTGATAGGATATGGAATTATGTTGTGCACTTGATGTGAACCGCCCACCTTTGTATAATCCTGCATTACCTTCTCCATTGGATCCAGAGGATCTTGACTTTTTGGAACTAAAGGCACCCCTGGTTTTGTACATGCTGGACAAGAGGATGTGTAAGGGTGGTGGCACTCTGGGTCTTTCGCGTGTTCTACCAAAGATTCTTGTGTCAGCCATGAGTGGAGAACTTGTTCAGAACGCCATCAGCACTCATTACTTTATGAAACTGTGCCGAAAAGTCAGTGGATTTGATACAAAGACCTTTGCAGATCAGTGGGTCTATAAGAGTGGCTGCCCAAAGTTTGGATTCAATTTCCACTTTAATCGTAAGAAGATGGTGGTTGAGATTTTTATGCGTCAAGAAAACACAAATACGGTAATCGGTACCGGCGAAAATTCGACAAGTCTGACAGCAGACGGAGGAGCAATCAATTTCCAAGAGCTTGTCACACCTCTGTTTACTGGAAATTTAACAGTGCGTATTCACGAAGCAGACGGAACACCTTACGAGCACATCTTGGATATCCAATCCAGCAAACACAAATTTGAAGTCCAATTCAACACTAAATACAAGCGTATTAGAAGAAACACAAAACGTTTCTTGGCTAAGCAGGCCGCTGCAGCTGCAGCCGTAGCAGAAGAGGAGAATGAAAATGAAGATGGCGATGGCACAACAAATGTGTTGGGAATTATACCTAGTTTAGGATTGGGTATGCCTATATTCGAGGATCCTCAGCAGCGACAGGACTGGAAGATTATTGAGTGGGGACAGGACGAAGAAGACACAAGTGGAGCAGCAAGTGCGATGTTCGATTGGATCCGTCTGGACGCAGAGTTTGAATGGCTGAGTGTGTTCGAATTCCAGCAGCCGGATTATATGTGGGCAGCGCAATTGACAAAGGACAGAGACGTTGTTGCCCAACACGATGCAATCGGAGCTCTTAGGCACATGCCATCATTACCTACATCCACTAGTCTTTTGAGAGCACTGTTGGATCCGAAATGTTTTTACAAGATCCGCATGGAGGCAGCCTACGCCCTCGCTACTTGTGCCATCCCTAGCCTCGACTACACTGGACTTCATCAGTTAAACAAAATGTTCCAGAAGCGCTATTGTTTCCCAACCGGAAATTCACTCATGGAAATCGACGACGAAATTCCTCTTAGCCTCGCAATTCCAAAGCCAAACAACTTTTCAACCTTACCGGACTACTTTATCCAAAAAGCAGTTGTAATCGCGTTCTCTCAAGTACGCGACCAACATGGTTTGGCCCCTATCAAAATCCGTCAATTCTTGCTTGATCTCCTAAAGTACAATGACAATATCAGCAACGAGGTAAATAATTTACAGTAACGATTTCTTTTTTTAAAAAAAAACATTATCATTATCATTATTTATTTCTTCACAATGTATATATATCAAACAAAAAAGCTAGTATGAGGTTTTAACCTTTAAACGGAACCATCTGTAGTTTTCAGACTGCTACTATGTAGCCACACTTATCTCTGCTGTTGGAGATTCGGTAATACCGTCGCCAGATGTTCCAGATGCCCTTCAATTTGATGATATTGAGGGCGAACAATTATTGACTGCAGTCAAGGCAGAAATTGAACGTTTCCGTACATTAGATTATGTGATCCCTACATATCACAACGTTGTTACCGTAGCTTGTATCAAGGTAAGTTTCATCTCCTTTTTTGTGGAACACAAGTAAGACATACTCACTTCTTCTTCCCTAGACGATGACAAAACTGGCACTAAATAACCTAATGGATATTAATATCGGTATTCTTTTACATTACACAAGGTAAAAAGAAAAAGAAAGAAAGAAAGAAAGAAAGGCAGCTTCTCCAAAAATGAACATTTTCACATGCTGTGCACACACATCATTCATTTACACACGTCTTTTCTTTTACTTTTTTTTTTCTTTCTTTTAACTCTAAAACAGATATGGAAATTTCCTTGAGATCAGACTGGCAGCATTTGATAGTCTTTTTGTGCTGTGTGGACTTACTGATAATGCCTTGATCCAGTACTTCTTGAGTGTCATTAACGATGATCCATGCGTTTATGTGTCTCATTATGTCGCACGGGCCATGCTGGCGTGGTTGGGACTTGCGATGCGCGAAAGAGCGGATATTCCGCACGGTCGATTTGTTGAAGAGTTTGCAGAAGAGGAAGGAAAAGTTGCTATCGACGATGACCGCCAACCGTTTGGGAAAACGCCCCAACAGGAGTTCCAGGCGAGCGTAGAGCATTTGCGAAAACGATTCGAAAACAATACACAGCTTCAGCAAAGACTCTGGGAACTTCTCAAGTAAGGAAGAAAACTTGAAACCAAATATGAGCTGCTTACTAAACCAAAAACCAAAAACCAAAAAACTAATCTGCCTTGTATTTTCTTTATATATATAATAACTACCTTAGCTCAACTGAATATGCAGAGTTGGATTACTGTATTCGAAAATACCTTTTACAGTTTTGTGAATACATGTACAAACCTGTAGATGTTGGCCTAAAAGTTACAATCCGTGTACCAACATTACCGGTAAGAGCCCTTTTTTTTTTACAAAAAAAAATAGTCAGAAAAGGCAAATTATACTTTGACGATAACATCCTCAATATCTTCTGGTACCATTTTTTTTTTTTGGTTTTGGTTTTGGTTTTATAAAAATAAAAGGCACAGGATCTTTCAGACGATATTCAAGAATCAGAAGCACCACCTGCGCCTGCAATTCTCCGTATCAGTAAACCAAAATCTTCGCAACCACGAAAAGATGTAGATAGTAAACACGATACAGTCAAGTCAAGACCACCATCTGTGCACTCGTCAGAGAACCCGAAACCCGCCAAGAAATCAGGTTCCAAAACCGTGCACATCAAAACCGAGCCAACAACGATTGAGCACCCGTCATCCGCCTCTTTACCCGTCCCAACACCAATGCCAGTGCACAAGTCAGCACCCACATCTGCACCGGTGTCTACACCCGCAATTACTCCCACACCCGCACCTGCGCGACCCGCTTCAGTTTCTGTGCGTCTGCCTGTTCCACCTCGTCAGCCTTCACCTAAACCTGCGGCTGTGCCAGTGCCAGTGCTGGCTGTCGAAACACCTGTGGCGCGACCACAACCAGTCGAGCAAAAATCGACGCCGTCTATTCCAAAGGTTACCATCCGAAAACCCGAAGGCATGTCGGGAGAGGAAACCAAACGATCGCGCCGTGTTCTCAGCAAACTGCTCAAGCATCGCGCAGCACTTCCGTTCTTACAACCTGTGGATGAGACGCTTGACGGTGCTCCGGGATACTATAAGATCATAAAGTAAGTGTTACGAAGATCGAACTGAATATAGACTAACACGCCATGATCTACTCGCGTGTTAATCAGGAGACCAATGGATCTCAGCAGTGTAAAGGTAAAATACAAATACAAATACAAACACAAATACAAACACAAAAACAAAGGAACAATTCGACCACAAGAAAACCAATGTAATAATAAACTTATAATTTCTTTATTAGAAAAAACTTGACAACAAACAATATACTTCATTCCGTCAGTTTGAAGATGATGTCCGCTTGATGTTGAGTAATTGTTTTGCCTACAACGGACCTGGAACCTTTGTCTACAATGAAGGACAGGCACTTGAGGTAGTGCTTGAGAAAGAGCTGTCTCAGATCAAGGGCAAAGAGCACGAAGAGACTCAAAATATGACGATTGTCGAGAACCCAGTTAAACCTGTAAAACCACCGATCATGAAGCCTCCTCAAAGTGTGAAACCGCCTCAGAGCGTGAAACCTTCGCAAAGCGTGAAGCCTCCTCAGAGTGTAAAACCTCCCCAGAGTGTCAAGCCTCCTCCTCCCCAGAGTGCAAAGCCTGTCCAGAGTACCAAACCTCCCCCGAGTACCAAACCTCCTCAGAGTACCAAACCTCCTCAGAGTGTCAAACCTCCTCAGAGTGTCAAGCCTCCTACGAGTGCAAAACCTCCTCCGAGTGCGAAACCCTCGAGTGTGAAGACACCTCCAAGTACAAAAATACCCCCAAGTGGTGGTGCGCCTGTACGAGCACCAACTCCTTCAAGACCACCAACTCCTTCACCAAGGCCTGTCTCCACTACACCAAGACCAGTGCCTACACCACCAAGACCTGCGGCTGCTTCACAAAGACCATCTACTGCTCCACCAAAACACACAACTGCATCCCCAAGGCCTTCTTCGTCTACCGGATCAACGCCGCCTAAACCTACTCCACCTACTACCTATACACCACCTCCAGTTAAATCTGCTGCATCTTCTACACACACACCTGTGCCACCAAAGAAACTAGATAAACCAGAAGGCCCAAAGACTATGAAGGAAAAGATGATGGATGTACTGATGAAGGCTATGGAATGCCGACACGCGTTCGAATTCTTACGACCGGTAGATCCTGTAAAGCAAGGTGTTCCACACTACTTTAATATCATCAAAACGCCTATGGACTTGAGTACTATCAAGACCAAGCTACAAAAGAACCAATACAGCCATCCACAACAACTCGATGACGATGTGCGCCTTATGCTTCGTAACTGCTTCACCTTTAATCCTCCAAACACTTATGTATATAACGAGGCCAAGCAGCTTGAAGAAGTTTTTAGTACTGCTTATAATGCATATTTTGGAAACACTCGTCGAACTTCGGTCGAGGTTTCTAAAGAGAAGCCAGTTTCTGCACCAGTTTCTGCACCAGTGCCTGTACGTTTGTCTGCACCTACACCAGTGTCTGCACCAGTAAAAGCACATGCACCTTCGCCTACGCCTACTCCTACGCCTATACATACACATACACAACATACACCTACGTCTGCACCTGCACCTGTATCTGCACCTGCACCTGTATCGGCACATGTACTGACACCCACATCAGCAACAGCAACACCGACACCAGCATCAGTACCAGAACTTACCGTCAAGATCAAGACTTCTTCCTCATCATCAATTTCTTCTACCTCCTCTTCTTTACCATCTGCAGCCATGACACATTCTTCTTCAGAAAAGCACAAACACAAGGTGTCTGATGCACACGACTCAAAGACAACGACTCCGACCAAACACCAAAAACACGACTCCTCAAATAGTAGTGGGATGGGCAGATCCGACAAGCCCAAATCGTCTAGGCCCAAATCGTCTTCAATCCAGGCTGTCATGGATGGTAATAATCTCAAACGTTGTGATCGTATTTTGAAAAAAGTGTGGCAACATCAGGCATCCCAGCCATTTTATGAACCAGTGAGTTTACTGATCTCCATATACATATGCGTATACATATGCATATGTATATGCATATATTAAGATGGCAAGAATAGAATTAAATATATTGATGTATTTTTTAGGTTGATGCAGTAGCACTAAATATTCCTCAATACTACGAAGTTATCAAGGTACATTGGATAGTCTTGTATGTGTGGTATAGATTGGTATTAAAATAAACAAATATATTAGAGACCTATGGATTTATCGACAATACGAAACAATCTCGAAGACGGAAAGTATAATACGATCTGGGAAGTTGAGAAAGATATCCGACAAATCTTTTGGAATTGTTATCTATTCAACGATGCTGCTTCTTGGGTTGCTCAACAGGGCAAAGCACTAGAGTCCTTTTTCAATCAGATCTGGGCAGCTGAATTTGCTGAGCCAAATGCGCTTGCGGGTGAAGACAAACGGATGGCTCAACAGATCATCAGTAAACTGATGCTGCATGATGCATCACCGCTGTTCAATGAACCTGTAGACACTACTCTGATACCCGACTATCGTAAGATTGTGCGAACGCCAATGGACCTTCGGACGATCAACGAAAAGCTCGAGTCGGGCAAATACACGAGTGTTTACCAAATGGATGTCGATATCCGATTGGTGTTTTCTAATTGTTTTGCGTACAACAGTTCTGGAACGTATGCTTATGAACAAGGCAAGCGACTTGAGAAATACTATCAAAATGTTGGCAAGAAATTCCGGGCGCGCGCAAAGGAAACTGCACCACACACATCACAGACATCACATACATCGCAATCACAGCACACACAGCACACATCGCACACACCAATACAGTCAGCCGTAAAGCGAAAACGGTCTCGATCACCTTCTCCAACTGGGCATGAACGATCACCTGCAAAGCGAATGGGTCTTTAGAAGCAACAAATAACCACTAAATTGAAGCATCAACACCTTTTGTTCACCAAATCTCTCGCTCTCCTTTTATCTCTCTTTCTCACTCACTCACACACACACTCTCTCGCTCGCTCGCTTTCTCCTTGGCAAAAATAAATAAAATAAATACACAAAGACATAACTAATACAGCATTACAAAATGAACAAATGATATATATATAATTTATAATTTTTTATTATATTTTGTTTGGTTGGTGTTTATATCTTCGCTCTGTTATACATGGATAGGACAAAATTAATCCAAAAGGTTTACAAGAAACCTTACCCACACCTGACAAAAGCGTTAAGGAATGAGCTTCTCACAGTACTTGAAAGTATTCTAATAAGAAGAGTTTAGTAAATATATGAAACCCGATTAAGATGACTTACGTGATGGACAACATTATAGAACAAACAAAAAAAAATCTGCAATAATGTTTATTCTAGTGACGAGTATTATGAAGTGATGACGTATAGAATGGGTCTGCGCACAGACCTATTTTAAAAAGAAAAAGAAAAAAAAATATCTGGTCCGGGTCTACTCTGTTTTTACATTTACACTTGGTTATAGAATATATATATATATACGCACATCTTCCCGCCCGTCTACACACATACAAATACACACTTAATTATATATTAATATTAATATTAAGATAAAATAAAAATAAAAGTAATCTTTGAGAAACAATAAAGCACATATTAAAAGCGTGTAATTTATCGTTGCAGCAACCCTGATTATCATGCTCCTTTGATCGTTAAACTTTATTGAGAACACAAGCTAAGCTTTAAGGATTTCAAACATAGATAGATATATAAACTGAAAAAAAAATACAAGTGATTGTTATTCTACAAACTTGACTAACCAGTATTTAGTAACTAGAAATATCAATTTGAAATACTCAAAACAAAATTATTAGAAATCACATGGAATTCAGATTTGACTTTCATGTTTTTTTTGGGAGTTCTTTAGAGAATCTAACATAGTTCTAATTTTGTACATGCGAAAGCAAGGGTCTGTTGTTAACACAAGTACAAAAATGACGCATAACTCAAATAGCTGGTACTATGTGTAGAAATTCAAATGAGTTTTCTATTTTATTTCAGAGATGGAGATAGATATGGTTGTTATTTCTTGAGCAATGTAAGGAATATATCAGTCGATAAGACTAATATATTAATAACAAAAATAAATAAATTCTATTGGGTTTGAAGTGTAGGTACCGATAGGATCTCGTTTTTTATATGTAAATATAAATTTGTATATTTGTAATTACTGGTCTTTAAGAATATAATTATATTTCAGTTCTGTGGGAATATGTATCTTGGCTGATTTGCCCAAAACCGACGGACATGACCAGCCGAAGGTTGTACGCATGTGTCGGATCGGAACCGAGACAAAAATAAATAAATAAATACAGACAAAAAGACAGACAGACAGACAAAGAGAGAGAGAGAGAAAGAAAGAAAGACAAAGGAAGATAGAGTGAGAGAGAGAGAGGGCTAGAGCTAAAGCTAGATAGATTGTACACCGGGATAATAAATAAATAGAATAGAATAGTCAATTTGTATTGGAAGATTCCCTTTGTTCGTCGTACAACACAAGAGAAAAAGAAGGAAGGAAAGAGTAATTAATCAGTTGACAAAATATCCTTTTTGTTTTCAGCGTACCTGTTACCCAAGGGTGGTCTAGATATGACGGCTTGTTTAGTAGTAACTACAAATTTTTAGAGGTTTTTGTTGATAAAGACAAACATCAATTCTAGTCGCCATTCCTAATGATTAATGTCCACCAACATATATCCTTCTTATTACCACTATTACCATCGATATCATCATCGATATTAACACTAACATGAGAATTAGCATTTGAATTGGAATTATCATTACTATTAGTAGCTGTAGCTATAGCAACAGTAGTAGCACTAGTAACGGTAGTAACAGTAGTATTGTTTCTGTTGTTTTTGTTTTTGTTGTTGTTGTTTAAAATTTAATGGAAATGAAAGTTTATAATTGTGGGCTAGGAATGGAAAGCTCAATTGGCTTGATGATTATTCTATTCGTAATTTTTGTCTTATATGACTTTTCAGGGCTCCTATCCTACACAGCCCCCCTTGTATATATTTTGTGTAGGAATTGGATGCCAAATAGTCTTTCTTTATTTATTGTCTTTAGGATTCTTGTCTAACGATAGCATGTGCCGTGTATCCTATCTTTTCGCCATGTTGTTTCTCTGCCAATAACAATAATCATAAGAATGTATACATATATATATGTATAACACATTTCCTAACGCCCACAGCCTTGTACTTATTTTCTTTTTTTAAAATAAAAATAAAATAAAATGCTCTAAAGCTTCGGTCAATCCCGATATGCTTGCGTACATTTAGAATAACGCATATAAAAAATGCCGCAAATAGGAAAATTGTCGATCGTTATGCCCAAGAATTATTTCCAAGTATTTATATATACACATATACACTTACATATGTTCATGCTCATGCTCATGTACATGTATCAATTCTTATTCTTATTCTATAAAATATCAAGAAGCTAGATTTTAACATCAGTTGTTGGTGTTTTTATATTCGTATTTGTATTCGTATTTGCATTTATAAATCTCAATTCATCTTTCTTGTCTGACAAGAGCCTTGGAACACCACGTAACCATGGTAACGTATCGGATTACCAGCACAGGCCATCCCATCCTTGGATATTGCTTCTTCTTTTTTCTTTTTACTGATGCGCCTTGATTTCCTTTTTGGAATTTACAAGCGCAGTGATGGTTTGCAAAGGAATATTATTATTTTTTGCTAGGTTCTGAGTAGTACAGCATACTGACAAGTGTGATGGTTGCTCAAAATGGCAGCTGATACTGTTAATACTATCTGACACTCATCTACTATTATATGTAGAAATTTACAAATACACGCATACACACACTCGCATCTACACACACATACATACACAATTGTGAGCAATGGTTATTTGTTTTGGCCTGTGTTCTAGGCTGTTCCTACGGAGAAGAGGCAATTGAATTCTTGTCCTCGTTGAGAAAGGTTACACTCGGGTCGGTCGACCCATTGTACTCTTTCGCCTGTTGTTACACAAATATGATATTCTTAGCGGTCGTCATGCCGACCAATGGTCCAACCTGGGGCGTTTATCTTAGCACTGTGTTGTTTTGTGTGGTTCTCAACTGAATAGCTTGTAACAACAAGGGATAATATTTGTGTGCATTGCTTGTCAATAGTCTTATCTCCACCTTCTTGTCCTGATCTTTACACTCTCAAGGACCTAAAAGTAGAAAACGCCCACAGCTGAATATGAACCTTAATGCATCTTCGTGCAAGGGCTTCTCAGGACAGGGGACACTTGGGCCAACTGTTTGTTTGCGTATTGTTCTCTGTCCTCTAGAAGAAGTCTTGCGGAGAGAAAAAAATGATCGACGGAGGGTTAGAAAGAAGTAGGCGACCACAGAAGCAGATGTCAGTTTAGGCCATCATGATCCAAATGATGCCATGGCACTCTGTTATGTATCTAACCCACTGCTTCCGGTATCCGTATTGTGGAGCCAAGATATGAAACACTTTAGGTTTCCATTGTGTGTGCGACATAGGAGCCCAATGCTTGTAATAAAGGAAGAGCGATATTAAATCCCAAAGTCTCCAATGACAGACCACAATGTCATCAATCGTCTCCGCAAGAGATATTATACAGCACCAGCACATCAGATTACGCTCACAACCCTTTTAATCAAAGAGGCAATCCAGGAGACGGACAGAAGCCCGAATATGCACGTCTTTTCTTGTGCTCCCGAGTGAGATCAAGAGGGAAATCTAACTGGAGACTTTTTTATTTTTTATTTTTTTTTATTTTATTTTTATTTTTTACAAGTCAGGTTGGCGTCTGACATCCTGGGAGTATATAAGCCTCGAGTTCTTCTTTTACTCTACCCCACTTTTTGTTTTAGTTTACAAGAAAAAATGTCGTTCAGTAAAGCACATCCCGAAACCTTCTTTAGCGCCCCAAGCGAAGACATTGCTGGGTGGTCTAGCATGGCCAGCTTCTTCGCTTCTCCTGCCAACCCACCACTGGTCGCGTCTACTGAACCTGACAATGGCAGTGGTCTTCTGAGCCCCTTTGACATGCACCTATGCCCTCCAACCGACCTTTTTCTTCGAGATGATGGCGCGCTGGTCGCGTCTTCACCACCAGAGTTTGGATACTTTCTCAGCGAAATGCCAATGTTGTCGCCTTCGTTTCTCAACCCAAACCACGCCTTCCTGCCATTCACCCCGACCTCAGATCACATTCCGCTTCTGTCTTATCCGAGAGGTCTCTCGACCGAAGCTTCCCAAGACAAGCACATCATGCAATCACAAGCCTACCCAAGCCCTCTCGAGCTGCCTTCCAGCACCCTAACCTCCGCAGATCTCAGAATCGACGGTCTCTTCTCCAGCAACGTCGAACTCTTTCCCTCCTCCCTCATGGACGACGACAACGAACCCCTTGGTACGCACAAACAGACCCACTCCACCACCCAAGCCCAGAACATGACTGTGTGGAATGAAGAAGAAGTAGTCGATCGTACACCTGAGCTCGATGCATCTTGGCCGTACATCATGCACCATTTTTCCGGAAGCACAAGCACGCTCTACAGCAATAATTCCGTTGTGTTCTACACAATGCCCAACAGCCCCGAAAGTACCACCATTTATTCACCAATCTCGACCCACACAGTAGCACCCGAATATTACTATGAAACCGACAGCCAGACCGAGATTCTCATGAACGCCACGACTGATTATATTAACACCAGCACCAACACCAACACCACTACCACCACCACCACCAACAACAACAACAACAACAACAACAATGTCGAGTTTAATAATGAAGCTGAGCAATCTTCACCAGTGGCAGCCCTCTTAGTCGACCTTGAGAATGCAATCAGCCTTGCCCAGCAAGGTGTTGAGTGTGACTTTGAGACCCTTCAGTTACGGGCGTATTCTCTTATTCATCAATCAACCTTACACAATGACTGCGGCATTCAGGAAAAGCGCAAGGTTCACGATACCCTGACCATCCTTTTGCGCACCATTTCTCCACACACTAATGAACCCACATTTGAACAAGCTGAGGAGTGTAAACAAGAGCTTCCTCACTCTTATGAGTGTCCTCAGCACCGAAATGACTCCCCTGATAGCCCGATCTCAACTCTTTCTGATTTCAAAGAAGATTTAACTTTTCTCGAGTCAGGCTCTCCTCATGCTTGTCAAGAATTGGCTCAACCTGAGAAACAGTCAACCGATAATCTAGATTTGGCAGACTCAGAGACTGATGATGACGGTGACTTTTGTCTGAGCACAGCATCTTCAGATGATGAGTACGAAGAATCTTCGGGCCGACCTCTACGCAAGGTGTCTAAACGCGCTGATCGTCGGTCCAATCCCACAGGAAATCTACGCAAGAGAGCACGGAAATTATCTCTTGCCAGCCATGAATCAAGCTGTGGCTCTCTTAGACCTCAGGCCGAAACCCGTTCACGCATCAACCAGACCTCTCGCAAGACACGCAAGAACTACAGCAAAGACACCACGCGTGTTCTGATGGACTGGTATTTACTTCACGACGGCGAAACTCCTGATTCAAACAACAAGGAAAGACTGGCTAGTCTTACCAACAAGACACCTGCCCAAAGTAAGCTTATTTTCCTTTTCTTTTTTAAGAAATAATAATATGTATATATGTACATGCGTGCGTATATTCAATTACTAACATACATACAATCATAGTCTCTACTTGGTTCCAAAATGCACGTCGTCGACACAGTGATAAACTGCAACAATTCAAGTCCCTGGTTGCGTCTCATCCAACTGTTGTGTATGACTATGCTTCCTTTGTGGCATATGAACCCTAAGCTGCAAAGCACTGTACAAAACAAAACAAAAAAGATACCTTTATTTTTCTTTAAAGAAAATAATTCTTCTTTTCTTTTAACATATTCAAACCAACATTTCCTTCAAAGAGGGTACAACCATATAGCATTCATTCATAATATTTCTTGGCTTTTTTTTTTCTTTTTCTTTTTCTTTTTTTTTTCTTTTTCTCTTGCACCTCTTCAACCTCATCTTGTCTAAATAAATCCTCCCCCTCATCCCAGCTTGTATCATAAAGAATTGAACTTTGTTTAAATGAATGTACAGATAGTTTTAATGTGACGTTGGAGAATGTGTGACTTGAGACAAAAGTACGTGCATGTGTACCAGAGGTTAAAATAGGAAAGAATACACTTTAACCAAATATATATATTATATTTTTATTATATATATACGGCTTTTATACTTTTTTTTTATTTCTTAATTCGTCTTTCAAATGAACGACCTTGTAAATCTCGATTGGGATGAACCTCAATCATCCAAAACCACAACACCTCGCCCAAAGCAGGATGCTTTCGCTAGCCTTCTCCAGCTCAACTCTCGACCTGCACCAGAAGTCGTCCTGTCATTAGCTGAACAACAGAGACAACAAGCCCAGAAACAAACTCTTCGTTCAGAACACCAAAGTACCTCATCTCCATGGCTTACACCGACCCAATCGGCCATCGCTTCTCCAACGCAACAGCCACTTTCTCCAAAACAACTTGTGCCCTCAAATAGCCCAACGCCTTCCTCCTCTTTCGACAGTTTACTTGATCCTTTTGCTCGCTCATCAAAGCAAAAACAAGACAACACAAACACTCCACTCAATACATTGTAAGAAGATGCAAATACAAAAACCCTTAGAAAGAGACTTGTAAAATGTCTAAACAACTTTTTTCTTTGCCTTTGCTTTGCTTTATTTTATACATACATACATACATACATACATACATATATATATATATATATATATTGTGTAGACGTGCTACGAGCCTTAAAGCTGCCACTACCGAACAAACAGGCCAACAATGGAACTTTGATCTTTTTGATAAAGACGTCCTCCAGAAAAATGTATACATCGATACATTATGTATTTTATTTCTCACAACAGCAACTAACAAGTATTAACTGATTTCAATTCTTTGTTCCTTCTGTATCGGCTTAGATCTCCCCTAGTACTAGTTACGTTGCATCCGATCCGTTTGATATGGATTTTCTTGCTTCTGGGTCTGCCAATGGAACTATTCATCTAGAATCTTCAGTAGAGCTAGAGGACGACGAGAATCCACTTGGAATTTTGGCCAAGCCAGCAGTCCAGAAACGTTCTGTAATAATTAAACTATGCATTTATTTATTATTATTTTTTTAAAAAAAGTTGTGCAGGTTAAATGAATCACATCCACTAATATAAAACCTTGTTATTTCTGTTTCTCAGGTTACTCCAGAGCAGTCCCTGTCGCTTGAACCTGTTTCAGCGGATAATGAAGCGGTGTCACAGTATCAGGATGATCAGGATGAGCAAGATACACAGGATGAGCTATTAGCTCAGTTGATTGATATGGGTTTTGGCGCAGGCGTCTCTCTCGAAGCTCTGAGAGCCAGTGGAGGAAATGATCTTCAGGGTGCAATCGCTCTTTTAGTAACAGATGCAGAAGTAAACCGTAATCAACAAAGATCCACATCAAGGACAAATACAAGATCTTCAACTCCGTCTTATTCTGATGCCGAACAAGCACGACAAAAGATATTTTCTGATGATAACGATGTCCAGAAAAGCCCAGCACGAAGGGCCACTCGTGAAGTAAAAAGACAGAGTCAAAGAGAAGCAAACACACAGCAGCAGAATCAGCAACAGCATAATGATGCATTTCAGCAACACACTGAACGATTTGTAGCACAAGCATCCGAGATTGGTGGCTTCCTATTTAAAAATGCTAGTATGTTTGTCAAGACTGGCCGTGAAAAGATCACAAAGGCCGTGGATAATTGGCAGGAACAGCAGAAAGTACACAGCTCAACAGACACAGGAGGACCAGTGCGCCCACGGTGGATGACAGACGTTCCTGAGGATCAAATTGAAAGAGGTTTTGACGAAAAGCCCTTGGAGAAGTTTGTGGATGAAGCTGATTCGGATGAAGAGACCCATCCGGATCCACAGTCACACGCCGAAAGAGAACGAGTGGAAAGAGAGAAGAATTGGACCAGACAACAAGAGATACAACGTAGAGAAGATATTGAACGCCGAAAGCGAGCACAACAACAACAACAAAAACAGCAGCAGCAGCAAAAACAAAAGCAAAAACAAACATTAGTTGATGATCAAAATACATATCTATCTCCCTCACGTCGTCGACCTCCACCGAGGGCAATGTCCCGCCCACAAGAAGATTCCAGACCAACAACACCAAAACCTGCTCCAACTCAACCAGTAAAAAAAGTACGTACACGACCTGTTGTTCAGGCAACACCCCAAGCTGTGGCAAAAGCCAACCAGGCACGACAAAAGGGAAATGAACTGTTTAAACTGGGACAATTTGGCGATGCGGCACATGCATACAGCCAGGCCATTGATGCTCTACCTCTGGGTCATGACCACCTGGCTCTGTTGTCAAACAACAGAGCAGCAGCTCGCTTGAAGATTGGTGAACACAAGGGGTGTGTTGAAGATTGTTCATTAGTTATTGAGATGGCTCAGCAAATGGGTGATGACCCTATTACTGAGTCAGAGGGTGTGGCTATTCGTTGGAAAGAGCAGACTATCAAAGCCCTCAATCGCAAGGCTGAGGCATTTGAGAATCTCGAAAAGTATCAAGACGCACTTAAAACCTATGAAGATCTGACCAAACTTGAAGGGAATGGTAGTCTTCAGACCAACCAGGGAATGGCCAGGTGCCGAAAGGCTCTTGCACCTGTACCCCAGCGCCAGAATCTTGAGAAGAAAAGACAGCCTTCACCTGCTCCATCTCGCTCAGTAGACGTCAGGGAAAGTAAGGCAGTGGCAGATATGAGGGCCAGAGCTGCTCAGCAAGAAGCGGATGATGCGGAGAGACTTGAAAAGACTGACCAGGTTAACGAGAAATTATTGGCATGGAAATCAGGGAAAGAACAGAATCTACGCGCACTCTTGGCTACCCTAGATGCATTGCTGTGGCCAGGTGCTCAGTGGAAGGGTGCCCAGATGAGTGAATTAATTAATCCGAAGAAGTGTAAGATGATTTATCTCAGGGCCATTTCCAAGGTTCACCCAGACAAGGTAAAAAGTTATATTATATGCGTTTTTGGAATACATATACTAATAATAATCAAACATATAGCTCCCGTCAACAGTAACCATTGAACAGCGCATGCTGGCTAGTGCAATATTCTCCACTCTTAATGAGGCATGGGATGCCTTTAGACAGACAAACCCCGTATAGGTCTTGTAGCCAATAGATTATGATTTGCATTATTTTAAGCAAAACAAAAACGAAAAAAAAAGCATAACTTATTTGAAGTATGAATTCCTAACCCTTAATAAATTTCATTTATGTAATTCTTTAATAAAAGAAAAGTCCGAGTCAAGAGACTTTATTCTATTCTTCTACACATCAAATGTTTATTCACTTGTATCATAATCAAGAGCTTCCAGGTTTACTAAAATGCAACAATAATGTGTGTATACATATCCAGTATCTCAACGAATTCTTCGATGTCTATTTTTCTAGAGTTTTTTTTTCTTAAGTTTGTGAACAAAATTTTGTTCCTATAGTACAGGTTTATCAATGATCTTAGATATACGATGCTTATATTTTACTAGACTCATTAGATTTAACTTATGGTCTGATGCCTAGTACAGCCATAGTCAAGAACGGTTTGACGTCTGAGTATTGGAAATTCACGCGAAAAATTGATATATCTTCAACATACAACTGCTCATCAGGAACAATAGCTAAAGCCTTCAAATTTCAGATGCAAGACTATATGTATGTTTACTAATGAAATATATATAGAGAAAAGACCAACACTTTGTATGACCCCATATTGGCATAAATTACATCTCGGGATCGATGTTGCATGGTACTTGCCAAACTTGATCCAAGTTCGATGCCAATTTTTTGCCACTTATTGTATTACAACCCTTAAGTTTCTAACGTTATTGATGCTGTCCCTCTTATCACTCATATATTTCATGAGATCCCACCAAAGGTGCTCTTGACCATCTTTCAACAGTCTCAAATAAGAGCCAGTATTACAACTGGCGTTGCCTTTTTGGAACACAAAATACCTGTTCTGTTCTTGTGAAAGATTTTGAAACCAAAGGAGGAAGACCTGAGTCAAATTACTCACCTATTGGTTGTGGTTTACGTTACTTTAATGTAAGACCACATGCTCAAAACCACAGGCCCAGAAACAGCTCCAAATGACCACACCATCCTTCTCTCACTTAGTTCCCTTGATGATATTATTTTCTCTCTTATACTTTTCGTCAAATCTTCTAATAGCTCTAGCTTCTTCATCATTACCTTTGACTATAAGCATTGATCATTAGGACCATACTACACCTTTATACCAATTATCGGTCCAATTTAAATGCTCACAAGCCCAATCCAATCGTCTTTTCTGGTGGCTTTCTGTTAAATCTGATTAATAGGCTGCGATATATGATCTAAAGTTCAAACACTTGAGATAACAAAGTGTCGTCTTTCTACAAAGGGATACCTTTATTTTATTTAAAGAGACTCTTAACCTAGAACTGGCACCAGATTATATTCAATTATCTTGCCATAATAACTCATACTATCTTAAGCCTATTCCCAATATTTATATATATATATTATCATTATTACAATGTATATCCTTTTACAGCGGACTAAACTTGCAAGACTATAGAAAATTTAACTCTTTGTGAATACTACTAAATGAATAATCTGGTTTTACGAACCTATATTCTCTGAAACAGGCACATCTTTAACTTTCTATATACATATTAGCATCAGCCTAAGATTAGTTAAAGTACAAATTCTTACTACAAATACAGTTTTATGAGTATCACACAAGCCAATTGATATCTACAGGTTGTTGTATTCAATGTCATCTACGCTTTGAGAGATCAAGTCACATTTTTGGTGGTAGGTTAAAGTAACTCCTAAAGTAGTAAAGTCATCAATGTAACAAAGATCCAAGGTATTTAATATACTCTGTATTGGTCCAGAATATATATAATCAGGCCTTTTCTTTAATGATATCCTAGCTGTATGCACTTCACTTTGAAGCTAGTCTCTTGGGGATTTTTTTAGAAATAATCAAAATTGGATGTGTCACCTCAGAAATATAGTATTTTAATCACGATGTGTCATTGATAGGAAGACAGTCCTATTACGGGATCGATAAGTATAAAGCCCATTTTTGAATACACCAGTAATTACTTTATTGGAATTACTCTCTTCCTTTTCAGCATACACTCACACACAAAGAAGTTGTTTTTTTTTCTCGCAAATCATAATAGACTTCGAGTCGCTTATGTACATTCACGCATTCGAGAAAGCCTCTGCCGACTATATCTGTGATCAAAGTAAGTTGGATAAGCATTTATTGATATATTGACTTAACCTGATAATCTGTTCATTTATTATATAAATGTAGTCTGGAGATCATCTTGTAACTGTTAGATAAAAAGAGCACACAAATAAAGCATCTCTTACACAAAACAATAACAAAAGAACATAATGTCTATCCTCAAATCAATCCAATTAATTCGCCCTACAATGAAGACCACTTGGGTCGCGCACTCCGGCCTTACTCGTGCCTTTACTTCAACGCCTTTTACTAAGAAATCCGCATCTGCAATTCCTGCTGCTCTCAAGCTGAAATCCGGTCAGATCTTTCAGGGAACTTCCTTTGGTGCCGAAACATCTGCATTTGGTGAGGCAGTCTTCACTACCTCTCTTGTCGGATATCCGGAATCAATGACCGACCCTTCCTACACGGGCCAACTTTTGGTTTTCACTCAGCCCTTAATAGGAAATTATGGTGTTCCTGGAGAGACCAAAGATGAATTTGGTCTCTACAAGTACTTTGAATCGGAAGGAATCCAAGTCCGAGGTATCATTGTGAATGATTATGCGGCTCAATATTCTCACTGGACAGCTATCGAGTCTCTTGGCAAGTGGTGCAAGCGATACAATGTTCCTGCAATCAGTGGTGTCGACACCCGTGCTATAACCCACCGACTCCGCGATCAAGGATCTACTCTTGCACAACTTGCCATTGGCGATGATGCCCTAAAGAATGACATATCTAAGCTGCATTTTCCTAACCCCAATGACGAAAATCTGGTCGCTAGAGTGTCTACCAAGGTGCCATTACACTACAACCCCAAGGGAGATGTCAAGATTGCAGTCGTTGACTGTGGAGTAAAGCAAAACATCCTTCGCTGTCTTGTCAATAAAGGAGCCAGTGTCACAGTTCTTCCATTTGATTTTGACTTTAACCACATTTCGGACCAGTTTGATGGTCTCTTTATATCCAACGGTCCGGGTAGCCCTACCACATGTACTGAAACAGTAAAAAACCTCCGCACTGCTCTCGATTCTTTTGATAAGCCTATCTTTGGCATCTGCATGGGAAATCTACTCCTAGGAATGGCTGCTGGTATGGATGTTTACAAACTTCCATTTGGAAACCGTGGTCACAATCAACCTGCCCTCCATGTCGACACGAAGAAATGCTACATTACTTCACAGAATCATGGCTATGCCCTCGACGATAAGGTTATGCCCAAGGGATGGAGACGCATGTTTGTCAATGCAAACGACGGTTCCAATGAAGGTATCCGCCACGAAACCAAGCCTATATTCTCCGTTCAATTTCACCCCGAAGCCAAGGGCGGTCCTCGAGACACCGAATATCTGTTTGAAGATTTTTTGGGCCATGTTCGTAGCGACAAGCTTAAACGTTCTGGTTTCCAGGCGATTCTTGAAGACCAGCCTGCTACTGTTTCTGCTTTTTCCTAAACACTACTATTTCTGAGAAACCTTTTTTTTTAAGTTTTCATATTTGCAACACTTTTAAAAATAAATATAGGATAAGATATCCAATCTATAAGTTTATATACATTGTTTGAATCAAAGAAGTATATCTTTATATATTTATTTATTTATTGTCAAGGGTACTTGAAACAAAAGAAGGATAGTTGTACGTAAAAGTCATAATATCCCATTTTTTCCATTCTTTTTTTTTTTGTAAAAAAAATCAGGTAAAAAAAACGGTATCAATAGTGAACAAAAGAGATATAGATTGTGAATGTGTGGTTGTGGGTGTAAAGGCGCAAGTGTAAGTGCGAGTATGAGTTAAAGTGGAAAAGTATTCTCTTTTAAAAAATAAAAATAAAAATGTCATCGACAGACTTCTTTATCGGATAAAGATGCTGTGTATGCGCTCAAATTCTGCTGCACTTTGCAGTTGGATACAATGACGTGCCTTTCCGATGGAAGACAGACGGGGTATTTGGATTTTTGCCAGTGATTGTGATAAGAGTGCATGTCCTTGGCTCAGCGACTGGTGCAACGTCTGGACAGATGGATTAATACACATGAATGGATCATCCCTTCCATCTTATTGACTTACCTTGGTTCCACTAGGGGGCACGTATATGCTGCTATCATCTTGATCTTTTTGAAGTTGGTGCATCTTGGATCTCAATTGCTCGCTACGTTGCTTCAGTGTGTGGATTACTGACTGCTGAGTCTGGTACTGATAATCTGGTGTCTTCTTCATGCTCTGCCACTTGCCACCACGACGATCGGCTGACAATACAACCACCTTGGGCGACGCACTGGCAACTCGCATGTCCTTGACAAGTACACGCGTTTCAAGAGCGACCGAGCGCATCACTGCACGCATATCCTGTTTCTTGTCTTCAGTATTACCTTCGACAGCCAAATGTGCTTCATCTTCATCTGTTTCTTGGGGTTCCTCCAATGACTTTGGTTGGGGCATCTCAGGCAAACAGTCCAGACTGAGTGCCTTGATCATGTCGCAGCTCTTGAGGTGAGCATTTTCAGCACGCAAGTATCTGATAGCAGCCTTGAGAGACTCCACCTATAATTATGATTACAATTATTTAAGAAAAATAAATAATAATAATAATAATAATAATAATAATAATAAAGCACATATCAATGCAAGTATGAGAAATAAAGGCAGTAGAAAGCCAGAGAAGGGTTTACAAAATCTTACCTGGTTAGCAATTTCGAAATAGCTTCCCGACTCATTCTCTACTGGTGCACCTTCTGCCAAATCAAACTCGGCCTTTTTGGGCAAAGAAAGGCGCTTTTCTTCTTTCTTTGCTACTGCCTTCTTCAGCTGGGCATTCTCTTGTTCAAGAGCATCGTATTCAGCCTGAAGATTATCAACAGCTTCTGCATACATTGTTTCTTGAGCCTGCACCTTCTCGAGGGTCTCTTCTAGAGAGCTAATCTGCTCTGCTTGTTTCTTAACAGCCTCCATACGCTTCTCCAAGTGCTCCACCTTTACACCAGACTCTTGAAGTGCTTGATCCTACATCATGCGAGCAAAAAGGTAAATACATTTATACGAATAAAATTTATGTGCGACTTGGTGTTTGTAAATACCTTGAGCTTCACGTCCTTGATCAGCTTCACGATCTCTTCGCTGTGTTGTTGCAACTTTCGCTCCATATCGTGACTAATTACAACCTCAGCCTTCATATCAGATGCGCGCTGAATCCAAGGAGCAACACCAGTAGAAACTAATACAATGTTATTTTTTTAGCAGCTACATATATATATTGACCATAATTCTCGGATGCTTACTCTTGTTCATCTTATTGTCATTATCAACCCGAGTAACTGTGTCATTGAGCTCATTTGTAAGGGACTTGAGAGTCTTGAGACAGCCGTCCCACATCTTGCTTTCAGCGATCTCTAAAATCTCATCAGCCTTTGAGTAGACAATCTGTTGAATAAATGCCAAGCTAATATCTTCTTTGCTGCCACGTTTAGCATCAACGTATGTAGCAATCTGGCGATAAACCTGTATAGATGTTCACAGTTATTAAGGTGCCCAAAAAATATTAGTTATATACTTGCCTCGAAACAGAAGCGACTGAGCTTGGAACTAATCGCATATAGTGTTTTGAAGCAATGGAGATGCTCTGCCTTGAGAGTCAAGGCCTGTTCCGAAAGATCTTCAAGTTGTCTCAACAACTTCCTATAAGAGTATTCCAGGTTAGTAAGAAATAAAGATCGACGATAGTCTATAGATGTATACATTGTCGTAATCTGTAATATCCTTACTTTGCAATGATCTTGCTGTTCTTTGCCTGAGCAATAAGGTTGTTGAGAGGATCCATGTAATCATAGTCGAGGGTCTCAAGTCCCTCTGTGATGTTAATGCCATCTACATGGGTTGCGTTTGAAACGGCTTGCTTGACATAGGTCAATTCGACAGTCATACGATCTGCATTCAAATCCAAAGCTCTGGTGAGACCAAAGAACTGTTCGGCGTGGTTGGTCTCCCCATTCTGAACCAAGTACACCTCTGTGAGATGCTCAAGTTGAGAAATAATTCTATTTGAATATTATAAGAGAGAAATGGATTAATCGATTGTGGTATTAAACTAACGCTAATGTTAAACCTACCTCTGCAGCTCTACTAAGCACTCAGATTCATTAACCTCGTCAGTTCTCAACAGCTCAACAATACCATTCAATCTATATTTTGTGTGAGAATACAGGCCATCACTTGATATTTACCAAATTTACAAAAGAAGTTCAGTTTACCTTCTTTCGGTACCAACCAAATCATGGTAAATTTGTCCCATACGAGTAAATGTCTCGGGTTTACAGTGCTTGATAAACGAGACGAAACGCTTGGCCAAATCACTCAACCAACCTGCTCTTTGTCTCATCTACAAAAGGATGTATAAGTATTTAGGTTACTTTATTGCTTTCAATAAAACTTGATATCGTACCTCGCACACTGAAACCAAATTCTCCGTTACTGTGTCCATAATCTTTTCGCTCACAGGATAGTTCTGATCCAAATGCTTGATAATGACCTCGGACTTGAATACCACGCGCTTGAATAAAAGAAGGCATGAAATAGGATCATTCTCAGTCTTGAAAAATGAGTCTGGAAGATAGGGCTATTTTTTGGGGGGGTGTTAAACAGAAACAAATGGATAAAAAGGTTAGTTGACAAGTTTTCCCCACATATTCAAAAACGTATATTAAAATATGTCTCGAATGTCTACCTGAATGTAGCTGAGACGATCGTTTGCTTGAGTTGCTTCCAGTTTACGCAATTCAATATCGATTGCCTTTGCCTGTGCCTTCATGACAGTTGACTGGAGCTGCATATTGAGCGACATCATGGCCTGAGATTGACTGCTCAAGTTTCGCTTCTCAGACTTCTGGCTCTCTTCCTTGTGGCGAAGCTGCTCAAGATCACTATAATAATAATATATAAAGTTTAGGATAATATTGTAACAGACAATGATGTAATTGTTACCTCTGCAAGTTTAATACGAGTTCTCTGAACTGTTGGATAGTTCCCTCGTAGTCTGCATTTGTCTCTTCTGAAGAACGCAGTCTGTCAAGCTGTCCACGCAAGAGCATGTCACGATGATCTTGCATATTGTAAAGACAAGTAAACAATTAATTACAACCATGCTTTTTTTTAAAAAAAAAAAACAGACAATCATTAGTCTTATTAAAAGTTGTGTATTACCAATTTCTGCTTGTAGCTGTTTCTCAGTTTCCATGTGGTTTTCTTCGAGTTCATCAGCCAACTCCTTGAGGGCTTCAAGATCCTCAACGTTCATTCTCATCTCTTCAAACTTTTCTGCGAGTGTCAAATTCTTCTCTGTTAACTGCTCGACCATTTCCTCGGCTCCAAGTGCATCATCAAGACGCTGCTTCAACTCGTCAATCAAAGATTCAGCCATCTCCAATCTCTCCTTGGTGCGAATGTATTGTACTATGTAATACGTATCCCATTATAAAAGTTAGCCCTGAATTATTATTATTTTCCCACAAAGTATAGACAAAGGTGTGTGTGTGTGTGTTTACCTCGGACTTCATCAAACTCGTAGCTCTCCTTTTCCAGAATCTTGATCTTTCTGTTGAGGTCAGCCTCGTGCTCAGTAGCAGAATCACGGTAACTAAAACCAAAATCAGTATTTTTGTAAAACAACGAGAATAGCTTAATTCCTAATTCGTCAATGTCATCACTTACCGCATGAGAGCTTCCTTGAGTCTTTCGTTATGTCGTTCAAGCTGAACCACTTCAAGTGGGGTCTTTTCCTCACCCTCTCTGGTAGGTGACCTATTCAAAATATCTATCAAGAGTGTAAGTAGATGAGTTATAACCAATTCCTAAGTAAAATTCGCAATCAAACCTGTTTCTTTCTTGAGGATGTCTAGATCAACGCTAATCTCTTCGATCTTATCCTTGAGGACGCTGACTTCTTGTTGTAAGTTTTCTGCTCTTTCTTCAGCGACTTCCTTATCGAGGGTAATCATTTCCAGAGATTCGATTATGTCGTTGTATTTATTTTCATAATTTTCTTTTTCAGTCGATGTTTCTTTCAACTGACGTTTTGTCTCGCGCAAGTCTTTTTGTAACTCGGCAATCTTGTCTATATAAAAGCATGACCTAAATATTTAACAAAGCTAAAAGCAAAAAAAAATCTTGTGTGCATTTCACACACATACACATGTAGTAAAGTTTGTTGTACACACATACCTTGAAGCTTATTACGAAGCGTGAGGAACTGGTCAGCCTCTTCTTTAGCCTTTTCATGCTCTCTATAACGTTCACGATCTTCTTGGCGTTTACTTTCAAGAATCTTCAGCTTCAATCTTAATTCTTCATAATCCTTAAGTGGAATCATCTAAAATATATATATAGAAAAGTAAGCTTTTATGTGCGTACATATATGGGACACAGCACAGCTGGATCTTTGCCTGTTCTGATTTGCTCATAGGCATATTGACAGCCAAGGAGCCATACGCAGGTTGTTGCTGTGAGCGGTTTTGAGTCTGGGAATGTGGTCTCCAGTCTTTATCTTCTGCAGGAGTTTGCACTTGACTGCGATCATTGGTAGGTGATTCTGTTAATTCTTCTTCTTCGTCAGCATCGTCCTGATCTTCGTTAACTTGTGACTCCATCTCTTCCTCTTCCTCCTCCTCTTCCTCCTCCTCTTCTTCTTCCTCTTCTTCTTCCTCTTCAGCCTGCCTTTGTTGCAACTGCAATTGTTGTAGTTGCTGTTGTTTTAATTGTTGAAGCTGGATTAATCGTTGTTTCTGTAATTCTTGTTTTTGCAATTCCTGTTGTTGTTGTTGCTGGAGTAATAACTGTTGTTGTCGCTGTTCTTCCTCTTCAAGTTTTTGCTGAATCTGAGCTTCCTTTTGCTGTTGGAGTCTTAATTGTTGGAGTTGTTTCTCTCGGGCTTCTTTTGCATCTTTTTGAATACTAGCTGAGTTTTGAGTATTGGAGCGAGAACGGGTGCCCATCTTTCCCGAAACACTCTTACGACGGTTAGCATCAGCGGTAGGTGGACCTCCATTGCGAGTAACAGTTGTTGGGGAGGTTAGGAGGGAGGTAGGGCGTCGAGATGTTGTGGATGGCTGAAGAGGTACTCCAGGACGAGTGATGCGTGATGGGGATGTTATACGAGAGGGTAAGAGAGTTGATGAAGATGGGGTGCCATGTTGTGCTGATCGAGCTGCTGCCAGATGGGGATCGCCAGCTGGAGCAAATCTTTGAAAATCACCACCCTCTGAGCGTGGTGAAGGAGGAACGGTGTCGTCCTATGTGATTATTTGGGTATAAATAAATAAATATATATAAGTTAATAAATTCTTAATATCTAGTACACATAAATTGACATGGCTATTTGTTGTTGCTGTTATTATTAGCATTATTATGTCTACTACTTTATATCGTACCTCACTACCACTGTTCTGGTTGGGCATAATTCGCACTTGACTTGGACGGACAAATACACCATGGTTTGTGCGGCATTCAAAGTAACGTTTCCCCTGAACTACACCGCTGTTCTTTCCTTGGGATTCATCGAGTTCAATGCCAATCCATTTTCCTGTCTGAAAGCTTGTTGTTCCTGCAAAACGAACAGTGCCCGCCTTGCCTTGAACCTGGACGCGTGTGCCGACTCTAAGCTCGGATGAGATGTCGTTTGGGTTGTGTGAGCTTGTGCTGCTTCCGCCATGGGGGCTTCCATTGCGAGATGCCCCATAGACGGATTGGCGTCTGTGTTGCTGTTGCTCGAATCCAGACATGGATCTGGTGATTAGAAACGAATGGATAGAATCAAATAAACCAAACGAAGAATGAAATCCAGATGGAAGTAAAAAAGGGGAAAAATAGAAGGGAAAGAAAATAAAATATATATATAAAAAAGAAAAAAGAAGCAAAATGCTATGGAGTTGTGGTTTATTGAGGAACGAATTAAGGGTTCCGCCAGTGACTGTGTAGAATCAATAAAGACAGGCGAATTGACCAAGGCACACGCATCTTATATTATTGTGCGTCAGAAAGAACTGTGTTTACTACGTCTACAATTGATCCAAAGACCATGACTTTGTGGCCATCCTCGTCTCCTGGGCGATATTTTCCTGTGGAGACCAAACAACGCTGCATTCCAAGCTGAACTGCTCCTCCACCCAGATCGCTCTGGACATCGTCCCCAACCATGGCTACCTCCTGTGGTCGATCTTCCATACCGCTTGTATTGTGTAAATAAGTTTTAGTTCATGTGTACCTTGATCATTACTCTTCCCCTTAAAAATCATAGCCAGAACAAAAAGGACAAAGAGCTTACATTTGCCTCAGTGCAGCCAAGAAGAAATCACGGCTGGGTTTTCCAATAACAGTAGCAGATACACCGGTAGCGTACTCAATAGCTAATTCAGTAATACCATATTAGTACCCCATTTAGAATTCTGTGCTATTGTTTTCTTTTCTAAACTAAATACAAACATAAATACAAGTACAAACCTTGAACAAATCCACCTGGTCCAAGTGATAACTCTCCATCGGCAACAGCCATGTATCTTCCTTTGTGGATAGCATAAAAGGGTGCGCCTTGGTGGACTAGACGAAAAGCCTTGTTGAGCTGGTCATAGTTCATTTGGGATGGAGCAAGACCGATGACTACTGCATTTGGATTGCTGGTGTCTATTCCATCAAATTCTTCCAAGGCTTCATTTTCCAACAACAAAAGAGGCCTATACAATAATACTGGGGGGATAAGAATTTATGCAATTTTTTTTAAAAATAAAAATAAAAGAAGGTTATGGGGGGACTGAATTTTGGTACCTCAAGGCTTGGGACTCGATCACGTCACGACAGGCTGAAAGGGAAGTGAAGATCTTGAGAGGATGAGATGACTGAGATGATGAGGATGACTTACTTCTTCACGCGTTGTGTTGAACCCGAGTTTGTTGAGCTTATCAACAAGACGCCGGGAAGATACTTGAGTGGTGTTTGTTGCAAATCTGGGCGTATATATGTATTTGATTATACATTCTTTGAGTATTTATTATGATTATTAATAGTTACCGAAAGGGTACTTTGCTGGCTCTCAAGTGGTTGATGGCAGCTACGGCTCCTACAATTGGCTTGGACTCAATATGGATAGTTCCACTGATATCAATCAAAAGACCCTTAATCATTAGCTAGCTTTATTGATTAGCGGTTGATGATTATTGGAAAAGAAGAAAAGGAAAACGAAGAGAGGAAGAAATATAGAAAATAATATAATATAATATATAATATATATAATATATATAATATAATATTGTGAATTATGGATTTTTATCATCTTTGACTTCTTCTGGTTGACTTTTATATTATGTATATGTGTATTATATGTATGTGTAAATTGTGACAAAAAGTGAAAGATTCAACTTTCAATTTTTATTAATATTTGATTAAAGATTGGTTTTTGTAAAAAAAAAGTAGAAGCATTTAAAGCTGACCGCTCTTCTCGATGGAAACCTTTGCCTTGGTGCGACCGCTGGAGGTACCGAGCTTCTCGATATCCTTGACGATGTTCATACCCTCGACAACGGAGCCAAAGACAACGTGCTTGCCATCCAACCAGGGGGTGACGACGGTGGTAATGAAGAACTGGGAACCGTTGGTGTTGGGACCAGCGTTGGCCATGGAGAGGAGTCCGGGGGTGTTGTGCTTGAGGATGAAGTTCTCATCAGCGAACTTCTCACCGTAGATGGAGCGACCACCAGTACCGTTGTGCTTGGTGAAGTCACCACCCTGGAGCATGAAGTCGGGGATGACGCGGTGGAAGATGCTTCCCTCGTAACCGAAGCCCTTCTCGCCAGTGCAGAGAGCGCGGAAGTTCTCGGCGGTTCTGGGAGCAACATCGGCTCTCAACTCCATCACGATACGCTACAGATACAAGACATAGGTTTCATTTCCTTTAGACGGCTTGCTCCACATATATACACACGCACATAAAATTGATTCAAATATTAAAAACACTTACACCAAGGGGCTTGCCGTCAACAGCGACATCGAAGAAAACCTAGAACAGCAAAGTTGATTTTAGTATGACGTGGATAGGATGATTTTAAATCAATGTCATATCTTGAACAGGATGACCTTGTTCTTTGTTCATTGCTGACTCCATTATATAGCACGATTACATAGTGAATTCATATTACATACTTTGGGGTTAGACATGTTTAGGATTAAATAATAGAAGAAAAGATTTTTTTGTAATCAAGGTCTGCCCTATTTATACACGCGACGCGATGGAAGGAATAAGAAACACTATTAAATCGCCGTCTAAATAAATTCCCTAGCTAAAATCAAAGGAAAAAAAAAGAAAATTTCCACACACAGACACAGGCGACTTTTACAAGTTAGACAAGTCATGTGACGGCTTCTTTTCCACAACTGTCCCCACCCCCCACCCCCGTTCCTTCTCTTTCCTCACCCCCCCCCTTATACTCCTCATTTTATTTTAATTTTTTGATTTTTCAATTATTATTATTTTTTGCCTTCTTGTTCTCTAAACCATCATGTCAAGGGCCGAGAATCGTGAAGAACTTGAGCGCATGAGAATTGCCATGGAGGGTGAAAACTCCTGGGATCGCATGAAGAGAAAGGCCAGAGAGGAACCTCTAGTTCCAGCAGGTAATTTTTATATATGTATTAAAGTTGTCTGGGTAAAAACACTCAGGAACTCATGAGATATTATTATTGACTATTATTATATATGTTTCTATTATTACTCTATAATTTGATTCATATTCTTATTTAATGGAGTGTAGGTGTCGCAGTGACTTGTTTTGCTCTTGTTGCAGCAACTGTGGGTGTAAAGACAGGCAACAAAGCTTATGCTAACAACATGTTTCGACTTCGAGGTAATTGTCTTTATTATTTTTATTATTATCATTATGATTATTATGATTATTGTTATTTGTAGAAATAAAGGATAAAAAGAAAGATACTACCAAGACAAGATAGAAATTGAAAAAGAAAGAAAAATAGAATAAGAGGAGGAGGAGGAGGGTTTATTATTGATGGTAGTAAAGAGAGAAAAAGAAACTCACTTTGTGTATACGTTGTATATTATTATTATTTTTGGGTGATTTGAATAATAGTGGCTGCACAAGGATTTACTGTGGTGGCCATGTTGGGTGGTTCGCTTTACTATAGCTATAAAGAAAAAAAGCTAAAAGAGCAAAAAGCATAATAATAAGTTGAAAATGAAAATAAAAAATAAAATAAAAAAGGAGAGAATAGGAAGAAGATAGAAAGAGAGAGAGAGAGAGAGAGAGATATTAAGGGTAGGAAAATAAAGAAGTAAAAAATACGAAGATAAAGAAGATAAATCAGGCGTTTTGTTTTATCCTTGGTGGTCAAGACCTTGATATAGAAGCTTATCGTTGTTTGACTGCAGAAGTGACATCATCAGCGCATCCTCTGCAGGTGTGGCACTGCGAAGGACAATAGGGGGTTCACTAGACTCATAAAGATTGGGTTGAGCAGTAGTGAGATCGATAAACAATGTCTGTAGGTGTTGGTTGTCTAGTACAAGTCTAAGGAGTTCTTGGCGAAGGACCAATGTCTGTCCTTCCAATTGGTGGACATGAACAGTCGTAGCTTGTCTATCTTGGGTGAAGTCTCGGCATTGAGTCCATGTGCACTGCACAGGATCTTCCATGTAAAAAGCGATTCTTTCTGGTTGTCTAACCTCGAGTTCGATACGCGCACATCCAATTCTATGAGCTAGTGGCACGAGTCTAATCTGCTGGATAGCTTGTAATTGAACCTGCAATTTAAAGCGTTGATCACCGTCCTGGATACGCCACACCATAGCCTGCTGGAGTGGGTCGTAGAAACAGAGTAAATCCTGGGGTCTTAGCATCATTCGTTTCCAACTGCCAATCTGAAGAGCATCGGCAGACAGAGCGTACCCAACTCCCTCGTCTTCCTGACTCACGCAGGACATGGGAGTGTCCAAACGTTCACTGTAAAGGCGCACCAGAGGGTCAATAGCTGGCTGTTGTGTGAATGAGGAATTAGAAGGAGGTGTGTAGCCATAAGAGTCAATTGAGTTCATGCCGAGATAAGAAGGAGAAGATTCCATAGAAAAGCCAGGAACTGCTGGACCCATGGATGCGTGTCGGTCATGGTAGACGCGTGAGAGAGTATCAGTTCGTCGAGGATATGGGCCAACCGACTGAGCTCTAAGTCGTCCAGCGGCTGAATGAAGGCCATTCTGTCGGCGGCTATTAAGAGCATCAACTCCCGGTGAATTGGAAATTGAGGGTGGAGGTGTCATGGACCACATTCTGAGGTCAATATTTTCGGTCGGAAGACTATCAAGAGGAGGAGGAGGCGGAGGAGGCGATGAGGGTGGAGGAGGAGGCATTCCAGATTGGAGCGATTCTGAAAAGGCTTTAATAGAACCAGCCTGCCGTTGCTGTTGCTGGTTGTAATAGTAGTAATAGTAATAGTAATACAGGTCTGGATTAGTGGCCAGAGACCCGTCTGGCATAGTTTGTTGTTGCTGATACGCAGCTGCCTGACATGCGGCTGCTGCTGCTGTTGCAGCATAATGTTGCATTCTAAGCGTCTGATCGTGTAAAAGCGAAGACCGCTTTGCAATATTCTTGACCTTGGCACGTCTGTTCTGGAACCATATCTGAATCGAACGCTCGCTCATGCTCAGTTGCTGAGACAATTGTTCGCGCACTCGGTTGTTGGGCGATGGGTTGATATTAAAGGTCTTTTCAAGTATCCCAAGCTGCTCCGGGCTAGCTCTGGTTCGCTTTCTAGGCTGATGATCAGATGGTGGCTGACTCCCTCCCGCTGGATGGTGGGATGTAGCAGGTGTGTCGGCCAAGGGTAAGTACGACATGTTGGAGGATAGGTTTCTTTCGGGGTTTGTGGAATCACGACAAAAAGGACTTTGATATGATACAAGAGATGGGGTCTTGGTAGAAGAGAATTGCATCCCACAATGGAAGCAACTGAAAAAAAGGACTGGAATGGGGTGTAAGAAAGGAGAAGAAGTTGACTGGCAATAAAATCCTTCATAAAATAGAGATTTGTCGCACCTGTGAGCGGTGCTGCAAAGCCATGTATAGGTGGGTGATCGACTTACTGCTCTTTTGCCACGTTGGGTTTTGTCCCTGTCACGTTTCCTATCTTTAAGTTTATTATTAATTACTCTTTAGGACTTCTTTAACACTAATAAAATCACCCGTCTTATCAAGGCCTTCTCTAAGCACCAAGTCCAATGATAGATATGAAATGATATAAGTATGATTGCTTTGCTACAATAGCGGGTATTCAACCATTTGGTGCAATTAACACTACTGCTTTAAACGGCAAATATACCGAACGCACCCTCCACCCTTTTAGTCACACCCATTGTAACATCCACTTTACTGCACGTGCTATAATTAGGTTGTTCTATTCTCGACCTCACGATGGCCTGATGCCCACGCCTAGCTGGTCCACATCGAGGACTTGTGAATCCACCAGATTATATTCATTGTCCCGTCCATCTTTTCATAGTTCACTACTTGTGGGCTACACAAACTGTCATGCCGTGTGAAGATCTGGGCGGTTCTACAGAACCTGACACACGCGACGATCTAGGACCTGTCAAATGTCTTGTAGTGTATTACCCATCTATTAGATTTTTTATTTGTGTTTTTATTTATCTTTATCTTTGGTCTTTTAACTTTTATTTTGGACACATAACGCGTTCAGTCCGTCCAACACATTCTCTACATACTCGGGCGGTGGCTTTGATGGCGTACTATCCAACTCAGTTATCGGGTTCACTATGGTCGGTGCATGCAAGACAGGTGCCTCCGATGCCAGGCGTAGCTGTTCTTGGAATCTAAAGTAGCAAGTACACAAGTGAGGAGCTGGAACTCCGGGTTTAGTCTGGTCCATCTTGATCTTGTGGTGTCTGGATGCTTTTGCCAAACGATCAGTATTATTGTTGGCTGATTTTGAGTCACTAGGCAGGGGAATATTATTTGTTGATATTCCAAGATCAGCATAAGAAGGCAATTGACCATAGTCCTCTTTGAGACGGCAATCAAATACACCAATCAGGGATTCAAATATTATGGGGTAATTTTGTCTAGGCGCATCTTCTGTCTCTCTTTCTAAGCGTGGCTTCCTTAACTTGGACAGCATGTTGTGCCAGTTAGGAGGTGGTGTATTAATGGGTGTCGAGTGACTGATTTGAAGGCTGTGGTTATGATTGATAGGAAGTGTGGGTAAGGGCTGATGCAATGCTATGTGTTGGTTGGAGAGGGTTGGGAGGTTTGAGGATGATGGCGTGCGACTGACTGGAGCAGACACAGTACCCTGGCTATGTGATAGAGTGAGTTTGATGTTAATACGGTGACGGAAAAGGATATCTTTGTAGTGTGTAGTGTGGCGGATTTGACGGGAGCACGAGGGACTGGCAAGAGTGATACGATAAACCAGGGTGTCATTCACTTCAAGTGGACGTCCGTGCTTGACGAATACAGATCTCAATTCGTCCGTGTCGACCGCCACAGATTCCCCGTCCAGAAGCCGGGTAGCGTGTAAAAAGTCTAGTCCGAAATTATCCGTTCCTGTCCGTAACGCATCCATTTGTATCACAGTGTATCGCCTGGTTTCCTCAATAGACACATCTATATGCTCAAGCCGTACATTCTTTTGGTGTGGTTGAATTGTCAGTCTCATGTAAAGCAGTTCTCCCGAAGAAAACGCCGCATTCTCAACGACAGCCTGTACATCAGCAATATCCAAGTGCTTTTCGAATGTCCGCGAAGGATCCTGCAAAGAATTATTTGTCAAAATTGAATTGGACATGTACGTCCGCAACACCAATACTGGTTTTGAAGTGTGTAGGTTGTTGAGTAACTGGAGACCTGGCCCGGAGGCATGTGCGTCAATTGTGTGTGTGACTTGACCATAAATATCTTCAATCGTTTCAGCCATGGTCTTTGTTATTTTATTTTTTTCAAAAGTACATTTAGTATATCGTAGCTTGGGGATTGATGATTATCTGTATAATGGTTTACTTACATTTGGTACGACAAATGTAAAAGGAAATCGATGAGTTCCGACTGGTAGTAATATAGTGTCTTTGTCATCCATTACAGAGCCCAAAACATTTATGGTTTCTTCGTTTAAAGTTTTTTTGTGATATAGTCGAGTAGCTCGAGAACCGATACCTAGACTTCAGATCAGCATTGGCTGTATATAAGCTGTCCGGACAACAATTACCTTCAGGCCAGTTGGTATTTGCAACTGACTTGAATTGGACAATGATTTTCGATAGCTTTCGAGCCTTTGACAGCGAAAGAACCACATTGCCCATGAACACTGTTGAAGAATCGTCAGTAGGCGGCCCTCGCAAGATCACTGGTTTAAGTGGATCGAAATGCAGCCTATCCTGCGATAAGAGTCCAATATGCATTGCTTTTCTTTCACTGCCTTTTGTCTGTTATTAACGACGAAAATAAGTAAAGAAGAAGTAAAGAAAAAAATAGCTCTTTTTTTTTGGACTTGAATGGATTTTAATGGTCTATTCATTTTCCCATTTTTTTTTATCTGAGACAGTAAAGCGCTGATTATTTAATTCTTTTGGAAGCCGAAAAATAAGATGGTCCAATACGCGTTAACACACGTGGACAATCCGATGGGATCATTCAAACGGAGGCTTTTTTGTGCCCTCTTTTTATTTTATAACTATTAAGAGATCATTCATCGCTTTATTGGTGAGATGTAAAGATCTTGTCCCTTTTCAAAAGATCGTGTACAACATTTCCTCTTCTCAAAGCTGTAAACCCAGCGGCATTAATACAAAAACAGTCACACAAGGTGTTTGGACCGTCGTCGAGGTCTTTGATTCATTCCACTTTACAAGTCATGCCTCTCATTATACTAACAGGCTATCCCTCAAGTGGAAAGACACAGCGCGCTGCAGAGATTAACAAATATCTGCTCGACAGACTTGAGGCTGAAAATAAATCACTCAAGATCCATTGGATCAATGACGAATCGCTTAATGTCCACCGAGATGCCTACAAGGGTACTACAACTATCGAACTCTAAATGACCTAGGAAAATATCTCATTCTTGCTTGTAGATGCTCGCGAAGAAAAAAAGGCGAGAGGAGCAATGATGTCAGCCGTCGAACGATTACTTTCTAAGGATGCGATTGTGATTGCAGACGGACTTAATTACATCAAGGGCTTTAGGTATCAATTGTATTGTGTAGCCCGTGCAATTAGTACACCTCACTGTGTGGTAAGAAACAAATAATATTAAATAAGAAGCCAATTTTAATTTGTCTGTTTTATTTTATTTTATCTAACAGGTTCACACTGGAGCACCTGTTCAGTTAGCAAGAGAGTGGAACGCAACCCGAACCGACGGATATGAACCCATTGTGTAAGTAAGATATGTATTTATTTTTTGGGCCATTATAAATCTGTAGGAAATTCTTAATATGTGGTTCCCTCTGTAGATTTGATGAACTGGTTACACGCTATGAAGAACCAGAAGCACGAAATAGATGGGATTCTCCCTTGTTTACCGTGATCTATGATGACAAGGAGATACCCGGAGACAAGATCTGGGATGCGGTTATTTTGCGAAAGCCACCGCCGCCTAACCTTTCCACTGTCACTGTAAGTTGCTATTGGAGACAAACCCTGCCACAGCCATATTTTCTTACACATACCAGAAACCCGTATCGGATACAAACTATGTTTATGAGCTCGACAAGGCAACACTAGAGATTATCAATGCGGTCATTGAAGGGCAAAAGGAATTTGGGCCGGGTGGCATGCCCATGACTGTCCCAAGATCTTCTGAAAAGGTTGTCAATCCTTCCAGAACTGTCACTCTGTCAGAGCTCAGACGATTGAGAAAGCAATTTGTGTCGCTCAATCGTGTACGGACTTCGCTTGATGTGAACAGAATTGGTGACATGTTTGCCGACTACCTCAACACCAACTTGGCTTAATTATATAGTTACCCATACTTTAAATCAAGGTTCCGTGCTTATTTTCATTTTCATTCTCACTTTCATTTATGTATTTTGTTGTCATCCATACACACAGATGTTATCCAGGTATTCATCATAGAGCATGTATTTCCTAATTAATAAATATAAATCGCCTATACACAATTATTTTATATATTCTTTAGTGAAGGTTTGAGGAAGTACATAGTAAACCTTGTAATGTCGACAACCTTGTGTTCAACAATGCTTTTAATAGATGTGTATGAAGGCGAATTTTTATTAATATTATTTTTCTTAGAGATAGCAGAGAGACTATTTTGCTCATTGCAGATTAGCAATTAAAGACCATGATTTTAACAAGTACTTTCTAGAAATCACTTTAATATTAGTCATATCAATAGAAATACCCTTTTTTTCAATTGAAAGGAGTATTTTTTTCTGTCCAAGGACCTCTTCTTGTCTCGCCAGTTAAATGTTACAGTGGAATGACGATGGTACTTGCAAAGATGTGCGAGTTTGCACTTGTAACTAGAGAGAGTAAACCAACTCGAATCTACTTGAGATAGGTCATAAAGGAAGGGCACGACATTTCCTGTTAGGATATGATGTTTTTAATTAACATGTTAGGTAAAGATTTTATGATTCTCTATATATCAGTTGATTCATTACAAGTAGTATTAAATTTTAAGTATAGCATTACATATTTAAGAGGATGATTTTACACTAAGCCAAAACTATTATCATGCCTTAAAGTAAAATGAATCGAACTACTGGGAGCACAAATTTTGACTAAATATTTAAAGTGGACTGCTGAAGATGCTCTTCAGGAACAAATAGAAAGAGCTATTTAACTACTTTGAAGTTCACTGCGGTGAGTGATACAAGAAGGGCAATGTTAAGGACATGAAAAAAAAAGAGATTATGGCAGGACATGCAAAAGAGACCAAAACAAAGAATTAAGTGTGACTTCACCTATAATTGGTTTTAGTGAGCGTTACTGGCAAGATTGCTTCAGCACATGAAAAATAGCATCTCAAGTAAGTTGGGGTGTACAAACTGATAATATTTTAGTTCGATGTCAGAAAATTGTGCATAGAAACCCAAAAATAAACACTGTAATTTAAAATAATCCTTATAAAACTCGCAGCCTTTTCTTTTTTACAGAGTGAAAAAAAAATAAAGTCAATATATGAAAATAGTATCCAGTCTAGACATTTATATTTAAAAGCTGTGATTGTGATGTGTAGGAACAGATATACAGTTATGTGCGAAACGCCAAGTTGTATAAATACATAAAGAGTAATCTTTACATCATGTCTCATTGCTTCAAAGTAACTTCAGAAAAGAAGATAAAATTTTTATTCAGAGAATGTGAATTGCAAGTAAAAGACTAAACTCGAGGTAAACTTGATACTCCTATGTACAACCCAGAAAACTGGATTCGTACAGACACGAACACAAGCACGAACACAAACACAAGCACACATATAAAGAGAGAGAAAGGAATTGTTACATCAAAATGGCCAATTCCAAGTTAAGCAGGGAATACAGAAACTCCTATGAAATTAAAGCAAGTAGTAATATTTGAGCCTCAAAAGGCTGACAAGTGTTGGTGCACACCATATTTATTCTTAGATGCCCATTTACTTATTTTCTTATGGCTGCGGAAAATTTATCTAATATATTCTAGCTAGAAACTACTCATCTTTGTTTAACAGTTACAAAAGTATGAGTATTATGGTTTATATGACATGTTCATAATTGCCAGATTCTTTATAAAATAATAATAAGCGGGCAATAACCAATACTTGATTGAGTAATAAACTAATTTTCCTTGGCTACTGTTTATAAAGATTATTTGTAATAAGAATCAAATGATTTCTTAAATAAATAAATAAAGAAAGTATACATATATACTTCTTTGGAACTCTTGCTTGATAATCTGTTTGTACTGTGTGCTCACCCTTGGTCTACACCAAAAGTATATAAGTGAAGTATTTACATTACAAGATCCATTAAAGCTACTGTGCTGAGACGCTTATTAAGTCGACATTTTTACCTGATGAATTAATTTTATTCCTGTATATAAATTACACTGTCAATGATTGGTTATTCTATAAAAACATTAATTTTAACATCTAGACTAAATTATAATATATTGGGCATTTTTCGAGTAATTCAGAAGATTTAATTATTAGATACGCTCAGTGCTCGGTACTAAATTCTTACTTATTACCTCTTTGCTCACCCATGGAACAAAGTGGTACATTGTTATTGCTATTGCTTTTGTATTGTTCCTGGTAAAAATGGGTGTTATATTTCCAAAAGGAAATTACGCGAGATTTAATAATTCGATGTCGCATATCTAGGGTATTTTGTCACACAAGTCTCTTATTATAATTAGCATTCGAATTCTTGTGCACAGATGAAATATATATTTATTTATACAAGAAGAGATACACCTTTTGCCAAAATTGTGTTGCAAAAAAAGATGTCGTATATATAACTGTTTATTAAATAGGATGGCCTGCAAGGCAGTCATCAAAATGTCTTTAATAAAATTGACATAGTAATTGGTTACCGTGCCCTTTATTTCGGATGGAAGTTGTTTCTTCATAGTGCAAGCTTGGGCAGCCATCAACCCACAAGTCAAGTTGTTGCAGGTATACCCTCTGTCAAAAGCTTTCCCCCGAATATATCCAGCATTTGGTTATTATATTGTCGAGGCTTCATCAGTAATATATACTGAATTGACCTGATATGCATTGTTTAGTTTATAAGTATCAAGATTGGACCTTTGCCTAAACTACTCACATAAGCCCATACACTGACTCCTCAAGGAGTATCTCTTTTGCTTCTTTGATATATTCAACTACCGCTTCTTGTAGTTTAAAAAGGGGAACGGCACGGACAAGCTAGAAAGTCAAAATTGAAAAGTTAGTATAATTCAAGTTAATTCTATTTTGAAAGCCATACCTTGGTTGCTAGTACATCAAAGAATAATTTTCAAGGCCTTATTTTTTGGACTATGTGTTTATGAAAGTTGACGTTTGGCCAAGTGAATTTTCTGATGTTTTTGCATTTGGCAAGAAGAAAGCGGTTAATTTCCAAGATAATTATTATAGGTTGGATTGTTAAGTTTGTCAATAATGTAATATCAATTGGAGAACCAAGATTGGTGATGTTTTATATAGATTTTCTTCTTTTGCTAAGGATACTTGTTGTCTAAACAATGTGCTTTAAAAGAAGACTTACTTTTTTGTTCTTTTTCGTTTTCGATGCAGTGCTCTAATGCAATTATCTTACGTTTTGTGTTTTTGTGCAGACCCTTGATTGCTTCCACTATTTTTGGACTGTTGAGGTCCTCAAGTTTCTGTTGGACTATTTGGGCTGCTATTTTTTTTGATTGATAGTTGAATATCAATTTGTAGTTGTTTGCTCTGTGAGTTGTTGAAACCTTCGTAGAGATGCAGAAGACCATGGGCAAGGTCAGGGGCTATTGTTGTTATGGTGTTTATATTTTCAGGAACTGGCACTGTATTTTTGATTGCTGTATGATCTATATGTAATAGAAAAAATATATGAACATATCACTATACATTTAATATATAAACTTCTTATATTACCTTTGCCTTCCAAGCATTCTCTTCTCTACTGTCTTGGAATACAGGGAATTGGAATGAGATCAGATTTAGCAAGCTGATGATAACATGGGAACAATTAATTGTATGTAATGAGACATCTGCACTCTTGGTCTTTCTTCTCTGGGATAATTGATTGGGACAGTTGCTGTTTAATTTGATCTATTACATACCAACCAATTTTATGACGAATGTCATTTAGTCTGGCAGCATTTCTTTTATTGAATAAAATTGTTGTGTTTTCTCCAATACACTCGACCATTAATCTATGCTTACTATCAGCAACCTATATCATTTATATATGTTTTGTTAAAAGAAATTACTATTAGAGATCTTAACCAATAAATACATAAAATAATATGATATAAGCTTACCAATTCCTCACACCACTTCTTTACTTTGAGGATAACAGTCTTAAGTTTACCAGAGGAAGTGCCAAGAGAATGCTTAGAAGCATGAGCACTTTCTGCACGGTTGGGGTGTGGTTTCCGAAATGAAGGTATTTTTAGACGCAAATGTTTACCCATTTTTCTTTATCCTTCATTTTTCTGATGAATTATATAAAAAAAACCAATTTGTTATAGTTAAAAAGCTAGTTATTTTGATTATAAAAGCTCTATATTTATCTTTCGAGGAAAGTATTGGTACTCTTTCCATTGTCTATACAATGTTCCTTTGCGAAACTAAGATACCCATTTATTTCTTTCTTCATTTATTCATACGTCACGCACTCCAAAGCAATCCTGTCCAATTAATTGGCCAACTTCTCCAAGAAACTTTTCTTTTCTTCATTTTCATCTTCCTTCATCACTGGAAAAAGCTGTTTTTTGAAGTTATCTTTTATGTGCTTATAACATAAAAACTGTTTTGACTTGGGGAAAGCATGAGTAAGTGCATTTCTCAATGCTTGCTCGTTGTCAGTGATGAATACACCTGGGAGAAGAAATTTGTTGGCATTGGCGTTGACATTAGTGATGTTGTTATCTTCAATATCAGGCTAGCCTGTGTCCTGAAGGTACCAAAGTACCCAGAGATGGTTTTCGACTGTCTCATGCTCCACCCAAGCACCAGCAATTGGAAATCACTCTAATGTCTTGTGTGGGGTTCAAGCCACATTACTAGTTCCAACAATATTGACAAATATCATACTATGGCTGTTTGTCTTGTATGTCGCACCAATTATCGCAGTCTCGGGAATTCCTATTGCTTCTTCGATTGCGTCTTTGTGGACAAAAAATACCTTGTTGACTTTGTTGTCTTCAGTGTTGTCAACGATATATCTCTCATGGAAGTCAAGATCCTGTAAAGTTGTGATGAATTCAAAAATCTCTCTTCCCTCACCAGATTTTCCGAAATGTTTTTTAATGTTGGCAATGTCCTGGAAAATAATATTGGTGTATTCACTTCTCTTTAAGATGTTAAAGACAGTGACTACATCATCGTTCTCCTCTGGGTACTTAGATACGATATCCATCACCTCGGGTGACAGTTTACAGTGCATGGCATAAGCTCTGCTGTTTTCTTCAGCTGCGAGATTATGCTGTGCCTCACAAGAGTACACTGCAAGATTTCCTCCTTTTTTGTTTGAGGTATACAGAAAGCATGGGCAACTGTGGTTTTGTGTATCCTTCTTGCGCTTTCATTCCCATCCAGGAAGAGGGGTTTCTTCATTAACCGATACTTGAGCAGCTTTCTCGGCCTTTCTGGTGTATCTGTATTTACCAGAGTGCTTACAGATTAACTTAATGCGAGAACTTGATGAATATGCAGTGGTGAGAGCAATGTTATGGTTGACATCATATGCCTTAGCAGCTTCTCTAACAGCTACAACCGAAGAGAATTCTTTCCAACAAGAAAAATTTAGTTGAGCTCAGTCAAGGGAGCAGCGTACTTCTTCGATGTCTCGCTAACAATTATAATATCATTAGTGTTGTTGACGTTGTTAATGTTGCTCATGTTAAATGCCAAAAAAATTATGCGCTGATGTTGTAGTAAAGAAAAGTGAAGGATAATTTATCTGATCCTCTCCCCAAAAAAAAATGCGTGTAACATGCAAAGCTAATTTTTCAGTACGTTGCATACATTTTCAATTTTGACTTTCTAGCTTGTCCGGTTAGCATATTTCCCAGCTTGTCCGTACCGTTCCCCTTAATAAACAATTATATATACGACATCTTTTTTTTTAAAAAAAAAAGCACGATGCTCTTTTCTTGAATTGTGCGACACTGTTTTTTTAAAAAGTGCGACACTGTTTTATTTAAAAGCGCGACACTTTAACTTTTTTTTCGACATCATTTTGGCAAAAGGTGTACAGTACTGCTGTCAATAAGTGCGGCAAACCCGGTCCTATGGATTGTGTTTATATTAATGAGTAACTTGTACCCTCAGCATCGAATCCTTGCGAACGTAGTGATTTTTTATTGACTCTGATAAGTAACTTAAAGGTTAAGACCGATGCTAATATGTATACAAAAGTTTTTTTTTTACAAAGCCTTTATGAATTTTTTGACTGAATAAATGCGTGAATATTTACTACTATCTGAATTTTGTTTATTGGAGAAAATGTTAAAACAATATTTAATACATTTTGTAATAAATGTACATAGGCAAGATCGTTGGACTCCAACATAAATAACACTCCCGATTGATCTCATTGATGAAATCTTATGTTTATATTGTTAGCTAATGATGAATCTTGCAATTGTTCTTATATGATGACATGTGCTCTGTACGCAAGAATGAAAGGTTCTTGTGTGCTAGTGTAGCTGAAGAAGGATGAAATATTTAGCGGCTTTAAATGCTTATTTTGTCAACAACACTTATCTCATTATCATTGAGATCAGGTATCACATGATAAATATTTTTATTGCATATCCAGGTCTAGATCCTATTATATATATAAGAGTGTGTATGGGTATACGTGAAGTCTATGATAGTTAAGACATTTTGAAATATCCCAGAAAAATTGTTGAAAGTACACATGGATAGAGATTCCTTTGTCTTCACTATCCGTACAATGCAAACTCAATGTAATCGCAACTATCTTGTATTTAGCGCAAAAAAAAGTTGTTTCGTTAAATGCAAAAAATGGATTGGTAATCTTTTTTTTAATATAAAAAAATTAAAATGATTTATAGTGTGTGACGACCCTTCTGCCCCAACCACCCCTTAGTAAGCGTTTTAGTTTCCTGTATGAAGTAAATGTATTGGCTGCAGCTAAAACAGTTCAGTAGCTGCATAAACAGCATGCATAAAAGCTTGTCCGCTTACATATAACTACGCCAAAAAAAACAAAAAAGAAAAAAAATGCTTTCAATTTTGAGCACAATGCATACATCTTTAAAGTTGTCTATTATGTCTTTATATATAAAACTTTAAATGAAGGGTATATTTCTGTCATTGACCTTTCCCCCATAGCTTATCCAATATACTCATTAAAAGTAATGTAAATTAAAGGGATTGTTTGCATGCTTTCTTTCAACAAATCAAAGTGTTAATACATAATTCATTAGACCCTATAGGGACAATTCAGTAGTAGAGTGCTGTGTACAAGCCGTACAAGGTTTATAACTATTTCACTTGTACTGAATCTAGACTTTTCGTAAATACACAAACGCGTTCAAATGACATTTTATCAGCCAAATCGTTGCTTTAGTTTACTAATTAAAATGACTGCAGCCGTTAGTCTATCGTAGTCGCACTCTTGAAAAGTGTAGGGTGTTTAAACAATCAAGAGCTTATCTGATCAAACAACCAATCCTTTCAACTGTGTTTGTGTTCTGATAGCCCAATTTAGTTGGGGTTGAGCTGGATACCATTGGCGTCATACGCCCAAATGGGTTCTCTTGGCTCAGATATTTCAAAGATAAAAAATAACTTATTCTCAATTGGCTGATATTATGGCTCTATTGTCTATTAAGATGTAAAGAATAATGAAAAGGAGAGCTGTGCTGAATCTTGAATGGTTAACTTTAATCATAGCGTAAAGGCTTTCCTTTGTTGCAGGTCCGGAGTCTAAATGTTGCCATTTCCTAAGTGTTTATATCAATAAAGCACTCCGAGAGCACATCTGGTCCCAGTCATATAATTTTCCTGATCCAAAAATAATATAAATGCCAGTAGTAGTTCAGTGTAGGAACCTGGTCAAATTTTTATACAACCAATTGCTTTAATAAAAACCTACATAAGTTCTCACGAATCTTCGTTCCTCATTTCCAAATCTTTCTTTTAAAAAACCAATCACTTCGTTAACCTTGACAATTCTCTCGTACGCTGGTGAGCATTAGAAATATTGGGATGCCCTCAGTGGGTGTGAAGTTAGAATATCCTGCCATAACGTTTTAAGAAGAAAAACTCCCCCACAAAAAAAAAGAATATCCTGTCAAACCAGAAGTATCTCTAAAGCGATATATTTTATGTCCTGTCCACAAAAATTCAAAAACGCCATATTCATCCTGAAATCAGACTAACATCGAAAAAGATTCTTTTCTGAGAATTATGCTAAAGACTGGAATCTCGAGAAGTATTATCGCTACAACCAAACAGAAGCAGATTTCTCAAATCATGAAACAGTAAAGGTGCGGTTCAAAAATGAGTTAGACTGGTTATCTATGCATGAGTTACCTTGAAGCGTAAAGTCCTATATATCATAATTAAAAGTAAGTATAGGCTCGATATAACAAAAGATACTCGATCAAACTAACGTGTGTAAAATTGGTCAATAGAAGGTTGCACTTCAGAATAACAGCTGTTCTGACCCATCAAGTAGAAGAATGACTTTCGTAACTAATTGTGAAGGAAGGTGGTTAAATTTTGTCGATGCTAAATTTATGTCTAGGAAAAAGCTACCACCCAATACTCTCAAATCGTGTCAAACATAGTTATGGACGAGGCAAGAGAGTTTTCAGCTTAAGTAATATTTAAATTATATTTTATACGCGTATCACAATTTGCTGCTGCTGAATATCGTTATCATTGATATAGTCAAGTTTCCGACAGTCATGGCAGAAGTAAAAAGGAGGAAGACAGTAATGTTCATAGAGACGCTTCTGCTGAGCAAGAATCTGCTGTTGAAGAAGACCATAAAGAAGACCAGCCAATACAAGGAAATACAGCAAATGTTCAACCAGAAATAAAGATGGGCAAAAGGTTTGCTTAATATATATGAAGTGACGATCTTCTTCATTTAGAGGCCTTTGTTAATTCTTCTTTTATTATTATTACATTGATGTAATAAGGATGTATATACCTTAACTTTTATGTATAATATATTAATATAGCATCTCTTCTTAAAAATACCTACTAGAAGAGTTCGAAGTGAGCGACGTTGAGTGGGGGAATGTTGATTTGGATTGCAGAATACAACTACTACAACTTGCAAAAAAAAGCGAGTATTTATGATTGAGCTTAAGCATTTCAACAATTATGATCAACTATTCCATTGCCTATTCCAAAACGGTTGGAGGGTTAGCGTCCAAACAATCGGATCAAAAAGGTAGTATGGATAGGAAATAGCTTTTTTTTGGTTTCGCTTTTCCTTTTTGTGTAGATGTACTACCTGGAAGAAATAGACCATTACTATCATTGAATTGGTTTAAAAGTTTATAAGCAATGCTGTTAGGAATACCACAAGCTTCGGCCGCTTTTGGTACGGTGGTCCCTGTTTCCTGTAAAATATGTATAAAGCGTGCGACTTGTTCAAACCTACACTTTTTTTTATATGTTTTGGTTTTAGTAAGTCATCTCCTCCAGCTCTAAAAACCATTTCCTTCATTCATTTTTCATCATCTGCGCTTTGAGAAATATCTTCTATGAGGTACTCATTTTCACTAGGTATCTCAATTTTGCCAAACTCAACAGCAACCTCACCAACTTTCATTCTCTCAGTCATAAATTCATCGTAGTTTTCGTCTGGAATATAGTTAACGTAGTCCGTTTTAATTTAATAGATGTCTAACATAAAAGAAAGGAAATCGTTTAAAAACTTAATTCTAAAAAAAAATCTGTTTTTTCTAAGCTAAAAAGACCCTTCAAACAAATTCTGTGATCAATATTTTGATTATCTTCTTTTGAGTGTCACCAGACCTCCCAAGCTTAATAAAATGCTTCTTATAAATAAAAATTTAAACTAGAGGTTCATATTTTTTTTTTGAAGACTTCCCAAAAATAATGTAATTCTCAAAAAAAATTCTATTGGTCTAAAAAAATTTATAATCTCAAATTTAACCGAAAATACTGTACTCCCGTTGGCGGTAAGTTAGTAAGCATTTCAGTACCAGGTGTGTAGGGGATGGCGAATCAGAAGTAAGCAGGTGCCTTAAATTGTAGCGTCATCTTAAAAAAATTAGGCGAGCTATATAAACCCTCGCGACACAGCTCTTTTACTACAACATTTCTTATTTCATCAAAAATGGGTAAGCAACAAGAGCTGTTTTAAAAAGATTAATAATGAAATACTCTACCGCACTTTACTCACACCTCTTGTAGTTGCCCAAGTTCAGAAGCCCGCCCCTGCCTTCACCGCCCCTGCTGTTGTTAACGGCGAGTTCAAGGATATCTCTTTGTCCGACTACAAGGGCAAGTACGTTGTCTTCTTCTGGTATCCCATGGACTTCACCTTTGTCTGCCCCACCGAGATCCTCGCCTTCTCTGAGCGCGTCAAGGAGTTCGAGGCCCTCAACACCGTTGTCATTGGTGCTTCCACCGACTCTGGTAAGCTTTGATTTCAATTTTTTTTTTGATTGGCTAGTTTGGGGGAGGACGATAAATACACAAATATATGAACGCGTACTAACCATCCTATAGAGTTCTCTCACTTGGCCTGGATTAACACTCCTCGCAAGCAGGGTGGTCTCGGTGAGATGAAGATCCCTCTTTTGGCCGATAAGACCAAGAGCATTGCCCGTGACTACGGTGTTTTGATTGAGGAAGCCGGTATTGCTCTCCGTGGTCTCTTCATCATTGACCCCAAGGGTACCGTCCGTCAGATCACCATCAACGATCTCCCCGTCGGCCGTAACGTTGATGAGATCCTCCGTCTCGTTGAGGCTTTCCAGTTCACTGATGTCCACGGTGAGGTCTGCCCCGCCAACTGGACCAAGGGCTCTAAGACCATCAAGCCCGATGTCAAGCAGTCCAAGGAGTACTTTGAGTCCTCCAACTAAATCTTTGGAAATAAATTTCCATTGCGTTGGTTAACTTTTATGGCTGAACGATATTGTATAATAAAATAAAATAAAATAAAACATAAACCAAACCAAACCAAACCAATTTTTTATATTTGATTTTATATTACTTTGTGAATAGTGTGTAGTTAAGCCAAAGACAAAAATACATATATATATATGTATATTCTATATATTGACAAAAGTGAATTTATCGGGGTTCCTGTCAGGGAACAAAAGGCTTTACACATCGGACCTTGACAATAAGTCCTTCAAAAGAAACTTCCACAGAACCAAATTTTGGCTCTATAAAAACCAATCTTAATTCGACCCCCTCCTCCCTTCTCTCTCTGTCTTTCTCTTGATTCACTTTTACTATGAAGATTATTCCCATTGGCGTCCTTGAAAACAACTATTCTTACATTCTTATCGATGAGAAGACAAAGGAAGCAGCTGTAATTGATCCCGTAGAACCTATCAAGATTCTCAATGTCATTAGTCAAACAGGGGCAAAACTATCAAGGTAGATGATAAACAATAGTTTCCTTGTAAGTCATAGCAACCAACCGCTTTTGCAATAGTGTATTTGTAACCCATCATCATTGGGATCATTCAGGAGGAAACATCGAGCTTGTAGGTAAAGTATAAAACAGAAACAAAACAAAACAAAAAGACATTGGCTTGACTTGTGGAAGAGAAAGGCAGAACCGGAAAAACGGTTGATGGCGTAGCTTGAAAACAATTCTTTGGACGTAGAGTAACACAATGATCCACTATATTGCAATAGCCAAAAAGCCTGGACTGGCAGTGTACGGAGCCGATGCAAGAATTCCAGAAATCAACTATGTTTGCAAAGACCACGAAGAATTCAAACTCGGATCACTTGACATAACACCTTTACACACGCCTTGCCACACAAAGGGCCACGTATGTTACTATGTGGTCGACACTGCGACTAATGAACGGGCCGTTTTTACCGGAGAGTAAGTTAATAGCAGACATGTTTTGATAGTGAAAGAAAGGGGGAAGGAGGGAAGGGGGCTTATAAATAATAATTAATAAATCGGAATGAATAGTACTTTGTTTATAGCTGGTATTGGAAACTTCTTTGAAGGAGATGCTCGCGATATGTACCGGATCCTTTTCCATGTCATCACAACCTTGCCTGACGATACATGGGTGTACTGTGGTCATGAATACACAAAGGAGAATTTAAAGGTAAAAATAAAAATAAAAATAAATAAAATTGAGATCAAACATTCAAGTGCGATGTGACACTGACTCCTCCCCACCTTTAAGTTCGCCTTGACACTTGAACCCCACAACGAATCCCTGTTGGCAAAATGGGCTTGGTGTCAGGATAAGCAAATAACTGTTCCTTCTACAATTGGACAAGAGAAGCTGTACAACCCTTTCTTAAGGGTCAATGAACAGACTCTCCAGCTTGTGGCAGGAAAGACTGACCCTGTAGAAGTGCTCCATACACTCAAAGAGATGAAGAACGCGTTTCGGTAAACCTAGTATCATCAGCCATCACTTAACCCTTTCAATCCACAAGTACTCCAGACTCCAATTCAAACCAACTGCTTCCTCCACTTCACGCTTTACAAAAGTTTTTGAATCCACAACATTCCTCACTGCTTCTTTTATTCCCTCCCAACTTCCATTTCTTCCACATTTACAATAAGCCTCATTTTTTTTTATTAGTATAAGATGTCTAGCAAATAAGCAATTAGCTTTTAGACTACTTTCCAATACAAAACTGGCCAAATAATACATCCAAAACATCTTCAACATCAACCCTTCCAGTAATTCTGCCCAGCGCATTTGCTGCCTGTCTCAGTTCTTCGGCTGACAAGACAATATCCTGTGCTGGCATCGCTTTTATTTTTGATATAGAGATCAATGGAAAAGTCAATATATGATTAGTTTAGAACTTCTTTATTTTGCTTTTAATATTACCTAGATAGGCGTCTAGTCCTTGAACGCATTCTTCCAGATGGTGTCTATGACGGGCTTGGGTAATTAGCGCTGGACTAGCTATAGAATCATCGTATCTAAAAATGATAAAAATAATAAGTACAAGATATTCTCCAATTGTGCTTAATCTCTTACCTCATTTTCAATATGGAAACAATATCATTCAAAAAGACATCAACACCTTCACCAGTCTTGCAACTCACAGACCACACCTTACATGCACCTGTTTCGTGTTGTACTTTTTTAGCAAAATCAAAGGGATTAAGATGAGGTGCGGCATCTTGTTTATTTAAAAGAACGTATGTTGTACTGTCAATCACGTCTCGAATAACATCATCAATATGAATGTCCTTCTTATCTGTTTTCAAATGAGCAAATGACAAAAGACATATCTTTACATCTGAAGACAGCGCTCTAAAGACATTTCTTTTAATTTAACTTTTGATAACATTGCCCAAAATGAACATATACTTGCCTTGCTTTTGCTCTTTTGATACCTTCTATTTCAACCAGATCTTCTGATTCACGAAGTCCAGCTGTATCACTAACAATTACAGGATAGCCCCCAAGGTTCAATGTAACTTCTACTATATCTCGTGTTGTACCCGGAATATCTGAAACAATAGCAGCCTCTCTTTTTGCTGCGCAGATACTTAATTCACACGTACACATGCAAATGTTCTATGAATTATCAATATCTTACCCAACCGATTCAAAAGAGTACTCTTTCCGGCATTTGGAGGACCAACAATGGCTACGTTTATGCCTGATCGTACTATCTCACCCACACGACTATCGTCCAAATGTCTACTTATCGAGTTTCGCAATTTCTTGATGTCCTGGATCACTAAATCCATCCCCCAAAAAAGCAAACTCAAATTTAGTCGCTGAATATATATATATATATAAAAGCTTATAAATATAGACTTACCTTGATCAAGTACTCCCTCTTCAATTTGCTCATCTTCTCCAAAATCAATCACTGCCTCAGTGGTAGCCATACATCGAATAATGTCTTCTCTCCAGCTGTCATAGGGGATTCTCAATCCACCCTAAAAGAAATACGTCAGTTATATATATATATATTGACGCAATTCTATTCACTGCCTACCTCTGCTTGCCTTAAAGCAACTTTCCTTTGAATTTCTGTTTCTGCATTCAAAAGATCTGCTAGCCCTTCAAGTTCGGTAAGATCTAATTTATCATTATCAAACGCTCTAATAATCATCAAATTATTATCATTTTCTCTTTGTTTTTATTTCTTTAAAGAAATAGGGGTTTTTTTTGCTATTACCTTCTCGCGAACTCGCCTTGCTCGGCCATGCGAAAGCCATCTAATGAACCCAATGCATCTAATACACTCTTAACTACAGCATTTCCTCCATGAATCTGTAGCTCCACTGTGTCCTCCCCTGTAAAGCTGCGCGGACCTATAAATTTATATATATAGGCATGATTAGCATGACAGTATCATCGATTGAAAAGCAAGAGAAGAGAAAAACAGTGTATCCTACCAGGAAACCAAAGGACAAGGGCTCTATCCAAAACTTCCCCTGTTCTAGGATCCCTTATTCGCCGAAAATATGCCTGCCTTGGTTTTAAATCACTTTGCTTCTCACCAATGCTTGCCATTTTTCGGATTGCCTGTAATATGTATTAATATACAATAGCAGAAAAAATATGTTTTTTTTTTCTAAAATTTACATCCTTTGCTCGGCTTCCTGATATACGTAGTACGGCTACCCCCGCCTTTCCAGGCGACGTTGATAGTGCATAGATAGTACTTTCTGTGACATTTCCGCTAAATAAACGATAATAAATCTGGTTGTTGTGGGTGCCGCGGGTTCTGAAAAGTTTATGATGGTCTCCAAGAACTCTTAAGTTTGGCACAGGTGACAAATGGTAGGATCTAGTCATGCAATGCCATGATCGCTTCACTCCTTGTCGTGCAAATGCAATAGTTACTGGTTTCCAGAAAGACATGAGGAAAAAAGACATGGCAAAAACGGTCACGAAAGGGGGACTTTAAGTGACAGATCGCTTTTATTCGATCATCGGTTACTTGAATCCTCAATGCAGCCTTGGAAGACATTTCATTCTTTTGCAAACAATGCACGATCTCCATTGTGCAGGCCTTTGAAGAATAAAGCCTGTTGTCCTTTAGGATCCCAGCCCTCTTTCCGGTCCCTGAATACCAAGCCAACTTCTGCGCTAACTCTCAACAAACCCACCGCCCCCAAACCAAAGCACCCGAAACCAGCTGGCACTGTTAAAACAGACGAAAACGAACTATCAAACCGTCAAAAGTTCAATCGTGTTGAGCCTTCTGCAAGAGTGTATGAGAAACTCGAGAAACTTGGATTTGGAACCCTTCGACAAACCAAACGGTTCTCAATAGTCCGTGGCAAGCAGAAGCCAGTTTCAGAAAAAGATGGACCACCAGATCCAGAGTATTCGGTAAAGCACGAAGATATGATACTTTAATTTTATTTGGTAGGCTGACCAATTGTTCAATATGTACATATGTTTTCCCTTTAGTTTCCATTACTTTCATTTTTTGCAGGGGCCAAGACACCTGCATCCTTCCCTCCCGAAAGTTTGGTTGAGATTGGATTTGTTGGCAAGTATTTTTTATTTATTTATTTATTTATTAGTACAGAACAAGTTATATACATGGACACTAATATATGTAGAATACAGGTCGATCGAATGTAGGAAAGTCAAGTCTTATTAATAGCCTGGCCGAGAGCACAGTAGTTCGAACATCTGATAAGCCAGGATTGACACAGCAAATCAATTTCTTCTCGGCTGGCTCATTGTTTCACATGGTAGACATGCCAGGTTATGGATTTGCCTTTGTGGACGATGCGGAAAGGCAGCAATGGAGGGATTTGGTATGTGCATTGTTGCTTGCTGGGATCTAGTATTATTAATTGTAGTTTATGTTTATCAAAACTAACTTGAAATAACATTATTTCACCAACTTGTTTAGATGGAAAACTATGCAGAAAAAAGAACAATACTCAAAAGATTATTTGTTGTTATCGATGCACGCCATGGCCTCAAAGTTGCAGACCATGATTTCCTCCAGATGCTTGATAGGTAAAAAAAAAGTATTTTTTATGTATGTAATATTTTCTAAACAACTCTACAGCAAAAAGGTCCGGTTTCAAATCGTCTTGACAAAATGCGATTTACAAGTATTGCCTATATTAGCACGCCGTGTAATGGTTGTACAAGAGAGTATCCGAACTTATAGACACTCTGTTAAAGATGTTCTGGTTGTCAGCTCAAAGACTGGATCGGGTATTAACCAGATGCGTAAGGAAATTCTCTTCTTGACCGGAAAATTACAACCAAGAGAGTTTTACAAGCCAAAGAAAGAGGAAGTTCCTCAAAAACGTTATTAAAAGCTATTCATAAACACGGATGTACAAGCTGGGGAGGATTTCAGGATAGCATAATTTTAAGCCACCTTGAAAAACTATAAATCAAAAAATCAAAATAAAAGTAATGGTAATGGTAAATATATCTACAACCTACGCCAAAAGAATCTCGGCTCCGAGTTATACTTTATTGTGGGAAAATTATCGCTTTTATGTAATGTAATGTCACCCCGCACTATATTATATTATATATATATTAAAAAAATAACAACAGCAACAATAATAGGGATAATATTTTACTCTCCAAAATTATATGATAATAGTATACACTATGTTAAAACAAAAAGGTTAGTTTTAGTAGGGGGGTTTTTTTTTAAAAAAAAATACACTCCCAAACACGCATCTTTTCACTTAGTATTAGTTAGTTCGAGCTATGTGATTTTAATAATGGTATTTAATCCATGGGATTGTTTTATATATTTTAACTCTTATACGGTCTCATATACTAACGAACAGAAAAGAGTATATATTCAACAAGTATTAACCTTTGAGCCCATTCTTGATACAAGGACTAATTATTACTATTGAGCAATTATTAAAGCAAATGATATTATTCTGGCTCATATAGAGTTTATTTTGTAAGCCAAAAGAAGTTCAACATGTATTAGACAATATTAATACCTCGAAACCATTTATTCTATGTAACGTCGTTTACTAAAATTAGTTATAAATTATTTCTATTCTCAATATATGTAAGATTACGAATTAGGATCTTGTATGTTAATATCGATGCCATGTATTAATCATAGAAAGTAAGCAGAAAAAAAGCTTAAAAAGACAATTTTAACATATCCCTGATCATGGGTTATTATTATTATTATTATTATTATTATTAAAAGCGTGTAAAATCTAATAGAGCATAGTAAAATAAAAAATAGAAACATAAAAACGAGACAATTATGTTTAGTCGTGTTTCATATATATATAAAAATAAAGACTATCATAGGATGTAAACAGCATAAATAAAGCCCTATATAAAATATCATAAATTAACTATACATATATCAAGTATAATTACTGGAATTAAAGAAAGATTATTTTCTACGCCAAATGATTCTTGGTCTGCATTGTAGCAGGTATATATCTACTGTCTTCAAACGCTGAATCAGACATATTTTGTGAGAGAGAGATGTGGCGCATAATGCTCCAAAGAGGTGGCAAATGAATATTTTGATGTTTGGTACAATCTGCGCTTTTATAAGCGCGCGACTCCTCCCGCGACGTATTGTATATGTAAGATCGATAAGGTACATGTGTAATTGACGGGGTAATGTGTCGATCAAAATCAGTCTCTTGATGTTTTGATTGATGCAAAAAGAATTTTTTCTTTTCGTTACATATTTCGGAACCATATGCAATAGGGGGCTCCGATACATTATGCTGAAAGGCTTCAAGATCGCGAATTGGAGGAAGAGATGAAACAGGCAGTGCTTTCTGAATTTTTGCTTTCTTGGCCTCTCTTGGTTTATCATCAAAACTGTATTCCGACCAAGAAATATCACAGCTTGGAATTGTGTTTGGTCTGCATACTTTGCCATTGTGTTTTTTGTGTGCAGCTATTTCTTCTCGGGAAGTATACATACAATGCTCTGGTGTTATTAGTATCGGTAAACCTGATGCACAAGTGGCTTTAGTAACATTATCCTGCATATAGGAACTATGTATTGAGTTTGGTTTGTTGAGTTTGGTTTGTTCTCGCCTCGTATGATTGCTGTTAAAGAATCTATCAAGGCTGCTTGTGACTTTTCCGGGACTGGTAAGTAGTCTCACTCTATCTGAAATCTCGATTGCACAATATTTTTCTGGAGCTCTTCTTTTGCACGTCGAGTTTCTGTAAATAAGATATACATATACGGTAAAATCAACTTATGCTCTCGATGAGTATAGTCTTCTTAAACTTACATTTGTGCATGGGATTGTTTTCGTGTCGCGATTCGTATACCTTGGCTAGAAAATGCTCTTGATAGAAATGTTGATTCTAGTGACCCAGGGTATGTGCTTACTGAGTAGACCGTAAAGATATCTGAAGTAGTGTGGCACATATGGACTGCTTCTGTACTATAATATAATGAGACTTTAAATTCAATACCACAATTCTAAGTGTGCAAGTTTACAAATTTGTTATTTTGCTATTTTTTATTATTACCTGGTAATCCAAAACAGCGAGAATTTTAAACGAAAACTACCAGTTTCCTTTACGAACAAGTTGCTAAAAATACAAAATCCACCATCTGAGAGGCAAAGTATAGATTATGCCGTGTGAACCTTTTATGATGTATATTATTTTAGGCTTTCACTTACACTTATTATCAATATCTTTAAGCTGATACATTGAAGAAGAAGTTTGTCCCTGAAGAATGTTTTTATAATCTATAGTTTCCTGGCTGTTAGATTCATCGGCTACCAAGCTAACATGGATGAACAAATAAGGACTTTCAAGAAAATACCTGTATGTATATATTTAGATTTCAGTGTGCGTCACATAATGATAATAATATATTTTTTAAACATTTAACTTACGGTTTATCATTTGTAATTTGCTCTTTAAGCTTTATTTGAATGATAGGAGGAGGCTCAATCATCCTACGGTCTATCATTTTAATTTAATTAAAGAAATGATTTGTTTGTTTAAATCAACCGAGTACTTGGGATAAGCTGTCTTACCTCGTTTGTAAGGCTTTGTTAAACAAGCAATCGACGGCTGTTGGCGAATTAAAAGTGAAAAAACACCAGCTTTTCTTTTTTTTATTTTTAATACAACAAGACCATCATTACACTTTTAAATGTTATGTTAAAGTAATACATACCCTGTATTTTTATTATTATTGTTATTAATTATGTATTTAAGCACAAAATATATCAATAACCAAGGTAGGTAATTTTATTATATATTTATATATATTATATCTCACCATTATATATATAGCTCTTATTAGAAGAAAAAGGGAAAAGGAACAAAAAAAGTAATGAGCAAGAAGTTGGAATGCTTTGAATTCCCGAGGTCTTCAATCAATTTAAATGTATAAGTTTTGACGCTATAATACGTAGCGTGTATTTTACCATGTCTTGTTGTTTATCAATTCGGAATAAAGGACTGAATATGTAAAACTAAAAATACGTTAAAGTTGTAAATTAGCATGAATATGAAGTGCAGTAAAAGTACGCACAAATATAGTAGCTATTGTAATTATCGATTTATTATATGCTAATATTATGTAAACAATGGCCGCTGTCTTGTATTCTTGTGCATATTTATTGTGCCTTGTATACAAAGGATAAACTAGAATGGACAATCTTATTTGCAAAATAATGATTGTTAAGGTTAGATAAAGCATATTTTCACTATAATTTTCATGAAAGTTAATAATATTGTCAGCAAAAAAAAAGATGCTTTAGTTCTTTTTAACCCCCCCCCCTTTTTTTTTTACCAGTAAAAAGACTCTATTATAGTGGTCATTTAACATAAGTTACTTCCAAGTAATAATTCGGTTCTTACTGAATTTAACAGTACCCTGTAGTAAATGTGTAGCTCAAAATATGAAAAAGTATTTATTTATTTATGACTTGTCTGTATTATATAAGCTATATTTTTATTGGTCGCTCTAATAGCCTACAATATGTTAATACAATAAATAAGTCAACATAATTACATTTGTGCACATTAAAAAAACACTCCTTTATTTCCTTCTTCTTTTTTGGAAATTGTGAGCTAGCCATAAATCCTTTCTGCTTTAGCTGTATAGTCGCGTAAGGGATGATAGGCTATTATATTTCTAGAATAAAATAATATATAGTAATTAAAATAATTATATCCTAAAGCAACAAAATAGTCGAAGGTTGTTATGGTGTCAATATAATACTAGCCTTATATAAGAAATGATAATAAAAAACCAGCCTGGTAAGTATTTCTTTTTTACATCTGAATATTTATGTAAATATGTATGTATGCATGTATCCATGCATGTGGATGTGTATAGTTGCACGTACTATCCTTATTGCATATTAATACTTTTGCATATGATCTTGGATACAATTAGAACTCATTAGATATCTTCATACATATATGCATATGTATATACATTCAGCGAGGAATTACTTATGCAATTTCTATTTTATTTTCTAAACATACAGTATATTCTATCATCTAGTATTGTAGATATATACAATAGATATTTTGTTAAAGTATTGCGCACTGTTTTTGCTAAAAAGAAAAGCATATTTGGTTACCTTGATCATTACTAAATTAATTCAGTACAGATATCCTGAAGGTGAATTTTCACCGGATATTATTATCATTATTTGACACTTGAGAAATCGTGTAAATTATAGTCTAGTTATGATCCTCATATATCATTTACTACCAAATACTTTAACTACAGATAGGAATATAACAGAATATATACATGTGCATTTTGGTAAATAGATTTTCAGCTTTTATTAGGTTTGAGAAAATTATGAAAGAGAAGCAAAGGAATCTCCTAGACTAAACATCTAGGTAAGCATGTCAGTTGAACAGACAACTGAAACATCAACAATAATTCAAAAAATACACTTATACTATGCGTTTAAGTTGATTTCAAGCTGGCCTTAACCAGGTATATATTTTGAAAATGTTTATTTAAACGTCTCCTACTATTTTATCCCTGACCAGGAGATGACAAAACAATAATAATGACTTTCGTCTATTTTTATTATTATAATAATAATATCTACCAAAAGCCTCATTTTGTGTTAATTAGCCAATATAAATATACAAAGCATAGTAGATGTTTAGCTGATATCTACAGAAAAATACACCCCTAATCACGTACTTTCTTTTTTCGTAGTGTCATTAAGCCTGTTTCTAACGAGGATCATGTCAATCTCATGTCAGAGATAACGAAATTGAGATTGGTACTCAAAAATTCGACTTTACAAAGTCGCAGTATACATACATATATATATAGATGATGATGTTTGCTGTATTTTTTATATGCATTCGAAGATTTATATATGATATAGAGAAATTATTAAACACAATATAATCCACTAAGCTATAAAGTAAAGCTTCAGAAGACTTGATATTATTGAATCATGTAGGGTAATATAGAAATAGCTTTCTATCTGTGTATACTTATCAAATTAATTGATAGTAGTTAAGGTTAGTTATCATAATCGGGGACACATTTGTATATGTGTGTGAAACCATAAGCACGCAAATATAGATTATTTAGCAGCACAATTATAGACATATTAGAGACGTTTGTGGTTCGGCTCCCTACAAAAAAAAAAGACGTTGTGGACTCAGATTTGTAGAGTTGCACAGAATATTAGCTAAAAAAGGCTTTTTTTGAAACTCAAATTTTCAACTTGTATTGCTGTATTTAGCTTATTTCTGTTACATAAAATTGTAGGACATTCATTTTAACTAAACGTACAAGCTGTCATTATCAATTGTGACTTGATATTCAGTAACGAAAACATTACCGTTACTTGAAAGGGCAGCACCTTTCCCTTTTTCTTTAACAAAATCTTAAAATGTCTCGTTTTGATCCTATTATCGAACTAACGGATCGTTACATAAATCACAGCTCTCGGCGTATTGCTGAAGAACAAAAGCGAGGATGGGTATCTGTTCCTGAACAGCAAGAGGAACATGCAGATGTTTACGAAGATCAAGAGCCCACCAATGAAGAAATTCAAGAAGCACTTGCTCAATATGCCCGAGACCGTGAGCAGGAAGGGGAACGCATAGCTGTCTCCTTGCATTGTCAAGGTTGCTTAGACCCAAGCACCTTGTCTGATGAAGATTCTAAACTTTTGTTTAGATTCACGCAGCCCGAGGTATAATTAAATCATTGCTTTCAAGAAAAAAAAGTACTAATTTAATATATTTATAAAACCAGATACGCTCCTTGGCCACTCTTCTTGAAATGGGAGACATCGTCTACTTTCGAGAAGGCACTCCAAGTGAATTTTCTCTGCCAATGACACTGGCTCTGATGATTGTGCTTCGCAGAATGGTTTTCCCTGCTCGCTTAGTAGATTTATCTCTGCTCTTTGGAAAGGGAAAGTCTACTCTCAGTGTCATCTTCAATGAAATGATAGAGAAGATTTATATTAAGTTCTATCCAGCCTTGAAGTTTGACTACTGTCAATTCCGGGAATCAAACCTGATGCGCTTCAGCCGAGCCATTAGAGAAAGATGTAAATAACACTTGCAAAATATAATATTAGTTTAATAGTACTTACGTTTTATATATTATTTGGATAAAAGCACCGGCAATGTACTGTGTTGGGTTTATTGATGGAACCTTCAACAAGATAGCAAGGCCCATTGCTGATCAAGAGGGGGCATACAATGGCCATTACGTGAGTGAAAGATTGGATATATAGATCTGACACATGTCTTTACTCAATTTATATACTCTTTATAGCGAGGACATGGTTTGAAGTACCAAGCAGTGGTAACACCCGATGGTATTACTTCGTCCATTATGGGGCCAGACAGTGGTAGGAATCACGACGTGCGCATGTACCGCGAAAGTCAATTGGATGCCATGATGTGCGTAGCATTTGACTTTACAAGCATAAATGGTCCATGCTATTACTTGTATGGTGATCCGGCATATACCGCATCAGACCATATGATGATCCCTTTCAGAAGACGTAAGTATTGTACAGTTATCTATCTCGACGGTAAAGTCTTATGGTTTGCATATTGTCTGTTTTAGAAACGGCTGATGAGCAAGAACTTGCTATCAACAAAAGTATGTCTGCTGTGCGAATTTCCGTGGAGCACGAGTTTACTCATGTCGGGAGTCTGTGGGCTTTCTTAAAGTACTCACAGACCCAAAGAAGTGGTCAGTCCCCAGTGGGACTATATTATATTGTTGGAACGTTCTTGAAGAACCTCAATGTCTGTTATAATGGAGGAAACTAGACAAGCAAAAAGTACGGTGTTGCTCCTCCTACACCAGAGCAGTGCATTTATGGATTATTAAACCAATAATATTTTTTTACTCCAAACTATCTGTAATATGAAGAAATTTGATGACTATTATGACATGTTTTACGTATATATATTTTTATTGTTTTTTAAGACCTTAAAGCAGGTATCTCTGCATATTGTACTCGAAACGAGCCTGTCTCTCCTCTAGCAGAGTCTGTCTCTGCTCCAGTGTTCTCTGCCTTGTCTCGATAGCCAGAAATCCTCTTTCGACATTCTCCTCCAACCTGCGCATTGAGGTAAGTACCTCACCATCACTTATTCCAGCCACCATACTGGACAATTCATCCCGAAAGGACTTCAACATTTCTCTGGCATCAGAAAAGTCGACCGTCGATTGACCGACTAGATGTCCAGAAGAACTGCCCTCTACTTTATCTGTCCATTTCTTTTGTTCAACAACTCTCAACGGATTTTTGGACTTCAATAAAGTCGCTCTCTCCACGACTTTATCTGCAGCTGCCTGCTTCTGGACTTCTTCCTCGGAAGTCAATTGCTTTTTCATGGCCTTGCCCCGATCTCCTTCAGCCTCCTTTAAAAACTTATAGTATTAAACACATTGATATTCGACGAATATACCTAATACAACGTGAAGATTACCAATTCAACAAGCTGAAAGAGAAGCTGATCGAGATCAGAGTAGCTCTCGTTTGACCATGTCATTTTTTTTTCTTGGGCCTGTCTTGCTTTGAACTGCTTGACCAGATTCTTGTGTCTCTGCTTGAGTGTTGAGACACCAATTTCGTTGCCTTTACCTCCGGCATCATTGACCTTTTTGAGGATTTCATCCCAGGCAGCACCCGATTGCCCATGACCAGCATATGAGGGGTGTCGGTGGATCAACGATTCCACAAGGAGTCTGTCTCTTCCAGCGATCAGATTTATCTTGTGATTAAATCTGATGGGAGCGTCTGCAGCGAAAGTATTCATATGTGCGTTCATGTTTAAAACCAAGTGAAGGAAAAGTGGTAAAAACGCGTATTATGATAGTAGGATGTTTATAAAATTAAAATTAAAAGTGACTTTTTTCAGTGTTATAACTATCAGCTTGCCGTTAGTTTAGAGCAGAAAATAAACGAATATGAGAGGCTATCAATTTGAATAAGGTTTGGTAGAGTAGTGTCTCTATATAGATGTGTATGTAACATCGGGTTTCCTTTCTAAGGCAATGAGCTCGTGCAAAAAGTTGAAAATCTGAGTCCACAAACGTCTCTATTCAGCAAGGCAGATGTATAAATATTTCTTCGTAACGCACAAAATCTTATATATTAGAGTTTTACATTTTTTAGACATATCAAATAATACGTTTGATAATTAATTGAATGTACCATATAAAAAAGGCATGTACGATAAATCTCTTGCATTAAATACTATCTCAAAACACCAAGAAAATACAGATTTTATTGTCTATTTGTGTACGAATGAATTGTGGTTTTTATAATAATGTCTTATGATTGAAAAAAAAAGAGTGTATTGAAATGAAGAATGCAATTTATATGGACTAGGCAGACTTATTTTGATTTTGTTGGGATCCAAGTATCCTCTTCAATGGATTTTTCTTCTTTCTTTCGCTGGGCATCATATTTTTGATAGAGCTTTCCGAGATCTTTGTCCTTGTTAGAGAATGTACGAATCTTGTCTGTTTCTTTGATACATGAAGTATCGAATTCCCAATCTTCGCCTTCCGCGAAATGGGTAACCATCATATAGCGATTATCCCATTTATTTTTATCTCTCAGTAAACCACCATTCCACCAGAGAGGATCGCCGTCAATATCAAGGTGAAGTTGGTTTCCACAAACATTAGCAGAGTTTCCGCCATCGCCGAGTCCACCGATTACTGCACCGTACGATTTGACAAATGCATAAGGTGTCTGGACCATTTCATAGCCAATCCAAAAGGTTTCCTTGTCACCATGAACGTGCTTGTAGGTGACTTCATCGCGTTCACGTTTGTCATTCATCTTGCAAGTCGACAAAAGACCTAATAGACATTTGCGTTTATCCATGATAACTACGCCCGATTCTTGCTCATGGGCCGAGCGTGCTGTCCACCAACGAGTGTTAAGAGCATGCGAGCTTACTGTAGGCAAGAAAGACTCTAACCATTTCCGGCCATCATCCCAGCCTGGAAAAAGAGTACGATCGTAGTAAAAAAGAGATCCAGTAGTCTTGTATCCGGGATCATTGAACAGAAGTTCAGGATTTTTGAAAAAATACACATCGGCATCCATTAGAATAACTTCTGAAAAGCTACTGGCCAGCATAGCATAAGACTTGACAGACCAGCCGCCAAATCGAGTATATCGGTCGTTAAATGAATCAACAGCTTTATGGATAGTGAGATCAGTAAATTCCAATAAAAGATATCGACGGCGGGTTTCTGACAGATCATCGTCACGAATATAATACACCTGGATAGGTAGTGTAGAATTTAGACCATGGCGGATACCTTTGAGAGTAGGAACTGCATACTTGAATTGATCGTTGCCGATGCACATTACAATACCACGGCCCTGGGTATTATTATTGATGTGGAAGGCATTGCTCCAATTAGGCTTGAGCCACGGGTATAGTGAGTTTTCGAGACGTTCATATAGTTCCCAGGCAGGGTCGGATCTAAAGTCCTGGCCAGCTGTTATAATGGGATCAAAGTACTGGAATAAAGCCTTAAACACTCGCTGTTGGACAGTTAGAAGTTTGAAGTCAGGAAGCTTCTCAGGCTTGGTAAATAAATCCGCCAAGAACAGTTGCCCAAAAACTGATGTGTATTGTTTTGTATCATCTTTAGTCCAAGAACTGACAGGAATCGGTACAGCGTAATCATGTGTCGCAATATTAGCATCAGCTTCGGTCAGAACTAATAAAAATAATATATAAAAAAAAAACTTGTGAGTTATACATTCATCCGGTCCTAGTGTTCAGAGTGAATTGTTTTTTATTAGCTTTACCTGGTTCACGCACCGATAGATGGTCGCTGATCCATTTTAGTCGCTCATCTTCTTCCCTTGCTTTCTTTTCTGCTTCATCTCTGGCTTTACGTTCATCTTCTAACCGAGATTCTTCAATGGCGGCATCATCTCTCCATGGTATATTGTCTTGAGCTTCAGATGTAACCAATGACTGGATCTGTGTACCAAATTGAAATAATACAGTGGACAAGAGAAGTACAGCCATAAATATGGCGATAAGGCTCTTGGTTCCCCATGGCCTTCCCATATTGACCATTGGATAGAAAATAATAATAACAAAAAAATACTTGCTGAGCGGCTCTTTCAAACGTAGAAACTAATACTGACCCAGCTTGTACAACGTCTGCCATGCTTGTCTTCAGGCAACACATGGCGGTGATTGTATTATTTCTTTGTGTTTCCAAGAATAGGAAGATGTGTGCCTGTGTCACTTGGTGTAGAAATATAGATAAAATGCGAGCGATATTTGAAACTATTTTATCAATCTATCTTTCTATTACCTATCAATGGAAGAATTCAAGGGATACGCTGGCTACGAGCCTTTTGTACTTTCAGACAAAAAGACACATCTGAAGCCATTTTCTTACAAGCCACGGATCTTGGAGGATGATGAGGTCGAGATCTTGGTGTCTGCATGTGGAATGTAAGTAGAAAAGTCCCATTAAATGAAATGCGCAATGCAATTTAACACAAAAAACCTTTAGCTGTGGTTCTGACGTCCACCAGCTGACCAATGTATGTATAACAAAAAAACGGCGGGCATGTGTGGCTACGACCATCTTATTTACATTTTATTTCTTCATAGGGATGGAAGAGGGCTACTTATCCATTGATGCCTGGTCATGAATTTGTGGGAAAAGTCACTGCAGTGGGAAATTTAGTGAAGGATCTTAGTATTGGAAATCGTGTAGGTGTTTCCCCAGTGTGTCGTAGCTGTGGTGAATGCAGTGAGTGCAAAGCCAGCTATGGACAGCTGTGCCCTAATAAAGTAACTACCTACAATGGTGTCTTTAAAGGAGCCCAGTCGTATGGTGTAAGTATCTTTTTCAAATCTATGGCGATAATGTGCAAGGAGTCATGTATCTGTAGAACTTGACGCAGTTCTAAAATCCTAAAAAAAAAACAGGGATATGGCAATAAGGTCCGAATTCAATCAAAATGGGCGATAAAGATCCCAGATAATATCGAAGACACAGAATGTGCACCACTGTAAGTTTACTGAAGATAATCATTAATCAGATGAGTATGACTAACCAAACTCTCAGCTTGTGTGCAGGAATAACAACGTAAACCCCCCTTTTTTTAAAAAAAAATATACCCAGGGTATCAGTAAAATGAACTTTGCTTTCCATATAGATATCTCCCATTTAAACATCAGAACATCAACAAAGACACCTCAGTTGGCATTGTTGGTATTGGAGGACTAGGTCATTTAGCTGTATGTATACCTTAACCATAAATCATTAACGTTTTAGCTTAAACTAACTTACATAACAGATTCAATGGGCTAGGGCTAAGGAGTGTAAGCGTGTACTGGTGGTCTCATCCTCCAAGTCTAAGGCAGAAGAAGCCAAAACTTTGGGTGCAACCGACTTTGCAACACTTGAAGACATCAAGACTACTCCATACTTGCAGAGTGTGGATGTATTATTGGTGTGCGGATCCGGAAAGTCTACTGATTGGAAAGACTTGTTGGGATTGATTAAAAATCACGGAAAACTGTTGCTGTTGGATATACCTGATGAGCCTATCCCTTTCCCTGCAGGAGCATTTGTGTACAGACATATTAGTATCGAAGGTAGTTTTGTTGGTAGTCACGAAGACATTAGAGAAATGTTGGATTTTGCAAGCAAGAAAAATGTCCGCCCTTGGGTTCAAAAGATAGGAAATTCTCTTGAAGAAGTCAACCAAGGCCTTCAAGATCTTATGAACGGAAAGGCCCATTACCGTATTGTCATCTCTGGCGAAGGACGCCAATAGTTCCACAGATTAAATAATCGTTTTCTTAGATTATATAATACCTATGATAGAAGCAAGAAAAATTTAGAATTTTTCACATACAAAATTGGCTTTTGAATGAAAATCGAATATCTTTATTTACTTTAAAAATAAAAGTGTTGGATAACAATAAATAATATACATGTATATTTCTTTTAGAAAATAAATAGCCCCTACTTCAATGTATATTTAATCCAAAATTATATTATACAAGTGAAAGTTATATATTGAAACAAAATAGGTTCTTATTTCTTGCTATTCAAAATTGTATAGACATTATGCAAAAATAAACTTGTATTTTTCACCAATAAAAATAATTATCGGCCTAAGGTTTCACAGGCAAATACTTTCCTTCTGTTCTTTTATTTTATTATTTATAATTCTCATTAAGAACATGGTTATTGGAATTCAGAGTAAAAGCCCAATACAAAAGGTTCAATCAGGAGGAATCTCTAAAGAAAACAAATACGATCAAGTAGCCTGGCCACACAAGTTTCGATATTATTATACATCTCATTTTGATGAAATCCTTTTAAATGATCCGACAAAAGATTTTATTGATTGTGGTAATGTTCATTTTGTTACATATAGATATATATACATATTTATTATTTTAATAGAAAAGAAGTACTAAGAGACGTGTTTATGTGAAATAATAGATGAGAACGAGGAATCACTTCAACCAGACGAATTATCAAAACGTGGCCGAGTGCTCCTAAAAGGTAAACCCCAGAAGATAAGCCAAGTACAACCTTACGCAACCGTGTGTTCTATTATTATGCCACCAAGTTTTTCTTCAATGAGGCTTATACAAATTATAGACGGTCTATCAAAACGAGCAAAACGTATGGATATACACAGACCTCCAACAAATGAACAATTGAGAGACAAGGGGTATATGAAGGACTGGTTTGCAGCTACTCAACACTTTTTTGACAAGTCATTACAAGATGTCCAAGATGGAAAGGATAAAATCGATCTATTTCTTGAGCGCAAAAAACGCGATATCTCTTCTAGTCTTTCCGAACATAAAGACATCTAAGATCCTCTCTCTCAAAAAAAAAAACTCTTCTCTCTACACACCCCAATAACAGTTTCAGAAATAGGCATAGAAAAAAAAAGCTTCGTTTGTTTGATATATGCAAGACATTTTCTAATGGTGAGCGGGAGCAGAGGACTCGACGTTGTAGCCAATGAGGTTTCTACGACCAATGATCTCACCAATCAAGAAGAAGGTGTAGAGCTCGGCAGCCATAACACCACCCTTGACAACATCGCCAACAGTGACGCTCTTGAAGGCAGCGGTATTAAGGTTCTTCTTAAGGGCTGACTGGGCCTCGGCCCACTGCTGTCCGTTAGGGAAAGCCATGCCTTCCTTGGTGTAAACCTGCTTGGCAACTTCGGCGGCAACCTTGGCGTTGTAAACGACAGGCTTCTGGATAGCTATTATGACGTTATTAGAGCTTGTTGGTCGGGGCATGGAATGCAAGGGCAATTACCCATCAGCTTAGAGACAGCGCACTGGGCGAAACCGACAATCTTGGAAGACATAGTTGGTGTAGGTTGGAAGAGAGTGGGAAGGAGGGTGAAAATGAAAGGGAGCTGGAAAACAAAAACACAACAGCCAAGGCAAGAACACGGTGTGTGACGTCAGCTAATGATGGCCATGGCGCACAGACTTGAGTAGTGGGTGCTAGAGCAAGTAGAGAAGAGAGGAAACAATCAAAAGGAATTTTATTATATAATTACTTTAGCTAGGCCATAAGTTGTGGCCTTAAGATAAAGAATGCCGACGGCCAAATAGGTGCCAAAGAATGGCCAAGTGAGCCAAGGCAGAGAGAGAAATTCAAATTGTGAGATCCCAAAAAAGGCAATATGTTCGTTAACCACCCCTCCCCTCACTTGGAGACCAGAGCAGGTTTCCCCCTGCCGGTCACGATGACGCCACGAATGCAAAAAAGTGGTGTGTCTAGCTTGTGGCCACACTTCTTGTTTGTTCTCCAGCATCTCCTCTATTAAGCCAAATGTCACTTCTTGTTAGATCTTTGGGCCAACTTGGTCTTACCCGTACTGTGCCTCGAGTTAGCTGCCCTGTTGTCTCTGGTAAATACGAACTATAAACAGAAGCGAATCTCAACAATTTTTTTTTACATGGATTGAATCTGTATATTAATTAAATTGGATAGACATGCAGGTCCGTTGGGCTTCTAAGAAATCCGGAGGTTCTTCTCGTAACGGAAGAGACTCTGCTGGTAGAAGATTGGGTGTCAAAAAGTTTGGTGGTCAAGAAGTGATCCCTGGTAACATTATTGTCCGTCAAAGAGGAACCAAGTTCCATGCGGGTGATCATGTAAGGGTTTTGAGATTTTGAGATTCAGGAACCAAAAAACTAATGACATGGTAGGTTGGTATGGGTAAGGACCACACATTGTTTGCTCTGGAGCCTGGATATGTGCGTTTCTACAAGGATCCTGCTCAGCCCAAGCGCCGATGTGTGGGCATTGCTTTTAGCAGAGAAGACACTTTGCCAGTTATGGCGGGTATGCCCAAGCCCAGACGTTTTGACTTGGTGGATCTGACAGCATTATAAATAATCAATTTGCTTTGAATGAGAACAAAAAGACTACCGACAAACAACATTGTATATATATCAAATCCCCCACTTCTTTTGTATTGTATGTATGTCTTGTTGACTGAAAAAAAGGTGGGCAAATAGGCCATTTGCTTTTTATACTTTTTTCTTTTCTTTGTGTGTATGTGCTTAAATGGTAAACCAAGGCAAGGCTCAATTTTTTTCTTTCGACCCACCACGTTGTCACTTACTCCGCTTAGTCTTAAATCTCTTGTTCAAGCCTTAATTTCATCCTCCTGATTTAATTTTGGCTTGAAATGAAGTGCATCTGTAGTAATTAGGAAGCAAATATAAAATACTAATATAATACATAATATATTAGTAATTAACCAAGAAGTATAAGCATATATATATATGAGTATGTATTGCATGCGAGTCAATACTATATAAGCAAACCATTAATAAAAAAGAACCAGTTTTTTATATTAAAAGTAAAGCGGAAGAAATGACAGTTAATTGAATATTACGATCAATAGTCCCGTCTATCCCGCACACACACTTTTCTAACACACTTATTGTAGTAATTGAGTATAGGTGTGCTGCCTGTAATTGAATAGTATTTTCTTTGTAACATATAGTGCTGGTTTCATCGAAGGAATCTATACGAGCGATCACCTTTTAAACTACAATTAAATGTAAATAAAGTTGATAGATCTGTAGGCGCAGGTGTAGAGAAAAGGAAATTGTCTGTGCGAAATAAAAAAGGAAATAGTTTTTTTATACGGTCACACTATGAAGGGTCAAACCAATTTTTGTGTGCCCATGAATCATCGATCAGATCTCTCGTTCACTGAATATATGGATGGCACCGTAAAATTTCTCTCAATAAATTGGCCATCTTCTTCTACCAGGTGAGGAAGCATGTACTGGCTACTAGATACTCGCTCTTTATTAATCTCTAAAATCATATTCATTACATTGACAGAAGATATGGTTTGCAAAGCTAGTGTATGAATTATTAAATCATGAAAATATAGAGTAGAGAATGACATTATCTCCGTCATCAACCATAACATATCATCTTAGGGTACATGTTTTTTGCCTGTGGGATGAGCTCCTCAGTTCCTCTAGTACATATTGAATAAGAGAATAACATTTTTTTCTTTTAGTTTCAATACTGAGAGAATAGGCAATACGTTAGCTTGTCAGCCACGCTGTCCACGCTGGACATCATGTTGTTTTACATAATTCACCTTTTAACTCTCAAATTTTTGCACGATCCTATAAGCTATATTTTAACATTATATTACAAAAGGAGAAACGTTTATGTCTAATACACTCTAAAAAAACTTGAAGGGTTTACAATTGTGGTACACTGATTTTCGTTATCCTTTGACACAAAATAACCCAGTGATATTTATATATGTAAAGTTTGCGATTTTCACTTTGTTCACCGTCTCATAAAATGCCCCATTAACTCAAATATATACCTTTTACAAGTTTTATAGTAATAAAAGCTATACATACGAATTATCGAACTCATGTCCTCATTAACTACTACTGTGCAATTTTCCTTTTCTTTTTCCTTTGCACATTTTAGTGCTTATTTCACTTGTATAATTTAAGAACCGCATATTACCTAGGATGGCTATAGAAATAAATACAAAATGAATATGTTCTAAGCAGGCATCATCCATTTTAGAAAATGCAACATGTATATAAATTGAATAAACTCCTTGGAGGGATGGACAATTTTTAAATAGACAACATCTACTTTGAAACACGCGACAATTATTTTTACTGTCAAGCGATATTGATTTTTATTTGCTGCGACCTTATGTTTAGGAAAGGTTGTATTCCTACCTCGAGTGTGAAAGTGACACAAACCTTCTGTAGATGGAGCAGCTTTCAGAAAGCGTAATATCTATAGATACAACATACTCACTAGGCCAGCTACTTTATTTGGTTTCTTTCTCTTGCTTTATTATACTCAAATGCAGGCCGTACGCAAAAAGCGAAATTTCAAAAACCTTGCCTTAGATAACTCTCCCCTGGTGGCTGTACCGCCTTCAGACCTTAGTGTCAAGTCAGGCAAACAAGAAGAATACGATGAGCTCTACAAAGACTTGAGCGATCTACAGATCGGGCTGGAATTAAGACTTGATCTACGGACCGAGGATCTTGAAACACTTGAAGAACTCGGTGCTGGAAATGGAGGAACGGTGACAAAGGTGATGCACATCCCTACCAAAACTATAATGGCGAAAAAGGTAACAATCCCAAGACAAAATCACTACAACCAAGCTCATCTCGTCTACAGACAATATATCCTCAATCATTACTCGATTCGCCTGCCTTTGCACGTATCTCACTTAACGCCCCTGACCCAGCCACAGTTGATCAGGGGTTTCCGTCACGACCAGAGAAGTCAGTGTCTATGCCAGCTTCCAAGGGAGCTAGTGCCCCACCAAAGCAGCCCGAGCGTGTTGCAACGCAGCGTCCAGCACGGCAAAGAAATCAACAGTTAGATCAGAGGTTGATGGTTCGACGTCAGATAATGCGAGAAATGCAGTTTCTACATGACTGCAACTCTGAGCACATTGTCAGTTTCTACGGGGCATTTATGAACGGAGGTGATATATCCATGTGTATGGAATACATGGACGTAGGGTAAGTTACTTAATATATCACTTGGTAACAACTGACATTTTGGAATTAGCTCACTTGACAAAATCTACAAGGAGAGTGGACCTATACCCATGAATGTCCTAAAAAAGATTGCTTATGCAGTAAGGAATTAATTTTGTTGGATATGAGCTATAGAGCTAATGAGTATATAGATTGTAGATGGCCTGATTTATCTATATGATAGTCATCGTATTATTCATCGAGGTAAGACAACACATTTTTTTTTCTTGCAAGAAGCAGTATCCAATGAATGTTGACATAGATTTAAAACCCTGCAACGTCCTCGTAAATTCTGCTGGTCAGATCAAAATATGCGATTTTGGTGTCTCAGGCCGACTGATTGATTCGGTGGCCAATACTTTTGTCGGCACTAGTTCATACATGAGCGTAAGCTGGAAAATTATATTAAGCTATGGTGTTAATCCCCAACTTATCTATTATTTCTCGGCCTTATAGCCGGAGCGAATACTCGGGTCGCCGTATTCAGTAAAATCAGACGTTTGGTCGATTGGAATTACTCTTATGGAGCTGGCTCTAGGGCGGTTTCCGTTTGCCCCAGAGAATAAACCCCTGGCAATCTTTGAGCTCTTGCAGCATATCGTAAATGAACCAGAACCAACCCTACCAAAGCAAGGAAATTACCCTGAAGATCTTCACAATATCCTTGCCTTGTGGTACGATGATTATACGTATACAAATATGTATATATGATTCTATAAATTAAACTCATATTTACACACTTTCTTTTTTAGTCTTGTCAAGGATGTGAACAAACGAGCTACTCCAGCAGATCTTATGGTGAGTCCTCTAAGACTCGGTAGTTCTTACACTATATATATATTTACTTTTTAACTTGTAGAAAACACCCTATCTTCTGTCAGCTATGTCGCTCAAAGTGGATCTTGAGCACTGGGCAAAGAGTCACTTGAAATAAATTACAATACATTCAATCTCTATCTTTGTCTCTCTTCTGGTTGTGACTTGAACACCCCACTCTTTTTTAACCCCTCTTTTTAACTTATCCATCCTTGACATGAACAACGCGCCACCTATAACTGAAATTGTGTGTGAATGGGATGATTGTAATATTCCATTCACATCTCAATCTGCACTTTCAAAACATCTCTCAGAAGGTATATTTTATACCTTTGTGAGTGAAAGCATCCTCACCGTATTCATTCCTTTTAGACCATTTTGGTTGGCGTAAATCTGAATATTTCTGTAAATGGACATCTTGTCCAAACAAAGGAATCAAAATTCCGAATCGCTTTGGACTTTCATTGCACCTAAAGACCCATACAGGCGAAAAAATGCCAAAGTCGATGGAATGTTCTTCGGTGGATTGCAATCAAGTGTACGTCATCCTCATGGCCAGTTAGTTTTCTTACATTTACAATTAGATTTTCCCGTGCTGACGCACTTGCTCGGCATCGGCACTTGGACCATGAGGATGAATATATGCAAAATACAGATATAAATATCAAGAAGCATGGCCAATTTGTAGAGGGGAAAAAACGAAGGAAGACAGAAGATATTTATGAAGGTTCAGACGAGTCTCAAGAAGAAGTATTAACGCATAGAACAAGCGTGGAATCTACTACGATCCCATTGGCCAAATATAAGCTTGCCAAGGCCAAGTTACAATGCATCTTGCGTGAGAATGAGCTTTTAGGAGATGAATGGACAGCAGTGAAGCGGAAACTACGAAGATTGCGAACAGAACGTAGAGTATTGTTGGATGCCTTGATGGCGGGTGAACCAGAAGACGATCAGTCCTTTATTATACAAGACGATACCAGTATTGTTTGATATACATCCATAAAATTTTTACATAATACATACACAAATATATATTGCTTTTTAATTTTATTTTTATTTTATTTTTAATTTTCTAATTCTTCTTGACTTCGTGATGTCCTTTAGCGAATGTTTCGGCAACAATAAGAGGGAAGACAAGGGTGGCCTCGGCATAAATCTTGACAGAACGAGCATCAAGTCTAATTTTGCCCCAGGATACTGCTTCGTCTGGTCGAGCACCTGCATCACTTCCATCGTATTCCTGGGCAGTGTTAATATAAACTGCATAATCAGCACCATTACGCATCAGATTTGCATTGCAGATATGGTGCTTGATGAGTCCTCCACCAAGAATAATCATTCCAGTCTTTTTAGCAAATACAGCCTCATTGTTCATGCTACGGATATCAGCTGCAATATCTACTATAAGACCTGGATTTTTGTAGGAGTGAAAATATATCATGTCTCCCAAGGATCCATCAGTAATTGCTGGGCAGTACACAGGGATGTCATTCTTTGCACACCAGTAATAGATACTAGATTCATCATTTATCTCTTCACCAAGCTTCTTGATCATCGAAGATGGTGTCCAAATAGTACCCTTAAAAAAAGATATGATATCAATCGTCTTTTCCTCTCTGTTAGCTAACAATTGTATATATTATTCACCTTGGTCTTTTGCTCATCCAACATTTTATCAAGAATTGGTACAACCCAATCTTCAAACTTGCAGTAGTTATTGTTGGGAACCAAAAGATTTCCGATACGATTGAGACCCTGTTTGCGAAGATCAGATCCCTTGAGATCAAAAGCGCCGAGGTAAGTTGGAGCAAGACATTTGATAAAGTCTTCTTCAATACCACCACCTGTAGCCACTACTACATCAACCATCTTATGTTGAACTAAGAACTTGATAATCTCACGCATTCCAGATGATACTAGGTTGGATGTATAGCCCAAAAAGATTTTGCATTTAGTTTTGCAACGGGTCTCTGGGTCCCTGTAATCTTCTGTTTCATCAGCAGCTACAGGCTCATCTGACAATCGCCACGTTCTCTGCCTTACTTATTAATAAACATATTTTTTTTCTCCTGCAATTAATATATTTAATTAATCTATTCTTATTCTTATTCTTATTACCATGCAGTTGATAATATCAATAGCTTCTCCGAGACCACTAGCTTGGAATCCCATGGTCTTGTAGCTAGACATGAGATCGCTCAATGACAAGTTCTGATTAAAATCGGGACCTTTGATCAAAACCGCACTCTCAGGCATAGCAACCGATTGAACGAATACAGCTGCTTGCGCCCCGGTGGGCTGGCTCGGTTCGTTAGGTGTCTGACTCATAATCAATGGACGATCACAAAAAAAGAAAAAGACACAAGAAGACCTCGACACCGAGAGTCACGGTGAAGTGGCGGTGTTTAAAACAACACCAGAAGGTCAGATTAGTTGTATGCGCTCTAAAAAGAGAAAGAGCGAGGTCTCTACACACAGACCTCATTATGGCTGGCATCTCTATCGGAAAACAAAAGGCCATTGTAGCAATTGTCTTGCTAGTAGTTGTATTTGGAACACAATGGCCCTACAGCTTACGGTCGCTGACTGCTGGATTACGCCTGGTGATGGTGGATCTATGCGCACTGCTGGTGCTGAATCTCTCGGTGCTCTACATCTATGCAAAGTATGTCGTCTCTTCCTCCCAGGACCGCTTTAACGAACGCCAAAAACGAAATGAGTTCCCATCGCTGTTTTTTGCCAAACCTAAGCCCTGGGCTGAAGCACAGGCCAAACGAAAAGCCGACAACACATTTGCTCGTCCTGCTGTAGCCGAATCTCCTGAGATTGCTGAAGCGTTTGAAGAATTATTGTCGTATGTTCTCCGCGACTTTGTCGATTTTTGGTTTGTACACCTTTCAGGCTCCATAGAGGAGAAGTCGTTTCCTAGTGCAGTAGACCATATTATTCGTACCGCTCTTCTGAACCTCAAAGGCCGCCTCGAGGACAAAGATCTCATGAGTATTGTTCTTAACCGCCTGATGCCAATAATTACGCTACACATATCCGAATTTAGGGAAGCCGAAGTGTCCCTTCGCGGACGCTCCCTTGAGCGTTCAGTCACACAATCTGATGAGCTTGATCTTTTGTTAGCCTCCCAGTTTAGGGGTGGTAAACTTCACCCTGCCCTAACAACTGCTGCTGTGACAACAAAACCCACTGAAATAGCTTATTTACGTCAAGTTATTGACCGTATTATGCCATATATCTTTGATAAAAAGGATATACAGAGTAACGCAGTAGCCCTGATCATCCGCGAAATGGCAACATGTGCTGTACTTCAGCCTACCTTTGATATGCTTGCTGATCCAGATTTTTGGAACCAAACCATCGATATCTATGTAGGTTTGAAGGAGCTAAGATAATGCATTTTTTTTTATTGACGACTATGTAATTTGTTTTTATTAGTTAGCAAAAGCTATCCGTGAACAGTAAGAAAAGTCAACTATAAATTCAACTTTTAGCCATAACTTATTTTTATTTTTCCTCATAGGAATATAGTTCGAAAGGTGCGAGAGGTCCTCAACAGGCATTCAAAAGACATGGATGACAACGGAGAGGAGACTTTTGAACCTGAAAATGAAACTTCATTAGGAAATACCAATCCAAGATCTGGGCCATCGAGAGAGAAAATCGGACCTATGAATCAGTTCTCAGCTGCATTTTTGGGGACTGGACTTGAGGAGGCATGGGATGAACAAGAAGAGGATGCAGATACAAAAAGAATTTTTGGCTTTGGAAGTACAAAAATGGGCAGACAGACTTTCCAAGACTTTCTCAAGATGATTGAGAGCGAAAAGAATTTGCTTGATCTTAAGCGAGTTCGCAACGATATTATTACCCAGATACGAAAGAAGAAAGCTCTCACCTGTAAGTGCGTTAAGCTATAAAGTATACCAGCTAAATATGTCATTTGTCGGCTTAGTGGAGAGAGATCCAGAAGAAGTTGTGGACGGTGAAAAAGTCGAAGATGTGAATGCATATGTGAATCGGCTAAGTGTAGCTAAAAAAAGAGTTGATAAACGTATTGCTCTTCTTTCAGGCGAAAACTACGAAAAAGTAACTCTTCCCTTTTATTTATTAACATATATATATATATATATATATGTGGGTGTGTGTGTATATGTGTAAATCTCTATTCATAATTTACTCACTGTGCTGGTTAGCGTTCACCTACATCTCAACTGTTTGGCAGTCGAAAACAGAGTACTACATTTACATCCCAGACTACTGGTTATACCCTTTATGATATCCTCACCAACACTGCTGGTCTTTCGTATTTTATGGAGTTTATGGACCGCCGAGGTGATATGGTAAAACTTCAGTTTTGGCTAATTGTCGAAGGGTTTAAGAACTATGACACATCCGATAATTCGCCCCAAAAGCGAGATGAAAAAACATTTTTCCAAGACATAAAGATGGTCCACGAAATGTACTTTGCTGACGCATCACCTCATCGTCTTCCGATTTCTGAAAATCTCAGCCGCGACCTCATGGACGCAATTCAACGTGCACAAATAGACCTTATTGAAGAAAACGAAAGTGTCTTTTCAGAGACTGTACAGGAAATGGGCCGACGGTTGTACAGAATACAGCAAAGTATTTTTTGGCAGATCGAAAAAGAGCATTTTCTTTACTTTAAACGATCAGATTTGTATTTCAAGTATCTTGCTACCTCGCCTAACTCTGCTCCTGACACCTTACCAGAGCGACGTAGTCTTGATGAGAGCACACTCTATCGCCGTCCGAGCGCGGCTGATTTACTTGCATCATCTCGCCCTCCACTTGAAACGATAGCGTCTTCGTCTATGGAAAGAACGAGTTCAGCACGAATAGCCAAGAGCGATAAATGGGATCATCAAGAATCTCCCAAAGCCGAATCTGACACCGAAGGACGTGGTAGTAGACGGTCCACAATGGCACACTCTGGGTCTGATAAGCTCAAGCCTCCACTTAGCTACAATCGGTCCCGAAGACATGTCCGTGCAAGATCAGAGACTTCAAATAGACCATCAAAGTTTTTGTCGCTAGGGAACGTACTTTTATCCGCGAATGAGTGGTGGAGAGGCGAACCGACTACTTCTGGAGAGGGATCTGAACAAACCTCACAGTATATCTCACCTACAGAGTCAATCAAATCTACAGAGTCTGACGGGATTGATACAGATGATGATGTGAATGCTCCGAAAATTGACCCTGCTATACAACCGCCAAATAAAATGGAGCGTAAGAAACTCGTTCGAAGCGACACTGTAGATGCTGTAGAAGCCGAATTACAGTCTATCATTGATGGTGAAGGAGTAATGGCTAATGATCAAGATGAATACACACAAAATAAGTCTATAAGCACACTGCCAAGAAGAGAGGGTTCCATAAAGATTACAAAACCACAGTCATTCCAGCGTCCATCTCCTTTAATTTTATACGGCACACGAGGCATAAAGTCTTCAATGGCTATGCCTGTGCAGAATGATTATACTTTACCGTCCTGGAAGTCTTCAGGAGGAACTAATACCATTTCAGAAGTTGAGCATGACCAGATTGGGCCATTAACACCGCGTGGATCAATTAAGTCCCAAGAGCAGCAGGAGATCCATTCGTCTGCGTCTTCTACAAAGGCTCCGTCTGGAGATAATGTTCATCTAGCACCACCTGGTGATCTTCTTCTGGCTTCAAAGGTTAAACAAATATCAGAAGATGTGAAAAAACTAATGCAGGAAGAGGCACTTGTCGATGCTTTGATCCGAAAATCCGAAGCTAGAAACGAAGTAGAGAGTTTACGACTTCTCAGGAAAATTAAGAGCGCATGTAGACAGGATATACAACAGATGAAATATCAAAAGAGTCAATATGAACTGCAAGAATCAGAAAACGTGCTTGTGCCAGAAAGTATACGTTACCACGAAGCCACGGGCCTTACTTTTTTATTGAGAAACGGTTTGCATAATACTTCTTGTGGTATTTTCTTTGTATAGGAACGTACCAAGGTCAGCATTACCAACTCAACAATCGGGTCAGATATCCATGGTGAATTCGCACTATATGTGATTGAAATTCATCAGCTTGGCACAGAAGGGAACTATACATCAGGATGGATAGTTACACGCCGTTACAGCGAATTTTTTACCCTTCATCAGAAACTCAAGGACCATTATGCGGCTGTCAAGATGTTGGATTTTCCAGTAAAATGGCCACTGCTCAAACTCCAGCGCTCGTTTGTTGAGACCCGACGAATTAGTCTTGAACGTTATTTAAGGCGCTTATTGGAAGACAAATTAATTTGTCAAAGTGATGAATTAAGAGTGTTCTTGTCACAACAGAATGTATATGTTCCGGGTCCCAAAGACAACAGTGATGTCGATTATGAGTTTGGTTTTGGTTATTTTACATCATTACCTCGTTCTGTTGAGCGACAAAAGATATTTGGTTCCAAGAACAAAGGCCGCCATGAACCCATTGACACGGATACATCGCGCAATGGACTACTAGGCTCTAGTGTAACTACGCCTTCTCCTCACAAGTCACCTTCAATGCAGAACCTTCAACGCTCAATAGCATCCAATATATCCGCTAATGAATATTCTAATAACCGCAAACAATCAGCTGGGTTCATGAAGCATATTTACAAAACTGTTGCAGCTGGCTTTGATGATATGTTCATTGGGCCATCGATGCTTGATCTGATTACGCAACGCTTAGGTGAACAAGTTATGGAATTTTCATATGAAAGCGATATGAACGATCCCAATTCAACTTTTCCCCACAGTCGTAATACGAGCTCGAATGGATCACACAAGCGAATGATGCTTGATGGGTTGGAAATCAATTCAGACAGTTTATCAAATTCGTTTGGAAATGTGGAACTTTCGAATGAAGCGCTCAAGCCTGTGGAAAACGAAGGGATCACTCGGTTTACAGAGCCACTTTGTGACCTTTTTATTGAGATGTTTGAACTCAAAGAAAAGAACAATTGGCTTAGACGCCAGGCAGTTGTTATTATTTTGCAGCAGATCTTCGGAGGTACCATTGAAAGGTACAATACAGTTGAAATAATTCTCGAAAATTATTTGGGCGTGGTAAATCTATTAGGGTATTAATCAGTCCTTTAGAAAACTACGGGAATCAATGCGCTTTTTGGAATCCGAGCCTATGATATTATTTTATTTTAGGCGTCTCACGGACACCCTATGGCCTGAGGGAGCTTCCTTATCATTTAAGCCTCCTCGACGGCCAGAGGAGAAACAGCATACACGCGAAGAAGCCAACCGAAAATTATCTACGTGGCTACCAGGTAAAGTAAACCTGTTATTATTTTGGAAAGGGTGCAATCTATAGAGAGAGAGAGAAATAGAAACAATCTTATTGAATATAGTACCTTATTAGACCTACTCGGAAGTATGGTTGGCAGACAGAACTCTCGTCGTGGAGCAAGACGTCTATTTAGTGTACTCCAAAACAAAAGGCTTAATCAGGACTTGGTGTACACACTATTTGATGAGATTCTTTATGAATTGTTTCCAGAAGTGGGGGACAATAAATAGCCCACGAACATTATTTTGTAGAGGGACCTGTATGTATCATTGTATTTATATAAATTACATATCTTTTATTTAATATAAAAAATATCCAACACACGCGTATATATATATAACATATTATAAATCACTTTAACATTCAAATCCAAAACGCTAATCCTAAGGAGGTTGGCATTTCGATCTTACCAAACCACCTAAATGTGACATTTTATTGAGAGTCTGATAATTATATACGGTATCTAACGATCGATCACTCCTTATTATAATAAGTTTGCTTTAAATAGGGAGGGTGTAAACTTGTAATTTTTCGTCATTTATATGATATAGATATAAATATAAATTTAAGGTCTTCCTGCCATCTTTTGTGTATAGTTTTCTCAATAAAAAAATGGATTCTTCTTAATATAAGATGAATATTTGCCAATGACAATTGTGGTGGCTGGTCAAGTGTGTATAAGTTTATGGTTCTTCTATCTGCCTACTTATTAGTTGGATCTCTTTTAACTCGACCTGCCATGCCTAGTTCTAGGCCATTAAATGTCTCGTGAATTTCAGCCTGACCATCCAAATAATCCCATAAAAGCAGCTTTTGATTGCCTTGGTCGCGCATAGCTTCAAGGCATTGGATTGCGTTACCCTTGTGATATTCCCATGTCCAAGCAATAAGAAATCCACGAATATCGTAGAACCAGTATAATTGAGCAAGCTCTAGAAAATCCTCGAGAGATAGTTGACTGTGTGCTTCCAGGAGGGACACCTGAGATGAGTAATTGTTCCTCGCGAGCTCAGCAGTTATGGTTGGAATGATATGATCATGATCAGACGTTGTTGTGTTTGATGTTGATGCAAGTTGTAAAAGAGCAGAAAACCGTTCGTTGGTCTGTTGTATTTTATCACTAGACTTCTTTGTAGTAATGCATCCTGAGCCAGTAAAGCATCCTCCGCAAGATTTGCAGCTCATGCCCAATGTTTATTAGATTAACGATCTTGGTTTGTCCATTTGTTTTTTTAATTAAATAAAGGGTTTTCTTTTTTTCTTTTTTCTTTCTTTTTTTTAAACAACCGAATTACAGTTGGTGTGGACAGACCAAAAGTTCAAAAAAAGGGTAAAAAAGGGCAATTTTCTGAATGATTTTGATTGGCTAGACTTTTTCCATTGCCACTTGGATTGAGAAGAAGAGCTAGTTTTCGATAGAAAAGATGTGCCATAGAATACAAGGCCTAGGAGAACTCGCAATAAGAAGTTTCTACTTAATAACATTGACAGTGTTATAAACACCACGGCTCTTTCGCACCTATTTCTCTTTGGTCGGAGAAGATAGTGTGGAGTCAGTCAATATGTAGTTGTCTTCTTATATGTCCCCACCCATATTCTCGGTCACTTTCTCCACACAAGTTCCCTATCTCATTACCATAGTGCGGGACATGGTAATGATATTATTACTAAGCCTTTCTCCCATCGACACTCGTTGTCTTTTTGTGGGGCATGGCAATGAGCTTACATCTTTCCTTTCGGTCTGGGTCAGAACCACTCCTCCCTCCCGCTCGGCCAATCTCTATTCGCTCTCTCTCTCTCTTCTCGGTTTTGCTAAACTCCAGCATGATTTCCCGTATGTCTTCCCATTGTTTCATGTTTACCTTCAGGTCTTTTTTCCCTTAGTAGAATCAGGAAGCCTTTAGATCTGTCCTACCTCTTTGTGAAAACACGGCTACGGGATGTGCTCTCTTGGATTCTCACAATCTCCCACTTCAGAACATACAAAACAAAGACTGTGATGTCTTCTTTTGTTTCGCAGTAATAGAGGCTCAGCAGCCCTCTTGAGCACAAATCTCCCTACAAACAAACGAAACCGATTTTACTTGTCTCTGAAAATTTTGTATTGAGGTAACCTACGAAATGGATTTAGTTCCACCACATATCATATCTTTAAACGCAAAATAGTATGGTAATGCTTCTTATATAACGAGTATACTTCTATCTGGTTGTCTTTTTGTTTGTTTGTTTACACCTTACATTAAAAACTTAGCCTCTAGATGATTCATAGTAAAGCTTGTGTTTTCAATTTAGGGGTCCAGCTCAAGTAGAAATCATATACAATGACAAGGAATCATTTCCTCTTAACCTGAAATTCCAAGCAATGTATTTACAACTAATGGCCAAATAAATCGCCTCGTCTAGGATGCTTATTATGAGTAATTACGCCACCCACAAAGCCAATTCTTTTTTAAAAATAAAGAAAAGAAAAGGCAAATATGCTGGTGTTTGCAGCAATAATTTGCTTATTATAACTAGCTTTAGTCCTTGCTGTATCTTACAAGCATAGTTTTCTCAGAAATTTTGTGGGCATGAGTACACTCTTCTCCCTCTTCTTAATTTTTTTAGATAATACTTTTCCAAATCATACATATGCAAGGACGTGATTTCAGGTGATTCCGAAAAGAACAAGGAGAACATAATGGATAATTTTAACAAATTACCCCAAGAATAATGTAAGCGATTATTTCAACGCTCTGTGGCATCCTTCAGGATCTGTCTTGATCAGCAACAATGACCTGTATACCAGCAAATATGAACAGAATACTTGTTTTATTATTTATCTACTTACTAATAGCAAATAGTCTGGAGTTTTCTTTTGTTGGCGGTGCAGAAAATTAGTGACTAAAGCACAACCTTAGCTATCAACAGTTGCAAATCAATGACCATATTCATACTCTGGAGTATGAGGAAATAAGGACTGAAAGCAAGAGAAAGTAAAAGCGCAATCTCAACTTTGGGTACCGTCAATTAGTCAATAAAAAGCACACCTCCCTTCATTTTATAACGGTAAAGCTTACGGACAGCTTGTCCCGCCAGCCTGTCCGTAAATTTTGTATAAAGAAATTATTATCTTATTAACGTCCTCAACAATACGTTTCTATTTTCCATTCTTTTATTACTTTAAAATCCCTTATATACATACCTTTGTAAATAGCTGCTTCTTACTGAATAATACATTTATACTCGTCTCATAATTGAATTTGTATAAACAGTACATAGACGTACTTATTGTAAAAGATTATCCATAATAAGAGAGTGTCAAAACTTATAATATATTTTTTCTTTGTAATGTTGGGGAGCCATACTGCCAAAAATAGAGGTATTAAGTTGTCCTTGGAGACCAATCAGAACATACTATTGATAATATATTTGGGGTTGAGTAAAAGCTACATCATTTTTCTTTGTTTCAAATCGATGTTTGATATTTACTATTATGCTTTGTAAGATTGGTGAATATTATTCTTTGATACTTACGTAATTTTTGTTATTAGATTTATGGTTACTATAAAGGAAATGTGATATGTAAAGTAGTTCTTGGTTTTAGTATAGAGATAGATCGATAGATGTATTGTATCTTCAGCTATCTGTGAAAGTAACTAAATGATCTACGAAAAATATAGGATTACTGCTACTGTCTTTATTCTTTGTGCGCTCGGACCTCTTTAGCCCCGCAATTACTCTCATGTTGATGTGACTTTTTTTTTGATGAGCCAAAAGACTCCGAATGAAATGAAATAGAATAAATGAAAGAAAGAAAGAATGGCCTTTTCTCTCTTCTCCTAGTTACCAAACCTTCATTTTCTTTCTTTTACAGCCACGCACAAGCCAAACCAAGAAGAACACTTAAAAAAAAACTTGAAATTTCATCACAAAATGGACTCTGTATCTCGAAGACTCTTAAAAGAACTCCGTGCTTATGAAAAAGAGTCAAGAGCGCATCCAGAGATTCTAGAACTGTCTCCTGAAACAGACGATGATTTGTTAGTGTGGAGAGCCAAACTTGCGGGTCTTCCAGAAACACCTTATGAAGGTAAATGTCAATATACAAATACATACATGTAATTTAACCTTAAAGAAAAACAACTTTCCTCTGTTGAAAACAATATTATTTTAGGAGGTGTCTTTGACCTTTCGATTACCATCCCTCGTAATTACCCCATTCAACCACCCACCATTCGCTTCATTACAACAATCTGCCACCCCAACGTTCATTTCAAGGTAAGACAAGGCCCATATTTTTGGTTTACCCCATACATAGATGTATTTATATAAATATTAAACTTACATTTGTTGGGTTGAAAAAAAAAAAAAAAAGACTGGTGAAATTTGTTTAGATATCCTCAAAACAGAGTGGTCTCCCGCATGGACACTTCAATCAACCATACTGGCTATTTCACTCTTACTATCTAATCCAGAACCTTCATCTCCACTCAACTGTGATGCAGCAAACTTACTACGATGTGACGATAGACTTGCGTACGACAGCCTCGTAAGAATGTACACTCAACTCTACGCTGTACCTTTTGAGGGTGAGAAAGACGATTGAGAGAAATTGTAAATGTCTCTGGCAGTATGTACATAGATAGATAATGAGATACCACACTTTGAATAAATAAATAAATAAATAAATAAATAACAAGTATATATATAAAGTACTGATAAAAAATAAACAAACAAACAAATAGATAGATAGATAAAGAGATATATTGACTGATTGATTGTTAAGTTTATCTAAAGTATTATATTGACAAGTTTATTGAGTTGAATTGAATTGATTTTTTTTTCTTTAAAATATAAATGTATATATTTATATACATCTTTATGTTCAAAATGAAAAATAAAGACAATACATGGTATGAGGAAGAAGAAATAGAAAATAAGAAAGAAGAGGAGTTGAATACAAATTGAGATGAGGTATGATGTGTATAAGAAAATATATAATATGTATATATCTCTCTTTTTTTTTAAATGGGTGCTACTTTGGCATGATTGTTCCTGTTCTTTAACAGGGTGGCATTGGACATGTTCAATTCAAATTGTTTACGACGTGGTTTTGGTGGTTCGACTTGAATTTCAGTTTGAATGGTTGTGTTTGAACTGCTCTCACTTGGGGATGCTTCATCAGACTCGATACACCATTCATCTCCAGAGTCTGATTCTGAATAGTGCCTGGGGTGAGTGGGATCATTATTGTGGTCAGTCCATACTTTCTTAGCCGCATTCTTATTGACCTTTTCCTCTCCCATCCGCTGGACGGCATACGTGATGTCAAGAATTTCTCGTAGTGCAGCAGCTCCGGGTGTAAAAACTTCTTTACGGCCGTCAGAGTCAAAGCTTTCCACGCCGGGGATATAGTTGGTCGTATCGTTTGACTCGTATTGGTGGGGGTCATCCTGTTTCTGGAAAGTAATTTTCTCGTCATCGACTACGGGTGGATCGGAAATGGTTTCCATGACAGCTGCCTTGCGTGTTGCATTGTGTAATGCCAGTTTACGGGGATCATTAGTAGTCTTGGCTGCACCGAGACTAACGCTGATAGGATCCTTGTGTTTTGGCGGCAGAGGGGGTTGGGCTCGTTTTCCGGTGATCCAAGGGTGAGCTAAGAATTGGTCAATGGTATATCGATCGTCAGGATTTACACACAGTAGATGACTGATCAAATCTTTGGATGATTTCGAGATTGGGTCCCACCAGGGACTGAGGAAAGTAAACTGGCCTTGTGAAACCTTTTCGGTTAGCGCACGGATAGATTCATCATAAAAGGGAGGAAATCCACAGAGGATAGTATAGAGTACACATCCAATAGCCCACATATCAACAGATTTGGAATACTTTTTATCCTTGACAATCTCTGGTGCGGTGTAGCCTACCGTACCACAAGGTGTCATGGTCGAACTATCCCATATGACCTTGGAAAGACCAAAATCTGCTAGCTTGACCTTTCCGATACCTCCGCCTCCGACTCCTTTAATAAAGACACCCTCGTCCTTCTTGTTTGGGTCGTCAAATGGTCTGTGTTTAAGTTGGGATTGGTCTGAGGGTATGAAGGGAATAGGATCGAATAGAATATTCTCGGGTTTAATGTCACTATTGAATTTTTAAGTAAACAAATTTAGGGTTGATTAGCATCTAATTTTTTTTTTTCGGCACTTGTGGTATTTCCAAATTGACCTACCGATGAACAACACCGCATTCTTCGTGCATGTATCGTACGGCATGGGCTACCTGTTCAATGACGTGCCGAGCCAGGTCTTCACTAAAGTACGTCAGATATACTATCTGGTTGAATAGCTCTCCTCCTGAACAGAGCTCAAGCACCAGATAATAATGTTCACTCGATTCTGAGAATTCAATCAGCTGGATAATATTTGTGTGCCTCAAACTGCGCATAATCTGTACTTCTTTTAGGACATTTGTGTGCTGTTTTTAGAGAGCAAATGTGTGATTGTGTGTTTGTGTGATTGAATAAATAAAAGCAAAAGCAAAAACAAGGTTATTGACCATAAGATAATGAATAAAGGCATGAGAATGTATGTATGTATGTATGTATGTATGTGTATGTATGTATGCTTGTATGTAAGTGTGGGTATTATAGATATATTTACCTCTGTTGCTCTTGGCTTTCGTTTCATACTGGGATGTAGGTGGGTATTTCCATGCTTCTGATAATAATAATTATCATTAATATAAACTGTTTTCACATTCTGGTTTATAATTTTTTTTAAAAAAAAAATTAAATAAATTCTTACCTCTGATGATTTTGGACCCACTTTCTGTGCTATTTTTATTGCCACACTACGACCAGATCTCTTCTCCTTGGCTTCATATACATTTGAAAATGCACCACTGTTTTAAAAGAAAAATAAAGTTAAATTTGTGTGTAATCGATTGTAGTAAAAGCAAGGATTAATAATGAGCCTATAATATAATATAGATAGATAGATAAGTAGATACATAGATGGACTTACTCTCCACGCTTGACTATGATTTCATATTTCTCCAGACCTGGATACTGAGGAGTCTGTTGTTTTCTTTTCTTTTCTTGCTCTATTATTTGTGTTGCACGCTCAGAGGCCTTTTGTCGTTCCTTTGTTGATCTGGACCGAATGACATTCCGAAGGGTTGTTGTGCCTATGTGTCCGTGATCCCGTTCTTGATTGTGAATTGCGGTGTTTGCACCCATATTGTCATGAGTTGTGCCATGAGTGTCTCCGTAGGAGTTGTCGGTGTGTCCTTTTCGGTGACGAAAGATTCGTTTGAACTGAGTTATCATTGGGAAGTTTGGAAAAAGAAGAAGAAAGGGAAAAGATACAGGAAAATAGTTTAAATAGACTCAAATGTCGTTTTTATTTATATTTATATTTGTATTTATTTACAAGTGACGAAAAGACTTGTAAGGGCGATGGTACAGTATATATATTATTTTATTTAAAAAAAATAGAGTAATTTATGTGTGTGGAGCCGTTAGATTCGGTTTATTGTGTTCCTTTTAGGACTTTAGAGATTAGAAAAGGAACGTCATGGATTATTATTGCTTTTATTGCCTTTTCTCTCTTTAATTTATACTTTAGATCGTAAAGCAATAATAGTTTACTTATTTTTGTTTTGGTTAATTGGTTAATTGGTTTCTAAGCTTGGTAGCTATGATAGGAGGAAAATAGGGGAAACGAAGAAATGAATTGGAGAGTGGTGATAAGTAAAAGACATGCCCTGGAAGATTAAATAGGTTAATTGTGGCGCCACACAGTCAATATTTAGAAACCAAAGGGTAAAATCGCGGTTTACAAGGCACCTGTCGTATTTTCAAAAATAGGTGCTGTGTACTTTGGAAAGAAAGTTTATAAAATTGAAGACACAAAATCTTTACAATTGACTACTGCTTTATTAATTCCTTCAATTTTATTTTTTGGTTTTGAAAAAGGAAGAATAAAGAGTATAACAATCAAAGAAACAAAGCAAAACAAAACAAAAAGGGGCTCAATATCAAACAGGCCTTTTTCATGTTTTGAAGAATAGATCTAAATGAGGCTTTGAAAAATGGGAAATCTATTATATATATATATATATATATTAAAGATAAAGCGATTCCAAGGACAGACAAGTTACCTATAATTGCGTCTTTGCTTCGTCAATTTTCCTATTGTGTTTTACACACACAGCACATCGTTGCAACCTACTCCGCTCCGACTTGAGATGTTTTCTCAATTATTGGTAAAAATAAACATCTTGTGTAATATCAGATTCTTTGGTGTATTGGCCTTTGTAGTCCCAATTCCTAAAGATCATTGCTGAAAAGTCTCTGGCTTACATATACAACCTTTGACATAGCGATTCTATCTTTTATTAATTATTACCTTTTAACTAAAAGAGCTTGTAAAGTATATATACTCTAGTCTATTCCGGTTGCTTTAATTTTTTTTCACTCATTTTTCTATAGTATTCACATTAACTGGTGGGTGTCTGTCTATGTAGTTAAATAAAGAAGTTTGATCTTATGGTTTGTGCGTCTTTGTATGTGTGTGGCAATTAATAATGATACTTTTCTAAATTCATACACAACTTGTTGCGATGACGATGTAACCCCAATATTGATATCTTTTTTATATATCTGCTCTTCATTTGGCACTTTTTAAATTAATGTCATACCCAACATCTGGTTGACTCACAACGTGTACATCTCCTCAACTATAAAGATCCTCACAGTATCTTTTTTTTTGTCTACACACTGTCATTGAGCATGAAAGCAGATTATATTACAAAAGGATTATTAGGATTGCAAACATCTTTTTTGCTTTTGTTTTCATTCTATGCATCATTATCATTGTTTGTACATCTTGTGTGTCTTGTAGAATATTACATAACTTGAATTTTTTTTTTTAAAAAAAAAAGAAAACAACTGTAAATGGGTCAATGGTCTTTAATACTATTTCTATTGATGTACGGTTATTCAAATTATACTTCTTGAAATCATTTGTAAAGGAAGAGAGAGAGAGAAAAAAAGCATTGACGGCTTCTGTTTTAGACTATTGTCATCCGTCGTACTGTAGTTCATTCTTTGAATATCTTGAAGAATTTGGGTTGAGATCCTTGGCAGATATTTCCAAAAACAGGATAATACAATTTGCCAGTAGATGTATGGTTGTTTCGGTCTTGCTCAAAGTCCCTGATCACAGCTGACTCACTGAGCTAAACAAAATTTATAATATTTCTATTTGTGAGGTCATACTTGCTCATTTGTTTCCTAGTCAACACAGTGTACAGCAGCTACAATATATATATATATATATATATATGAATCTGGGATTGTATATATGTGTATATATAGATTTTTGAAGACCAAAAAACAAACTGTACGCTTGAATTTATAACAATTTAATATTAATGATGTTTCTTTGAGAGTAAGTTTGACAGAGGTACAATTAAAATATCCAATATATATATATATATACGTTTTATGTGTATGTGTGCGTCATTGACCTAATATCTATTTGAGGAGATAAATGCAATGATTTCTAAAAACCAATCATATCATATATTCACACAGGATGGAGCTCGAAGTCTAAAAAGAAAGTCGTAAACGCCTATTGCTGTGTAATCATCATTGTTGTTATTGATCTTGGTACATATGTACTTTAAAGAAATTGATACTTGAATGGTCAAAAAGAAGGAGATGAGAGATAGGTTGGAATACGTTGGATAATGTTAGAACCTAGTGTATGTCTCTTGGGGTTAGCATTACATTTATTGGATTCCTAAATGATCTAAATGATTTTCTCTTGTCCTCATTATTCCGCTGTCAAATATCCTGTCCAAATGCTCTTGTGACAAAGTGATTGTCAAAAAGGGAAAAATGGTATAATCATAATCGTTAAATTATCTATAATGTTTGATTGTTAAATTTACACTTCAAATCCACGCTGAGATTTTTCAGGTTTGTCATATATATGGATTTTGGTACAAGTGTCATCGTTCAATGAGGCTCCTTGTTTGGACGAATTCCATTTGCACTAAACACAGACCATGACGAAATTCATACACACACACATAGAAAGAAAGATATCTATATCATAAAACCAACTTCTATACTAAATATATCATTTTACTTGTAACAAACATTTGTATATAAATATTCTCCTACAAACAACTCTGTATTTTATCAATAAAAGCAAAGCAAAACAAAACAAAACAATAAAATGTCTGATGCATACCCCCACTTGAAGGATATCATAAGCAAGGTTATTGACAAAATGCACGGGTAAAGAAAAAAAACAGAAATATATAAAGTTTGGGTAGTATCAGAATGGCACAATGACTAAATAAAAAGACTGATTGTCGTTCAAAAGAGAGGCAGATTCAAAAGCATTCAGAACACTAAGAAGCTATCCTGGAAATGAGAGACAGCCAGCATTTGATGAACAAGTCAGCGCAATCTATGGAATCGAACATCCTGGCTCAACTGGTGTTATTTACGTAATGGACAGAGCAATGCGAACTGGGTACACTTGCGATGATCCAGCATGGGGTAACAGCATGTTTGCATATTATTAAGAATAATAGGAAGTGTATTTTTTTTATGCACACACATGTATATTTATTTAACTTTAAAAATTCCCTTCCCACTATCCTTTGTAGCTAATTTTGGCCAAGGTGCACCCGAAGGTAAGAAATAACGAAGCATGAAATTGAAATACGTTATAATTCAAACACTAATCTATGTACCCCTATAAAGTTGGTCACATTGATGGCTGTATGGAAAAACCAACTCATATTGAATTGCCTGTGGGGTCTCGCGAGTATGCTCCAGCAGACGGTACCAAACAGCTACGTATTGCGGTAGCCAATCTGTACAACGATCTTTATCGAAAAGGACAGTCTTCCCAATACACTTATGAAAATGTACAGCTTAAATATAGTTTAGTCGTAGATAATGCAAGGGTAACATTAACTAAAACTAACACATACATGTACACAAATAATGCATAGATATGCATTGTGCCAGGTGGGAGAGCCGGCTTGACACGAGTAGCAGCTGCAATAGGTGATGTTAATGTAGGATACTTTCTACCAGAGGTAAAAAAAAAAGTTCTTTCTTTCTTAACTTGCTTAAATGTAACCAATTTACTATTTACTACAGTACACGGCTTATGAGCAAATGCTCTCGGTCTTCAAGAAATTCGTACCGATTCCAACTACACTAGAAGAAGATAAGAATTATCACATACATCCAGACACAATCCGCAAAGAAATAGTTGGTAGGGGCTTAGGCGTCATTGTAGCCTCAAACCCACGCAATCCTACAGGACAAGTGCTTGAAGAAGAAACATTGGAGACATTATTGAATGTTTGCCGAGAGAAGCATACTACATTAGTATTGGATGAGTTCTATTCAGCCTATATTTATTCCCACGATCAGTCAAAGAATGGGCGCACTGTGAGTGCCACTCGTTTTGTTAAAGGTAAGCTGTATCTCTTGTGTTTATTTGATTCTTATGCATACACACATGTACTTATGCACATGCATTAGATGTCAATAAAGATTCCTTGATTGTAATCGATGGGTTGACAAAGAACTTTAGAGTAAGTGTTTTGTTGTAAAGTTTCCCATCCTTCCATCTTAATATCCTTCAATAGCTTCCTGGCTGGCGTGTGTGTTGGATTGTTGGTCCAAAGCCTGTAATTGAATCCATGGAAAGTTGCGGATCGTTTTTGGAAGGTAAGATCGATTTAATCGCTTTTGCCAAATTAACATCGTGTTTACTGCTGTGTCATAAAGGTGGTGCAAACCACCCATTACAACTGGCCGCAATTCCTCTATTGGATCCGACTGTTTACAGGAACGAAACGAAACACCTTCAACGCCACTTCCGTGCCAAGCGAGATTATGTATTAAAGCGGCTGCGTGAAATGGGATTCGAGATCCGTGTGCCTCCTGAAGCCACTTTTTATGTTTGGCTTGATCTTTGCAAATTGCCTGAGCCCATAAACATCGGTCTTCATTTCTTTGAAGAATGTTTATTAGAAAAGGTGTAAGTATAATATTGTTAAAAAAAAGACATTATATCCATTGTATAGTAATATAACCATTGTATTTGTAGGATTGTGGTTCCAGGAATCTTTTTCGACATTAATGTAAGTTTGCAAACAGTAAATATTTGATAGCTACCTTTTTTTTTGTGATTAAACAGTGCTTTATTCACAGCCTTCCCATCGTCGTGAGTTATTCGAATCTTCATGTCATCACTTTGTCAGACTTAGTTTTGGCCCTCCTCTGGATCAACTTAAAAAAGGCCTTGACAATATTGAGAAAGGTATGGGCTTGAATATGTCTTTATGCCTTTGTTCAATTCATCTCACATCTATTTCATTGATAAAGTGCTTGCCAAATTCAAATCAAAAAAATAAAATCTTGGCCATTTTGATATGCATATCAAACTGTTTGTAAATAACCACACAGGAAGGGGTTATACACAATAATTGTTTTATAAAACCGTAAACAAAAAGAGAATAAAATAAACGCATGCATCTTTTGCATGACTTTCAATTGATAATCCTTATTATATTAAATTACCCTCTGAGCCTTCCTTCTACAAAAATATGAACATTTTGATATTGAAACATTTGATTTACTTATTATTATTAAATAATATAATTTAAAAGTACCTGATTTTTTTTATCAAAAAAAATGTGGTGGCTTGCATCACCCAGACCCCTTTGGAGAGCAGCATTCGTGACTGTTAATATAATAATCGTGGCCAATTAAAAGATGACTGTCAATGCAAATTTTTTTTTCGAAATCAGCACACAAATATCTAGCCGTGTCGGGTTGATTCATCTCTCTCTCTCTCTTTTTACTCCATCACTGACAATGTCTGAACAAGTAAGCTAATCTATAATTTATGGTCGACATAGTTTACTGACTCTACTTTCAATAGACCGAGAAGGCTTTCCAGAAGCAGGCTGGTATCTTCCAGAACTCCAAGATCTCCGCCAAGCGCAACCAGCGTTGGTACAAGGATGTCGGTCTTGGCTTCAAGACCCCCAAGGAGGCCAAGTCCGGTTCTTACATTGATAAGAAGTGCCCCTTCACTGGTGAGGTCAACGTCCAGGGTCGTATCCTCATCGGTGTCGTCGTCTCCACCAAGATGAAGCGCACCATCGTTGTCCGTCGTGATTACCTCCACTACGTTCCCAAGTACAACCGTTACGAGAAGCGTCACAAGAACATCTCTGCCCATTTGTCCCCTGCTTTCGACCACGTTGAGAGGTAATTATTTTTTTACTTCATCTTTTGTTTTCTTCCAAACTATCCTTGTTCGTTGGTTGCACAAAGGACCATTCTCCCTTTTTTTGTAAACAAATCATGGGAATGCGATGTGTTAGTAAAGCAAGCGACACACATTGCAATACTTTTTATGTCGTGTGTTGTTTGCTTTTACTCTACAAGATATGACGGATGAGGTAGTTGGTAAGGTAACGGCTTACCAAGCCTTTGAACATCCTTGCTGATATTTTCGTTTTAGCGGTGACATCGTCACCATTGGTCAGTGCCGTCCCCTCTCCAAGACTGTCCGTTTCAACGTCCTCAAGGTCCAGAAGGCCAAGAAGACCGGCAAGGCTTTCCAGAAGTTCTAATTTCGCCTTTCTTGGTTGTTTAAACTAAAAATAATAAAAAAAACCTGCTTGGTGACTTGCTTCTCCAATCGTAATTGTGACTTTTAAAAATATTTTGAGTGTACTTCTTTGGTTTGCCTTAAATGGGGATTCTTTTTAAATAAATAAGGAATTCCAAATTGCTGGAAACTATAGACGTATTATTAATGAGTTAAGCTTTACATAGTTTTTTAAATGATAATTTGATAATTTTCTTTTAGTAATAAGCTATTTATTAACTCTCCCAAAATATAGTTGTGAAATATTTGATCATGTGTTTATTTTTTAAAAATTAAAAATTAAATAGCAAGTTGAGATTCTTTAATTAATTTTTTTTATAAAAAAAATGTTAATGTCGCAAAAGCCTCGTTAAAGTACGACAACTTTTTACATTTCCTTTTTAATTTCCATGGAAACTGTCAAACTTTTATCTTTATATTCCGATATTATATTTCAATCTTTTTGATTACGGGCCTGATCTAAAGGAAGTTTATAAGGGGATACTCTTGTTTTCTTTGAGGAAATTATGCTACTACTAATGACTATGATTAGATTACACTCTTTTTGTTTGGTTTGTGCCTCGTAGATAAGGAACAATGGTAAAATTAGTCTAAATTACTGATTCCCTATTGTCATTGTTAACTTTCAAAAATTGAAGGCAATCCAGATAATCGGTGCTTTGTTTGAGAAAAGATGGGAAATCTCGGGATAATCTGACTAGCAAAAAAATGTAGTATTGGATCGAGTGTGCATGTATGGTTTTGTCATGATAAATCAATCCAATGTCCTATTGTTAAAACTACAGCAATTACTCATCCGACCAACTGCAGCTCAATATATTCAGTTGATAAAAATTATTTTAAAATAAACGCTTTTATGCTTAGTTGTGTCCATCTGATTAGTATGCGTGCACAATATATATCACACACGCTTTCTATTTACAATCGATACATATCTACCCATGGGAGAGTGTGGGGTGTATATACTTTGTGCTTTTGACTATATTGTCAGGCAGCGTAAAGTTTAATTGGTATCTGCAGTACCTGTCTGCCCGTCAAAAACATATATCAATTGGGAATCTTAAGAGACTTCACCGACCATTTTTTTTTATATTACAAAAAATATAGCAGAATTTTCATCTGATAACCAAAATATCACAAATACAACCCGATCAATTTTTATAAAAATATACCCAAAATAACAAAAGTATAAGGATTAGACAAGTACAAACATGAGTAGAAGAACCTCTTTTGATTTTTGCTGAAACCCACATGACAATATATGTCCTAACTACATATTTCTCTATTCAATCCTTCGTTTTCCACATATATACGATATATTTTTATATTCTGTTCGCGGGATTTATCTCATCTGAAAAGGAAATTCCGGATTATTGGTGCGGCAACTTGTTGGCTGAATCTTCAATACGTTCCAAACAACCTATCATGAGCCATTGCAGAAAATAGACAATATAACCGCTTCAAATCTATGAAAAAAAAAGTGTTAAAAGCAAGGTTACCTCAAGTGCAATGAAATCTACATTTCTTTCCCACGCTTCATTTCATTCTTGATCCCAAAAAGTCTTTCACTTTTTTTGCCCTCTTTTTCCTTCATATTGCTTACTATGCCCGAAGAATTCAAGCTTCTCTCCTCACAACACGTCGCCATTGTTGGAGCTCCCTTCAGTGGCGGACAACCACGCAAGGGAGTAGAGACTGCACCTGCAGCCATGATGAACTTTGGCTTGGCTAACCAGCTTAAAGAGTTGGGATGGACGGTTGAATTCCAAGACAACGAGCAAGAAATCGTTGAGTTGGAACCAGCCCAGGACCCTACCGTATTGAACCTCAAGCAGCCCAAGTTTGTTTCGGCCGTAACCGAGATGATCTCCAACCAAGTCCGAGAAAGAGCCCTCCAAGGCAAATTTGTCCTTACCCTCGGTGGTGATCACTCCATTGCCCTGGGAACAGTGTCGGGTGTCTTTTCAGCCTACCCCGATGCTTGTCTGGTGTGGGTAGATGCTCACGCCGTAAGTAGTGTTTTTTTTTTCACTCTTGAAAAAAAAAATTAATATTAAATCAAATGTTTTTGACACAACGCTGATTTTTTTTTTGGTAACTCAGGACATCAATACCCCGGGGACAACGGATTCTGGAAATATCCATGGCTGCCCTTTGAGTTTCCTGGCCGGAATTGCCGAGGAACATCCTGACTTTAGTTGGGTCAAGCCGTGTTTAAAGGCCAACCGTCTTGTGTATATAGGCCTACGTGATGTTGATGACGGCGAAAAAAAGATCTTGAAGGAGTTGGGTATCAAGGCCTTTTCGATGCACCATGTTGATCAACTTGGGATTGGAAAAATAGTCGAGCAAGCCCTCGATTATGTCAATCCCGACCGTAATTTACCTATCCACCTCTCTTTCGATGTGGATGCTCTTGATCCCTCTGTTGCTCCTAGTACTGTACGTCTATTTATTACTATTGTTATTTTTGGATAATGCACTAAACTTAATTACACTTTATTGAATATTTCTATAGGGTACCCCGGTACGTGGTGGCCTTTCTTTTAGAGAAGGACATTATATCTGTGAAGCTTTGGTCAACACCGGTCTTTTGGTATCTGCCGACATTGTTGAAGTCAACCCAGTTCTCCTGGACGAGGAGTCGGCTTTCCAAACTATCCAGGTCGGGTGCTCTCTTGCCCGCTGCTGCTTGGGTGAGACCTTGCTCTAGAATTACATAGCAATATCATCTAAATTCTTGAATAAAAACCATAATTGAAACCATAAAGTCTATCATGAGTGTCTTCTTCAATAAAAAAATGACATTACACACAAAAAATAACGTTCAAAAGTAAAAATCGGAGTATGAATTAGTGCTTCTGTGACGTCCGGCTCGCAAGGCGCTGGCAAACGAGGTCTGTGGCAGGGCAATACTTGGTAATCGTCAAGAGGCATACTATACAAATCCTTCCTTTCCCATACTTGGTTCAGCAGCCGCCATGAAGTAAGGAAGACTTGCGCATAATCCATCCATCCATCAATCCATCAAACTCATTGATTTTTGTTCCGTCTATTTTACATTATATCGTTGCATAACAATTTTACTTGACTTGACTACATTTTTATTGCTTTGTGGGATTGCATTTGTGATGGAATGAATTTACCAGGCTCGAGATTTGCTCCTTCTCCGGTCACAAGATCTACCCTTCCAAGGGTAAGACTTACGTTCGCATTGACAGCAGGTAAATACATTGAGTGCAATACAAGCCGAGAGGCAATACGACTTGTGACAAAAATGTTCTAGAAATTACATTTACTAATTAATTTATTTTTAATTTTTTATTTCTATCGTTTAGAGTACGTTACAAATTCACTTCAAAAAATTCCCACATATATAGAATAAACAATAACTACTACAACAACAATAACGACAACAGATTTCCAAAAAAAAAAAGAAACGAACACACTAGTGATTCCAATGATATTTAAAACACAACGCTCAACTCTTCAATCGCTATCATTATTGTTATTTAGTCTTTCCGTTTCATCAACGGCAAGTCCGAGTCCTACTTCCTCCAGCGTCTCAACCCCCGCAAGATCAAGTGGACTGTCATCTACCGTCGCTTGAACAAGAAGGGTATCACTGAGGAGATCGCCAAGAAGCGTTCCCGCCGTACCGTCAAGCACGAGCGTGCCGTCGCTGGTGTTTCTTGGGATGCTATCCGCGCCAAGCGTAACCAGAAGCCCGATGCTCGTGCTGCTGCCCGCCAGGCTGCCATTGCCAAGTCCAAGGAGGCCAAGAAGGCTGCCGCTGCCACCAAGAAGACCACCACTGGTTCTGCCGCTCAGGGCGCCAAGGTCTCCAAGCAGGGTGCTAAGGGTTTCGCTCCCAAGGCTGCTGCCACTTCCCGTTAAGAGAATGTGGTTCAGATGAAATTGAACCTTTGAGTGTTCAATTTTTGACTTTCTAATAAACAAAGTAAAACATACTTTATTGATTACCAAAAACAAATGATCAATATATTTAATGCAAAGTGGGTTCAGGGATAAAGAACAGAGAATCTCTTAAAGGTTTATGCAAGTCAAGGCTTACAAAGTAGAGTGTATAGTGTGGAAAAGTATACTAGTTTGTAATCGTTCTTTCAGCTTGAATATATTACTATCTTCATGGGAAGGGTATTTGTATTGGAAAATGACCAGAGAAACTAAAGTAATATGGAAATATTAAACATAGGTTGTACATCAGGATAATTTGATCCAAATATTATTTAAATAGTATAATCACAAATGTCAAGCTGTGGTAATTCAAGATCAAGGGATAAATCACATATGGTACTTGTGCTGATAGCAAGTGTTCTAAAAAAACTTTAAGCAGCTTTCCTTTGTGGATTTACAAACCATGGCGGGAAGACGTAAGAATCAATTCTAAATAAAACGTTTGTGCTACATTAAAATGAATTCACTATCATATAATTGAAGCCATGGATCAAATACGGAAAAGAAAAGAGAAAGTCGTGTTTATATATCTTATCATATTCTGATCAGTTATACGCATAAATTAAAGAAAAATAATTAAGATGGTCTTCAAACACTTTTCTTTATTCCAATTATAATAATAATTTTTATTGAGGCTGTAGGTCAAAGTGCAGATCATATTATTTTAGGAGACAGATGCCCTGGCTGTGATATCATTATTTCTTTATTTATACGAAACTTTTAAAATAAGCTGTCGCGAAGTGTATTATATACTCATTGTCACTTTTAATTAAATTTTATTAAATTCTATAAAGTAAAAGGGAAGGGAAGGGAAGGGAAGGGTCAACCAGAGTCTCTGTTGCCTCGCATAGTATGAATAAGTAGTCGGCCTACAGCCTCTACCAAAAGACTCGAATTATCTTGTCCACTGTCTTGGCCAAAGAATACAAAGAAACTATCTTGTTCACTTTTCTTTCCACCTTTTTTTCCACTTTCTTCTTCATTCTCTTATATAGCAGTTTACTTTTCACAGCTGTTAAATTCTTCTATAACTTCATTAAAGTTATGGTACTGATCACACGTGAACAAGCCATCTGCATGTTCTACCATCAGCCATACAACGAGCAAAAGACCAAGGAATTACTGAGTGCAATTGAGGGAATAGACACAGAGATATGCTATAAAGAAGATCCTACGAAGTTACTTTTATGAGTAGTTGAAAGTATAAATACTGTTTAAGAATATTGGTATTCTTTATTTAATAAGTGTACTCTACACTCCACAATTGAGTGAAGAACATACTCCACAACCAAACACTGGTTCCTTCTTGCTAATGAACCTGGCAAGTTAACAATCTCCGGAACTGCTACACACCAGGCACGCGTACACTACACACTCATGCAGTGTAAACCAACCATTACACAACAGGGATTTGAATTACAGGGATTTTAGTAGTAATAGATGTAAACAATATAATGAAAAATTATTTTAATGATCTTTGAAACAGGGTACTGCTTCTGCATTTAAACTCTTGAAGTTTGTCTGGGCTGTTTAAAAGCTCGTCTGAATTATAAATATGTATTGTGTTAGTGTATGGGAGTTTGTCGATAATTATCTTGACTATATTCGGACTGTTCCTGATGCAAATTATTAGTAATGAGCTTTGTTTAAGACTATTATTTTTTTAGAAATTTACTTCAAGAATTGTTCCAGGTCTTCAGGATTTGTAGTTAATCCTGTAAAGTCAATTACTACAATACATATTTTTTCTTTTGTAGGAATTTATGCCAACAAATCTAATAAATGAACTGAAATTTAACACGATTATAATAACAAATAAAAACTCTCCTTTTTCTCACCCTGCATGTCTCCATCGGCAATAATTCCTGACAATACACCAGTATTCTTTTTTAAGTCTCTAGCAAGCAAAGGTTGATTTGATTCACAGGAAAAACTGGCAAACACTTTTGTTACAAGGGATCTTTCTCTGAGATTTACACTAATTTGATTTAATAGACGAATTCGTGTGATATCGTCTTTTTCGCCGGTTGACTTTCTTATATAGCCAACTATCTCATGTCCATTCTCTTTTAGGTTTTTTATGGTTCATTGGTACTGAGGTAATGTTTCGATAACATCTTTTATAATATGGTCTAAATAATAAATTAATTACGGAAACAACAAGTACTTAAGTATATTATATATTATCGATATATTTATCCTTTACTATATAAAGAGCTCGAGTTGTGATTTTACGGTCGAATTTGTCTCGCTTTTTTTTATGTTGGCTTCCATTAACTTCAACTTCTTCGCTCCACACTATTTTCTAAAGCCTTACACATTCATTTCGTCTAAAAGGTTCGTATACTTCTATACTATGCTCAGGATGTCATTCATATCCATGCTTTTGCAAACATAGACTTCATCATTGCTTGGATCTGATGCTAATAGTATAGTATTTAAGAAACCAAATAAAGATTATACCAGTTTTATATTCTTAAACATATAAAAAATTCAATAGCTAGGTAATATCCTTTTGCTCTTTTTGATGGTATTACTTGTCTCCATTTTGATTCTACCGGACCACAAATCATAACCTTTTTGCAGACATGAAATAATAATATCTGGTCCCTAATAATTCATCATTACTATAATAATTAATACAGGCCAGGATACACAATGTTCGTCTCATTTTATTTCGTGCTTTGAAGAAAGAGTATATGGGGATTAATTACCAGTTGGTGCTGTCAAACTCTGGGACTATAATTAAGTGAAAGAAAGAGAAATACATGATACGTGTAAGAAGGCCAATAAATAGTAAAATATCAAGCGAGATTGTGTCACGCTTAATGACAACAACTCTTTATTATCTGCTGCATAGCTGGCTATTGATATAGTGTATTTGTGACTAATTATTATCTCTTTATTGTTAAGTCTAAATTCAGGGCTACGGATTGAATATACACGATTTATTTTTCGTATGAGACAATATTTTACTATTAAATTGACCAAAAATAGATCGTATTTCCTAAAAGGAGATTTAGGTGCCTGGGGAGAGACATATAAACACAAAGTGTAGGGACAAGGTAATAAACTAATTCGTACAATGAAAATTTTGTGTTTTTTTAGGACACACCATTCTGCCCTGAAGGGTTAGAGAAAGACATCAGTCCCCAGACAGGGAGTCATAATTCATTAGTCCGGTTAGATAGAAACGTCGTCCCTGTAAGATTTCTGCCCAATATTAGCGCTTTTCGAAACAAGCTGTCATTTTCTCGCCAGAGACAGACTTTGACTTTAATAGAATGCAGGATCATTTGGAGTTCATGATCGAGTTAGCCAAGCTTTACAAAGAGATTGAAGGAGATGTAGACGAAGTGGATGAAGTAGCTCGTCAAGTGTGGCATACGCCTACCGAGCTTTTTAAAGTATGCTCAGATAATAAATACACATGCTCCAAAGTAATGATTCTCATGCTCTTCCTATTCTTTACATGTAGCCTTGGTATGGCTTTGCTATTGCAAAGTATCTGGTATCAGAATACAAGCTTAACCATTTCCCCCACAAGGATCTTATTATCTATGAAATGCGTGCAGGTAACGGCACACTCATGCTGAACATCTTGGACTATATTCAGCAGAATGAACCAATGGTGTACAAACGCACCGAATAAAACATCATCGAAATCTCTGGAAAACTGGCCGAACGTCAATCAGAACGGCAGGACGTTCGTGATGCTAAGGATCATAATCGATGTGTAACTGTGATCAATAAGAGTATTTTTGACTGGGATGTCCATGTTCCTGAACACTGTTTCTTCCTTGGGATGGAGGTCATCGTAAGTCTATTATATGAATGTGTATGTGCTTGATGACCAATCAGAATGTTACTCTTTTTTATAGGACAACTTTGCTCATGATCTTATCCGGTACGATATCAACACACTTGAGCCTCGTCAAGCCTTGGTGAGCACAGATGCCAATGGAGAGTACACAGAGATCTATGAACCTGTGGGTCAAGATAGTTTAATATCCCGATATCTCGCCACTCGTAAGGAGGTTGGATACCGTAGCCCAGTGCTTTCTCGAAAACTGTGGAATGCCCTCTTAAAGAATATGCCTTTGGCACCTAATCTTACCGCACCTGAATTCATTCCCATAAAGCTATTTATGCTGCTCGAAACCCTCAAAACTCATTTCCCTCAGCACCAGCTTGTATTGTCCGATTTCTCTAGCTTGCCAGATTCTATAGATGGTGTTGATGCCCCAGTAGCTCAGACACACTACAAAGCGACCATGGTGCCATGCTTTACTTACATGGTTCAGCCCGGGTGGTTTGATATCTTCTTTCCCACAAACTTTGAGCTTCTTCGGGACATGTATCTCCGCGTCTGTCGTGGTACTGGCGCAGGAAACGATAAGGGTGTTAGAGTACTAATTCACCGTGAGTTCTGTGAGCGCTATGGTGATATTGAGCGTACTACGACTCGCGGTGGAGAAAATCCGATACTTATGTACTATGAAAACATGAAGATGATCCTTACTTAAGAAACCTATAATATACATGTATATACTAATTCCAGCTTGTTATCTTATCTTATCTTTTTATATATAAAAAGAAATAAATTTCATATAAAGTATATATATATATAATATATCGGTTATTATGTACTGCGAAAAATAAGAGACCCTAATGATGATTCATAGGGCAAATTCAAAAGGAAACTCTCTATTCTTTCTCTTATCGTCTGCTATAAATAATTATATGCCCTCCATATATTATATGATTAGTTTCATTAATTTAACATCATATCTTTCTATCAATGGATTTGGTACGTCCAAGTGCTGTGAGACCAAAAGAGAATACCAAAGAGGGTTGTCATATGAGATAAAGTTTCCCAAATTCTGGGAGAAGAAAAAGAACATAAACATTCCAACCTGGTTATCACCAAGTATATCTAAGATCATATTTGATCATTCATTACATTTCTTTAATAACTTGGGGGGAGTTGTTGTTTTATTATTTTTCTGTATTGTATAAAGTGGAAGGCGAGGTGTTTTACATTGATCACAAAGATATAATGAGGGAAAGGTGGGATATTGAAATCGTGCATTTACTTTTAAGCTACAGTAACAGCGAAATGTAAAAAATTGAAATTGAAACATACAAAAGGAGGGAAAGCAGTGCTTAATTAAAGTGAAACCTTACAACAATCCTTAAACCCCCGAGAAAGTTTGTAAAAATCTCTTATTAACGTCACTCTTTTTTACCATAGTATACTATATGTAATTGGATATTTATTTCATTGGTTCTAGAATAAGCTTAATGTTCTTGTCTTACTGTTTTCTTCAAACTTGATATTAGTATGGCTCGACTGCGTGTAACAATAAATGATCAATAGTTACTTTGAAATATGATCAACCCATCCCAATAAAACAAATGTTTCTATATTTTCACATTTGTGTGCCGAATTCATGCTTGAATAAGTCCCGTTTTTATTACTGTGTTATATTGTGGTTTTCAGAGTTCCAGTACTTCCATCTTCTTCCTTTTCGCTTTAAAAAGAACTCCCGCTGCAATTATGCTGTATACAAACCCCTGGCGCTTAAATCCAATTCGCAATACAAGTTTTCATTGTGGTGTATTATCCAGACAAACTTACATTTGTCCACATTCTATAAATATATAAAAGTTAATATGTAAATACCCTTTAGTAGTAAAATATGTATAAAGTAAACATTACCAGTGATTTTGACAGGAAGCTTAGGGCGATTGTTGGGGCCTGTTGATACATTTTCTAAAAAAAAACAAGATTTCAGTATATCCAGTTCTTCTCACTGGAAATTCAAAGGGTTTATACCAATCTTTCTGAGAGTCAGTAAACCATCCACTAGACGGCCAAACACAACATGCTTTCCATCCAAAAACTCGCACTTTTCACAGGTGATGAAAAACTATTACCAGCTAAAGTAAGTTTCACGTTTAATCATGATTTACACAGCTGGTCTTACCTGGCATCCGTTGGTGTTTGGACCAGAGTTTGCCTAGTATACGTAGAGATTTGTTAATTTCGCTAATCAAGCCTCTTAAAATACGTTATCTAGCCCTACCATAGACAATAATCCTGACTGATCGTGTTTCACAGTAAAGTTCTCGTCATGGAATCTTTCACCATAGATGCTCATGGAACCTGTACCGTCACCTTTTAAGAAATCACCGCCTTGAACCATAAAATCCTTAATTACTCTAGTAAATTTTAATTAGACTAGTTTCTAGGTAGATAGAATACTGTTGGTGGTTATTTTACCTGTGGAAAAGACAGTTTTTAAAACCCTGGGGAACGCCATTACGCCTAAAAATTAATTAAAGACTTTATCAGTATATCCCACTCCCAGTATTTCCGTTTTTCGTTGTATTTGAAGTTACTTGAATTCTCCTGTGCACAACTGTCTATTAATTTAAAATGAATTCAATCAAAAGTTAATGACTACTTCAAAACATACACATTAGGTCTCGATCGGATTAGATTAACCTACCTAAAGTTTTCTGCAGTTTTTGGGACAATATCCGAGAATAATTCCATCTTCATCCGACCCACGGGGACATCTCCGATAGATATATCAAAAAATACAACGGGTCGTTCTTCTGCCATTACTGATTTGAAAGATAAAGATACGCGAAAAAAAAAGAAATGCTGAAGATCAGACTTGACTGATGGAGAGACGATGAACGTGACTTACTTTGTTCATTTGTTAATGTCAGGCAAATGGAAACGAGCAAAATCCGTTCACGGCTTTCAAATTTAAATTTGCACATTAGAAATACTAACCTTAGTAAAACGTTCAGTCCGAACTTGGTATAAATTCACTAGGTACACATAGATACTACTTTTCTTTTAATTAGAGGGACACTTACTTCCTTAGAACTACTTATGTTTTTTGATGGCATTAATTTTTTATGGTCAGCACACTTAATTAAATGAAGAGTAATCAAATTTCTTTATTTTTACAATGATCGAGAGAGGGTAGAATAGTTTTTATGTATACATTTAATACTGAACTTTTACCAACTAATTGTAACTTTTAACAAAAAGAAAAGTGTGCCTTGAAGGTCACTTCTTTAGCTTATTCGCTTTGTAAAATTTTCTTTCTGTACTCAACAGGAATGCGTTCAAGCACTTTTACCCCATCGCCTATACTGACAGTTCCTGCTGTTAAAGGAGCTGTATGCACACAAAAGTAGCCATTTCCAGGAGTGTTTTCAAATTGGCGTGTCTTCTTCAGATGTTCAAGTACGCTTGAATCCTTCCACTTATCCTTTTTTGCGGTTTCTTGATCAATACAAGTCACTATGAATACACATCAGATACTAAAAATCTATGCACACACTGATGGTTTCTATTACATGGACAACGAGCAAGTGGTTCAATTATATAGTATGTCACATCTCCAACCCTATTAGTCTGTTAATACATATTTCTCATACATAATTCCTGCATTTTCAATAAATTGTATTTTCTTACTTTGCGACCAGCCATTCATCTTCTTCCCATGAAATTGTGTCTTTGATGGAAATGTTGTCTCTAAAACGAGACATCGGAATGGTTTGTCCATTACTGACACCACGTCGTAACAGGTTTCTGTTCATATCTTCTCTGCTGGACTCAAATCCCATTGACACAGGAGATTGATCAGTAAATGGCGATTGGACACCAGGTAATTGTGGATGAGCAGGGCGTTCGTACTGGCCATTCGAAGGATCAAGTACGACCATTCGCATAATCCCCGGAACATTTCGTTCGCTTAAATCTTTATCGACTTGGTCATGATCTGCATGACGCCTAAGAAAGGTTGTTATCCATTCTGATGCGGCCTCACCCACATCATAAGCCATAAGATCATCTTTCCACAGCTGAACTGAGTAAAGCTTTAGATTCTTCGTATCCGGATGTAGTGGGAGTTCAAGAGAATCTTGACCTTCAGTTGTCAGTGTCAGCAGGTTGCGAGCCTCATCGATTAATGGGTGTATAAATGCGAGTGAGGGATATACTCTGTCAGATAAAGTAGTCAGAACGAAAAAGATAGTTATCAAAAAGGATAAATGTTTATATAATGTATCCTATCATTTTATGTTTTACCTTTGAGTAATGAATCTCTTTATCGAATCTTCAACAAACATGAACCGCCTGTCATTTTCTAGTCCAAGAGGCCCAACTTTACATGTCTTTAAACTTATACCACCACATGATTTGATCGGGTAGATAGTGATACCGCACACTGTAGGAGATTTTGTAGCCGGCATCGAGTGAAATAAAATATAACAAAAAGAAAGGAAAAAATGGAGTGGTGCACAAATGTTTTGGAGTAATTCAATGTGATGTATATAAATATACACATGCAGATGTGTGTAAGCATATGTAAAACTTGATTGGCTCTATTGATGACAAATATCTTAATATTGGCCTCACAAATGTTTACAACGTAAAATAGGTATAAAATTAAACTGGTTTGTAAAGAAAAGTTAAATAAAATAAATGGATAAACTACTATATTTTCACTAATTATTCGCCAACTTTGAATAATTCACAAACTTGAAATTTATTTTCATATAAATTTACCAGGCTAATCTCACTGAATATGTCAAAGAAGAAGTGAAAAAAAAGGTCAAGAGGTCCTATTGTTGAGGTTGAATATGTCATTCTACGGCTTTCTTTCCTCGCTGTTAGGATAAAGGACTACTTCTTCAAGTATTCTAAGAATATTTTTATGTGGAAATATATTTATCAGTGGGAATAATTAGTGAAGATACGGTACTGTAGGTGCTAGTAAAAAAAGCGTATGTAAGGAAAGCAAAGAGAGATTTATAAAAGTATTAAATATAGCCAAGTAATGTTCTTTTTATTATTAATTTTCGATATGTACAAATTTATTTAACAAGGGCGTGAATAAGTATTGTTATTCGACGGAATTTCAGCATCCTTTCCGATACCAACGTGAATATTTGATGTGAGATAGAAGGACTCGACTGCATTTTCAACATTGGCCAATCTCTTGGTTGCCTCTACTATATCTTCCAACAAAAGAGTTAACATATCTTTTGACAAAGATTCACGCACGACAACACGTAAGATCTCAATCGAGTCGGCATCTGGAGGTAGAGGATAATTGGGGACAATCCAGCCTTTGGTACGGATCAATGTGCTTATGGCACCTTGCTTTACATGCGGACAGTTTTTCTTGTACTCGTCAGTGAGCTTAAATGACACGACAGGCAAATGAGGGTTGTAATCAATGACTCCTGCCTTACTAACGACTTCTTTTGCCTTTGAAATCCCCGACTTTTCCTTCCAGCCAAAGACACCTTTGGGACGATGGAGATCTGACACAACGTCAAAATAGCCCGAATCTTCCAATCCTTTCGCAAATTCACGTGCATTTATCAAATCGTTATTAGCAACGTTTGTAAAGCCTTCGACTCCAAGACGCAAAAAGTTGTAGTATTGTCCAATCTACAAAGTATAATAATGGCTCAGTCTTTTTATATTTCAGTAAGATAAATCAACATACCATAAAACATGCTGGACGAGAAAAGTTGATGGTGTACGAATATTCTGTGCCACCAAGATAGTGTAACTCAAAAATGAGTTCTTTGGGCAAATATTCCTCTGACTTCCACAGAATCCAACCTATGCCAGCATAGCATAAACCGTACTTGTGCCCAGAAGTGTTAATAGATGATACTCGTGGAATCTTAAAGTCCCAGACGAGATTAGGAAAGGCAAAAGGTGCCACAAATCCACCACTGCAAAATAAATCCAATAAGTTACACTAGACAGCAAAAAGAAAATAGACTCCTAGTTAAATTTGACATATTGCTTACCTAGCAGCATCCACATGGATTGGTATATCAATTCCTGTTTTTTCTTGATAGGCATCCAAAAGATCTGAAAGACCCTTAACATCCTCAAAATGGCCAGTGTAAGTTGAGCCAAGAATAACAAAGATTCCAATCGTGTTTTCATCACATGCTTCAACAGCCTTTTTGATATCCAGAGCATAATGGCTTTCATCAGAAACAGGAATAAGACGTGCTTCGACATCAAAGAAGCGTGCAAATTTCTCCAGTGCAACTTGAGCATTATTTCCCATGATAATATTCGGATGATACGTGTCCTTCCCGGCTTTCTTTTGACGGGCTTGCCATCTTTTCTTGAGAGCTAGCCCACCAAGCATGATGGCTTCAGAAGAGCCTGTGGTGGCAGTACCAATTGCATTTTCGGCATTCCACATATTTCCGATCATAGATATACAGCGTCCATGTATTCGCATTGTAGCAGGATACTCGTCTTGGTCGGACATGTTCTTTGATATGTTTTCCATCATAAGCTTGTCTGCCTCGGGTTCCATCCAGGTGTGGACTATAAAAGAGTTTAATAGCCGGCCTAAACATATTGTTATATTCAACTATTACCAAAACTAGCGCAATTCATAGCAGGTGTGCCATCAAGATCAAGTTCGTCGTGAATAAGCTGATAGGCAGTAGTTGATCCAGCAGGCTTTTGTGGAATCTCTGTCTTTGGGACATCGGTGGTTGCATAGCGCGAGCTGTAAGCAAGAGAGTGTAACGACTGGTTTTCTTTTGATGCGTCAGTATGTTGTCGATTCTTTGGAAGAATCTTGGATTTGACGTGCTTGTGGAGGACCATGATCGTAACTTAGTAGGAAAAGAGTCAAAAGAAATATGAGCGGTATGCTATCAGACCTTATATAAGGACAAGTATGCGATGTAAATTAATAGAAACTTTAAAGATGAATTAGGATATGGCGTAGAGGTGACGTTTAGACCTTTCTCCATTCCTTAAAGTTCTCAACCCGAGCAGACTAAGACATGACGTCGAATATATTATTGATGAAATTAGATTCAGGTCTATATTAGAGCACCTATAGCCCGGGCATTATTTGAAAACGCATATTTTTAAAAAGAAAAAAAAAATAGACGAGCCTGATTTATTAATACTATTACTACTACTACTACTGCTGCTGCAGATAATACTCTTTTTTAAAGGCTGTCTCGTATACTGTGGTAATAATTTCCTTATTATTGTGTTTGAGTGATATACATTTGGGCTCATGGGTTAGATGAGGTCTGGAATATGAATAAAATAATGATACAACTTTGGCTGATTAATTTTAACATAAAAAGAAATCCAGATGTCGAAAGTGTGTAAGTACATAAAATTTCAACCCAGAGCGCATAACTTTTTATACCCCTTCAAAAATGACAGAATAAATTCTTTTACAGCAATTTTCTTTTAGGGTTTATTACTTTAAGTAAAGCAAAGCGATTTGTCTAATACTCAAGATTACTATTAAATGTTAATGCAATGGTTTTTGTAATGTTCAGTATTCTCAAAAATAATGAATTAGTAAGAATCATTCACATTTCTTTAGTGACTTTGTATAAAGTTTTTTTATCTATATTCTTTAAATGGCTTGAAAGATTAATATGTCCTGGTGAAATCATTGTTTATTTCGAGAGCGCGGGTTTCAATACAAATAGTAACTTAATGTATATATCATAATTAACAAGGTTTCGTAATCGCCTAGATTTTAGCTTCAGTACAATACTTTATCGTAACTTTATAGTATATTATTCTCACCCAGAATGATTAATATTTGTTTGTTCGAGCAGGACAATATGAATCTTTCTTAATATTTCTAGAGCCTCTAGTCTTTAATATTATCACCACTCCCAGGGAGGAGTTGCTTTAAAAAAAACGATTCTTTGGCACAACATTGATGTCGTTTAATGAATTATAACCGTTACTGGTTAAACACAAACCTAAACGTGAAAACCTCAAAACTCGATACCAAATATGTGAATTGCACGTTGTATGTATATGTATACATTTACTTAATTATGCTTAAGTACTGAGAAACATTTAGGACCAAGTATCATTGTGTATTCATCTATACTTTTATTGTTTATTATTAAAAATGGCTTAGGTATTATTATTATTATTATCTAACATGAAATACATTATTGATTGACCTGGGCGCCCTGAATTATGCAAAGTATTGATTGTTCAACTACCGCCTATTTATTGCTCGTGTAAGTAACTGAAAAAGTAGCTCAAAGAGAATCAGTGCTCACACAAAGCATTGTCAAGTTTGGATTTTGAAATTAATATCAAGCAAATCAAATCACTATTTTGATAAAAACTCTTCTTAAGCAATACATGTATTTATTTAAGCTATTACTGTGTATTATTTATAGGTTTGGTACAAATACAGGACTTACGGTTTCAAATATATATATATATATTCTATTTCCAAAAACAAAAAGCAAAATAACAGCCTGGTTATAAAACGTATTGAGTATAGAGTAGTGTAATACTGGTCTAAGGATCAGTATAGTTCCTAGGCTATATAAAAGAGCATTATTTAGAGAGACAGAGAGAGAGAGAGCAATAAAAAATCGTATTTTGTACTTATATTTTAATGAACTAATACTAGTATTTGATACCACTAAAAAAGAGAGATGGGAATAAAAAGATAACCGGACATTTACTATGTTCGGCTTCCAACAAACCGGACAGCGGTGTTTAAATATACTTGTGGAAACCACCTATCCATCCAGACCCACAGAGCGAGTAATCCGCCTGCCAAAACCAGTAGCAAGGGAATCTACCAGACCCTCCCTTTTCTCTAAACCCAAAAGGTAACAAAAAACAGCCATCCATCTAGATGGATTGGATAATATCACCTCAAGATCCATTAATTGCATATACTAAACCAATGCTCATACCTACAGATGCCTCCCAAATTCGATCCTTCTGAGGTTAAGATTATCTACCTTCGCGCCACTGGTAAGAAAACCAGAAAGAGAAAGAAAGATAATGAATGGTTCATTAACACAACTTTGATTAGGTGGTGAGGTTGGTGCTTCCTCCGCTCTTGCCCCCAAGATCGGTCCTCTCGGTCTTTCCCCCAAGAAGGTCGGTGAAGACATCGCCAAGGGCACCAAGGAATGGAAGGGTCTCCGTGTCACCGTTCAGTTGACCATCCAAAACCGTCAGGCTCAGGTCTCCGTTGTTCCCTCCGCCTCTTCCCTTGTCATCAAGGCTTTGAACGAGCCCCCCAGAGATCGCAAGAAGGAGAAGAACATCAAGCACAGCGGTAACGTCTCCCTCGAGGCCATTATCGATGTTGCCCGCACCATGCGCTTCAAGTCCCTCGCTCGTGAGCTCAAGGGTACCGTCAAGGAGATCCTTGGTACCGCCAACTCCGTTGGTTGCACCGTCGATGGCCAGAGCCCCAAGGACTTGTGTGATGCCATTGATGCCGGTGAAGTTGAGATTCCCGTAAGTTGATCAACATCTATAATATTTTTTTAAAGTTGTAATACATATTAATTTGTTACTGTGATATTTTGTAGGAGAAATAAGTTATCTCATTATGGGCATTTGGAATAAAACTTCGGCATTACAAAAAAAACACTTTAACGAACAAACAGTACACCTTTTATAACGTTTATAAGTGAATGAGATGTTCAATATTTTTTTATACAAATATCGATTGTGTTAAGTTATAAGTGATGGACAGTCTCGTTTATATAAATATTCGTGTGTTGACGTGGTCTATAAACTATTTGGGCTGTAAAGTGTAGATATATAAAAAAATGTATTTATTCACTGGGTAAAATACAAGTCTAATGAAATGAATAGAGGGGAAAATACACAATATAGAGTCTACTGTTTTTTTTTCTTACGTGCCAGATTGTGTGATCTTACTGTTTGACAGCATGTGCCAGTCTATTGAGACAAACGGGTCGCCCAAGTACTTCCATAGTTTCTGCTACACCTGCGCCTACTCGAGTACCAGTAACTGCATAACGCATGGCCATCATGAGGTGGTTTTGTTTAATGTTATTTAATTCTGCCAATTCATGGATCCACTGCTTGATAGACACGGCATCAAAGGATTCCAGTGAGCCTAATGTCTCTTGTGTAGTAGATGCTAAGGCGAGATCTAAAATTCAATAGATAATATACATAAAAAAAAGTGTTAATTCTCTAAAGTATACCCTTATTTTTTTTTGTGTTGTTTTTAACAAAAATCACACTTACCTACTGCTTGCTTATTGAGCTTTTTGTAGAGTGCCTTTGCATCATCAGAGTCGTAATCAGGTTCTACGAAATAGTAGCCGCACAGCTGAGGAATATCGCGGATATTACGGATTCTGTCCTAAACACGGATGTGAGTTTTGTATCATGATCTGCAAAAGCACACATTTACTTGCCTTGATTGTATTTACGACAGCGGATAGATAAGTGCGCTCAAGTCTAGACGAGGCGTTTTCTTCTTGAAGTCTTGATTTTTTTAGGTAAATAAATGTTGGTTAAAAGCAATAATATAAAACATGGCAGTGCTTTTTACTTTGTCTCAAAGGAGGTTTTTATCATAGGCTGCAGTAAATCGACTAGGCTCTCAAGCCCTTCAGGTGTTTGTGCACGGCGTAAGAGATGTTGTTTGTTCATCCAATCAAGTTTTCCAATATCCACGACAGCATTTGATTTATTTAGTTGTTTCAAGTCAAACTAAAAGAAAAAAAAATCAGATATAAATATAATAATACTATAATATAATAAAATGAACTATGCACGTACTTTTTCAATGAGCTCTTCAGGTGAAAACACTTCTTCTTCACTATTGGGATTCCAACCCAACAGTGCAACAAAGTTGTTTAAAGCTTCAGGCAGGTAGCCCTTTTCAATATATTGTTCGACATGAACATCACCAGATCTTTTTGACAACTTTGTTTTGTCTGCGTTCATCAAGAGAGGAAGGTGAACAAATTGAGGAGGAGTCCATCCAAGAGCTTTGTAAAGGATGACATGCTTTGGAGTAGATGGCATCCATTCCTTGTATTGACTTTGTTAATTAGCTCAAGTATAGTTATTCAAATCTCTCTCCAATTTACCTCGCCTCTCAAGACATGTGTGATACCCATCAGATGATCGTCCACCACATTAGCAAGATGGTAGGTAGGGAATCCATCGCTCTTGATTAGAATAGTATCATCCAATGTCTTGTTGTTGAATGTGATATTTCCATACACAGTGTCTTTGACATTGGTTGATCCTTCAGGTGTCTATGTCAATCCTTTAGTTTTCTAAATATCTTTCGAGGCGAATCTTAACAGTTCAGGCTTACATTAAGTCTAATGGTAAATGGCAACTCCTTTTCCATATTTTCTTTGATCTCGTCTTCGGTGTAGTATGAACAATGCTTGTCATAGGCTACCAATCGACCAGTCTTCTGACTAGATTCACGTACTCGAAGCAGTCGTTCCTGTGTACAAAAGCAACGATAGGCATGTCCTTGCTATTCACTCCTGGATTAGCAACCTTAATACTTGCAGTTTTATGATCCTGTTACCTTTACTAATTCCTCTGCATAGTCCTGATAAATCTTTGTGCGTTTGGACTACATAATATTTGAGTTGGTTTATTGAATCGAAGATTAAAATCATTGGCTTACTTGGTAATAAGGCTCATGAGGTCCTCCGTGATGTGGACCTAGATATGCATAATTGTTAGTTAGTCCGTCAGTCAATAAGTTGGTTATTTTATTATTATTATTATTTAATTGCCTTCGTCCGGATGAATCCCGGCCCATGATAATGCGTCCATTAATTTTTCAGTTGCTCCAGGCACAAAACGTGTCTACGAAGATAGACAAGTATATTGTTCTAAAGTCAGTGTCTGAGTGCAATACAGATAGTACAAGAACAAAATAACAATCTACTGACCCGGTCAGTGTCTTCAATTCGTAGGATGAATTGTCCACCTGTCTTTTTTGCAAGTAGATAATTGAAAAGAGCAGTGCGTAGACCACCTAAATGTAGGTATCCTGTTGGACTTGGTGCAAATCGTACTCGGGCCGGAGTGTGCATTAACCGAATGGGCTTTTGGAAATCACTATTAAAGTTCACATTCGTCCTAAATGATCTCTTCAAGAGTCTAAATGAACCAAGCATTGCGAGTGGAAATCAACAATAACAATGACAAATGGGTTGACAAGCAAGTGAACCCTGGAAGCAGTCTGATAGCCAGTCCTGCAAAACTGTCTCAATACACGTGACCTGTACCTGATAAAATAAGCTTTGAAGTTTCGAGATAGGGCCCACAGACTTTATTGATTTTTTTTTTTAAAAATGAAGTATAGAAATATTTTATAAGTTGGCCTTAATAGTTCCAATTAGTTTCAATAACTAGCTCTCACCTTCTTTCTGTAACATTAAGTATCTGGATAATCACTGATATTTGCTTGATTTTCAGCAATATATAACGCTACACTTTTGGAAAAGAGTGGTGATATTATAGGAGTATTATATTGTTGTACATATTGATCTATTTATTTAACGAACTAGATCTTAGGTTTTTTTTTCAGAGGGTTAAAAGGATACAATTGTAAGTGAAATTCTCGGCTGGATATTTTTGTATTCGTGTAACCCATTTGAGAACAAGAGGTTTGGTAAAGGGTAAAATATCTTTTCTTTCTTTATTTCTTTGTTTCTGATATTCAATATTAGAAAGTACACACTAAAAAGGAGAGGGGTAATATGACCTTTGTTGGTAGTATGATGAGTACCAGCCAAGGTTTAATAAGTCATGTCCTTCGTTTTGACTAATCGAAAGTGTTCAAACAAACAATACGTTTATAACTTTATGATCTTCTTTTAATGCCAATTATAGGGCTAGAATATCTTTACTGGAGATAATGAAAAGGTATTACAATTGATTTATTTTTACAAAAATAGAACTTGTAGATCTTGTTTTGTTTTGGGGGTATATTGATACTAAGAATAAGGCTAGAGTAGCTTAGTATCTATACTCCTTGTAAACTATAAATTGTAAGCAAGACTCTTACTCGAAGCTTTTTATCTACAGTATGTGCAAGAGCCTTATTTTTTCTTAGTACTTATTTTTGCTCTGAAATGTGGCGTCTCAAAATAATGAAATAAGGCGTAAGAACTGTTTGGTTCTGACAAATTTGTAATCAAGATTAGTACAAAGGAGAAGCTGTATAAACCTTATATGTTGTCATAGCAAAATACACTCCTTTTCAACTCTAAGGATTTATCATTTCCTCCTGCTTTCCTATATATTTATAAAATAGTAGCCGCCGCTCTACAGTTTCTTGTTCTCAATAATTCGTTGTTTTAATTATACCCAATAAAGAATGTAAAGGTCGCTCAAAGTGTCAGATATCCGATACTGAGAAGCTGTGCGCAAATATCACCTGACTTGTACTTCTTGTATTCACCATGAACTACATTTCACATGTGTTAAAAAAATGTATTAAGGATACAATTATACACCTAAAAAAAATATCTTTCAAATTTGAATTGTAATGAATTAAACTAAATAATTTGAACAAGCTTCTTCTTTTATTTTGCATTTTTTTTTTTAAAAAAAAAAACCAATTTCTGGTTAATATTTATATAGATTATTTAAGGTTGGATAAAGTACCCATATCTAATTGAACCTTGATAGGGACCAGATCCAATGTTATGCCTAACAGGAATGTAGTCATGCTATAATACTAGATATAGGTCGAAATGTACTTTGCATGTAAGAAGGAACACGATCATATACGGTTCCTTTTGCACATCCAACTTAAAAAAATGGTTGTGCAAGTTTCTATCGGTCTTGAAAAATACAAAAACGTTTCTTTGTACTTGCCATTAATTTTGTATTTAAGCTCAAAAATCAAATAATAATAATAATAATAGCAACATACTAGCTCTCTCTCTTTCTCTCTCATCATCATCATCAACACCATGAAGACCGTAACCTGCACCGCCCCTGTCAATATTGCCGTAAGTAAAAAACAAAAAACAAAACACATGATAAACATGACAAGTCACTAAATGTCAATGTTCAGGTCATCAAATATTGGGGCAAGCGCGACACCCAGCTCATCCTCCCCACCAATGACTCTCTATCAGTCACTCTTTCCCAAGACATCCTTCACAGCAAGACTACAATCTCGGCTGCAAAGGAGTATTCCGGAGATCGTCTCTGGTTGAATGGCAAGGAGGAAGACATCACTAAGAACAAGCGCATGCACAACTGTTTCCGTGAAACACGCGCTATCCGCAAGGCCGTAGAAGATAAGGCCGCTGCTGCTGGCCAGCCAATTGAGCTGTTGTCAACTTACCCCGTACACGTCTGCTCAGAAAACAACTTCCCCACTGCTGCTGGTTTGGCATCATCTGCCTCTGGTTTGGCTGCTTTGGTTTTCACTCTCGCAAAGCTGTTTGACTTGCCCTCCGATATGTCCGAATTGTCGCGCATTGCTCGCCAGGGTTCCGGATCTGCCTGTCGTTCACTATTTGGTGGCTTTGTCGCCTGGGAAATGGGTAAGGAAGCCGATGGTTCGGACTCCAAGGCTGTCCAGGTTGCTCCCGAAACCCACTGGCCTGAGCTTGAGGCATTGGTGTGTGTTGTGTCGGATGCCAAGAAGGGCACTTCTTCTACAGAGGGTATGCAAAACACAATCCAGACCAGTCCTTTGATGGCCGAGCGTCTCAAGGTTGTCCCAGGCCGTATGGAGGCTATGAAGAAGGCCATTCTTGCCAAGGATTTTGAATCATTTGGTGAACTCACCATGAGAGACTCCAACCAATTCCACGCCGTCTGCTTGGATACCTTCCCCCCTATTTTCTACCTCAACGACACCTCTCGCGGAATTATGCGTCTTATCCACGAGTACAACCGTAGCTCTCCTGATGGCAAGATCAAGGCTGCTTATACCTACGATGCCGGACCAAATGCTGTCATCTATGCTCCCAAGCAGAACATGCGTGAAATCATCCAGTTGATTGCCCACTACTTCCCAGGCACTGACTCTGATTATTACTTTAAAGATACATATGGTGTTCTTGGTGGTGCTGCTCTTGGTGAAAACTATCTGCCTGCTGCACACACTTCATTTGAAGAAGTCATCCCTGTCCACCCCGTTGGCAGTGTCAGCCGCCTTTTGCACACAAAAACTCATGATGGACCCCGCGTTCTGTCCGAAAAAGATTCACTGTTAAATGAACAGGGTCTTCCCAAGCGTACCGCACAAGTATAAAGAATACCAACCTTTTCTTCTGTTTTTCTTCTTTCTTTTCTTTGTTTCTATACAGTCTCCGTTTTTTTTTCACTTCACTAAACATAGAGTATGACCTCAAATATATGGCTCTAAATGTATATTTACTTACTGGGATAACAGTAAATAAATAAAATAAAATAAAATAAAATATACAACATCTTTTCTTATTATTTATATTGGTCGACACATGAGATTTACAAGAATGGAGGTTGCTTTATTGATTGTAAGTAAAAAAGAAAGAAAGATGAATTTAGACCTGTTTCAATATGCAGAAGTTTGAATTAATGTACAATTGGATAAGACGATGAAGTAAATACGACCGTAAAAAATATATAATAATATAGTGGACAAGGGGGAATATACACATGCACGTCCTTTATGTCTTAGGCACCAACAGTAGATGGCTCATGTTCGTGAATACGACGGTTTTTCAGTAGAGTAGCTTTGTTGAGATCCAGCTGAAACACATTACGACGTCTTCTTGACATTGGAGTTGATATCACAGGCACTTCACTGTTCACAATTGGTTGTTGCTTATAAGCTGCTGGGGCAAGACCACGACTCTGATGTGCTAGCTGTTCAGCAATTGCCATTCTTGTACCCTGGGATTCTTCTTTTTGATTGTGATCACCTTGAGACGTGTTTTCTTCTCCTTCTCCTTCTCCTTCTCCATCTTCTTCTTCAGATATAGAATCGTAACCACCGATGAATCCAGCTTCATCATCCACTTGTTTACGATTGCCAGGAACCTTTCGAGACTTTTCTTCTCCCATACGCTGAACAGCATAAGTAATATCAAGAATTTCCTTTATAGATGCCACGCCAGGCGAGAAAAGATCCTTTCTACGGGTGGACTTTTCTTGAGTTGGCTGTGTGGCTGAGAGAGTATTTTCAGGAGTCTCGTAAATCGCCCTGTTCTGACGCTGTGCTTTTTGAGCTGCATTGTACATAGCCTGGGTTCGTGCATCAACAACCTTTTCGGTACGTGCTTTTGTTGGTAGTGGGTGAGCACTGAGGGGTTTCTTCGGGGGGAAAGGACTATTGGTTACCCAAGGATGTTCAAAGAATTCTTCGATTGTGTATCGTTCATTGGGATCCACACATAGTAAGTTGCGAATCAGATCCTTGGCCGAGTCAGAGATTGGGTCCCACCAGGGACTGAGGAAAGTGAACTGGCCTCGTGCGACCTTTTCTGTTAGTGCGCGGATCGACTCGTCGTAAAAGGGAGGGAATCCACAGAGAATGGTATAGAGTACACATCCAATAGCCCACATATCCACAGATTTAGAGTATTTTTGATCTCTTACTATCTCCGGGGCTGTGTAGCCTACTGTACCGCATGGTGTTAGAGTAGAGTTGTCCCAGATAACCTTGGATAAGCCAAAGTCGGCGATCTTGACTCGGCCTATTCCGCCACCACCTACACCAGGTACAAACAATCCCTCGTCTTCTTTGTCTTCATCGTCAAATGTATTTACAGGGCTTGTTGAGGGTACAATCGGGATAGGATCGAAAAGAATATTTTCAGGTTTGATATCACTAGAAAACAAGAGTATTGAGTATTGGTTGTTAAGTTGAGATATACAAAAGTAGACACACACACACACACACACTTTGTGGACACTTACCGATGAACTACACCGCACTCTTCGTGTAAATAGCGAATACCTTGTGCCACTTGGACGATAACATGGCGGGCAAGGTCTTCGCTAAAGTAAGTAAGTTTGACAATCTGGTGAAACAGTTCGCCTCCTTCACAGAGTTCAAGGACCAGAAAGTAGTAGTCGTCTGATTCAGAGAACTGGGTCAATTGAACGATATTTTCGTGCTTGATGTTGCGCATGATTTGAACTTCTTTCAAGATATTTGCACGCTATTTTACTATATTTATCAGTCTCCAAGCATAATTCTTCTTTCTTTCTTTATATATATATATATATATTAGCTTTAATTATACCTCGGTTGCTTTTGTCTTCTTTTTCATGTTAGGATGAAGGTGGTTCTTGCCATTCTATATACACAGACCCACAAAATAGGATTAGTTGTGTACATACAAACATAACATATATATTTAAAGAAATAGTAACAAATGAAAATCTTACCTCGGATGCTGTAAGCTCATGCTTTCGAACAACTTTTATGGCTACCTTTTTATCAGTTGCCGTATCTAATGCCTTGTAGACATTCGAAAAAGCTCCACTAATGATAATAATTATGTTGGTAACGAAAAAGAAGGTTAGTAGTGAATCTAGGTTGGAATAGTTGGCTGTACAACTTACTCTCCGACCTTTTCCAAGATCTCATATCGTTCTAGGCCTGGATAGTAAGGCATCTGTGTCTTGCGTTGTTTTTCTTCTTCGACTAATCGGACTGCTACATCAGCTGATTTCTCCTGATTGTCTTTATAATGTTGATCATTAGATTAGAAAACAAAGCAAAAGAAAAAGGTATATTTCATTTGTTACTGATATGAACAGTATATAATGATAATACTGATAGAATTGTAGGGCTTACCTTTTGTCTGCTTCTTCTTTTGGAAAAGGGTTTTGATTTGGTTGAGCATATTTTTTGTTTGTATTTGACTGCAAAGTGTGATATTGGTTGATTTGATTTGATTTGCCTGTTTACTTTTTACAAAGACTTTGGGGATAAAGAAGAGAAATTAGAGTAAGAAAAAAAAAGAAAGTTAAAAAAAGTTAAAAAGAATAAGATGGGAAGGAGGAGTGGAAGAGTTGAACAAGGTATTTTCAAGGTTTCTTATTAACAAGAATATAGTTTTTTTTTCCCTTACTTCTGTGAAGAGAAATGACGACAGTGCTGAGCTCGGACATTGGAAATAAGACGAAGGTACCCAAATAAGGTACATATATTACAAAAAAGGTATCCGGTCTATGTCATCATTTGGTTACACTGTTGGTCTTGTTTTTTTTTATCATCTAACCCACCACAGGGAAACCAAATCCCTGCATTTTCATTATGAATTTTTAATCAATACATAAAGAAAATGACTGAGAGAATGAATGATGAATATTAATTCCATACACACAAATACACATACATTGGAGAGTGTTTTGTGTACTGTGTTTTATAATACAAGATAATTTATATAACCTTTTCAAACAAATATTTTAATTTTCTCTTTTCTTACTAAATCTGAGACTTTTAATAAATCTGAGCATATCATTCGCTCCATACAAACAGACAAAAAAATTTTAATCACAAGACAAGATTACTTTACAATCGCATTATATAAATGAATCACAATTATTATTTTTATTTTTATTACTTTGTTTCTTATATGACATTACGGTAAGGTGCAAAGCTGATTGTAACCCGTGTTATCTGATGTTTCCTTCGTCAAATACTGCCAACTAACAATGCACGTGGCAAATCATTTACACTTTACAGCCAAAACTATTACAGATTTTGGCAGTAAGAATTGTAACAGATTTCACCTTTTGCTTGGGCTTTCTAACCCCGTAAGCTTCATATAGAACCCAAAAAAAAGGGGGGAGGACCCCTATGGACAGCCTGGAGGGACAACCTGGCGGGACAGCCCGGACATCCTGAACGCTAAGTTTAAGAGGACGGAATTTCTTGGTGAGGGGGCGACATTCTTATTCTACTGGAACATAAATCTTGGCCTTTTTTTCTGGCATGGAATAACTCTATCTGGTTCCTAAGGATACAGAATATTTGAATAACGACATTCTTTTGTACTTTTCAGAAAAGGAGTGGATAGGGATTACTTACCTATTGGTGCTGTCAAACTCTGGGAATACAATTAAGTGAAAGAAAGAGAAAAGTGCGATACGCGTAAGAAGGCTAATAAATAGTAAAATAACAAACAAAATTGCGTCACAATGTAATGACAACAACTTCTTATAATCCTCTACACAGCTGGCTATTGATATAGTGTATTTGTGACATTATTATTATTTCTTTGTTGTCAAGTCTAAATTTAGGGTTACTAACTGAATATACACGATTTGTTTTTCATATGAGACAGTGTTTTATTATTAAATTGACCAAAAGTTCAGTCGTACGTCCTAAAAGAAGAAGAGTTAGGGACTTGGAGAAAGAGATAAACACAAAGTGTGCAGACAAAGCAGTAAAGCTAATGCATACAATGAATATAATATTTTTCAGGACACGCCATTTTGCCCTGAAGGACCAGAGAAAGACACTGGGCCCTGGTCGTGTAACCACAATTTATTAGTCCGGTTAGATAGAAATATCGTTTCCGTGATATTGCTAAAAAATCTTTTAAGTTGAATTTGTTGCAGTTCTGGATAATAAACTGACGACAGCTTCAGCATTTGTTTTCGCTTTTTGGTATTCATGATATTAGAGTAGGTGTTGTTCTATAGCAAAATACCCACTTCTATATTTGTCGAATTTGTGTATCTTGGTTTAAATATTTGTATTTCAGCAGATTTGCTTTCTGTTTTGAAATTGCCACAGAATTCTATTGAACTATCACAAAATCTATGGCAATTTGATTTGATTTTGCCACGACACAACACCCACTCTAATATATTCTAGTTCTCATAGCATTTTTTTCTTTAGTTTTTTTTCATTAAAAAAAAACTAGTGTTTCAATTTCAGTAATCTTACAGGGACAATGTGTCTTTGTAGGACACGACGTTTTGATCTAATCGGACAAATAAATTGTGGTTACACGACCAGGGCCCAGTGTCTTTCTCTGGTCCTTCAGGGCAAAATGGCGTGTCCTGAAAAATATTATATTCATTGTATGCATTAGCTTTACTGCTTTGTCCTCACAATTAATTATAATAGTACAAGTAGATCTTTAGGGACCAGATAGAGCTATTCTATGCTGGAAAAAAGTCACGATTTGTGGTCTGGTGAAATCAAAATGTCATTCCTCCATCAGGAAACGTCGTCCCCCTAAAATTAGCGTCTTACCCTACACAAAAAAATATTTTGCCTTTTACTACCAAGCAACGATTATCATGATCATAAAACGAAGTCAAACAATATAAATATGCTTTTATGTTGATTATTCTGATGAAAATGCTAAAAATGTGAAAAGAAAATCAAGGATCTTGGTGTGGAATAGTGGGACATGCTCGGAAGTCTCCTTCAAATGATAAATTTGAGAACAGGGTAATACTTTTGCAGAAAATGGTGGAAAACTTGCAAAATCGCTCTTTGGCAAACAGAGTTAAATGTTTGCTTTCGGGATTTGTGAGGTGGTTTTTTTTTGGTGTCTTGATTCTCTTTTTTCGTTTGTCCAAGAAAGGTAAGCAGAACATCTAAAAGTTAATTTTTATTCGTCCAAAGAAAAGAAACAAGCAAACTAACATCGTCTCAATCTCAAGTAGAAACACTGTAGTATATAAACTAGCACAGATGAAGTTAATAATAGCCATATTTAGAGATAATTGAAACATTGGTAGATTTTTAGAGATATGAAAATGAAAAAGGACACAAAGAATAAAAAGGTAATTAATTAACGGTTGAGGATTTCATGTGGCAATGCGCACCAGCCAATTACTGCCATTCAAAATAGACCATGTTTTGAAATTCTAACAAGAAATAAATAAAGTAAAAAAAAAATACAAAAAAATACAAAAATGATTTTCATTGGATTTATTTATTTATTTATTTTTTCTTCTGGATTTGTCCTGTACAAGGCGCCAATTGAAAACAAAATATAAAGATACCAATTGCTGTTCTTGTCCATGGCACCACAGAAGCCAACGAAGTCACCTCACCTAGACACAAAACCATAAACAAAAATAACTCAAAGGAAAGTGAATATTACACCATACTACACTACACTATACTCCAAAACACCTTAATCTTTAATCGATTTTGCTCCACAATCTATAAATTAATATTGACAAAGCCTAATGGCCAGTTGCCATTCGGGGGTTCAAAAGGCCGGCTTGGAAGAGGAACCAAGCTGTTTTGTATCAAAAGCACCTTTCTTGTACGTTACACTGAAGGACGAAATGGTATTTTCCATTCATTCGCTCCCAAGTAAAGAAACAGAAAAGAAGAAGAAAAAAACGGACTGTACAATGATGCACCTTTAGACTTTCCTGAACACGCTGCTTTGTGCACACTTCTTTTTTTCTCTTTTTCTCTCTCTTCTTTACACACACAAAAACGACGCTTCATTCCAACCACAATTCGCTACCATGGGCCAGCATGGTAGTAAACAGCATGCACCTCTCACTCTTGGGTATCTTGATCGCACCACCAATGCCACCATCACCAACCCACCTCCTATCGAGCAACCTGCCCCTGACTTTGTTCTCGAAAACCCACACCTCTACAAGCTTGAAGTGGCCTGCTGCTGCGACACACCCGAAAGGGACCGGAACATCAATATATCTCAAACCGGGTTGGCAGAAGTAGCTTCCCAAGAGTGTACTGTCTGCCAGAAAAACAAACGATTTTCGTTAGTGCGCAAAGATTTAGCTAAAGACCTGGAATATATTGACGAAACATATTATCCCCCAGAAGAAAACACTGCCGAATCGGATCCTATCCAGCTCGACACCGAACACCACCAAGACGACGATAACGACGAATCAGACCCTTTGGATAGCTCTGTGAGCCAGGGGTTAACAAAACTGACGATTGGCGAAGCCACCCCTGACAACAAGTCCACGGCCCTATCTAAACCTTCCCTTTCGGTTGATTTGTCTGGGCGGGCACTTGTTCGACTTAGTCCCACAGTTGGCTATCTTCAGAATCTCACTAAACTTAATATGTAGGTCTTTTAGAGATTATAATAGTTTGGTTTATTTACTTTACTTATAAAAAAAGTTTTTTTTTTTAAAAAATATATATATATATAAATATTACAGATCTCATAATCGAATAACCAGCCTACCACGCACCATTGGTCACCTCAAAAACCTCAGAACTCTCAATGCTTCACACAACCTTCTCGAGTCTTTGCCAGACACAATTGCTTTTGTAACCATGCTCAAGGCAATCAATATATCATCCAACAAAATCACCAGTCTACCCAGCTCGCTTGGCTCTCTCCAAAAGCTGGTCATCATTGTGGCCCATGACAACAAATTGACTACCTTACCCCGGGAACTTGTTCGCCTCAGGAAGCTTCTGTCGCTCAATGTGTCTAACAATCCGATCACAGCAATACCGGCCGAAATTGCCACCCTTAAATCATTACGCAAGCTTGTGGCAGAAGGGTGTGCATTCGAACAAGAATTTGTCACCAATCTCCCTCACGACCCGCCCTCGCTCTTTGAATATTGTGCACGATCCATTGTTAGACAAGAACTTTACATTCCAAGCCAAGTACCGGATCACATCAAGGACTATCTCACAACAGCCAACGAATGCTCTTTCTGCCAAGGACCCTATTTCAAATCCTTTGTTACCCGCAAAAGACTGATCGAACGCCAGGACCAGAAATTCATTACACTCGAACACAGGCTCTGCGCCGCTCATTGGTCAACTGAGGATGACCGTCTAATAGCTCTTTTTTCAGAGCCACCCGAGACCTCTATTGTGTCTACGGCAGGATGTGTGCATGAAACCGCCACTGATATTCACAGTAAACCTAATAAACGATCGCCAGAAAGGAGTAATACTTACACGAACCGTAGACACGCTGCCTCTAGCTCTTCGACTCTTTTCAATCGCTCGATGTCTTCAATGTCACACTCTTTCAGTCGCAAGAACTCGGATTCGACTGATTCACTTAATATACCCTCTGCGAGATCTGAATCTCCAACCCCACCTTTTACAGCTACAATGCACAGTGTCAGAGCTCAGCCCAGCTTACCGGCTTTGCCCACCACGCGCAATTCGCATCATGAGCCATCAGAAGCATCACCTCAAAGTCGCATCACCCGCACAGCTTCTAGCATCTCTCTTGCTCGGCGATTTGCGGCTATGATCTCTTCACAACCTCTTCCTCACTCACCAGACACATTCCCTGAAGCTTTTTCACATGAGCAGCCACAACAGTCGCACACTGTTGATGGTACCGAACAATCTGGTTCTGGAAGTCATGGATTTGAAATCGCTCGCATCACAAATAATAATAACAACAACAACAACAATACAACAACAACAACAACAACTAGCGCAACAACGACAACAACGACAATGCTAAATCGTAACTCTTATGGTTCTGTGACTCGAGCGCGTATGAGTGGAGTTCGTCCTGTACAAACTGCGCTTATCATTGAAGACTCCCCAAATGACACATCTCTTCCCGACCAGGACACTTTTCATTTACCAAAGTCTCCTAATCAACGTGCATTAATTTCTGGTTTGCCACACATAGGAACTCATCTTCGAAATAGAAGCGATACCCTCTGAATAATGGAGCTTGATAAAACTGTCTACATCTACACCTATACATATACAAACACACACAAACACACACACATACACACACATATATATATCTATATATCTATATACAACGCCTACCATATTTATCTGAGATAAAAACAAAATTTGGCAAAACATTATTTTCTTTAAAATATATATATAATCATATAATTATACTAATATCAATAGTAATAGTAATAAAGAGAAAGCGAAAAAAAACAACAACAACAACAAGTTCATATCATTATTGGATTTCTATTATGTGGTTATTTTGCAAGAGTGACTGAATAATCTAATGTAGTGGTTTACCTAAAGGTTGGCTCTTTATTTATCTTCTTGAAGAATTGGTCTTATTTTAAGCAGTAGTAATGATAATGATATGCTTACATAATGTGTGCCTGTCTACTAATCACTGACGCACCATTCGATTTTATGAGATTATGTTGGTTGACACTATTTTATATTAAATAATTCATTTCTCTTTCTTATGCTTTCTAAAGGTATTTTGGTGCTATTATACGTGTATCTGATTACAAAATTTTTACATAGTTACCATTATCTATATATGTTACTTTTATCTTCTTGTACCAATTTTATGTGATCATCATCGCCATCATCAGAACAGTAATAAAATAAGAAACTGTGCTCATTTTTCATTACTCATGTTACTTTCTAACATCACAAGGCGCAGTTTTTATTTTTGGAGATTTTCATTTTGTGTCTAAACTTAGGACTTTAATTGGCTTTTGTCCCTATATATCATACCTGTTTTGAACAGATTTTTTTTGATATATAAACTATCTATAGTTTTCTTTTATTATTTCTAAAGCCCTAAAATAAGCTTTTGCATTCCAGCCGCTACCCCCCCCTTCAAAATAATAATAATAATAATAATAATAACAGTAGATATTCTACTCAAAGGCTTGAAATTTAATGATTAGCACTAAGGTTTGGTGCCTTGTACCCTTTAGTTTGCTTTTTTTTTCTGTACTTAATAGAAAGCAAACAAAAGGAAGTGAGGGGGGGGAAATGACCAGAAAATGATGCAAGGGAGATTTACTAAAGTACTTTAATCATGATATGTTCCTTCTTTCTTTCTTTTTTTTTGGGGGAGAAAGGGTGCAACATAATAATAATTATACCATACCAGATGACGGAACTGCAGAGGCTTCCCAAAGAAACAACCTAAAGCAAAAGCAAACATAGTCGTTATAAGTATATACTATGACTGAATATGTATATTTATATAGCATAGATACTTTATATCAAAACAATGCTATTCTTATAGACCAAGTAAATCTCAGATTCTACGTTCCATGCCTCTAATCGCTCAATGGATTAGGCTACAGCCCTAGGTATAAATTTTGTGCCTTCTTTTTTTTTCTGTTGAAGAATATACTAGCATAAAGTTACCATAAACATTTGCAGATCTTAAAGCAGGAACTATACATTTTATGTATACTATATGTACACTATATTTATATGAAGGCAAACACGATTGAATCGATAATGAGAGTTTTATTTAAAGAGAGAGAGAAAAAAGGGTAGTTTAAAGGAGAACCGTTCCACAAGGGCTGTTTGGAGATATTCAAGATGGCGAAGAAGAAATAAAATATATATATTTTGGTTCCTACTGTGTGGTAAGTTTGGGCTATACATTCAACATCCCTTTTGTTTTCCTGTCTTATTATTATTATTTTTCCTTTCATACTGTGTATTGCTTTCTTGCCTATTTTCTCTTAAAAATGTAGTCCACTCTTTGCTTTAAATCTTCACACACACGCTCATGTGTGGCCAAAATTTTCTCCCTCCAGGTGTCTGAATATCCTTTTAGGAAGACCTGGCTTGGCAAAACCAATAAATATAAATTATATGTATCTCAATAGAAAAGACCATAAAGAAATAAAATTAATAATTGAAACATCCCAAAATACAAATCAGAAGTGAAATATCTACAGTTCCAAGCTAAGCACCTACACATCTACACATCATCGCTCTATCTCTGTGCTCAAAAGGATGCTGTTAATTAAGATTCAAGAGTAACTCAGTCAGAACTATGAAAACAGCTTGTGTACCTCTACAAAAACTTTGTATTCCTATCTTTTGTGTCTAGGCTTTCGGAATCAATATGTAATATACACATACTTTATACCCAAATCTACAGTGAGCATGATGGTTAACGCCAACAGTGCTGTCATGTGAGATATACACCAATCTTTAATAGGTTTCATGTTCCTGACTGTTGATTACTTTTAAGTCATACTCTTTAACACCAACAATAAAGTCCCTCTTTTTTTATATATCTTTCTTTTGACGTTTAATACCAGCAGCTTAAAACATATATATATATATATACAAAGGTGTGCCTTATGTAAGTATCGAAATCAAGGCAGTTGGAAGTTCAAGTAAACTAAAACCTTTAAAGAATATACCAGAGGAACGAATACAACAATTGTCTTGATCATAGTAAGGACAATTAAATAGTAGCAGCAATAGTAGTAGTAGTAATACGAGAAAATAAACTTGGATTTCAGAAAGACTTGAGCCAAATTATCGGGTTATCAATACAGTTTTTCTTTCCCTTTTTTTTATTTTTATTTATATATAATTTTTTATAGCTCCCCTTTCGCCGAGTGGTTACTACAAACATCACTCGCATTTCTGGCTCACATTTCGATACAAAGCACTTGCAGTCGATCATATGCACGTGATCTTACACAAGCGGCCTTGGTCGACCACCTTATTCTTTTATCTTGTCTTATTCTTCTTGGGATTCCGCCTTGTCCCTCCACTTCACCATCCCCACATTTTGTCATCAATCTGGCTCTTCTTCTATCAGGCAGCATTATCTCAGGTCTAATGAACCTATCGAATCTTGTCCATCGTACAATTGGCAACGACAACCAAGTGCCCTGTCTCTTTAACTCGCCCTCGACAATAGACGAACGCCGACAAAATTCAATGATAGACCCAAATCATCGCCTGGGACATGCAGACATTCACGACAAAGTGAGCACATTTTCACAAAAAAAAAGAGACTGTGTTTCTTTCTATATTGACTGACTCCTATTTATTTATTTCTTTCTTTCTTGTTCTCATTGACAACCACAATCCTACTTTACACAGAATGCCAGCAATATGTCTGTCGTTAATATGCCACTAGAACCAGCAATTTCCCATGGTCCATCCACGCCACATTCACCATCCATCGACAGTCTTGATCAACACTCGTTTCCCTCCTCACCTCAACAACAACACCACCATTCACCACCATCAAGTCCTGATCCACCCACCTACCTTGTTCATCCTTCCTTCAAACAAGAGGCCGACGTCCTGAATCTCAAGATACGACAACCCACATCACGTCCTATAATCACCGGAAAGACAGTAACGAGTGAGACACTCGAGGATGGCTATATTCAGTTTGTATTACGCCATGACCCAGACTATATTGGCGATGGTATTGAAAGTTTAATGTACGTAAAGCGCAAATTTTCTTCTGTGCCAAAAACAGGCCATCTTTCATACACAACCTGGGATGTATATATGCTGGTACGAAAATTACATCACCAAGAGGTAGGCAATGCTTTTTTTTCTTTATTTTTTTGCTTCTATTTTTTTATCTCTCTTTATACATATACATGATAAATAAATGCAAAGATATCTATCTATCTTTATACATACATACATATGTATATATATATTTGGATTAAACAAATGGGGTTTTGATATAAATGTGTAACGTTGGGTTGCAGATCAAAAATTGGTCACAGCTTGTAGGAAAGCTTGGATTGGCAGATATGGCTGGTCGACCTCAGTTTGCCCAAAGAGTGAAACGATGGATGCACAAGTACAAAATTGACTGCTATTTTGACTATCTTCTCGGGAATCCATTTGATTTTGATGCAGTACACGAACAATATTCCGGTTGCTTGATGCTCGGCAATTATCAGAAACGAAAACCAGACGTACGCCACCAGACTCATGGCACCACTTCTGGTGATGAATCTTCTCCGGGATATGCACACTTCAGATCAATATCTAATTCAAAGTCTAATAATTCAAATTCAAATTCATATTCATATTCATATTCAAATTCAAATTCAAATTCACACACTTCAAAAAAACGGCGGCTTGGGCTTAATGAAGATGACCACAGCAGTATTCTCACTGATGAAGAACATCTAGACAACGAAGCTAATTACAAGACCGAGCTTTATGGATATAGCGAAAGTGATGATCTGGATGTGGATCATGACCGAAATAACCATCACAATACCCTAGGTAGTCAAGACGACGAAGTAATCGGTAGTCAAGACTCACATACAGAAGAAGACTGGAGCGACGAAGAGAGGGGGATACCTAATACATTTTACAATGTCTCCCCATATGACACTATAAGAGATGATGGTTATGATGATGAAGAAAAAGAAGAAGGAGAACACCAAAAACGAAAACGAAAACAAAAACAACAACAAGATTTTGATATTGGTGAAAATGATGATGATGAAGATGACGAAGAAGAAGAAGAAGAAGACGATGGCGAGGACGAGGACGAGGACGAGGATGAAGGCGAAGATGACGTAAATGGTGATGAAGATGAAGAGGAAGAAGATGAACTGATATCTTCTTCGTCATCTCCTTCTCCAACATTGTCCTATCATAACATTCCTTATATTTCAGCGGCTGGTCCGTCTGAATCTTCTTCCACCTTTTGTAACAACTGCGAGACAGTCAACAAAAAGGTTGTTTCAATCGAAGACGCCATGTCAGAGCTCAAAGGTCACATACTACTACTTGAGACTAAACTAGAACAACAATCACAGGCAAACGAAATCAAATGGCAGAAAATGATGCAACTTGTACGCGATCGGGAAAAAAGATGTGAGCGATATGAACGATGGCGTAAGAAACTATTACAAGACCTACTACGTGGGCCGACGGACCAAAAGAAACCAAACGATTCTGTAGAATAGATGGTGGATGTACAACTTTATAATACCATATTACACCTTAAAAGTTGAATATCTTTGATTTATTTACTTGTATACATACCTGTGTGTGTGTGTGATAATGTTTTGCAGCATGAGCTTATACAACAACATCAACAAAATGCACAAGAGAGGAGGAGAAGGAGGAAAAAGAGCTTATACTGGCTTCTTTATTTATCTCATATACCTTAAGAAGAAGAAAGTGATCCGCTTTCATTTTCATTTTCATTTTCATTTTTGGAATGCACGAAAGAGAATTACGAGTGGTCCCATTAATACTGAAGAATTGTTGGTATCAGTAATTACTTCCACATAACCAAAAGAATAGGGAAAAATATATTATATAGAAGTTACTTTGGCGATTATTTATACGTTTTAATTAAGGTAATCAAGGGGTCTGTACAAACCTTATTATCGCGCGCAATTCACTTTATACAGCATATATATATATATATATATATATCTGCTTTAAGTTTAGAAATTTGTTAACCTTTTTCTATGAATCAAATTTGAATTTTCAAATATTCTGCTTACCTTTTTTGGAAAAGAAAGATTCAAACAAAAAATCCAGTCTTCCTACTTGTTAATCATCTAAGCTTATAAGAAATACGAAACTGTGTAGGTTTCAGCGATTAATTGACCTTTCAAAGATGTATAGTTTATTGTTAACTTGCTACATGACTATAACGTTGGTCGTCATATTCTTAGCGGAATTATTATCCTTTTGCCAAAATGTGGAGCATTTACAGAGAAGTCCTTTGATTTTTATACAGTTCTGCACTATAAGCTAATCCAGATTACATTGAAAAAATCATATTTTCTAAACCTTTATATTTTTCTTCTCCTTCTCCTTCTTTTATTACTACGTAGATTTCTTATATATCAATACCTTTAAGCAAGTTATTGTCTTAGTAAAAGGTTAATAAATAGAATCATTGATCATAACAAAATATAATATATATATAAGCCTATTACATAGACTTAAACCCATTGATTATTTTTTACTAATTCTGGAGGAGCCTTTAGCAATTCAAAAGTTTATCTTGAGCAGGATATTCAAAAATGTTGAGTAGCACTCGTAAGAAGGCCTGCGATAATGGCTCTAATATATATATATAGGTATTCTACAAGCATCTGCAAGTTACAACTGTAGTCGGAAGACTTCGTGTTTTTTTAAAGGAAAAAAACCAAAAACTGAATCACTAAAGGCATATACTTTGATAAAAGAGAAAAAACAAGCTTTAGAAACTCGCAACGCAGGAAAAAAAAGGGTTGATTTTCTGCTTGGCTTAAATGAAAACATATTGTTGTTAGAGTTTCGGATAAGCTCTTGCTCGTTCTATAAATTTTACGACTGTGAAAGTTCATCAGTTGTACCAGCAATTTATCTGGGGTAGATCTAATAGCAATTTTTCATAAAGTAGTCATTCGACAAGGCATTCTGAAGTAGAAAGTACGTATCTCAGGGTAATAGTCGATGCAGACAGATAGAAATTAATTTGATTATTTATTTTTTGTTTAATCTTTTTGATCTGTTCACCTCATATTTTTTTTATCATAGATTAACAGCTATTTATTTATCTACATATAAATCGGTCAAATTTTCATTTTCTGGTTCCTGAACCCCACAATAAAGAATAATGCAAGTTAAAATACTTGAGTGAAAAAAAAAGAGGAGGTACACGTCTCATTTTCTGTCTACATAATCACAAAATCTTGTCGTAATAAAATCAGGTGCTTATTTCTCTAGCGTTTTTTTAAGAAAGAATTCTTGTAAACTATACAATTCATAGATCAACTAGTTTCCTTTATTTCCTTGTGCAATCGACCAAACTCTCCATAAACACAGTCTGCGAGTACCACATATATAACAATTTACCCTTGGCTAAATCTATTTGAGAATCTGTGGGGTGATTATGAATTCCCTGCCAGGAAGATACATGGGGTGTCAAATGATATTACTTCTCTAAAGAGCAAGGAACCGTCAATGCAGTCTATAACTCTCTAAACTTTTTGTCAATCTTATCAGCAGTAGATAGATAGAATAATTTGCTACTAAATGTCTATAGTTTATCTATTCATTAGACTACCTCAAGTATGTACCTTGAGTGGGAGTTTCTTTTTTGCTTTAAATTGATAAGTGCGGGTAATATTGGTTGTTAGACTTTTGAAATTGAAGCTTTTAACCCAAATCTCGCTGACTTGGTATTCATGTCTTTATCTTGTAAGTGTTGTAAGCATAAACTATACAGTATTATATATGTATACGCTGGATTATTTTATTTTATCTTATATATCTCCATCCTCTTCCTAATTGTGTTCGATTACTTTCCTTTGCTCAGAGTACACCAATTTGCTTTTCTTTTCTTTTGCAAAACGTAAATCACGCAAACCAATAACCTTTGCTAGGTAGCATTCCCGGGTTTTAAAAGAGCGCCTGGTAATGCTTGTTATTCTAGACAAAGAAACCTTTTGAGGTACACCGGATCATGCTGCATCATGCTACGATTCAGTCTGGATGGAGATGCACCAGATGCCACCCGTTACCATGCCGACTATTGCGAGCCACTATGTCCTCCATCGATGTGGTGCACAGAAAGTCCTTTTCTTTTGCCTCCTCTACCTAGACAACCATTTTCTGTGATAGATCAAGCCCTTGATCGCACGTGTGATCAAAATCAATCTCAATCAAAACCGCCTCCATCCGATACAACTGACGAACAAAACCAGTCTGACCTTTCAGAAGACGATATCTGGACTACAGAGTTACCTCCCTTACCATCATATGCTCTCTCATGGGAGAGGCTGAGCCAACCAACAACATATACTCGTGAATCATTAACCAATCAAGGCATTGGTACAGCATTCTTAACAGAAGCACCACTAAGCGTTAATGAACCTGCAATGACAAGGTAATAATTATAATCTACCCATACCTGTTCTTTTTAAAGTCTTTTTTTTTTACTCTATTATTATGTTTTTACTTATTATTATTACTATTGTAGCTTAATCAAAGACACATCTACGTCTCTTATCGTCAAAGAATACCACCTAGTCAAGGTATTGTTTCAATCCATTTAGTTCAGTAACTTAATTACTTACATGCTTTATAGTGTCTAGTAGAAGCATTAACTGGGTCTCCTTCTGCGTGCTTTAGATGGGATTCTTCTACAAACACATTCCAATCGCGTGTACCACATCTTCGTTTACTGGGTGTTAGTCCAGGGGAGCTTGAAGGGTTAGTGAGAATTTTGATTTTTTTTTTGAAGATTGAATCAAATGTTTATTTTATGTATTTTGTGTAGAGTTATTTCCGTAATCTTGATTTTTGGAGGGAGATTACGAAGACTAGGAGATGTTTCCAATATGTGTAGAGCAAATCCTAGGTAAATTACATACATTTACGTAATATAGACAATACTTCTTATACACTGGCTTACATATTAAAGTCTATATCAGTAAATATGGATTGGTTGGTATGTCGTTTGGATGCTGTCTGGCCGAACTTCATCTTCACATCCATCAAGCCATCCTATCTTTACCGCCCACTATCAGTCTTCTTCAAGTTCATCAATTTACTGACAGCTTCTCGTTGGTTATCGAGCGCCTTTCCTGTTTGTGCTGCCTTGAAAAATTGAGAGACGACACTCCTTTTGTTGTCCAACAAGAAATCAGAAATAATGGCTTCTATATTCCTTTTGGTCCTGATCTTCTCTCTTTATTGGCAAATGAAGTTAAGACCTTTGATTTTTCGACGCAAGGAAATTCGGCTCTTTACAAAGACATCTGTCTTGCGCTATTGTGCGAGACTAGCCGTCCTTACCTGGATATTCTCAGCCGGTGGTTGGGATTGATGGAAGAAACAGGAGATTCATGGGCAGTAGGCCAAGAAGTTTTTTTGTGGGATCCTTACAATGAATTCTTTGTCGTTGAAAACATGACGGTCACAGAAAATGGGGAAGTTAGACGCTACAAGGTATTTTTGTTTTTGTATACCATGGTGAATTAAAAACAAACCAACTATAACAAAATGATATATCCTCTAGTTGAGAAAAGAGCAGAACTTTCCATGGTGTATTGATCCACAGCAGGCGGACCAAATATTAAGAGCAGGGAATTCACTACGACTACTACAGGAGTTTCAACCAGAAAATTCGCTGTGTAGTATTGGAGATACTCATCCAGTAGTTTTGGAATGGCAAGTAATAGATCAAAGGTAAAATATTAAGTAAATAGAAATAAAGCTAAAAAATTATATATATAAATATATTTATTATAATAATAATCATAATAAAAACTTTGGATTTTGTACAAATGTAAGCTGTGTAGAAAATCCTCAGCTACCCACAAGTCGGACTGACGTTCCATTGGATACCGAGACAAGATATTCACTGGAATATGCGCTATTACATGATACCAAAATGGAAGAACCTCGAGAGCTACGAATTCCGGTCCTATCGGATACCTTTCCCCAAGGAAAATTTATAACTACGTTAGAGCGTCTGATGGGATACCGTTCAAACCAAGACAGTCCTTCATCTTTTGTTCCCACTCTTGAAACTATTGTTAATATCAGTCTCTACAAACCCCTACACTATTGGTGTCCACTCTTAAACACTTCTGCTATGTCTCTCCTTCTTCACAAATTTTGTCTCAAGGATCATCTCGACATCCTGCATCGATTCTTTCTATTTGGCGATGGTACATTTGTTTCTGGAATCACTCGCGTCTTATTTGCTCAAGACGAACCTACATCTACTACCCAAACCGGTCTTAATCTTGGTCGTGACAAAACTTGGCCACCTCGAGCTTCAGAGCTCCATTCGGCCCTTCGTCTTGTCCTAATTGACAGTATTGCACAATTACCGAATAGGCTTCGGCTTGAAGAGTCTATTACGCAATGTGGTCGCTTAGAAACTCTACAAGACCTCGTGAGCTTCTCAATACGGCCTTTGGCAGACCACAACTGGGTGCGTCCTAGTAAGGTTGAAGCACTCGACTTCCTCTCAATGACTTATCGAGCATATCCTCCTCTCTCCCTCTTTATCACATCTGGAACGCTTGAGAAATACGGTAGATTGTTTAGTTTCCTTTTACCGCTGTTACGTTTACAAGCGTCCACACAACGTTCATTTTACCTCTTACATCCTCGCTGTACTCTGGTGTCACCGTACCCAGAAGAGCTTTTGCACACCTTGGGATGTGTCCGATTTCAGATGAACCATTTTATGAATGCACTGTGTGGATTTGTATTTGATATGGCTATTGGCGCAACGTGGGAATCATGGATGACTCGGCTGGAACGTCTTCATACCGGGGAGCCCACCTCCGATCCTCTCGATGAGGCCTTGGGGACTATGGACCCCGTTACATTTGGAGAGTACCATGAACACATCCTGGATCGCATTCTATTCCAGTGCTTTCTCAAACAAAACCAAAAGCCTATCATGAATCTTTTGCGCAAAGTTTTCAAGTCAATACTGGTATTTGTCGACCTTTTGGAATCAAACCGGCGTGATGACGAATGGGTGAATCAATGCAAGTCATCTTGCCGTGTATTCCGTAGACAAGCCTGGCATTTTGTACAGATGCTTCGCCGACTTGAAGATAAAGGTATTGGTCGCTTAGGAAATATGATGAACTCGTTACAAGATCAAGGTAAACTTGGCGTGTTTGGTGACTGGCATGAACAAGTAGAGGCCAAGCGTGGACTCGAAGGGTTTGTAAAGGATTTATTGCATCGATTAAGTCAAGGAGGATGGTATGAAATAGAAACCACAGTGTAAAAAAAAGGGCCTATTTTTATTATCTCTTTTATATAAATAAAAATTAAAGGTATATATGTACAAAAAATGAATCTAATAAAATGATCCAAAGAATATTCAAAATGAAAATAAAATAAAATAAAATGCCATGCCATGCCATGCCATGGACTTGGTCTAAGATTACTATTATTATTATTATTATTATTATTATTATTATTACTATTACTTGGTCTTTTTCTTTGTCTTTTGTTTAATTCTAAGCTGTAGATGCTCTAGGTACAGTTGGCTTGCGTGAAATATTATTTCCAACCAAACGATCCTTGAGTTCAGCGGCCATGAGAGCACGCTCTTTGGTTACTCCACCGAGAACAGCCGAGTTTTCTTGAGCACGGCGCAAGAGGTAAGGAATGACTTCATGAATTGCGCCATAAGGAAGGTACTTATAAATAGAGTATCCGTGACGGCCGAGGGTGTATGAGATAGGATCCTGCATGCCAAAAAGCTGACCAAAATGGACCACACCTGCATGGCGAGATACATTATTTTTTTCCATTTCCTGGATCGTCAAAATAACAGAGTCTCTGTTGTGTGATGCAACCATAAATACGACAGGGGAGTTTGAGGCCTGGACTGGTTCTCCTGTGGTCTCTTGGAAGACCTGTAACTTTGAGAGCAAAAAGGTAATACCACCATTGTAAGATGCGTGGGTGTCCTCGAGTGAATCATGAATAGGTGAAGGATAATTAAGCTGTTGTGCGCGCTAGAAATAGAAGAGAAAAATAGAAGGAAATTCTTATTAGCTTATTTTATTTTATTTTCTAGGGGGTTTTTTTTTGTTTTGTTTTACCTTGCGTTCAGACACCATGTAAGCACCGCGAACCAGTTTAGCAGCAAAGGTAAAATTGTTGCGACCTGCACGCTCCACATCCAACTCAAGCTTTCCCTGTGCGGACTTGGTGTACATTTGATATGTATTGAAGACAACGGGCCCACTATTATCCTCAAGTGTACGCTTATTATATTTCTCTTGGAGGTTCATAGCAATATAGTCAATAGCTTCCTGGAAATAAGACTGCTCGGCGTCAACCATGATTCCTGTCTTGAGTTCTTGTCCCAAGCTACAAACTCGCTCTAGACGTGCAATCATACGGTCATAAGCTTCCAACTCCTCCGCGTCCAAAAGCCCTTCCCCTGGTTGTGCCTTCCACCATATGTCGCGATAAGGCCCCTGGATGTCGAACAGTTTTGTAAATTCTATCCGATCGAGACTGAGCTTCTCTTGGCGCAGACGCTGGACCACCTGAGTACGCATGATCTTGTGTTCCTCAGAATCGGTAGGCAAAAGCTTATTAATAATTGCCTCGACACCGTCGGCATCAACCTTTCCAAGTTTCTGGTGGTCTTGAAAGGACAGCTGAAGGCTGGCAATGGCTTGGTTGAGACGCAGGAGAAGGGCCGGGGCGCCAAAAGCAGTGATCTTGATTGCTGCAAACGCACCAGCAACGGAATTCCCCTGACTTGCTGTTCGGATTGAATGCTCGGTCATACGAGTAATTTTTTCAGCCATGGCGTCTTGCTGCTCCTGCGAGGGACTGCCATCGGCAAGATCTGCTTCCACACTCAAATCGAAAATACAATCGATACCAGACCGAGATAAGCGACTCATTGGTTCAAGACATTCTTCTGGATTTTCTCCTCCACAGAAATGTCGGAAGAAAGTATTGCGGATCACATAGTAAACAGGAGTCTCCAAGCCAACCTTCTCGGCGAACTCAATCATTTGAGGAGCGGCCTCAACAAGCCAGGTAAATGAACATAATTTGTACACAAACAAGGCCAGAACAAGTTCCGAGTTTGATTTGGCTTGCATCACCGTACGGCTCTGGTCATCCAAGAGTTCCGCGATCGTTGTAGATGCTGGAGTGTTTGATACCATGGGACCACTGGCTTCGGCTTCTATAGCAGGCTTGGTTAAGTAAAGGAGCGAGGCGGCCGTTGTTAAGGCAACAGCTGTAGAGATTGGCTTGAATGCTGCACGAAGTTGCGGTAGAGGTGGTTTGGTAGAGAACAGACGCTGGGCTGGCAGTCCAGGCCGAATCCCGGCTAGAGCAGGCACACGACGATAGATAGAGCGATACATTGTAGGTTTTTAAGAAAGAAAGAAAGAAGAAGAAGGAAAAAGGTGATTAGGCTGTTGATAAGGTGTTGCTTTAAATAAGTATCCAAAAAAAAAAAAAATAATAAAAATAAAGATTATATAGCAATTTTTGGTCTGTTAGAACACTTGCGTAAAATAATAATAATAATAAATTTAAATATTAGCAGTAAATAATAAGTTTCAATTTAATAATAATAACAATAACAATTTTTGTTGTTCAAATTGCTCATTTTCCTGCCAAAACATCCATACTTGCCATCTTTGAGTTTTTCGCACGAGAGAACCAATCAAAATGACTTTTGAGCAAAAGTGACCTATTTGACAGCCTGTTTGTACACAGTATTTGATATAAGGTTTACTTTTCTCTCTAGTCAGTTAAGGCTAGCGATTGTACAAGCGCGGTTACGTGTTATTGCTTGTATACCTCTTTGCATAAAGCCGCTTATGTATAAACTTAACAAGGGTACGATACTCATAAAGAGTTTATATACTTTGGGATTTTTTTTGTAGATCTACCCAAGAAGCTCTTCCAACATATCCTTATTTCGAACAAAATTTCCCACGTTCATTCAATACCCGCGTTTGATCATTCAAAGCCTCGGGGCGTCTCAAAAAAGATAAGGTAGCAAAAACCCAAACTAGAACATCAAACCACCGCTGGTACAAAAAAGAATCTTTTTTTTTTGTTTTGCCTAAAACGTTGTTTTGTATCTTACGACTAGAGTTACACTGAAAAATAAAAATGTACATAGTGCCCTTTTTGCTAATAGATAGGAAACGAAGGATCCACGTTCATGGACCAGCTGTAAAGCCCACCAACTAAATCACGTGCACCCTTAATCCCATGTTTCTCCAAAAGACGCACAGCCAGCTGCGAGTCGTTTCCAAGGCGACAGACAACGAATACTATACATAAAGGGGTTACTGTATAAGTTATCTCTGTACACAATCCGGGAAATTATCTACCTTGATCACCCGCAACGTCCAGCTCGGACATGGATTTCTTAATGTCCATGATTTTGTTCTCGAATTCATCAATGGGCACACTATGACTTTCTGGCAGCCGGCAGATGTCATATTGGACAGGCGGTCTAACATCTAATAACAGACTAGGCTTTTGCTGCCGAACATGAGCATCGTACTCACACGCTTTGATACGTTCGTGAGGTGCAAGTAAGAATAGATCCTGGCTCTAATCCATATATAAAATATAAATAAAAAAATAAAAATAAAAAAGGGGGACTATAATCAACATTGATTGGTTCGTCTTATTGATCTCATCACTACCACAGTTTTACCTTGTCAGAGTCAGCAGTGCCACAGAATTCAGCATAGTCTATCAGATCTGTGAGACTTGGGTTATCTCCACAGGCAATACAATCTTTCTTGCGCCCTCTGAGTTTCATGGTTCTGAACATCGGTGTAGTTAAACCACTGAATATAAGAAAACTAGGATCATCATCTAGTAGTAAGGTTTTAACGTTGGGTAAGCTAAACTTCTTGTACAGACACGAGGGTTTATTATATTTCCCAGAACTTACTGTGCAGTCCTACGGCTACTTTAATAGCCTCTAGTGCTTGAAGTGTACCAATGACACCAGGAACTAGTCAAAATTTGTCAAAAGAAAAAAGAAAAAAAAAACACATCAGAAGGGATTTTTATAAATCGTATTTTGACAATTCTTATTGGATTGGATTTCTTTCGATTTCTATCGATCTCTCTTTTGGCTTAATCTCATCGGGAAAATACTTTTAAGAAAAACAGAAAATAATAATAATAATAATAATAATAATAAATATTCTTATTACTACTTCACTTACTCACGCCAAGCACCCCGCTTTCAACACATTTGGACACAGTATCGATAGGTGGTGGTACGGGGTGTAGACAACGATAACAAGGTCCGTTGTTATGGTGATACACTGTCAACTATGATTGTAATGAATTTCCAAGAGCTTGGAGGATGTTTTTCATGTAAATCAACTTTACCTGGCCATCCATACGAAGAGCACTTCCAGATACCAAAGGTTTGTTGGCCAATACACAAGCATCACTCAATAGGTAACGAGCCCCGATATTGTCGGTCGCGTCTATGACAATGTCATACTCTCGGATAATTTCCAACGCGTTTTCACTCGTAAGAGCAAATGGATAGGTTACAACCTCACATGTGGAATCAATCCTTAATGTATAAAAGATTCAGTAACCCCAAAAAAAACCAGAAAAAAAAGACATTTTCTATGATTCGTTCTTATGTATATGTATATCATTCATCTTACGCGTGTACAGCTCGCATAGCAGATTCTGCTTTGCTGGTGTCTGTGCTTGCCTCGGTGTGGATCACCTGACGATGTAAATTGTTGACAGCTACTGTGTCAGGATCAGCAATTCCGAGTCGACCAACACCATTTGCCCCAAGATAAAGAATAGCAGGAGCGCCAAGACCGCCAGCCCCAACAACAAGAATTGTTGTATTGCGCAGTTTGAGTTGCTCTAAAAAAAAGGAGTTTTGTTAATCCACAATCATTCTAATCATTCATGTGCTAAATAAACTTGCTTGCGATTCCAAAGTCGGGAAGGATCAATTGCCGACCGAAACGCAAGATCTCTTCTTTAGAGAGTGCATCTACTTTCTTGAAGGATCCTTTTGCAGATTGAGGGGCAGGGCCAAGTTGTGCCTCAAGCTCTGCGATGCGCTTTCGAAGTCGTGCGTTTTCTTCAGCAAGAGAGGTCATTAGAAAAGAAAGAGAAGGATGTGACTGGGGGTAGCTTATGCCGAACACTTGGCTTTCCTTTTTGTTAAGCCCAGTAGTGTTTGATGCTTACCAAGACAGATATATAAATAAATTAAAAGGAACCCTTTTGGGATACTTTTAACTGTCAAAATAAATATTATGGGCCATATTTCTATATTGTCTATTGTTTAATTCATGTCTTGTCTTGTCTTGTCTTGTCTTGTCTAAAGCGCGTGTATTTTCAATTAAGTTTTTAAATATATATTTAAAATTGAATCTTGACATGTAAACTTGATACTTCATTTTTTTTTCAGAGATTATATTATAAAAAGGCGTGAATATTGAAAAAAAAATGTCCATAAATATGTGTTTGACTTGTAATCAAAAGAAAGGGAATGAAGCAATGGTGTATCAACCCTGTATAAACAGCACACTGCCGTTTTGCTTTCTATTTCTCCTTTCTTCCTTTTTATTTTTATTTTTATTTTCTTCCTTTACCGAGTCAATCGTCTTGCTGTACCAATTCGACATGAGTTTACCTAGATAAAATAGCAGTTAATTTACACATCTATACGGACAAAGATGCTCCTTTTGATAACATACTTTTGTAGCAAATCTCAGGGAACAAAGCGTCTCGTTAAAGTGTTCGGATAAAGGAGAGATATTGACAAACATTAGAGTCTTACTGTTTCCACCTATAATTATTCCAAGTTAGTTAAACTTTCTCTCTAAATTTCCTTTTGTTGATCTTACCGAGAGAATTTTGCAAAAGATATGTAAGTTTTGAATTTCTGTAAGGGATATGACCACCTTCCTTGTTGTTTAATAAGGCAGAGATTACATCACCTAGGCAACTCAGACTTTTGTTGATTGCCTGTGTTTCTTTCAAGCGATTGCCTGTCGATCCAGACATAGCTAGACGTTCTGACCCTGCCAAGTCAATCAGGTTCAATACACCAGTAGTCCGTTCGCCTGTTACTGGATTGTCACCATTTAATCGTAGCATAAATACACTGTGGCTACGTGATGATCTTTCATTCATATTTGTCGCTCCAGTGGCTCTATTCTGACTAGCTTTCCGAAGCATGGTATTGACACGCGCAGGAGAGTCCAAGAGAACTATAATTGGAGCAGTATAAATATTAAAATCTTTGATACTATTTGTCAAACTAGAAAAATTCGATTTTTCATACCACTCGTCATGTCTGTAATCACAGTCTTTCCAGATTTCTCATGTCGAATATCATGTTTAATCTTGCCGTAATTTGAACAGTCGCCAAGAAGATCATGAACTGTTTCATTGTAGATCTCCATAAACTGTCCTTCCATAGTGTAATGCCAATTACTTTCATTAAGTTGCTGGGCCACCTGATAAATTTGTTGAACTGCCCTTGGAATCATGCCTTTGCCAGCACCAGGTGGGCCTTCCATAGTGTATGTCTAAAGGCACAGCTTAGGTCGGTATCTACTGGTTATCAATCTCATTCACAGTAAGAACTTACTTTTCCACTTCCTGTTTGCCCATATCTAAGTACATACATACATAGCTAAATAAGTTACTCAAGCAAATCCAAATGTATTGTATGCACACACATAAATGTAAACTTACGCAAAAATACAAACATTATAGCCATCAAGAGCCGATTGTACCAGTTGTGATATCTCTTCAAAACATTCTTCTTGGGTACTCTCGGGTGGGAAAACTTTATCGAAAGAAAAGGGGTATGACTTTGTTGTGACTTTTCCTAGTGTACTTGACACTTCTTCTGAAAGCTCCATTTTATCATTGTCGTCACCATAGAATCTCATACTAGCCACCTTTCCATGATTTGCCATTTCAGATGCTATGTTGTATATATATATATATATATATATATATATATATGTGTGTACATTATGATGGTTAGATTTCAAATAATATAAACCAGATTGATCCTTTTTAATAAATAAATATATGTATAAAAAAAACCTTACCAACAGGCGGACGTACTCTACAAAAGACTCGGATGTTTCCTTTGAGTTCCTGGATTGAATTATGAAGCTTCCGGCGCATTTTCTCTTCATCCAGAAGTTTTGTCTCCAGACTTTTCAGCTTCTGTCTTTCGTCTTTGAGATTGACTTGTACATCTTCCAGAGCCTTTTCGCGAGAAGCAAGTGATTCGTCTAACCTCTTCAATACATACAGTATACAGCATACAGCATACAGCATAAGTAACGATAATTTTTATAGACATTTTACTACACATTTCCTTTATTGCTCTTACCTTTACTTCCATTCTCAAGACACTAAATTCTGCATCTTTTTCCGAATATTTTGCAGATGTTTTGGCAACTGTTGCCTACACAACCATGTCATTTTCAATAAAGTGTTCTAGCCGAACCGAACAAAACCAAAGCCTATAAACACTTACTTTTAAGGTTGCACTCTCTACAAGGGTCTGGTCAAGTTGTGTCTGGAGGCCGATCGTATTGTCTTGAATCTCGATACATTGTGCCTTTAATCCGTCGACCTTTTCTTTATTGACTTTGTCTTTATTTTCTAAATCTTTGTTATCCCTGTGGTGCTGTGCTTTCATTCTCTCGATCTCTTGTTCAAAGCTTTTTTGCTTTTCCTTGTAAGCACAAATGGATTAATTTCAATTACAATTACAATGACAATGACAATTACAATGACAGTATTTTATATTTATATGTATTATACTGCTACAAAAAAAACATACTTGTTTTAAAGCTTCCAGTTCAGCTACTCGTCTAGCTGCTTCCATTGCCTGAGATCTCTTGTCCACTACATCTGTCATAAGTCGCTTCTGATATTCAGAAGACTCCTCTACTACAAGACACCCCCACCTTTTCCGTGAGTCGTTGAGTGCCGTGTAAAAACATCAACCCGACCAGAAAGAATGAACCAGTCACTTACTTTTGTTCTGGTTGTCTTCCAAGACAGTTTGCATATCTCCAATTCGACCCTGTAAAAAAAATGATAATAAGAATCTTTTATATTGCAATATTTGCATATTGGAAAGGATTGGCAAACACATTGATTGTCTGTTGATCAATTTTACCCTAAGATCCCATTGTGCTCTGGGTTTTGCAGTTTTATTTTGAATTTGGGTTACGGATGATCTACTTGTGGTAGGTTCATAAAGTGTAGATCGTGATCCTGTCACCCGGTCCTTTAGTGGTATGCGCTGGGATGAAGAAGCTGTAGGGCGTGTAATCGACGATGAGGTTAGGGACTTGGTGCTTTGTCCTGGTCTGTTGTTGATTCTTATTGACGCTGTTGTAGAATTGGTTTGTGCTGGGATGGATCGACCAAATGGTGGTCGAGAATCGATTCTAGGTCTTGCGATGCGGCTCTTGTCTACCCCTTGAGAATCCCTTTTTCGCTTTTTCAAATCCATGGTGAAATTTTGAAGAGATTCAAAAGGTACAATCGTTGAGATCAATCAGAAGAAAAATAAAGAATATAAAATGTAAAATAGAGGCTAAACCAAGTTACTTCTTGGATCGATAACACACACACATACACACGCTTCAAGCGCAGAAACACACACACATTTATATATATATATATATATACACTCTATATGTGTGATTAATGTGCTTGACAAAGTTACTGTGACTGTCATCATTTTAGAGTACTCGAGCAGAAAAAAAAAAGTCCGGTTTGTTCTTATAAGTAGGAATCGTCTTGAAATTTCTAACCCTCACCACCATTACCATTTATTGTGGCTATCATTAAATCCAACATTGTTTACGTATATATATGGTAAATTGAAAGAGTGATGGTCAATAATGATAATAAATAATGAATAATTTTTATTACAACAATCAATAGAAGCATGTCCTCCAATAAATTTTCAGAATAAATAAATAAATATTATATAAGAGCCAATTGACAGAATCATGCCCTTTTCTTTATATAAAGTGTTTAGTTAAACCTTGAAAGGTTGGTTTTTCTTTGGGTCGTCAGTCTACTTCAAATGTACCTACAGGTCTTGTCTATTTAAAAAGGACTAGATTTGAATATCAGTTTATTAAAACTCTTTTTTTTTGCAAGACTAAGATGTAAGTAGCAATTGAATTATACAAAAAAGAAGAAGCAAAAATAAATCAGGATAAATCTGCAGTAAGTTCTGTAGAAACAGATCTTAATTGGTTTATTTATTGTCCAATTTATTTATCTGATTATTAATCAATTCTTTATTTCTCACTGTGAATTCTGGACTGGTCTTGATCTGATCCAGTTATTTCTAAATGTCATGATTTTGACATTGTCTGATATTATTCTTATTCTTATTCTTATTCTTATTATCATTTAACCAAGTTCTTCAGCTATAAATTTGAGCAGGTTGTCAACCTGACTGCTATATAAGCTGTAGAAGATTTATAACGTTATTTGTTCAAGTTGATATGAAAATATAACTATTTGGTCTTTAAGATGTGTACTATTGTGCTCATAAACTTTCTATCGAGTATATGTGTCTAATACATGGCCGTATACAAGCGTATTTCTTTTTTGGTGAAATATCAACCTTTAACCTAGTGATATATTATGTTGTTGTTGTCAAGGCATTAATTTGTCTGCTAATATGATATAAAAGTACATTATCAGGCACCTTTCTTTTCTCTCTTTCTCTTTCATTCTTTATCCTTCTCTGTCTGTCAGATTATCAAGCATATATTTTTAAAGAAAGAACAATCAAAAATATGCAGCTCACTTTTTCTGATCGAGGATCGATGTCTGCCAATCCAGGAAAGCAAGCTTATTATTTTGGGAAAATACAAAAGACTCTTTTTTATTTTTATTTTTGCTAACACATTAGTCTTTTTTTTATATATTTCTTTATGCTCAATAGGTCTTATCTATAATCCTACGTCTCCAAAGCCTCCTACACCTCATCCAAACACAACTCCAGAATTCTATGTCATGAGAAAGAGAAAATGGTAGGCAGAGCCCAATACATATATTGAAAGCTAACATATCTAAATATATCATATATATATATATATATATATATGTTTTAATTCATGTTAGCTTCTGTTGTTGCTAAGCCAAGGTTATCCGGAATATTGCTCTTGGTATCTCTAGTATTAAATGTCTCTCTATCTTGCATTACTTGTCACATCAGAAAAAAACAATTTTGCCAATAATATAAGCCTATACTTTCTCTCATTTTTGGTTATGTGATAAGCATTCAAGACAATAGACCCTCTAAAGCTTTTCTTTTTTTTTGCTTTTGTTTTAATGATTCGTTTATTGAGAATTACTTGTTTGTGATATTCTATCATAGACAAACTCTTACAAAATCGATGCTTTAACTGCTATATATATATATATTTCATATTTATATTTCACATTTATATTTCACATGTGTTTATTCAATTCATAGGTCTTAATATGAAAGCCTAGATCAGCTTTTTTTTTTCGAGTCTTTTCAAAGAAATATTCAGGGCTATATGATTATTTCATTTCTGTAGCCTGTTCTCCTTAGTGAAACCCACAATACATACATATATATATATATTGAAATAATAGAATATAATGAGCGGAACTTTTTGTTATATGTGTATATATTTTATAAATACAAATACAAATACAAATACAAATGTGAACATCTCCTGTCGTACAGATATTCACCCTTTAACTTTAAGAATTATCTCCTTTATGTCTGTTGTAGCATATACACTCAGGGATACTCTATTTTTTTCTTTACTTTCTTTCTTCCCTTTATTCTTTAAAACATAAGATGCTCAAATTATATTGCCAAGAATGCCAGCTGAGAGATACTCCAGAAATTGCTATAAATTTATTATATCTTGTACCCACTAAAAACCCATTTGAATATTTGAATATCCTGATGTTGAAAATCCCATATATATATATATTTATATTATAGCATTTCCTGTTGCTAGGATTTGGAAGCAATAGCTTTTTAGATTATTCAAAGCTTTATAAACGACACTTTTGCTTCTTCTTTTTTCTAAAATAGATAAATAGAATATACAATCAATGGGTTCGTTAAGGATTTGTGGCAGATTTTTTTTCTTAGCTTCTAGACCAAATAGATAAATAGATAAATATATTAATTCTTAATGTGAAAATGACAAAGGTAATTTTAGTTTCAGTTATCATCTGATGTTCTAAATGGAATCTTCAAGACACAAAGTGGCTACTTTATAACGTTTTGGTTGTACTTGACTGTAATAATGCTCTATAAAACAAGTACATTTTTTTAAAAAAAAAGGTTGTAGCCAAAGAAAAATGGCCCAGTAAATTGTTAGAAAACCTTTAGATATGTAAGCTAAGAGTTCAGAGATAAAATGATTCAACGATAGGCTAAATTTGAACTCTCGAGAGAAAATACAGGGCGATTTAACTTTCTGACTAGATATCAATATACGTCCCTTTCTTTCCTTTTTTTTTTGCACAATTGTTAATTGTAACACATGGCAATTAAGATATTTAGATACGTTTTGTATTCAAATGAGCCTATCATTAGCTGTCTTTTCAAGGTAAAAGAAAGCAAGAATAGAAAAGCTGGGCTTTTGGAAGTCAAAAGAATCCCAAAAAAAATACATTCATTTGTGAGACTTGAGACTTGATATTTGATATTTGATTATAATTTTTTTAATAACAACAATTATACAAAAGTTAATTTTGTAATGCTGTGAAACAATACTAAACTGTACTATAAATATTTGTCTTTAAATCTGCATTTACCTTTTTGTTCTGATTCTTTGTTAACAGAATGCCTGAAACTATAAGCAATATTACCTTTCATACTCACCGTCTTATGCTGATTGAGTACTTGATATATATATTTATATATATATATATATATATATAAATTAAAATTAAATTCAAGGAAAAGAAAAGAAAAGGTTACATATCTTTATTTTTTTTGTTTCTTGTAAGCTGTAGGCTGTAGGCTATAAAGTGTACACTGTAGATTGTAGACACCATATGTAATGTTATGCAAATCATAAATGATCATTTAATTATATGTAGGTTATATGTATCTGGGCTGAACAATATCAGCAAGGGGATCCCACCTTTCGATTAATATCTACCGCCTGCATAACCCACAATTTAATACAATTATATATACATTTATATATTTATTTTTATAATTGTATTCTTTTTAGTCTTGTTTAATAATAGGGCTTGTTTTTTTTATAAGCACACAAATAGATCTATTGTGCCAGGCCCAGGTTACATTGGAATAAACTCTTCACCTTCCTTTAACTGAGCCACTTTTTTTTTCTTTTTCAATTGACAAAAAAAAAGCATACAATAACTTACTCCTTATTGTCATACTCTTTTATTTTTTTTTCTGGTTTTATGATTCTGTTGCATATAAAACCACTGAATGTTCAAATAGATTTCCCACATACTGTTTTGAGTTGTCCAATCCAGAATGTCTTGTATTTCTGATAAGAAAATGACCTTTTTTATATATAGCTTTATGTAACCACAACACATACATCAAAAAATACCAAAAAATATGCCCCCCCCCCCCCCGCCATATTGGTCCGTGTACTTGTATTAAATCTAGCATTCTTGATGACATTTTATTCATCTTTTATCTTGCCAGGCTGTGCTTTTCATAATAAAAGAAACTAATTTTGTAGAAAATGTAAAGAAAAATAAAGAAAGAAAAGAAAGAGAGAGTGAGATACAAAATATAGTACTAAAACAGCTTTATACATTGAAGATCATCGAAATTTTTAGTATGATGGCGAAAATGTACAGAAGAAGAAGAAGGAGAAGGAGAAGAAGAAGAAGGATAGGGAGAGGGAGAAGGAGATGTTTAGTGTAGTGTAGTGTAGTGTAGTGTAGTGTAGTTTGCGTTGTGTGTTGTGTGTTGTGTGTTGTGTGTTGTGTGTTGTGCTGTGTTGTGTTGTGTTATGTGTTATGTGTGTAAAAGAGGGTAATATATGGATGATACATTTACAATGGTTAAAACTCAAAAGAAAGGCTTTAAAATGAAATAGAAGATGGGGGATTCTGTAGCTGTGGAATCAAATGTAGCGTGTAGATGATTGCTTTGGAGAATTCTCTAGTACACCAAAACGAGACAGGATTTTGGCAACCCGGGGAGAAGTGTGTCCTGAGCCATAATTCGTGCTGGTGAGATAAGATGATGTTAATGGTATTGTCGATGCTCCTTCTGGCCTTTGCTGGTAATAATTGCTTGCATTGCTCGAACTGATCTGGGCTGACAGGCGATGGTTCAATACGTATGCTGGAAGCTGTCTTTCGGGTTGAGGTCGGCGCCCAAGTACTTCTGGGAAAAGTGCGGCCGCATCATTTTCTTGTGAATAGGAGCATTTTTCTATTGTGTCAAAAGGAGTCTGCTGGTCAAAAGTGTACTGCATTCGTGGTCTACTCTGTTGGATGATGTCCATTATACCGGCCACTGGGTGAGGTCTATTATTATTATTATTATTATTATGACTATGTGTATTCGTATTGTTGCTGTTGCTGTTGCTGTATCTGTTCTGGCTTGGACGGTCAATGATAGGGTCTATCAAGGTTGGTTTTGTAATGTATGTGTCGGCTGTGTCGTCTGAGTAGTACTGCTTTGGTCTCTGATGTCTACTCACTGGACTGGGGATGCTGTCTGGTAATGAGGCATCATAGCTGGAATAGGAGTTTGGTCTAGAAAGTCTATCCTCATGATCCGAAAACGAAAAGGTCCGTACACGGGTCATCGTTGACTGACGAAGGGCGGGAGGAGAGGAGGAGGGGTATGTGGTTTCGGTCATGATGTGAAGCGCCTCTGTAAGCAACTTCACTTGATCATCGCTACTCTTCTCAAGAGCAGCAGTCAGAGAAGGATCGACATCGGAATTTGGAGGAATGATTGCCCACAAGAGCTGGTTCACAAATACAGCCTCACCAACAATGCTAGCCATTTTCTCTGCAAGCCGTTCAGAAGGTAGTTTAACAGACGCGTCTGAGATCTGCTGATAGCTGCGTTGCTTCGATGCCGTCTGCTCATATGTTTCCAGGGCAGCACACAGCAATTTCTGGAGATAATTAGTTCTGGGCTTAATTGTCCGCGATGGGATAGGAATAGAAGAGGCAGGGGATCGTGGTCTTGTCTGGGCTTTTGATGGCCCATTGGTTGAGCGAGGAGAGACTACGGGAGAGAGAGGTCCATCTGCTGAATGCATTGGCCGAAGGACATGTTTGGGGCTCTTCATAGGCGACGGAATATCAAACTTTTCAAGTCGCTGCAATCGAGACTTTATTTCATTCAATTCCTGGCAAAGAGGGTTACCGTTACCGTTGTCGTTTTCGTCGTTGTCGTTGTCGTTGTCGTTGTCGTTGGCGGTGTCGTCTTTGTGGTCGTTCTTAAGAGCTTCTTCCTCAGCTTGGATCTTTAGTTGGGTGTCGGCATCAAAGAGGGGGGGCATGCTCATCCTTCGACGTAGAAAAGCGCGCTCCTGTTCTCCACTGCGATCAAATATGATATCCTCTCTTGGATTGGGTGGAAAGTATGTAAAGTCCTCATCTGTATCTGTTGTGTTTGTGTTTGTGCTAAGGTTGTTGTTAAGCTTAACTTGATCTTCTTTTGGTTTTTTGTGTTCGGTAGTACACGTGCTACGTGAGATGTCCTTGGCTGGTGGGTAACATGAGGGAGTGGCCAAACGGGTAGATTGGTTTTTGGTTGAAGTAGCGATATTTGCAGAAGTTGGTAATCGTGATCGAGGAGTAGGGTTTGTCTTTGGATTTGCTATCGATTTTGGGCGCCTTGAGGGAGATTCTGGGGTGATTCCCTGTTTAGCCTTTGCAGAAGCAGTGAGAGCTGTTACTGAGCGAGGCAGCCCAGAAGATTTCTTTTTGGACGAGTCTGCAGTAGAAATAGCCGCTGATTCTGCAGTTCCGCCAATGCTAGACGACTGCAGTTTATCTTGAAGACCATTAGGAGCTGCACCCATCGAACGACTTCTGGATCTAATTTGTGCGAGTCTCTTTTGGAGCCTAAAGTTTTCGTCTTCTGCCGATGTTGTGTTTCGTTTGCTCTGTCCGTGCGTAGGTGAATCAAAGGTAGAAAAGCGTCTCGTGTCTTTAACCGGGCTCATGACGGGAATGAATTTGTTCTGATAAACTATGTGAAGCATGTCAATATCACTATTAAGACCCAAATGAACAAGAGAAAGATCCTTACCTACAACAAAAAGGTAAATAAAAATGGGGGAAAAAGGAAAGAGAGGCGAAATTCCAAATATAGGGGATTATATATTTTTATATATGTTATATATATATATACATTTAAATAATTATATAAATATATATATTTGTGTACTTGATGTCTTGCCACCCCACCTTATTCCACCCCACCTTACCTTACCTTACTTCAAATCACCCTTCCCTACCCTATTCCACCCTATTCCACCCTATTCCACTTTAGCCATAAAATGAACAAAATGAACGACAGGCAAACAGACAGACATACAGACAGACAGACAGGCAGACTAGCTGACTAGCTGACTAGCTGAATGACCAATTTAATTGACTAATTGTATCTAAGCTTTTATGAATTTTTTCTTTTTTTTTTTAGTCTAGTAAGAAAGTATGCCTTTTTACTTTTTTGTGTTTTAGAAAAGAATCTCTTCAATATGTTCAATTTGCCTTTTTATTATTATCATTATTATCTATTTATTTTTAACTGGTATTCTTCTTGTTAGTCTTGAATGGGCATTAATCTCGTTCCACTTAATTCCACACAAATGGTATTGTGTGAATAAGGGGAGCGTCACATGGGTAGGAGGCATCAAATAAAGCACCATTACCACGGACCTGTAGTAGGATAGAGATAACTAAAGATAGAGAGTAAGAGTGAAATAAAAATTGTATGTATAGTGTATAGTTGTGAGTGAAGGAATGCCAAAGAGATGTTTTTACAGAGCTGAGCTATTCATTCCAAACCCCCCATTATTAATCCCAGAGAAGTTCAATGTGGAACGCTGTTGGAAACGGTAATTGCTGTAAAATCATCTGGGTATCACAAAAGAGACAAACAATAGCGACTTTCGCGCATGGGTCAAGCGACAACGTAGTACGGAAAGAAGGGGAAGACCAACCTTGGAACCTCAAACAGAAAGATGTTGGTTCTTGTAAATTCCTCATACCCCCTCCCTCCTTTTCTTCTTTTCTTTTGAAATCATTTATAATCACAATAAATAAATAAAGGACTCTTTATATTATTTTTTGTTCTTCTTTCCCTGGAGTCTCCTGCTTTTTTGCTTTGAACTCCTTTATTTTATTCTTGCTGTTTAGAGATGATCGTCCACATATAAGAAAAATACACATATATGTATAAGATTACATAGAAATGTTATTTGTGATTGGAAATAATTCTATTTTTACAATCACAAATAACAATTGTCAGAATGTGGAACCCCAAAATGTAGTCTAGCTAACAAACCTAAAGGCACAAAATAATAATAAATAACAATAAAGAGCAACAATTGACGTTACTGTCGTGGTACGTGAATCAATTCACTTGTCTATTAATTCAACTACTTGCTTTTTTTTTAAAAAAAAAAAGTATATAGAAATACATCATCTACTATCTTGTAATTCAAGCACTGACAGCACTTGATCTACCTGTTTTTCTATTTCATTAATTTGCTCATCTCCACGTCTTTTTACTGCAGCTATTTTATCCTCCATCAGTGATCTCAAATAGTCCTCTACCGTCATCTTCAGCTGCTCCTGTGTAAGCGAGTGCCTGGTGTCTGATCTAATATTATCTTCTGATGGTACAGTCCTGTGATTATACACTGGAGACATGGGAAAATTGGGCCTCCGTGACCTTAATCGACTCTCATCATTAACTCTCACTCTCTCTACGTCAGTGTGGGGTGTACATTGAAAAAGTCCAAACCCAGGAGACCGAAAGGCACCCGAACTTCCCTGAGGTCGGATAGGTGATGCAAGCCAATTATCGTCATCTTCCAGGTCAGGCAAGATCATTCCATGTCGAATTGGTGTAGAAGTAGTAAAATTTCGTTGAAATCCCACATACCCCGATGATACAGGAGGTGTGGTTTCTCTAGTTCTCTGGGCCACCTCACCACCACTATTACCTCCAGAACCCTCCTCATCTTCCTCAGTAGCAATCAGGCTCTTCTTATTCTGAATTGTCTGCTCTTCAGATTCGCCGGTTTGTCTTGAATGACTATCTACCGTCGTAGTAGGTAAATCGACTATCTTGGACCTTTTCTTTGATAAACTCAAAGTTTTTCTTCCAACTGCCATCAAGGGGAGCTCTTTTCCTTTTCCCTTGTCCTGTAAAGGAATCCTCGGTTGTGTCTATGTTGGTTTATTAATAGTGAGATTCGTTAGTCATTTAATATCACAGACTTTATGTATATATTATAATAGTTATTCTGTTATGTTTATTACTATAGCATACTTTTGACACCGAGGGTTCCTCCTCTCTAGGGAGTGTATCTAGGCCAGGAGAATTTTCTGACACATCCAATCCAGTAGTAGTCCCTGTCTCGACACAGGTATTTGTCAAAAGTCCGTTTGTTTTGATGATCTTTGTATTAGACTCAGCAAGCCTTTCCGCAATTGGGTCGGTCAATTCATCTGGCAGAATTGGCGCCAATTTCTTTCGTTGTCGTTTGGAATATGTCAGTATAGTCTTTGGTACCGGAAGCTGTCTCCTTCCAAGACCATCCTTGTTTTCGAATGCCTTTGAAATATTCCATACACTGTCTTCCTTGAAATTATCTCTGGGAGACTGGCTGGTCTCGGTGACCTTGGTGACCTTGGTGACCTTGGCGACATTGGCAACCTTGGCGTCCTTGGTGGTCTCTTTCAAGTCAAATTTGATCTTCTTATCTTTTTCTGGTGTCCTCTCTTCTGTGATCCTCTTTCTTTTTCCTGCTAGCCCGGGTACATCTTCTCTAGACGGCGATGCCCTCTTTTTCTCCAAACTTGGTCGAAGTTTGTGGGTATCAGATGTGGGCGTTTGTATGGTCTGACGAGTCACTCGTCTCATGGTGCCTTTGTCTTTATCTGCAGCATTCTAAATTAACCCCACACAAAAAAAATACAATAAAAATAAACAATAATAATAATAATAATAATTACGATAATAGTAATAAACACGCCCTTTTTTTTTTGCTCTCTTTTTCTTCAATGTCTTTATTTGGAATAATTCCTATCGTTTGTTTTCTTTCCCATTCTTCTTTTAGGTACACTTACTTTATCCAATTCACTCACGGCAGAAGTCCAACTGTCCCGGCTGTCCCCTTCATCACCATCACCACCATCGTCATCTTTATTCTTATCTTCTTCCTGTTCTGTGTGCGCAGTGTATGTTTGAAAGAAAGGGCAATCTGGCTTTAGTTCTCTGTGCTTTTCTCTAATATTCCGATAATACCAGTAAGTTTTCTTGCTCCTTTTTTCTCTCTTTTACTATATACATATACATATATATATACATATATATATATATATATATCTGTTCTTACAACACCTACGCCAGATCAGTAGACATATCCTTGTCCGTAATTGTACATCGACAATACACACACACTACCTTTGTGTCCCTTTCAGAATTTGGGATATAACAGAAGCCTGCGGCTGCCAACTAATATTATTTTACCCAAGAAAATACATTTTTTTTCTTATTCATTAAAAAAACAAAGACTCAAAAGAGCGGAAGAAGAAGAAGAAGAAGATCATGACAGCCACGACGATCATTACAATGAAGAGGAATAGTAATATGGTTTTTGTGTGTCAGCTTACTTTAGAAGGTGTAGGTAATTGTCGTCGTCGATGACTCAGATCAGATGTTCGGGCTGATGGTGGTGGCCAGTAATTATCTTTCACAAATGTCCTCAGACGCGCCTTTTTCATCGTCTCACTCTTTGGCCAGCTATTTATATCTCTTGGATTGACCTGAAGCAATTTCGTACTCTGAGGAAATCCAAGCAGTACCCATGAGCACAAAGGCGACACATGTGCGTGTCGCTCCATTGGAGATGAATTTTGATCCCATTGATTCAGATCAATCTTGCAAAGAAAGCAGCGTACTGAATCTACTGTTTTTGGTTTTTGAGGGTAATAAAAACCTGCGGATGCAAACTAAAAGGAATGGGATTTATATTTATATTTATTTATTTATTTATTTATTTTGGAGATACTATTATATATATATTAAATATTGAATAGTAAGCGTTAAAAGTATTAGACTCGTTATATTACGTCTTCAATAGGAGGACGCTCCTTGCTTGAGCGAGGCCATTTTGAATTAACACGAAATGAACGAAGGCGGTTTGGATAAATGTTCATAGATACAGCTGAAGAAAATAGGTTGGCCCACAAAAAAAATTAAAGCACTCTTGAAATTGGGACATTCATTTGCAAATGGAACAGCCAATAGAAAAATAGGAAATTTATACATTTATACATTTAATTATGATCACACCTCTTTATTTTGTTTGCATTATAGTATGTATAGCGCATCCTTAGGAAACCATACATCGAGCCATTGGATGGACTGAATGGAGTTTGTTGGTTGGATGCCCAATAATGGATAATCTGCCCCAACACCATGTTATGCTAAACCCCTATTTATATTACTCATTAATAAACAAGTCAACGTTATTTGAAGTTATTTACGTGTACAGCGAGCGTGTCATTTCAGTCGTCCGATTGATTTTTTTAAAGATATGAGAATAATTCTGGAAGGCATCTAGCTTTTTTTCTAACAAATAAGCACTGGTTCTGACAAGTTCAATTCGCTTCATATAATATTAAAAATATTCTTTTACGTTCTTTTACTAGAAGTAACAATGAAAAATCAAATATATGCTGATTCTAGATGTAAGACTCGACAAAGGCCATTTCTTTTCTTCGGGTCTACTTCAATAAATACTAATAGTAACTTACATATTAGGAACATGACGAAGATATCAGACTCACCCCATGCACTTTCGAGCTTCTATGAATTACGCTTTATAGAAAGCTCGTCTTTATCAATCTTATGAAACTAAACCGTGATACTTTCAATTGAATCATTTAATGTAGGGTGTAGTGCTTGGCTGGTAATGGAACTATGGCTACTGATATGGGTCTTCTCTGACCCCTTCCAAGGTTATGTATCCAATTATTTATGTATCGGGTGTACAGTGCTTCCACTCTCAAATAGAACATTTCTTGGAGTGATTTTTTGAGCGTTGAGCAACGTTAACAAGGTTAGATAAAGGGATATTATTGCATGCTTTAGCTATTCTTTGTGCAAGCATTTCAGATTCAGTAAGTTGCTTTCATATATTTATTCAATTATGCTTTAGCATTTAGTTGAAACCAATCAAGGTGAAAAGAGAGTGTTTCCTGGCTTCAAAGAGTTCAAACTACTCTTTTTTTTTCTCTGCTAAGACTTTTCTGTGCTATATAGCAACCAGTTTTTGAACAGCATTGCGTGTCCTGATCTTCTCCTTTTTGCAGATTCTATTGTTTATTAATGAGTCTGTTAGTGACTATACCAAAAACGCTTTGTCGTTCATATACATAGATAAATTATATCATCGAGAGAGTTGGCAATATCTCGAGCATCCTTTTCTGTATCAACAATCAGAGTACTCGAAATGCTCTTATGTTACTCATTCAGAATTTTAACACTAAAATAATCACGAGTATATCCGCTAAATTGTGAAGGCTTAAAAAGCATGATATCGTTTAATTCTCTATAAAGAGAATATTTAATATTTAATTCATTATTAATACATCTGCTAGCAATAAGTAAATATATCATCAGTAAACTTACATAAGTTTAAGTAATTCTTCTTTCAAGACTAAATTCAAATTCTGTGGCTGCACCATGTACGATTTTTTGTTTATTTGATCATTCAGCTTGTGTCTGAATAATAACGAGTGTTAGTTTTAACACACCATCACAGCCTGGAGCAGGTATATAGCTTGAGCAGTACTTACTGTTGCAGATGCATTATCATTTTGCTGACTTCGTTTTACTGAATGCTATCTAAAAGTTAAAGTAATAAGCTTTATCGTAAATTTTCCGATCGACGTCTCAAACATTGAGACATACATCTGTTATACTTACATTTTTAGCCGCATTTTCATTGCTTAAATTATCCATACTAAAGCTGCTGCTTACATCTTGCTGAAGACTATAGCTAGTTATTGATAATGTTTTCTGATTGTATGAATGTAACATGGTTACACCCGTCGTTTCCTCTATTACTTCAAGTTATTTATATTGACAATAAAAAGAAATGTAAGTAATACAAAATTAATCAGAAGGTAGCAGCAGCTTCCACAAACAGCTGAAATAATATACATTACCTTAGCGACCGTCTCACAGCTTGTAAATGCTTAATAGCTGATACTGTTTAATTTGACATTTTTTAGTATACGTCGAACGTCTTGTCAATACGCTTGATTAGCTTCTTTTGTGCAAGTGCAGCCATTCTGATAATAGAAGCGAAAATCATATTTTGTAATATTTTGTCACATTTTATTAAGCAGTTTCCAGAAGTCCAAACGCTAATCTTAGACGTACGACACTTGGATTCTACCGGACCACAAATTGTAACCTTTTTGGCGGCATGGAATAACTTTATCTGGTCCCTAAGTATCTATCTTTATTATAATAATTAATTCAAGCCAGAATACAAAATATTCGTATCAAAGTTTTCTTTTGTGTTTTGAAAAAAAAAGTAAAATGGTAGGTAGAGATTACTTACCAGTTGGTGCAGTCAAACTCTTGTAGTATAGATACAGTATGGGAAAGAAAGAGAAAGACTTGATACGCGTAAGAAGGTTAATCAATAGTAAAACTTTCAACAAGATTACCACAATTTTAATGACAACAACTCCTTGTAATTTTCTGTATAACTAGCTACTTATCAAGTATAAAGCTAGAACGTGAACGCATATTAATCAAATATACAGATTTTTCCTTTTTTTTTTGTACGAGTCAATATTTCATTATTAAACTGTCCAAAAACAGGCCGTACTTCCTGGAATGTGGGGACGAAGTAGTGAGTTAATGCGTACAATGAATATATTGTGTTTTTTCAGGACACACTATTTTGTCCTGTAGGATTAGAGAGAAAAACCGGGCCCCGGACAGGTAGGCACAATGAATTAGTCCGGTTTGATAGAAACGTCGTCCCCGTAAGATTTCTGTTTTAGAAATAACTTGGCCAGAGCAGATACTCCAACATCTTCCATATCAAAGACAACTAAAACGAAGACCCAATATCATATGATCATTGTAGCTATACATGCATATAGCACCATTCATGTAGTGGTAAAGAAGTGACGACCAAAAAGATAAGCTTTAAAGTAACAAAGCTTCTACAACCAAGAAAAAAGAAAAGTAAGAAAAGACAAGAAAAACATACTATAGGGTAGGTTTATTATAGAAGAACCAGCTACAGAGTGTGTTGATGATAATAAAGAGATTTGTGCGCAAGATAGCTCATAATCAATATCAAAAGGTATGACAACCGTGCACTTTGTCAAATTCATGAATGTTCTGTTTGATATCACGGATCTTAATGAATATCTAAAAGGGAATTATTTGGTGATTGATAACTGTACTATACGTAAATCAAAGCCAATGATGAGAAAAATTGAAATCACTGTATTGTAGTCTTACAGTCAGTAATTGATAAAAAAAATATAAAGTCTTGGATCATGACTCCTTAATTAAACATTTGCTAATAAGACGCACAAACAGGGAGAGAAGCCCTTGTTTTGTCTTGTCTTGTAGAGAATGAAATTTAGATATTAATATATGTTTATACTCTTAATTATCCATTACTATCATGTGTGGTTTGAGTACTTTATATTAATATGTAGATGTAGATGTAGATTATCATCGAGCTATTTCCCATATTTAAACATACTTTATATATGCAAACTTGGAACCAAGTTAGAATTATAAAAACAACCTAGAGATAAAAATTTAAAACATATGATATATATGTATATATATGTACCAACATAAAGATTATTGTTTGAAAGCAATTTTACTAAGCTTGTCTGCTTGTCTGCCTGTCTGCCTGTCTGTCGTTTCCTTTTTCTCAACCCTGATATTCTAAAGTGAATCAAGACAAGTGAAAATATATATACCGACTAAAGTAAAGATCTGAGGAATTTTTTTTTGGGATGTTATTCTTTGTTCTTATTTTTAGATGCTTGAAGATACTAATATCATGATGGTTCTACAAAGCTATGTTCGAATCGTTTAAGCAATGGATATTATTATATGTTTATGGTGTAACAAGTATAATAATTTTGTATACCAATATATATATAAGTAAATGTTCATTTTGTAATTCAAGACGTTGGCAAGTAAGATGCACTATGTGCACAATAAGGACATGGACAGATCTTGTTTTGATTTATGTTCAATAATTTTAAGAATAAATAAATGTGAAAGTTTATTAGGTACTAAAAGCTGATGCCTAGTAATAGAATCGAATCTAATGATGATTAAGAGTTCTTAGTTGAATAGAAAGGTGCATTGCAGATAGATTTATTATAGTAGAGTATGAGAACAAAAAAAAACAAAACAAAAAAAATAATAACATTAGAAGGAACAGGAACAGGAATATACACTTGGGAATCAGACTATTGAAAAGACCATGAAGATCATTATTGATGTTGGCAGGCTATTTCATTTTTTTTTCTCTTTATCTCTCTCTCTCTTTTCAGATTCCTTGTCTAAAAAAGTATAGCTTATGCAGAAGGGCGGTGCGCAGTAGTATGCATATACCACTTGTGAAGACCGAGAGCTGTTGTCATGAAAACAATAATCGACGCACCCAAGACGCTGAAAATATCTGGGAATTGGTGGAAAATGAAAATATCGATCAAGAAGGCAAATGCAACATCGTTCATACGCATGAGAGTAGCTGCACAATTATTATTATTATTATTATTTAAAAAAACAAAGGTTATAAAAACATCCGATTAGCACCAATTTATTAACAAACAAGGTTGAGATCCTTACCTGGACCAGCAGGGGCAAGTTGAAGGCTATATTAAAAAAAAATTAAAATCGCAGTCGATTGATTTACATGACAAATCTGTCAACCATATTGATCTATAGATATCCTACAACTTACCCTTGGTTAAGTAGACACTGTCCAACAAATGCTGATAGGCCAATTACAAACATTATACCATAATCCTTAAGACTTTCGAGAGGAGTGTATTCCTGAAGAAGCAAAAGGCCTACAGGACTGAGAATGGACGCAATGGCTCCAAAGTACACAACGTGCACCATAAAATGTGCGCCTTTGCCGATCTTTCGCACAGTTACATACGAAATGGCAGACATTATGGCTCCCAAAAGAGCACAAAAGATAGCAAACAGTCTACCCAAATCGCTTGCCTCATCAACCAAGGCACCCTCTTGTGGTCCAAACAGAAATGGAGGCTTTGACACAAGAACTACGCCAAACATACACATCGAAGCACACACTCCATCAAAGAAGGTAAAACTTTCACCAAGTGCAATAGACGCCAAAATAGCTGTAAATGTAGGTCCCAAGAAGAATACAACTACATGGATTATATGCAAATGCAAGTGTAAGTGCGAATGTAAATGTAAATGTAAATGTATACATATACATATATACACGCATGATCAATATAAAGAAAAAAAGTAGAGAGAATATTATTGCTGTTTGTACGCTTGTATGCTTATGCATAACACTACTGCTGATTATATTGATTATTATTATTACTTTACCTGTGGCATCAGCAAGAGGAAGTTTTGTTACACTATAAAACAGACATGCCAGGCCGCAAGTACCGGCCAATCCGCGGATAAAAAGCCAACCCCGAATACCGGGCTTCCCCAACGGATTCATTTTGAGAATTGCACAGCCTATTAAACCAAAAAATGTCTGAATCACAGATCGAGCAAAGACGATCTGGAAAGAAGGGAACCGGGCACCTCCTAACTTGACAAATAACGACATTGTCGAGAATCCCACGGCAGACAGAGTCATGAGGGCTAAACCGATTAGCTCTCCTCGGCGGAGGTGGTGGTGGTCTGTGAGTGCCTGAGTGGCAGCTGTAATGGGACCCGGCTGGCTTATTAATGGAGTTGATTCATTAACAATGATCACACTCTCCGGTACTTCATGGACCACTTTGCGAGTTCCATCGGGCCCAGTGAATTCCGACATTAGGTAGCTGTCTGTTTCTCAGGCAACAAAGACGAAACCAACTTACTTTCTTAATAAAGATCTATAAAAAAAAGTAGATATGATGTCATCACATTTGTTTCTGAACAATTCAAAAAAAAATTAGTGAGGTAATTTAGATTGTATCTTTTTTTTTAAAAAAAAAATATTGATAGATAGATGGATATATATTATTCATGTTAACTACTTCAGAAACCATTATTATTATAGTCACTGGAATTTATTGAAGATGGTCGGCTGCTTACATATGGATAAAATTAACAGCACTAGTAACATATATAGGATCTATCAATACTTACAGTTAAAGAAAGAAATCGTAATTCCATATATCCATTTTCAATGTCTATACAAGTATAGAATCTCAAAACCGAGAAAATGAAAATACTAGAGTTCATCACCTAACTAAAAGTAGCATTTTGGTTTTTTTTAAAAAAAAAACAGTCGTTTACACATCTACAAGTACTTACTATGTGTGTATATAAGCTATACGTTTTAAAATCACATTTTAATAAACAATTACTCGTTTGATAAAGAAGCAGATAAGTTTGCCTGGACTTGGACTAAAGAAAATATATAATTGAAAGCTACAGAATCCAAAAATGGTATTATATTTGATATTACCATTGGGTTACATTGAGATATGTCAATTCACCGACGAGTACACACTCTTACACCACTTTCTTTTGTTTCATAGTATATTTCTATCAATTAGATATCTAACTAACAAACATTAACATGCCCTAGTATAAGGCTTCTTTTTTTTTCACAGCAATATTCTACACTTGCAAGAACAATGTAGGTACATATGTATATATATATAGAGAGTAACATACGCGACCTTTTCATTTCTTTATCTCTTTATTAGAAGAAGTATTTTTTTTTTAAAAAAAAAGGGGGGGGGGGGGGGGAAGAACTATTATGTGACAGAAAATATTTTCTTTTTTGTTACACCACAAAAGAAAATACAGACTAGGCCAAAGCACAAGAAAAAAAAAACAAAACTAACTTGATAAACTACCTTTGTCGGTCAAGATGTTCAATTTCTTTGTACAATATATTTATATATATTGGGTTTTAGGTTTTAGGTTTTGAATCCCTAGACTCTTCTGTTCTTCCGGGTACATTCTAGACTGACTGTTTTACTTTAGACCAGGTTCTTTATCAACCTGTTCAACTCTCAATACGCTCCAGGGTTCTTCATTTGACATGTTCCAATAATAATAATAATAAAATGCCAATAGATATATTCGTAAACCATTAATGTGTATATTGTCATTGATGTCCCCATTAGTCTTGCTCTTGCTGTTTCCGCCAAGTCGGTTTGAATTTTCTTTCTTTCTTTCTTTCTTGTTTAAGGCGACTAATGAGATAAGGTTTATGGAGGTCAACAGTAGATCCTTTACCAGTAGATCTTTGGTGTGATCTTCTTACTTCTTCTTTTTGGTAGTTTCAAAAGAAAGAAAAATCAAGATCTTACACGCCCTTAATTCGATCTATTATTATTATTATTATTATTATTATTATTATTATTATTATTATTATTATTATTAGTATTATCATTCTCATTATATTTGATCAGTCTAGATTAAAGCCTGAGTCTGTGAATTGGCGTGGGTCTCCGAAATAACGCGGGCTTGTCCTTCTTACTAGTTTGGGGAGATGTGTTTTGTAAGATATAGTGTACAAGTAAAAGGGCAAGTACAGGTACAGGTACAATTAGAACTAATCTGTTTCTCAGGATGCGAAATCTGAAACTAATTTCTTTTTTTGAATAAAGAAATGATATAATTAATGGTTCATTTTCTTAAACTGTATATATCTTGCCGGAATTTAACAAAATTAAGAACCCAAATGGTAAAAACTAAACATTGTATAGATAGATAAATAGATAGATACATACATACATATTTATAATAGAAAAAGGCAATAAAAACAAGAGAATCTTTGACGAATACTAACCGACTACCCACACATAAAAAAAAAAGAAAAGCTATTGTTAGTAACATTTCCTTAAACATATTCTCCACAAATATGTGTGATAATTTTTTTTATTGATCGGGTTTATCGATCAATAGATTACCAATTGTGAAATGGGTAATGTAATATAGTATAATACCATTAGCACTTTTGTCTATCTGTTTTTCTTGGTGGTCCTTTGATTTTGTAGGATTCACACAACAAAGAATAAGTAGATAGTTAAATAGGTAAAGTTATTTTGTATTTAAACTCTGTGTGTAATATTCATTTAGCAAACAGTGCAAAACAAAAACAAAAAACAAAAAGAAATCAAGAAAAGAAGAGGCTCTATAAGTTTAAGGAAGAATAGTACAGCACTGGACCTTTTTACAGTCCAGTGATTATTATTATTATTATTATCGTTGTTGTTATGATTGTTATTATTTTAAAGCTCGGGGACAACACGCTTGCAGCCATAGGCACTTCTGCCGGCATTACAGTCGCTGTATGCCTGGCAACATCTGATGCAGTAGTGGTTGATGTCGGGCTCAATCAAGTTTACATAGTAAGGGTAACCACTGCAGATAGAGTTGGGAGGGGAGCCGGCACCGTGGTTGTCGTACTGTCCTCCACCATCCTGGCTGGAAAGGCTGTAGGCATCACGGTTAATGGAACCAGTGACCTGGACAAAGCCGGCAGAAGAGTTGGTCTGGTAGTTTGCAGTCTTGATGAAACCGGAAGGGAAGATGCGAGCACCAGGAGCATTGACGTTGGGCTTAGAACAGAAGACAGCAGCATCCTTCTCGGACCCGGCAATGGCATCGGTATCGATCTTTCCGCCGTTGTTGTCCATGTTTCCAGGAGACTTGGGCAAGAAGAGACAGAAGTTGCTGGCATTCTCAATATCGAGAGTCAAGCCAGAAGGACCAGTGACACCAGTACTGGGGTTGGTGGGCACAGCAGTGGGAATAGAAGTGGACTTGGTGTTCGAAGGGTTGGGGACAATGTCGCAAATGTTGTTGAGAGTATCAATAACACAGGTCTTTGTAAACAAGTTGCAGCAGCTAATAATAATAATAATAATAATAATAATAAAAAAATATAAAAGTTTTAGTTGTTGGTCAAGACAAGTTACGTTATGCTGTATAATTCTTTAAAGAAAAACTTACTAGACACCGGGACAGTCATCATTGGTAGTGCACTGGTCAATCTGAGTGGGCTTTGTGACGATGGTGGTGGTTGTGGTGGGCTTCTTGGTGGTTGTGGTCTTCTTGGTAGTAGACTTGGTAGTAGTCTTCTTGGTGCTGGTGGTGGACTTGGTGTTCTTCTTGGTGGTGGTAGTCTTCTTAGTGGTGGTAGACTTCTTGGTGGTGGTAGACTTCTTGGTGGTGGTAGACTTCTTGGTGGTGGTAGACTTTTTGGTGGTGGTAGACTTCTTGGTGGTGGTCTTAATGACGCTAGAAGAAGTAACGGGAGCACTAAAAAAAACAAAAAAAAATGAAGAGATTGATAAGTAAAAAAAGAAAAAAAAAGGTTTTTATTTTAACACAAAGAAGAATTCAATTTACCTCAAACACAAGGCTTGACCAATGTACAAGTTTGTACACTTGCTGTTGACTATCAATTTTTAATATAAAAAAAAAGAAAAGAGAGAAATTGATTAGTACAAGCACATGAGAAAGCAAGAAACATTATAGTAATTGACATTTTTTTTTCTTTGGAATTTTCAATTACCTGCAGGGTTCCACTTCTTGATATCGCTAGTGTTAAGCTTGAAGGCTTTGGCAACGATAGAGCACTAAAATGGTGTGTGTATAGAGATAAATATAAAATTGTTCTATAAAATAGTGCTCTATAGATTACATACAGTATCATTGGGCTCAACAATGTAGGTCTTCTTGCAAGAAACAGTGTAGACAATATTGGACTTGGGTACGGCGGCTTCTGTTACCGAGAGAGCGGCGAGACAGAGCACAGCGAGGCTCAAAAAACTACGCATTATTGATTTTACGTTACAAAGACAAGGAATGAGGGAGGTAGACAGAAAGGAAAGAGAGAGAGAGAAGGAAGGAAGGAAAGAAGGAAGGAAAGAAGGAAAGAAGAGGTGAAGTAGTCTATGTGACAGAAAAAAAAGCAGGCGCTTTATACCATTCCCTCTGCGACCCTAACCTCGGTTAGTTACACATCCCATCGAATAAGTCTTGTAGTCGTACAAGCTGAACATTTGAAGGGCGGGTGTTTGATAATAATAATAATTTTTTTTTATTTTTTTTTATTTGTGCTTTATATTTTATATTTTATATTTTATATATGTATTGTATTTTTATATATCTTGTAGCGGCTACCACGTTATGGCCTGCACTGGCAAACGTCTTGATTACCATTGCATTCCTTCTTCCCATATTTAGGTGGTCTTTACTCCTAACCAAGAGGCCATTAGACCGTCAACAAGATAAAACAAAAACTTAAAGTCTATTGTCGATGGCGTTCAAGGAGATTGAACCTCAAAAAAAAAGAACTTCTTGGAGAAGGAGGGAGAAGAAATAAAATAGGTTTTTTTTTTGGTTTGTTTTCTGTATATATTAATGCGAAAATGAATACGAAAATCAATAGGTAGGTAGATAGGCTATATATTATTATTAGTATAATTTGAAAAATAAGAGATTCTGGTTGAGAGCCCACAATTGTCGGCACTGACAACGGAGTCTATATGAATCCAAGGCTATCAAGTGAAGATAGGTATTGCGACACGAGCCTTCCCATCGGCCGCCAACAAACCACGTAGATCTTCTTGTGTTCCATTTGAACAAACTACCGACAATCCTCCCATTTGCTTCTTTTGGACCAATATTTGTTATATTTATACTCTCCTTTGGTGCACAAACCCTGGAAGATCTTCTGTTGGCTTCAGCAAATGTTATATATATATATTTTTGAACAACTATTTTTATTGATTTATTTATTTATTTTTACTTATTTATTTTTGAATACAACGTGCACCTTCTCCAACCACAGCAAGCGTCTTTTTCTTTTTCTTTTTTTTTGCTTTTCTCTTTTACTAAAACAGAACCAAGCTATTTCTCGAGGCTAATTCAAATCCCCAAAGACTACCATTTCATATCGGGATTCTTTTTAAATGCCTCATATGCTTCCCTGTTGAAGAAGGAAAGTTCGGCTTCATTTTCTGTTTCAATATATATAGAAAAGATATAGATATAAGTCACCCACAAAATCTATTTTCAGTACATTTACATTCACACAGCAATTGTGCCTTGCTTACCAATTCCTAGCCAGGCCAAAGTGGCCGAATCATCCGAGAGAATCAGACTCTTGTCGTCTTCCATGTTAATAATCAGATTTTGGGTCTAAAATAGATCAATATATAAGTATAAGTGTAAGTGTAAGTGCGCATATTATAATAACAATGGTAAAGTACGCAACATAATAGAAATCCGGGATTTTTATTTTATTTTATTTATATGTATTACATTTATCCTTAATCCTTTGGATTTTAAGTAGGAACAAGTACCAAAAAACGTAATTAAAGTGAACAACGTATCCAATTCTTACCTTGTGTCCATGGGCAACAGTGTAAAGCTTTAATGTATCTTTAAGCCTTTGATATTTAGTTCAATTGATAAAGTATTGTGGGTGAATCAAAGCTCTTGCCCTTTCCTTTTTTGTTTTTTGATCCGTACACAAGAATGATCACAATAATAATAAAGAAAAAGCAACAAAGCAACAAAGCAACAAAGCAACAAAGAAACAGGGCTACAGAGCGATCTAATTTGTAACAGCTTACCAAATTCTACGCTCAGATAGGGCTTCCACCCAGACGTGGTGCGAATGGCTAGTTTTAAGCGGGTGAGTAAGTAAACAAGTGAGTAGTTTAGCTGGTGGGACGTATTTTTATTCTACACGTGCGAGACTCTGATATTAATGCTTACTTTCGAGGATATGAGCTTTTAGTTCGCCAACTGTAGTATTCTCGAGATCAATGTGTTTCAGTACTGCATTCTTGCATGTCCTGTACTCGAATGACTTTATGCATCTCACAGTAATGATTGCATCAGTAGATGGTCTCGCGTGATTTGTCAGATTATCCATAATGAAGCAGGGATCTTAATACAATAGTAATAATAAAAATAATAATAAAAGCTTTTTTTTTATTACTATTATTATTATCTAAGAAAAATATAAAATAATATTTTGTGTACCCGTATTATTGTGATGATTTTTTCTTTTTTCTTTTTTCACTTGGTGCCAAACCCCAGTCCCTCTTTATTTTACTATATGATTATTATTGTATCTTTAATCCTTTTTTTTTGCTTGCTGTAAATGTATATATACATATATTAAACCCTTTGAATTTAAGCATTATTAATAAGTGATAACAAAACACATACACACATACACAAAAGGTCCTTCTTTTTCTTTCAAATACTTTGTCAGTCAAAAGGTCAAAAACTGACTTTTGCGTATATATATTAATATAATACTTACACTAACCCACACACACACACAAACCAACTTGTGTGTACATTGACGCACAAAATTTCCCAAGACTCGGCACGTTTGTGGATCCTATTTTGCTTGGCTTTCGTTTGTACTCTGTCTTACACTGCAAATCTCACATCGTTCTAGGCTATTGAAATATATATATATATACTCATACACACACACACACACACACTATATTGTGTAAAAAAAGAAGGGTCGACTCTTCCTAGTCAACCAGCACGGGAATATTCTATATTTTTATATTTTATTTTTACACACAGTATTTTATTAATATCCACCTAAATTTTTAACCTGGTAGCCAAAAGAAATATATATATATAGAAAAACCTACTAGGGATAAAATATAACAATTCAAATAAAGAAAAAGGAAAAGAGAAAAAAAATTAAAGGCCTGTATAATTGTATTCGGTTTATTGTAGGCTGTAATTAGCTCTATCACCAATATAGGTAATTTATAGTAAAATAGACCATTCATGGCACTTGCTGACAAGTCAATGGATCGCCTTAAAATCCTATTAAAAAAAAAAGATCTTATAAATTCTGAGGTTTAAACTATGTGTGATGGCCTAATGGAGTAAGGGTCCAGGTGTTAAGCAATGGAAGTATTATCTTGTTAATGAGGTCATTTCTTAAATAACAGCAGAAAAATAAATAAAAAAAAAGAGAAAGAAAAATCCTACTCAGAAAGGGGTCTTTTTTTTTAAAAAAAATAAAAAAATAAAAAAAATGGTAACCAAGAAGTCAACTACAAACACATAAACACACACATATACACTTACTTACTTACTCGTAGTATACATAAAGGTCATATAGGGGAATATCGGTTATTAAGTCCCCTCCCTTTTCTATGTCTCCTTCTTCTTACTCCTACTCCTCTTCCTCTTCATTGTCCTCCTCAACCTTTTCAAAATAAAAGGATGGAGCAATTGGGATATTGGAGCATACTTGTAGAAGCCCAGGTGGTTTTGGGATATCACACAATCATTATAAGAACCTGATCATATTTTTTACTTCTTTCTCTCTCTCTCTGCTTGTTTCAGTCTCTGTTTCTTTTTTGTCTCTAATTATCTGTTCTTTACTTGCATCGTATTACAATTGGAATGCATATTCTCTGTTGTATATTTTGTACAATCTTGGTGGCACTCTGTGCTGTAAAAGTAGCTGGACAGATAGTCTATATAGACACATCTGCTATTGACGATCAGGTTCAGTACGCCCAGGACTATGTAAGATCGAGATACATGACACCACTTAATATAATTGAATGGCCATGTATTACATCTAATATTTACATTGCTTTTTATTTATCTATCTGCCTATCTGTATTTACCCATTGATTGGTTTCTTAATCAATGTTGCTGGTGATAATGGTGTTGCCATCGTTACTGTTGCCATCGTTACTGCTACTATGGTTACTGTTGCTGTTATTGTTATTATTATTGACAGGCTAATGAACATCCGGAACTTGCAAATCAGGACAATTCGAGGCACAAGACCATCATTCAGGACGACGGGGATCAATCTACTCAGATAGTCGAGAATATTGGAGGGACGAACGGCGGTGGTGACAATAATGTAAGTGGGATGAGTCGGGGAGTACGACCTTAAAATAAACTCACATCCCTGGTTCTGAAGCTTGGCAAACGACACATTACTGGCAGCGGACAACTAAAAAGAAGTAAAATCCGTGGTATACGCTAACGGAGGATTTACTTTTGGTTGGAAGTTGAACGACTAATACACCAAACGAAACAAGAAAAAAGAAGGAAGCAAGCAAAAAGTTCTGATCTTGTTTGATATTGTTTGGTTTTGGATCAATTCGACTCAGTTATATCTCTTTATTACTCTCTCTCTTTCTTTAATCTGTCTATACCACATGTAAAGCAGCTATAGGCTATTTGTTTCAATCTATCACCAGTAATTAAATCTACATAGACGACTCCAAAGTCTGTCAATTAAACAAATAAATAAATAAAATGCATACACACACATATATATATATATAGATATTTATAAAGATACAATTATAAATATAGATTTAAATCAATTCAACACGAGAATTGTAATAAAGATATATATAAATAAATATATATTAATACCAAAAGTATCACGTAATAAGAAGTCATTAATATCAGAAAAAAATGCCTCACAAGACGGTGTGTACATACACTTGAACCTATCAGACCTCGGCTTTCAACAGAGCTGTGATTTACTATTACTATCCTTATTTCTTATATCTCAAAGCAATCATTATAAGTGATTAACCATAGTTTGTGAATATTTTAAGAATACTGCTCCAATAATACAATTATTTTTACTGTTTGTATATAGTTGCATAATTATATATATGTTAGCTTTTTTAAAAGAAGAAGAAAAGAATAATGTAATGTAATATAATATAATTCCATTGATCACAGGTCTGTGTATCAAAGTTTGTACACTTCATTTCGTTAGTACAACCTAGTTTGTTATAAGGCTTTTATATATGTATATGCATATACATATACAATAGTAACTCAAAGGCACATCACACAAATCATTGATCTTCTTTATTTTTGTATTTTGCTGCAATATTGCATTGTGCTGTCTTGTATATCAAGCTATGAATTATGTATATCTGCTATCATAATTACCACCAGAGTTAGTATTATTTAATACAAAGCCAGTGTAATGCTTAGTGAGTGACTACTGGGTGCCCTAGAATAAACCAAAGTCTAAATTTCTTTAGTATAATCATTATTAAAATCTAGCTTCTCATCCTGAATACTTTATAGTTTATCGATTTTTATTGCACTACGACTTTCTTTTTTATTTGTCTATTTAAAGAAAGAGTCTAACTGAAAACTAGTCCATTAATGCTAACATGCAACATGCAACATGTATATTAATAAAAATGGCCAACGTACTAGCAATAAAAAGAAAGATATCTTTGAATTGTAATACATATAAAACTGACATCTTAAAGGTTAAACACACACGCACGCGCACGCACGCGCACGCACATTTCTGTTATTAAAACTAACCATACAAGTATATTCACAAGAAGTATATACATTGCTTTAACAAAACGAGAAGAAAAATCAAGTCTAACTCGGTTTGCAGAACGCATATAATAATAATAGTAGTAATTCCAAGGTTTACTATATTGTGTATCAAAAGAGTTTTTTTTTCAACTCTTATCTCAATGGATGTACTCGTGTTGCCAACACGAGTGTGCTGCAGAATATTGCACACAAGCAGATACACGCACTAGAATATTAATATTAGTATTATCACTATTATTATCATTATTATATATTTATATATATGTATACACATATACATACATATTTACCCCAGTAAAACACAAACCGAGGTTTTAATCTTTACAGTGGTAATACTAATAAATTGGGTGTAAGTATTATTGGTAACGACCTCTAGTTTTTTAACAAGTCAGCTCACAAATATTATTGTGTATTAATTAAATTGCCTTGTTTTGTCAATAATAAATTTATATTCTTCAAAAAGAATAAACCTATAATTGGAATAAATAATATGTTTATGTATATATGTATAAATGCATATTTGTAAGCAGCAGCTTTACGGGCACGACGTTTCTATCTATCCAAACTAATTAGTTGTGACTACCTGTCCGGGGTCCGGTCTATTTCTCTGATCCTTCAGGGCAAGATGGCGTGTCCTGAAAAAAAAAGTACAATATATCAATAGCCAGTTATGTAGAAGATAACAAGGGGTCGCTATCATTAAATTGGGACGAAATCTCGTTGGATATTTTACTATTTATTGGCCTTCAATGCCGGCAAAAAAGTCTCGATTTGTGGTCTGGCACAATCAAAACATCGTACCACATCAGGAAAAGTCGTCCCTGTAAAATTGGCGATTTGTAAGACTAAAATAATTTTACTTTTAATTTTAATTTTAATTTTTCGCTTAATAGGGGCTCTCAAAAAATTCCAAGAAGATCTTTTAAATTCAGAAAACATGATCATTGGACGACAATTCTTGTAGAGACATAAATTTTAAATATGGAAACATACGTCGCTATGAAATCCAGTTTTTGCTATTATATATACAAGTGACAATATTTTCATACACAACTTTATGTTTTTAGGGAGGCCACGAGCTCTGATATATTAATGAGAAAGCTTACATTTATTATACAGCGCAAAATGTTGGCAAATTAATTCTATTAAAAAAATTCTACAAAGTTTTTTTTTTTTGCATTTTAATGTCCTTGACTACGAAACAATATGATTGACTAATAAACAAATTTGGAATTCTACGTAAAATTCAGTTGAGGGCCCTCATAATACCGTCCCTTCCATCAGGGTGAAAAATACTTTGTCACAGGCTTCTACAGATGTTGCGCACTATGTCATCATCTCTTCTATCAAAAGTATGATCTTATTTTCAATCAAATTAAAAATTGAAGAAGACTTGCCAATCGTAGTCGTTTGATTTTTTTTATAAAAAAAAAACTCTAATCTAATAATACAGCTTAAAATTATAGCCTTTGATTATTATTTTTTTCGGCCTGTCAACACCAACTGTCAAAGGTTGCTGAATGGGAGCCATGTAATACTGATGAGTGAGACACTTGTTATGTCGCAATTTTGCGAAATTTGGCTCAAAGCCGACATAGTCGAAACAACGGAGAATGAGAATATATGCTGGTGGTAGGTATAATCGTTGTCCTTCTTGAGTACTTTAGCCCAAAATGTATCCACGATTAATATTTTGTAAGACTAAGAGCTGGATTTGTGTATCATAAAGCCGGTAGTTTTAACGGTACATTCAGTGGGAAACCGCTCATCTATTCGAATGTTGCCGGTAAACAGGATACTGAAGATAAATGTTCCAAGTAAATTATTTAACACGACAACAAAAAAGTCTTGATATCGACTTTTAATGTGGGATATGTAGAGTGATTGATAAATCATCATCTGGAAACCTTGCTGATTTTTTGTTGGCTACCTGTTGAATAGTCATGATCATACACCTCCACATTGAGAATCAGAAAACTACGCATGCTGCCATCATCAAAGACATACTATGAAGAATTTTTACAGTACTTACCATAATTATCTTCACAATCACCACCTCTTTTTTCGTATAGTGAAGTGTTATATTCTTTTATAGTTTATGATGACAGTAAGTGTTTTATGAAAGCTAAAAGATGTTCCTCAGAGATCTTTCGGTGTTCTATGTGAGCTTACATGAGACATCAATGCATTAAACTTGTATATATGCATGGATCCATTTATTTATTTATATAGATAGATATAATTATATAGAAAGCTATTACATATTCTTGAGAGGACTCTTAATTCAATATTCGTATGCAAACTGCTATTAGAATAAAGCTTCACTTCGAGGAATAAAACGCATCTTGTATGGTACTGGTGAGGAAGTAATACCGTGATCAACAAATTTATCAATGTTTACAATAATGGGGTTCCCGTCTACATCAAGTGGGGGCTCCATGTTACATCTGTGAAAGATTCTTGTCAAATTATAAAACATCTCTGTCTCGGCCTATTATTTAAAAGTTAAAGCAATCGCGGTTATATATGATGGTTAATTAAATATTCACTTGTAATATATAACAAAGCATGCTCCAATAAAACTTACCATGTAAATTCCAGGGCATAATCGTCTAAAGTAACCATCATAAAAAAAATAAACAAATTATCCATTAACATCTTTCTCTCGGTTTAATTTCTATTTCTATTTAATCTATCATCTATTTGATCATTTATTTAACAAGCAGTTCCAATTTACCTTCCCCAACCAAAGTTGTACTGGTCACGTTTCTTAATAGATCCACTTGCCAAGGTTGACATACTTTCAGGGTAGCCCAAGAAGCGTTCAGGAATAAACTTTTCAGGATTGGCATACCGTAAGGGGTCTGTATGCATTGCGTCCAAGCTTCCAATAAGTATAGCATTTTTGGGAACATGATATCCGCGCAGGTTAACTTGATAGCATAACATATTACAGACAGTAAGTATTCTTTTGCTCTTTGTTTCTAGTCTTTACTCTCTTACTATCTTCACTGGCTTCATGAGGAACACCAAATTCAGTAATAGAACGGAGTCTCAGTCCTTCCTTTTGAGTTGCGGCAAGGTATGGGAAGCTTTCTCGATCAGAGTACAATGGTAGCCGGCCATTCTTTGCAACAAAGTCATCAATCTCGGCCTGAATCTTTCTTTGAACATCTGGGTAGTTGGATAGAATTGCCAACAGCCACGTTGTTGTTAGAGCTGTTGTATCTGTACCTGCAAAAATGATATCTCCTAAACACAAAGCCAATAGTATTAAATAAAAAGTATATATATATATATATATATATCTTTACACAAACTTACCTAAAAGTACCAAGATGTCCTGGTGGTCTAATCCGTATTTGTCCTTCCCTTCATAAAGTGACTTTGCAAAGCAGTCCTTTTCGCCGTTGATTCCTTTTTCCATCAGCCTTGAAAACATTTGATCTCTGGTCACTTTTACAAAGTCGATTTGTTTCTTCTTGATCCCAGAAATATAGGCTGCGAGCGACAAGATGGGCAAAAAAGATCCTACGTCTCCAGAAAGTCCACTGTACATTCCGTGTTGGTGGATGTAGTCAATCATGGCTTTAAAATCTGGATCCTCGACTGATTCGGCTCGCAACCCAAAGCAGACGGTCATAATAACATTATATGAAACCAAATAGAGATCCTCGGACGGAGACATGCATCCATGCTTAGCAGTGCCTTCAATAAGCGCCTTTGTCAACTTGTCAGCCTCTTCAATCATATCTTGACCAATAGGATCCACAGACTTTGGAGACAGCAGAGCCATGGCTAGATATTATTTGTGAGCACAATGTAAGCTATTACTACTATTGCTTCTTTATTGATCATATTGTTATCCCTTATTTACCTGCTGATCTGGTTCTGTGCCACTTCTTTGAGGTTTCTGCAAAGATGAGACCGCTTTTTTTTATTCATTTGTTTCAAGAGATAAAAAGAGCTATTAGAATACATTCGCAGTAACACTATATATAATCCAAGTCTAACATACCATCCGCCAGCAGAACATATATCTCTGAGGTACCCATGGGCAGGACGTGAGGATGCGAGACTACCGCGGGTAGAAAATAGCTCATGAGCAATATAAGGATCGCTGACCATAATCCATGTTTGTATACCCATTCTAAGCTTAAATATAGGACCTATTGGTGGATGGTTATTTTTGTTGTTAGTTTTACATATATTTTAGTGTACTGTAGGTTGATTTATTCAATGTACTCACCAAGTTCGTTGTGCCATTTAGTAACTTGTTTTCCTGGCCGATTTCCCAATGATATCAAATGTCCTATACCAATAACAATTATGTCATAATTTGTTTTCTTAGTTAAAAAGTTTTTGCCCTTATTCATTAATAATTTTGTAGACTCACCAATATAAGGATATTTCTCTTTTGGCTCTGGTATTTCTTTCAAGTGCTTTAAATTGGGATCCTTTGTCTCAGAGAATGCATAAAAGGCAGTTGCGGTCAATGTGGCAGCTGCAGCGGCTGCAACAGCTGCCAAAGTAAAGTGCTCGTTGCTCAAAGACGGCAGAGAAAATTCAGGCATGTTATTGTAAGTGATAAAAAAACCAAGATCAAAGAACGAAGAAAAAAATCTTTTATGATTTCATTCATTTTTATACTTTTTTTTTGAGAGTCCACAATCAAAACAAATTGTACGCATATACGCGTAAGCACTCACAGGAACAAATAATAATAATAATAATAATAATAATAATAGTATTAATGCATTTTCTGGCTTGGCAATGAGGGTACAAAACGTACTAGCTAGTTTATATCTCATGTATCACTTGGACAAGGCCAAGAATTTGCCTTGAAAAATAAAGTCCATCGACGCAGAATATCCATTTTAACTCTGTATACCGACTTTTTTTTTAAAAAAATAAAAAATAAAAAATACAAAGAGTACAGAGCTTTGAAGGCAATATATGCATATACATACTAATATAAAGGAATGTGTATAGATCAAGCAATTGATACAAGATGTACTGAATATATAGTTGAATCGGTTAATTATTCAATTATATGACAAAAAAAATAAGAAGCCTATTGTTACAGGAAACGATGAATAATCATACACACCTTTATGCATTTTGGAAAAAAAAGGCAACAAATCGCTTTATAAGGTTATTTAAGAATATTTTCCCAAATAAATAGAAAATCAAAAGACGTGCAACATGACACAAACAAGTTGGAAAATAATACTCATCACTGATCTATATTTGCTTATGAATAGATGCTATTTTCCAGCTTTTTAGCCAATGATATCCTTTTACTGCTTTTAATTTTCTAAACAAGCCATCACAAATTACATATACAAAGAAAGGAAAAAATAATAATTGAATCTATTGATATGTAAGTTTAATGAAATATATGTCTGATAAGATACGTAGAATGTCCCACCAGATTAAATTGACCAAACTTTAAAAAAAAGCTTTGTGTCGTACATGGTAATTTGGAAAATTTCGATGCATGAATCTGTCTAGTATAACAATAAACTCTTAGAAGAAACTTTCAACTTCTGAATATACCCGGAAACCTTTTAAAAGTCCAATAATCTTACCGTCTTTAGGGCTCTTTAAGCCAAGTTAGGTATATCGAGATCTATATTGAAATGAAAGCTTGATCACAAAAGACTCCAAGCTATACCAGGAAATCAAAAAAATGATAAACTATATTGTTCTTTCGGTAAAACTATTTATTGCCAAATATCATTCTGCCGTTCTCTATTTTTTTTTAAAAAAAAAAAAGAAAATAGAGTACCTTTATAAGGAATGTTGTGATATACAAGTACCCATAAATGAAATCAATGTTTAATTTTCTAGTAGTAAAAAAACGAATTTTCAAAATTCACGATGGTTTTGTACTGATATACAGTTATTATAATATGGCTTGGATTTTCCTCCCTAAGAGCAACTACCAACGCTGTTTAACTTCTTTAATAAAAATCATAAAAACAATGGTACGCTGAACTCTGTTGTATACTAAATAATACTACTGTAGAACAATGCTTCTACATATATGTGAGCATTAGTGAAAAGGTATCATCAATTTTAACATATTTTAATGGAAAATTACCAGTAACATTTTATTTCGAATTATAATTAGGCTCGCATCGTCTAGGCTATTAAAACTATGAATATGATATATAGAGCATCAAATACAAAAGCTTTGTATTATTTCATGTTCATTTAATACCAAGTTTATGTCATTTAAAGCAAAGTCTCTTGTATTATATATACCAAGATTTTTTCTTCTTTTTCTTTATGTATAGATTAAAATCATTTCAGTTGTTGGTAGTGTTCCTCTGCTTCTTTTATAAAAACTCTCTTTCAAATAGCCAACAAAACATTCAACTGTTTTATAGTGCTTAGGCGCGCACCGAGCCTCTTCAGCCCCGATATATTCAGTTTGGAAAACATGAAAATAAAGCTTTTCAAGCACGATTTCAGCAGAATTCCATATTTTTTTAATGAATTTGAGTATTTGTAATTTCCCAATAAGGATATTGACACTGTTGTGGCCAAGGGTGACGCTCCGCTAAACCTCTATAATCACAATTCTCATTAATCGCACCTATTGTTTGTATCTTCGTCTCCCTTGTTTCATCATATCTTTGTTGTGATAGCATACGTAGACCTACCTATACTGCAACAAACCAACAAAGTCTTGAATCTACTTTAACGCTTATAAATACCCTCATGACTTCTATCAATAAGATATCTTTCTAAAGCTTAAAATATCTCTCTCTCTCAATCGACTAGTTGCCCAAATTAAGTCTCTTTTCAAACTCCTCGCCCATTGTCATTACAGTACCCAAAGGTACAAGAAAACCATTATCACACTAAAAAGCTACTCTCTAATGTAATTTGTTTAAATAGAGTTTAAACTATAAAAATTGGTGTGGATAGACTAAAAAGTTCAAAAACAGTTCAAATGCATCTTAAATAAAATTAAATGCTCATAATACCATCTCTTATATCATATGCAAGTATTATATTGCGGGTTTTTCTATGCCTTGCACCCTGTGGCACACATCTTCTACCAAAATCAAGGTCTTTTTAATCGAATTGGAAATAGAAGATGACTAGCCAGTCAGAGTAGCTTACTTTTTTTTCTAGCGCTTATTATTTTTTAACTTTATTTTAACTCTAATCCAATAATACGTCTTGAATCTTTGAATTTTTTTTTAGAACTTATTACCCTGTCCACACCAAATGTGCTCAGGCATTTGCAAATTCTGCTCTCCGACATTTTTAACAATATTACGTCCGGACCGAACAAGTAGTTCGTAAAGCTTCATTCTTTTGGGACTGCACGGGTAATTCATTTTATTGTGCTTGCTTCCTGCAGTACAATGAGAACGGCAATTCTTTTTCCTTTTGAAATAAAAGAAACAGCAATCTTACGGGAACGACGTTTCCTGGCAGGGCACAACGCTTTTATCTGATCGGACCAACTAATTGTGACTAACTATCTGTGGCCCAGTGACTTTCTCTAATCCTTCAGGACAGAATGGTGTGTCCTGAAAAAAATACAATATATTCAGTATACATTAGCTTTACTGCTTTGTATCCACACTTTGTGTTTATAAATCTCTCCCCGGGCACCCAACTCTTCTTCTTTTAGGAAGTATGACTAATTTTTTGATTAGTTTAATAATAAAATACTGTCTCATGCAAAAATCAAATACTGTATATTCAATTAGTAGCCTTAAATTTAGACTTGACAGCAAAGAAATAATAATGTCACAAATACACTATATCAATAGCCAGCTATGCAGAACAGTATGAGTTCTTGTCATTAGAGTGTAACGCAATCTCGCTTGATATTTTATTATTTATTAGCCTTACGCATATCGTGTCTTTCTCTTTCTTTCACCGACTTATAGTCCCAGAGTTTGGCAGCACCAATAGGTAAGTAATTCCCCTCCACTCTTTTTTCAAAGCACAAAATAATGTCTTTATACGAATATTCTGTATCCTTAGGAACCAGATAGAGGTATTCCATGTCAGCAAAAGGGTCCCGATTTGTAGTCTGGTAGAATCAAAATGTAGTCTCCAACCAGGAAATGCTGTGCGCCATCAGGAAACGTCGTCTCCCTAAAACTAGCGGTCCTTAAATGTATCATACCACCATCTAACTCATTATACACACCCAAAAGGAAAGAATTATCATCTTTTCTGCTAAACGAGGCAGCAAAATTACTATGCCAATCAAAAATGGACTGCGAAGACATAAAATTAATGAAGCTGTGTTTGTCATGCAACATCAATTTTAAGCATTGTAATTATAGAGAGAAACATGCAGCTAAATTCGACACGACAACATATAAAGAGATTATTGACAAATGCAAGAAACGCAAACATCTACACCAAGTTCAATTACTGTAAAAACTGACAATCTTTTGGACGATCTATTAGAATATCGCTTTGATAAAAATGCTAATAGAATATTACAATACTTTGATGACCAAAAATATAAAGAACCAGATAAAACGTTTGATAATTACAAATTGCTCTGCATTGTACAGCAAGTTGTCTTCAATTTCAAATTCTGGGCGAAGGAGTCTCACGAGATGATGGGCAGTTATTCAAAAAACATTTATCTTTGAAAATTCGCTGAATTAATGGATATATTGTGGTGATCCAGACACTCGGTTGTTGGATTTATCACATATAAGAGCATATTTATATTAAGATAGCTTAGTATCTACCATCTTGTCAGCACATAATATATATATATAAACAATTAAGTGATCGGACCAATAATTATTACAGGAAGTCCTAAAGGTCTGTAGTTAAACTGTACTTTTGTCTATCAGGGGATCTAACTTTAGGTGGTCAATTTGCTTTTATCAACCATTTCAACAAGCAAAGGTTCTCTCGTTTCATTTTGAATTTTTGGTGATTCTTAATTATGATAGGCCAAAAATGAAGTCACAAATTGAAAAAAAATGGCTCTATTTGTCGTAGTGAACAAAAATAATAATAACTCATCAACAGAATGGCAGCTGTCATGAAGGAAAAAATAATCAATAATCCCGTTGTGGATCCTCAAGACCTCTTCAAACAGTTCTCTCCTACACTCCTATTTGATAGCCCTCGCGTCGCTGTACCTTTTAGTCCAACCGAAAACTGGTACACTGTCGCCGAACAGACAGTACCGGCAGACAGAAATGCCTTTTGGCATACAATAGTAAGCCGACAATAATTTTACTCTACCTAAAATCTATTAAAAGGATAACAAGAAGAAGAAAAAAACTTAGACGAAGTTTGTATACTTAATATTTAATGATTATAGAAAAAATGGACAGAGGAACCAAACTATGCAATTCCACCAGTTGAAAGAGCGGAGATCAATCAACCTTCAAACGATAATAATGAACAAACTCACCACATTAATATTCTCGGTCAACCGTTCGAGACAATCCAAAGAACATTAATACCCAAACGCAAATCCAAAGATGCGCCATTTGCAGAGAAAATTCAGTATTACGAACAAGATAACGAAGAGTGTAAGATTTCTTCATTTTTAAAAAATATAAATAAAGATTTCCATAGATCGACATAAAAGAAGAAGAGTATAAAGGTGCCCCGAATGCGGGATTTTGTAGGCTATGTGGCCCGTGTCGTTTATCAACCCGCAACAATAAACCCAAGGACATTGGATGTCGATCAATTCAAAGCTTGTCTTCCATTCTATTACCCAAAGGTAAACACAATAATTCATATGTAAATCGTATATCTTTCTTTCATTCAGTCAAAACAAAATAAACTAAGATAAGCTAAAATCTGAATTGCTGGTCTATGTTTATGGTTTTAATATCACAGGTGAGAGCCTATAGCTTTGTATACACTTGTCATCCACTATCAGCAGAATATGAAGACTTGGCCGATCAAGCAGAGTAAGTGGATTAATTATGATTTACATATTATATATATATATATATATTCTCTTTTAAAAATAAAAATAATAATAATATCGGGCTTACCAAACTCATTTTAACAGAGGAACACTCCGATTAGAGATTGTACCATGTGTGGAACCAGATGTTGCAATTACAGAAGCCAAAATGGTTAGTAGAGTGGCTCGAAACACGCCATCTTTCTTTTCTGGAAAACACAACACGCATAAACAGCAGGGAACTGATATTACAATATTCCTGAATAGCAATACGCTCTTAAGACATTGCTACATAAGCTGTTCAAATGGTGCATTCAATCGCGCCTTGGGTATAAGAAGCATGCCCACCATGATGTATTGGTTCCCAAGGAAGAGTATCTTGCTATGTATCAGCACATGAAGTCCACTTATGCTTCTTCGCTAGTCAGGTAGATTGAATACAAAGAATAACCTATCATAACATGTCACTTGTGTAATTGATATTTATACTAAAATGGTACAAGCAATTGGACAGAAAAGACGGATCCCAAAAAGTTTGTCTTTGAAGATATTGCAATCGCAAGCTATTTACTCTGTCTTTGGAAAGTGGACGAAGCAAGGTTGGCTAGGTAGGTTTAATTATATCTTTATCTTTTTTTACTATGCCTTTTATGATATACGGCCACTGAAATAGCTTACGAAAAAATACTACAATAGGAAACCCACCTTTGTAGATCTAGGGTGTGGCAATGGGCTTTTGACCCATCTGCTGGTCAGTGAAGGTTATAAAGGCTATGGTGTAGACATGGCAGAGCGGAAGATCTGGTCATCTCTTTGTCAAGGAAATTCTGATGTCTTGCGAGGTAAAATAGAGTTGATGATCAAATAAATAAATAATAATAATATAAAAAAGTTAAACTTGGAAAAGTCAAAAATATACTTAATTCCTTCTTTAGCAAAGACTCTCATTCCCACTCAGGAATGCTACCCAGAAGCTGATTGGTTGCTAGGTAACCACGCCGATGAACTTGTACCATGGTAACCATGTTTTGTTGGCATGGAAACCGACTCTCCTTACTTATATGAATTATCATCGTAGGATTCCTGTCATAGCAGCTAAATCAGGTGCTCAATGCAAGTAAGTTAATAAATCATAAAACCCAATACAATTCAAGAAAATATCTTAAAATAAAAGAAAAAGCAAAAAAAAACAAAAAAAACAAAAAAGAAGGAGGGTAATGTTCTAATTAATCTTTTATCTTTTATTTATTTATTTTTTTATCTTTTCCCACTCATTGACCGCAGTTTTCTTGTGATTCCTTGCTGTTTTTACGGACTGGACGGTACCCGGGCATTATCGCTTGGCAAAATGGCAGAGGAAGAAGGTGGCAAGTACAAGGCTTATTGCAAATACATCAAGACCTTAGCATCCAGATGTGGTTTTGAGTGTGAAGAAGATGATTTGCGGATCCCGAGTACTCGCAACGTGGCTATTGTGGGTCGCCACAGACGAACTTTAGTAACATTGTCTGAGCTGGAAGCCATTACAGCTTCTGCACAAGCTGTATTTGTACCTCGCAAAAGCGACCGCGAAAAAGAAGAACTTCGACGGGAGCTGAAGCGGACCAAAATAGAAAGCTAAAAGACAGGCTCTAATATTTGTCAAGTAACACCGTTCCTACTGTGGTTTGCTTTGTCTCAAGCATCACAAATTAACAATGTCCTTTTTTTGGCACGGTTTTTTGTGCCTTTTTTTTGATTTTATAATTTTTTTACACACAAAAAAAACAGTAAACATCTTCTCTTCTCTTCTTCTTTTCCTTATCCTTTCCTTTCCTTTTCACTTATTATGCGGATCCCTTTGAGCTGGGCAATCTGTGTCCTTCTAATTCTTCAATCAGTCTCGGTTGTCTATACTCAAGCCTCAGTAGGTTCTGCTGCTGAAGCTGATACACCTGCTGCCTCAGTTCCTGTTGCCACCACTTCCGAACCAGCAGTACCTGTTCCTACTACCACTGAAGCAACTCCTGCTCCTACCACCACAACTGCCAATCCCATTCCTATCCCTTCTTCAACCACTGTTCCCGAACCTGAACCCACCACAACTGTCGTCACACCCCCACCCACTACCACTACTTCCGACGCACCTGCACCTACAACTACAAATGTACCTGTAACTACCACACCCCCAGTTGTCGCACCATCATCTTCTAGTCCTAATGTAGAGCCCTCAGCAACTACTCCTGCTGTAATCCCTCCGGCTGGTAGCAGTAACGTTGTAGCATCTAGCTCTCGCCCCGCTAATAATAACAGTAAAACTACTGAAGCCTCTGGAACAGGTTCCAGCAGTTCTCCAACAAGCACAATTCCTACCCCAAGCTCTAGTTCTGAAAGTGATAAAAAAGATGGAGACGGAGGTGGCAGCAACACTGGTACAATTGTCGGCGCTGTCGTTGGTGGTGTTGGTGAGTGAATAGCAATTGGACATTTATATAGAGTATTCTCCCTTTTCTTTCGTTGGAACTAAACTCCTTAAATTCATTGGTCTTATATTTTCCGCTCAGTCGGTCTTGCACTCATTGGCGGCTTGATTACATTTTTGAACCGCCGAGGAGGGTGCGCCAGTCGCCGTGAGAAGCGAACTGGTGATTTTGAAGACTTTGGCTTAGCTGAAACTGATTTCCCTCACCATCGCTCGCCACCTATGACTAATGCTACCCTTTCACCTTCGATTGCCAAAGCTGGTCTTGTGGCTGGTGCTGGTGCTGTCGCCTCGTCTGGTGTAAACAATTCATCTGTCGGAAACGCTTCACCCACAATTCCTCGCATGAACCCACAAGGGAACTTTTACGACGAAGCCGGAACCTACGCTAATGGAGGACACCAATATTCACAGCAGGCATACCAACCCCAATTGGACATGAACCATCACGCAGATTACGCTGGAAATGCAGTATCACCACCACTAGGACAGCAACAGCAACAGCAACAGGCTTATTACTACCCTCAGGATGGTGGCTATGTTCACCAGGAAGATTATGGACGTCAAGATGGCTATGGTCACCAGGATGGTTACGCAAGACAGGATGGTTACGCACATCAGGATGGTGGCTACTACGATGATTCCAACTATTATTATGATGGATCCAATGTAGCAGGAGGAAATGCTGGTTATGACATGCACGGTCAGCAAATGCCTATGCAGAACATGCCAGTCCAAACATCCCTCCCAACTGGTCAACAAGCAGGTATAATTCCTCCTGTTCAACCATACACTGGTGACTATTACAAGCCAGATACAGTTGATGGAAAGCCTCACCAGGTTTAATTATACTTTCCTGAACTACTCTGTATTTTAAAGAAACCCTTTCCTTTATTCTTATCTTTACTTTTCTTACATATATATTTAGTATATAACAAAAACGATACTCAACTTACTTACTTACTAGCTAGTTAACTTATTTACTTATCTTACTCATTTGTTTTTTTTTCTTTATATTATATTACATATTATATTCTATTATATTATATTTTACAGCTCTATCCTACCTTAGACATCCACGTTTTTTATAGACAATAAAAGAATACGCGAAAGTCAACTAAACTTAATTAAACCAAACTAAACTAAAGAAGTTGCATTCCCTGAAAGTACTGTAATTGAACAGTCGGATATTATTTATTTTGAAGAGACATACACACACACACAAAATACTTTAAACTATAGAATGAATGGTACATTGTAGGCATTTTCTTTGCGCACTTGTCCAAGAACTTCATGTATGTGCCGCTGGTACCAATCACGTTCTGATACAGACATAATCCATTCGCTCTTGAGAGTAGTATGTCCAAATTTCTTTTTACAAAACCAAATTATTGGCCAGACGATTATCCACAAACAAGAAATGAAAAGAAGAACTTGAACGACCCTATTGTCAGACGTTCGTGAGATCCATGAGCTTGTCTTGACAATGACCTTGTGGCTTTTCATCCTGTAAGATATCTCGACTGTGCTAGTATATCCATGTGCACGTATAGCTGCTGTAAATGCTATAAAAAAAGGTGATACACATAAGCATATAGAGTGGAAATACTTTAATAAATATACACACAATTGAAATAAAGAAATAAAGAAAAAAATAAAAAACTCTGGGCAAGTTTTCTAAACTCCATACCTTTAGTGAGTTCAGGATAATTCCAGTTAACTACTTTTGTTAACTGAAGTTCCTTTAATTTGTTTTTTTCATGGACATATTCATCGCAAAGTGCACGAACAGCCTTGACAAGACCTGTCTTCTTATCAGGCAAAACATAGATTCCTTGACAGATTGGAATGATGTCTTGACTGCAATCCACATCAAATGTAAAATCATCCACTCGTTGGGTTACTGGCTCACTTTCTTCTGTGATATTGCCATCTGAATCTCGAGTAGTTCTACGTCTCCAATGAGTTTCTTCATGATAGCCTGATAAGAGGAATTAGAAATGCAAATCAAATGTGTGAAATGAATAATCACCATAAAAATGAACAGCCATTCCAGGCACAGTATTGTGTTCATTTAAGAACTGTAATAATGCTTCGCCGTCCCGATTAAGATGATCGTCACGAGAGATAACCTCTTCAGTTGTTCTGTAGAATGGTGCATGATAGATGGAGTAGTTTGGGGGCGGAGGGCGACCTCGATAAGGATTTTCTTCTTCATTAGCTAACAATGGATCTGTAGAAGAATTGCCTTCTCCCGGATCGTCTGAACTAGGAGGATCGAATGAAATGATCGTGGCATCTCGGACAAATCCTGCGAGGGGTCGTTTTGCAGGAGGTTCCTGAGAATTTAAGTCATAAGGCTTAATCGCGTCGTCATAGGAAGGGAGGGAGCTCGATCCCGCTTCTTCAGGAGGTGCAGAGGGAACAGCTGAAGAAGAAGGGGAGGTGTATGTATAGTAATAGTCATGTAATTTCTTAGACATGATAAAATAAGAGAGAGAGAGAGAGAGAGAGAAAGAAGAATTATCAAAAGTTTTCTCTATTTGAATAGTAAAACTTATGAATAAAAATAAATATGATTGACTTAATTAGATACAATTACACAAAATCTACACTGAAAATATAAATAAATAAATAAAATGCCAAGAAACCGATAATTTTTAGTATGAAGAAATCGACAAAGAAGACGGCGGGGGCGAATAAGAGGTTTCAGACCGTGTTGTAGTATCGAGTGCTTCCGCAAAGGCAGAGTATTGTCGTGCTTTGACCAGATCTACTGGGCCTACCAAACCTTGTTGATGATAATCGCCCAATCGCAAAAGAGCTTCCTTGTCCTCCAATTCCGCTGCCATCTCCCAATATGCTAAAGCCTTGCGCATATCTTGTTCTACACCAAACCCTTTCTCATAGCACTTGGCTACTTGTACAAATGCTCCAATGTCTCCTCGCTGGGCCATAGAAAACAGCCATTTGAACCCTCGATCCGGATCTTTAGGTTGACTGTGACCCCATCCATGAAGATGATATAAGCCTACCATCAAACTAGCATCCTCCCGTTGGGATCCATCTTGCTGAGAGGCTGCCAAGAACCGCTTATAGGCTTCATCACGCCAAGTGTCAGCTTCTGTAGAATCTTCTATTTTTTCTGCCATTGTGTGTTTTATATTGCCAATAGCCAAATCTGCCAATGGCCCACAATTGAATTCGGAGGCAGTCTCGTACCATTCCAATGCTTTAGTGCTGTCTTTTTCGATTGACTCAGCATATCCATTCTCAAAGTACGAACCAACCATTAATGCTGCCATACCATCACCCAATAATGCGGAATCATAATAAAGCTCAAATGCAGTTGTGTAACTTTGCGGTAATATAGTGTTAGTCTTTGAATACAGCCCTTGGTGATAGAGATGTCCAAGTTCCCGAAGTGCTTCGGGAACCTTTTGAAGGGTGGCGTCTCGGTAGAGTTGAACTGCAGTGTAGTAGTCTCCCTGGCTAAAAAGCACACGTGCGAGCTCATATTTGGCTTTGGCATGACCCTGCCTGGCTGCCTTGACGAGGTATTTACGGCCTGCAACCGTGTTCTGGTCAAGACCTGCGCACCCCTGGCCATGGTACAGACCCATCTGATACTGTGATTCACAATGTCCTTGTTCGGCTGCTTTCCTATACCACTCCAAGGAGACTTTTTCATCACTGCAAATCACACCAAGTCGCCACATTGCGTCTGTATGCCGAGCTGTATTGGCCGCCTTTTGGTACCACTTTCTGGCTTCGCTCACGTTTGACAAGGATCCAGTCCCTCGGCCGAATTCATAACATTGGCCCAATAAATAGCACCCCACGCCATATGCTTTAATATCATCTCCATCCTTCAGAACCGGCGGAGAGCGAGTGGCATGACATAGATCCAAGAATCCCAAGAGGTCATCCTGCTGCAAGGCATGGCCTTGGAGGCGATAGGAGGCGAGCATAACCTGCGCCAGGCGTGTATCTGCTTTACTAAACCATGCTGCTGCTTCACGATAATCCTCCCTGCAGTGGTAGAGTTCTGCTGCCCTGACCATGGCGAGAGAATTACCATGTTGAGCTGCTGATAGGAAAAAAGCAAGTGCACGATCTGCTTCTACTTTATCAACCCAAATACCTTGTTGATAGATGTTTCCTAACTCAACAAGAGATTCAACATCACCCAAGTGAGCAGCACGTTCGAGCCATTCGATCGTCTCACGTCCGTCCCACCCTCCGTTTTGGAAATTTTCCTGAGCCAATAAGAGGGCATATGCTCGCATGCAGGATGCATGTCCCGCAGAGACGCCTTGTTCGTATCGCTCCTTTGCCTCCTCTTCTTTACCATTGTCTATAGCCATTTTGGCAAGCATGTACGCAGCCGCTCCCTCACCCTCGTCTGCAGCCTGACAGAACCACCGCTTGGCGGAGACTGGATCCGAAGTTTCCAGTAAGCATCCAAGTAAATAACGGGTCTCCCGTGCTTGGCGACGAGTTTCTGAATTGTGCTGGTTCATATCTGTTAAAAAAGGCTCTAGCTGCCTTGCAAGCCCCAATGCTTTGGAGTTCAATTGATGTCTAACGCATAGTTTTGCAAGGTGAAACCGTGCGCGTATCTGTATCCAATGTGTTGCAGGATGTAGCGTATCTAGGGCAGCGTCGTACCACGTCATGGCCTCCAGGTCTAGGTTTTGTGTTTCACACAATGCACCCAACATTTCAAACGGCTCCACCAAAGCCTCCTTCTTTGCGTTTTGTTCTGTCATGTCACGCAGATACGACCGTACCTCTCGTTCATCCTCAGTGCTTCCCCTGCCTTTCAATATTAGCTTTGCTTTAGCCAAACGAGCCAACCAGCCAACTTGACTCAATAATGGGTGTTGGGTAATCAGCCGATCATAGTGAGCAAGCCCAGTGCTTTTCCCAGTACTTTCCAGTAAATCTGCCCATAACAGACCAGCCCTGATAAATAACAAAACAAGAGAAGTGTGTTATATATAAAAACTGATTCAAGACAGAGCACATACTCCTATAAGACTCTTACTTTGCATAACCTAGTTTCTCCGCTTTTTCCAAGCATTCAAGAGCAGTGACGGTACTGCGAGGGACGGACCAGCCGTGTTCATGATAACGAGCAATCTCACACCAGGCCTTGGGGAATCCTCGGGAGGCGGCTTCTTCCAATAAACAAAAACCGGCACGGTGTCGCTCCGTTTGCTCCTCGGGTGTATTTAATGGACTAAGCCCACGACCAGTCTCGTACACTTGGGCCATTGCACATAAACCTTCTGGATTGTGATGTTCATCGGCCGCCTTTTTGAGCCATGCAATAGCTTCAGGATGACGAGAGGGGTAGTTTGAGATAGGGTCGAGTAGAATTTTAGCGAGTTGCACCATGGCGTCAGGGTTATTCTGTTTGGCTGCCTGCTCAAAAATCGATTGAGCCCTGCGATGATCGATTTGTGTTAATGGGGCCATACCATAAAGGTAATAGAGACCGAGACTATAAAGAGCTGTGCAGTGGCCACTCTCAGCTGCCTTGGTATACCATAAAAATGCTTCGACGCCATTCTTTTTCAAAATAATCTTGTTGTTCTGCACTAGTCCATTGGCCAACATGAGTGCTGTCTGGAATTGACCGTCTACGTGACCCATGAGCGCACTTTTTTTGTAATAATCAAACGCGCGTGTCAGACAAGGCTGAACGACAAAATCTTTATGCCGCCTGTGATCATTCCGAACACCTTCTTCGTAACACGCACCAAGCCAATAATATGCTTCATCATAGCCTTCATTTGCCAATGTCAATAGTTGATTAAAGCCAGCTCCAGGGTCCTTTGGAGTACACAGGCCCAATATTCGGTAGCGTCCAACCATTAATCGAGCCTTTTGTCTTTGGCGTTCTTCATACACAGTTGTATTCAAGAGTTTCTTGCTTCTCAAAACATTTTCTGTAGCAAGAGCAATGTCACCATAAATCATATTGACAGTAATATCGCTCTCTTTAGATGCGCGTTTATACCAAAAAAAGGCATCCGACCACTTCTCCTGCTGTTGATAAATATCTGCCAGGACCATTTGAAAGGTAATAGAGCCGGCTTGTGCGGCCACGCCATAGAGAGCAAGGGCATCTTCGAGGCCAATAAGACAGTCGCGACCCTGGCCACGTTGCTGGCATAGGAGCCCCAGGGCCCGCAGATCTCCCTGGCATGCTGCCTTGGTATACAAAGCATGTGCTTGTTGCTTGTCGCAAGATACCCCAATACCTTCTGCATACATCATCCCAAGCGCGCGTTGTGCTGGAGCATAGCCTTTATTTGCGGATTGTCCGAGGTGGTCAAGGGCACGCGACAGATCCACCGTCGTCCCCAGTTGCCCAAAGCGGTAGTTTATGCCTACCAAATAGTGAGCTAAGGCCGTAGCGTTAGATGACGCCTGTTTTATGGATGCTGCTTGCTCGTAACAGCATAAGGCTTTGCGATGATTTTGTGGTACATGGTCGCCTTGTTCGTAAAGAGATCCGAGTTGCAGCAAAGCTCTTATATTGTCCTACACAGTTGAGTTCATATTTATATTTATATTTTTTATTATTATTTATTCTGCAATATATAGGGGGCTTGATTATTACCTGTTCGGAGGCAAGAGTAAGCCAGTGTATTGCACTTTTCACCAAAACCTGACGCTGGTCTTCAGCGGACAAGAGCAATGATTCATCAACCCATGTGTCAACATACTGAAGCAAAAGCATCGCAAGCCCAGTCTGGGCATCAGACAGACCTTGCTTAGCTGCTCTTTCGTACCACGTGCGGGCCCGCATTCTTCGATCCACCGAGGGAACCAGCGTTAATAGATCTCGCTCGCAATACAGTCCGAGAGCGTATTGAGCTTGTGGATTAATAATAGCCGCCATATGTAATATTTCGAGTGCCTTTGGTATATTGGGACGTATACCATTGCCAATAGCAAGTAGAATTCCAACTTGGTACTGTGCCATAGCCCTTACCGATGAATCATCTTGTTTGTCAGCTGCTTGTTCAAACCATGCCAAAGCTTCTATAAAATCTGCATGGTGGTCGGGTGTCCAACCATGAAGATAGCATAAACCGAGTGGGTAAAATGCCTCGATATGACCTGCATGGGCAAGCAAGAACAATCGTTCAAATTCACTCGGTGCCCGCAATTGTGATACTCGTGGTGTCAATCGAGTAATATTTCCTTGAAGACTAGAAGAAATGTTGCTTGTGGCAGCAGTTGTGGTAGTGTTTGTTGTGGTCATAGAATGGCCTGACGAGAGAGATGAAGATACGGAAGGGATTGATAAGCTACATGAGGGAGAGGACAAACCAGTGGATTGAATAGAATGAAATGTGTTTTGGGGACGAGGGCGGGAACACAGTAAGTCTGGGAGTGGTGGATCTGTGGGTAGTAGATCAGAGAGACGGAGCTTTTGAAGATAGACTTGAACAAGGTGGGTTGAGGGATCCAGTGAATGAAAGACTCTCTGGCGAACCTCAGAACTACTGTAGCGTAAAGTCTGGCGATGATTGTCCAAGAAGAGGTCTCGGCTTACTTGGACGCCCATTATTGTTTAAATGGGTGTGTATGTATGTAAACTGTCAAACGATAGAAATATAAGTGCCAGATGGTTATCTTTGAAATGCAATGCAATGCAAATCGAATAGGTTCCTCAAACCAACCAATTCAAAATATACGTTTAATTTTCAAGAAGGGACAAGAAGAGATAATCGTATACAAAAGAAAATGTTCACATTCAGCGCCTAGACGAATATTTTATACTGAAATAAGAGTCAAATGTTTGGTGGGCGTGACAAACATAAAATAATAAACCAACGCCTTTATTCTTCTTTATTGCTCTGCCTTTTCACTTGTCTCAAATCATCCTTGTTCAAGTCAAGCCGTTTAATTCATTTACTTTTTTTTAAAATACTATCATAATTACGAGAGCACAAGACTTATTGACTGGTCTCATATATACAAAATGAAGGACGAGGGTCTCGAAAAATATAATTTGGTTTACACACACACATAGACTTTGTATTATTGATATTATTATAATTATTTTAGGGGCAATGTTCTTTTAAAAGTCAAAGACTTTAAGAAAATCTGTTCATTAAGAGCACTATTTACTCATATGACAAAGACATATATGATTAATAACATTTGGTCGATTTAATTTCTTTAGATAGTGCAAATATAAATACTTAAGCTTTTAATATTAAGTAGCTTATGCATATTATAAGCAGAGTTTGTTTCAATATTCATTGAATAAAATGCAAAACTCGAGGTTGGTGAAATTAGGATTTAAAAATTGGGACTAAGATGAGAGTGCACGTGACTTTAAAAGCAGTCAAATGCAGAGTTCATAAAAATAAAATCCCCCGATTACATATGTATCTTTTGGACATTTTAGGATTTTTGTTGTTCAAAAAAAAATACAGTAAAAAGAACACACATAGTATTACTCTAACAATATACATTTTGATATCAAATGGTTATCAGCTTTAATTCATATACACTTGTTATAAATATAAAGACTTTTTATTACATTTGTTAATATTAAATGCTAGAAACTACAAGGTAGTAGTAATCAAGGTATACTCATACTTATTTTGTTTTTATCAGGACACATCTACACCAAATTTTATTAATATTTATTTTCATATTTTTCTAAATTTGTATTTAATGGAACAACTGCACCTCCTTTTTCTTCTCTTTTGCTTCTATTTATTTCTCACTCACTTTAATTCTTTGGTAAGTTTAATATTAAGATATTAACTTCTTCTATGCACTCTATAGGATGTTCAAGAAAGCAAACATTATTAACAAGTATTTGCAAGTCAATGTCAAATAATTAAATAGTTTTTTTCAACCATTCAAAAATCATTAAAAGCTATTTTTTCTACAATGTTCTATCACTAAAGCGTCATCTTTTGATGATCTGAACACCCTTTTCAAAAGCGGCCGAGAACCTTAATCCTCTATTACAGAGATTTTTTACTTGATAAACATTGATCCAAGCTTATATTGCTTTTAAAAGGTGGTTTATTTTAAAGAACAAATCCATATAAAGGTATGTTTGAGTAGAGCCTGTAACTATGGATACATATATAGCCAAAATGCTAATAGATTATAGCATTTTGATTCTACATAAGTGTCATTGTTAATTATATCTTATTGTCTAATAGTATGTAAAACATTATCATTGTCAAATCTAAGAGTCCATTATTACAACCTAATATTGAACTAACATTGGATTGTTTTATTATTTAAAAAGTCTGCTATTATAGACATTTAAGATACTATTATAGGATGCCTTTTTTTTACAGTGAGGAGACCATGAACCATTTTACTAGCCTTGCAAAATACTAGCTAAATTTCTAGAAGAGGTAAAAAGGCTATAACTTTTTTTCAAGGGCTTCAGAGGACAACATAATTGGCTTTAGTTTGCCGATCTTCTCAAGCATCAAAAGTTTATCTTGATTCGAACTTGGTAACAAGAGATCATCGAAAGCCATAAGAGTTGACGTAGCCTGAATGTATTCAAAAGTTTATGAGATGCAATGCAAGTGTCTTTGTCTACATTTAGTTCGTGATCGTCAATTTTCAGATGCTTTAAAACTATTGACGGAGTGTCATTGTTGTCTGACTCATTCTTTTTTTTTGTGTAAAGTTGAGGTTGGCGAGCCTCTATTTCTACAAGGCCAAAGAGGACATCACAGCTTTCGTTTTGTATTTTCTAAAGTGAGAGATGTTGAGAAAGAGCCATGGTGTTTGCAAAAAGAAATTGGTTTGAAATAATGTTGTTAATTCTTTCACATTTTTTGCGTTTCAATAAATCTTACTGCTCTCAAAATGATTTTTATGAAGTCCTAAAAAAATTAAATGACGTCTCAAAATAATATTCAGAATTTCCCGAAAACTTTTAAAAACGTCCCAAACTCAACCGAAAATATTTCACCAAAAAAAATTGAAACCAATCTGAACATTTGATTTTTTTTTCTCGGGCTCACTATAGCCGTAAATAATGCTGATAATTCATCGTCTTATTCAACCTTTTTGCACACATTCATACGTGTGATTCTGAGCGTGTATATACATATATTCTATATCTATATATCTATATACATTATGGCTACGTCACATTACAGTGGAGTCACCATACAAATTCTACATCTCTTTAAAATGGGGTTTTTTTAATGAAAGGTTGCGTCACCTAGGAATTTTTTTATACAAAGCAAGGGGAAGGGGCTGGGGTTGGGGTGAAGGGGTTGAGGCTCAAAAACCATTTTTCTCTCTTTCTTCTTAACTTTTGTTCTTTCTATTGTTAAATACAAATTTAACCTCCCTCTACCCCGTTGGAATACATACAAATAGCCCTTGGCATTCACAACCCTAAGCAAACATAGAAGTCAACGCACCTGTTCATGTTTTGTGAATCACTGGCCTGTAATCAACGATACTCCGAACAAGACAGTATAGAGCAATATCACCATAATCGCTCTCTTAAAGTGAAAAAGAAACTTTTCCAAACGGCTTCTTAAAACCAATCCTCTTCTTTTTGCTCCCCTTTTCCTCCCTAGCCAATTTTATTCTTTTTTTTATTATTATTATTCTTCCTCTTCTTATTTCTATTCATTATGTCTGCTATTAATGTACGCCGCGATGTTAAAGATTCATTCTATCGTTACAAAATGCCTCGTCTAGTCGCAAAGGTAAGCCACATTACTTGAATGATCATACTTTATCTTTTTTTTTATTCTTACTGTTTTTTTTATATAATTTTTTTACGTAAAAGGTCGAAGGCAAAGGTAACGGAATCAAGACTGTCATTCCAAACATGACTGATATCGCGCGTGCTCTTTCTCGCCCCTCTTCATGTAAGCATTACTACTACTATTATTTTTTGTAAAATAAAATAGATTTTGATTACTGATCACATCTTATGAAATCATCCTAGATCCTACAAAGTTTTTTGGCTGCGTACTCGGTGCCCAGACCACTTGCGATGACAAAAATGAACGTTATATTGTAACTGGTGAACATGATGCTGAAAGACTCCAGACTATCCTCGACAGTTTCATTTCCAAATTCGTTCTCTGTTCTTCTTGCCAGAACCCCGAGACCGATATTGTAAGTTGGGAATCGATTAGTTTTTTATTAAAAATATAAATAAATACAATTACAACAAATGTTTTGTACATAGTCATCTATTAACCACGGGATTTTTTTCCTTATAGATTATCAAGGGTAATGATATTTGGATGGACTGCAAGGCCTGTGGTGCTCGTAACATGGCCGATATGCGCCACAAACTGGCTACATATATTCTCAAGAACCCTCCTGCTCAGGCAGTCAAGAAACAGCGCAGACAGCGTATGGCTGCTACTGCTCAGGCCAATGGTACTGATGAGCATGGTATGCCAGATCAAGAACTTCAGGATGATGATGATATGAACGGCTCGGACGATGACCTTATTACTCAGCGTATTAACAAGGAAGCTGCTGGACTCAAGTTGGAAAGTAAACTGGCCCAAGAAGGATGGTCCGAAGATACCAGCGAAGCTGCAGTAGCTCAGCGTATGAAAGAACTTAATGTTAAGTCTGGCTCATTTGGTAATGGCGACGACGACGATGAAGAAGGCGAAAATAAGTATGAGCAGTTTGGCGAATGGCTTGAGAAAGAGGAAGCTCCTAGTGATGAAGATATTATTGCCAAGGCTGAAGAGTTGGGTGTATTTGGAAAGTACAAGTCTGTCCAGGTCCTCATGCAATGTATCTTCGATGCCTCTGTCGTCGCCCAGATTCCTAAGCGTACCAAGCTCCTTCGCAAGTTTGTTAAGGATGATGAGAAGCACCAAAAGGCTGTGTTGGGTGGTATCGAGCGATTGGTGGGCAACGAATATAAAGACACCTTGTTGAAGAAGATGCCAAATATTCTTATGGGACTTTACGAGGCTGATATCATTGGAGATGATGTATTTATCAAGTGGGGTGAGAAGCCCTCAAAACGCTATGTTGACAAGGAAGTCTCCAAAGAAATCAAGAAGGCAGCCAAGCCTTTCTTGGAATGGTTAGAGAACGCCTCGGAGGAAGAAGAATCTGATTAAAGATTGATCGGGTGGATATATTTGTATAGACAGTACAGATGACATCAATAAACAAACAAAAAAAGCAAAAAAAAACACACACACAAAATTAAAGCATCATTATGAACACTATCCCCTCCCCTTTACCCTCCCCCTTCTCCTTTTCCCCTCCTTTTCCGTTTCAATGTATTTGATCTAATTCTAGTTACTTAGGCAAGGGGACTTAGGGATGGAATTGAAGGGATATATACAGTAGATGAAGTGTAGAAGAAAGAAAGAGAGAGAGAGAGAATAATAGGGCATATGCAGTATTAGAATCTATAATAATGTACCAAAGTCACCTTTGTACTCCTTCTGGATTGAATACAATGCAAGTAATAAGTAAGGGCGAGAAGACAAACAGGAGGGGCTCTTACGTGACTTTGCGGTATTGGTGTGTTGAATGCATGCATCTTGCCACTTCTCTGGACCACACATACACTTCCCCCCTGAAGTAAAATCAGCCGCAATTCTTCTCTTTTTAAAAGAAAAAGAAAACACACTCAAAAGGTTCAAGTAAAAGCCCGAGTCTCGCTTTTTGGCGGCTTATCGACCGAGGCGCATTTTATTCTTTTTCATTTGTGAGAAACAAGTTAAAAGTGACCCTGCATCTATGTGTATATGTTTACTGCATTACCCAGCACAAACACCATCGTTAAAGATCGACCAAACAAAAAAACGATTGGTTGTACAATTTGTAAAAGAAAGGCATACACAACCTGTTTAAAGATGCCTAAGAGGCTCAAACAATAGATCCTGGTATATTTGACTGAAAGGAACCAGTCTATGTAATCCAGGTGGATTTCGGTGCTTAGCTTTGTTCGATTATTTGTAATAAATGTGTTGGAGGGTTTGAGTTCAAATGCTGGTTGATAATGTGCGCACTATATTGTAAGTTGCAGGAACTACATGCGGAAGACTCTTTATTCTGTAGAAACGAAATTAGATGGTTCTCGTCTTAGCACGCGTATTTCCCCAATGTGCGGATCCCGTAGTTTTCTGATTCTATTCAGAGAGAGCTGGAGCCTTTACACTGCATGAGAGTTGTAAGATACATATATTGTTGATCATCCTTAGGCAATGCTGCAATCAGGAGTGCTTATACTGGCTAACTTTCTAATTCAAACAATCTCGTTTTCTCGCAAACTTCCAGCGCATATATTACCCTCTCTCCTTCTACACTTGCCTCTTTCTTTCTTCATCATCTCGTTTACAAATCTTTTATCGATTGATGGGCCTACTGAATTTTGTGAAGCGCAACAAAAAGGATTCTTTGCCGGATCCAATTGTTGTCGAACATGAGCCTGAGCCTGAGCCCTTGTCACTACCAGATCTAGAGGCCTTTAGGTCACCTATTGCCGACACTTTTATGTCACCTGTGGCAACCGCTCCTGCTGACACTAGCTATAGTTTACTCGACGACATTTGGAAAGAACTGACACCTAGTCAAGGTAATAGGCCTCAATATAGTATTAGTATTTTCCATTAAGCCAACCAGGATGAAATGCGTAACTTCATCCATCGATGTCGCCATGTGAGCCTAATAAAGGCAAGGGGGTTAATCGAACAAGAATCTCATATGTGTACTATGTCCTTGTAGCTGCTGTACTGCCAACGCCGCCTGTACCACTAGCGTTTACATCAATCCCTGCAGTACAGACACCCAATAATTACACAGCAGTCCATGATCTTCGTAGCCCTAGAGTCTCCTCACCAGCCCGTCCAACTCCTGTATCAGCTCCTATTAGCCCACCAGTAACCCCTCTATCAAAAGTGGGTCCCCAGCCTCCATTCATGAGAAACACCGAGGCGGATCCAGAACCCAAGGAAGCCCGCATTGTACGTTCCCCTTCACGCCCAGTTTTGGTTAAAAAGTCTCCAGAATCCCCAAAACCGGTTAAGCAACTGCAGCACTCTCCATCCGTACCGCAGTTGTCATCTATCCATCCTATTCAGCTCGGACAGCCGCCTGTTATCTCAAAAGCCCTGATGAGTAGAATGAAGGAAAGACATCGTCAAGAATACCGTCTCACCTCTCAACCAACCTTTCAAGAGCGTCAAGTCAGCTCGCCTTCAATGCCAAATCTTTATCGTATGGCAAATGAACAGCAGCAGCAACAGCAGCAACAGCAAGCATATATGCCTCGCCACAAGTTGCCTCAGTCCAAGTCGTACGGCAGGTTAAATATCCCTGTTAATAACATGATCCAGTCTCCTTCATTAGCCATGGACATTTATCGACAGCCTGCCCTCCAAATACAGGTAAGGGAACAAGGCAGCTGCAATAATAAGCAACTGTGGGACAACATTTAATTACACAATAACTTACTTTTGATTTATTTCTTATCTAAATGCAATTAGACTGATATCCTGCCGATACATTCGATGTATCCTGGTCAGCCTGCTCCTTTTATGATGGCTGATCGCCCGATGCACAGACCTGACTTAGTAAACGGACAGTCCAAATTACAAAGGTCCAAGTCAGCTTATCCAGCCATGCAGCAGGACTCCCCCATATTACCCACGACTGGTGCCCGCCGTCCACTCCTGACATTTGACCCCTCCGAGCAGCTTCCGCCGCCACCGCCACCCAATACCACACCTATTACTGGGGATATCGTGTATGAGAAAGCCGAATCCCCGACCAAGCCTGAGAAAGCCAAGGCCGAAAAGACCAAGACTGAAAAGGTCAAGGGCGATAAACTAAAGGTAGAGGCTGCAACCGAACCAACTACAGCCGAGAACAAGTCAGACGCCAAAGACGGGGATATCAAGACAGACAGCCCAAGACCTGCTTTGTCACACGTCAAACCATTGCTGATTCACAAAAAGACAAGATCAATGTCAGAGCATTCTATGAAGCGCATGCCTATTACACCCCCGGAATGGATCCCCCCTGTGCCCATGCCTAGTATTTCTCTGCAAACAGATGGTTCTTCAGACATGCAGAGCAGAAAGTCGGCTGTTTCAATAATGAGCCAAGACAGAATCATCTGCCGTCTTTCAGGGCTACCCAATAAGCTAAAGAAAGAGCTGGGCTGGATGCGTATGCGTAAAGCTCATTATTCTGTACCTAACTTGCCTTCATATGCAGACACTGAAGACAGAAGAGACTGTGAGTCACTTCGTTCGGCCAACGACAACGACCATCACAATGAGCAGAATGTTTATCGCCAGCAGTATTCTAACCCTTACCCTCAACAGCAGCAGATGATGCTCTGTAGTGCAAGACAACATCAAACTCATCCATGGCCTCCTATGCACTATTACCACCAGCAATATCCATTTTATTCTCCACCTGTCTGTCACAAACATAATGGGCCAATCAGCCATACATCATCTAGCCGAATGCATCTTGAAGAGGGGCGTAAAATGCGATCCTCATCTAGTGGTGGCTCTCGTGGCTGTAAGAAACACCAGCATCATCACCACCATCACCATCATCATTACCCTCCTACCCCAGCTTATTTCCACAGCCAGGGACAGCCCAAGTGTACCTCAATTCTGACACATCATGCACCAGAGCAGCCAGAAAACGAAGAAAAAGAAGTAAAGGTTGATAAGACGGAGACAGTGCCAGTAGCAGCACCAGCAGCACCAGCATCAGTAGCAGTAGGAGTGCCAGTAGGAGTGTCAGTGGCGGAGGTGGAGAAAGTGGAAGCGGTGGCGGTTTAAGGTGTATGATTCTGTCTTGCTTGTCTTGCTTGTTTCATTTTTTTTATCTATATATTTTATTATCTATTTAAATACATATATGTCTTTCTAAATTACAATAAACAATAACAATTGTGCCAGAAATAGAGTCCAATTTATAGATTCTGCCTTTATTGGCTTGTGAATAAACAACCAAATCATTAGTTTAAAGGTGCCTAGCGTTTATAGCTTTATTATTAAATAATTGGACTGAATTCATTTGGAATTCAGTATAATTTTTTTTTACAAAGTTTTTAAAAATAATAATAGATATATAAATATTTTTCACAGTAAAAGGATCGGAATCAAAGTTGGAAAGGGGTTTTCTTGTGTTCCTTCGCTATTTTTAAATCTTTGGTTACCTGTTGACACAAACATGGGCCAATCAGGTTGCCATGGTAATCGGACGGGTCCCCATTTATAGTGTTTTTATTATTTTTACTTTCTTTCTCTTCCATCTTTCTTTCTCTTGAGGGTTGTTCGTCTTTGATGGGGAAGCCGAAACAACGTAACCTGACGGACGCTAACCGTTCAGACCTTGCTACCCTACAAACATTCACAAACGACGCCCTTGTCAGTTGTCTCAAGGCACGATTCGAGCAGAACCGTCAATATACCAAGCTTGGATCTTCTCGCCTTGTTTTCCTCAACTCATATAAAGTACTCGCCCAGCACGATGATCAGACAAGTCTTGAATATGTAGCAGCATACAAAGATACTAGCTCTGGGGCATCAACCAACAAAATTGCCTTGGACCCGCACCTATTTGATCTTGTTAACAAGGCCTATTTCCATCTCAGACGTACCGGCACAGACCAGAACCTGATTGTATGGTAAATTAACGAAGCAATACCTTTTTTTAAAAAAAATATATACAGACAGCCATTGAGCCAATGTATCTATAACATATATGCATATATGAAAAATATACAAATATGTGTGTATCTGCATGTGTATGAATATGTTGTTTGTGTTTACTCAAATACCTCTTCATCACCTTTCATTAGCGGCGAGTCGGGAGGAGGAAAGACCGAGATCCGCAAGTTGATTGTCCGGCACCTAGTACGACTCAGTAGCCACAAGAAAGAATCCAAAGTACAGACCCAGATCTTGCAATCCCTCAGGGTTCTCGAAGCATTTGGCAGCGCACGCACCCTCAACAATACCAGCGCATCCCGTTTTGGTGTCTACCACGAAATACAGTTCAACGAACGTGGTCGTATGGTCGGCCAAAAGACCCTGCACTACCTACTCGAACGCTCGCGAATAACGGGAACCCCTAGCACGACCGGAAGTTTTGAAAGCAATTTCCATGTATTTTATCAGTTGGTTGCCGGCGCAACCCCCGAAGAACGCAGTGCTTTGGGTCTAGTGGACGACACATCACAATATAGCTACCTATCAAAGGCATACCGTCAAACGACTCTCACAAAAGAAGACGAAGTAAACTATGAAGAGCTCAAGGCCGCCCTGCGCTCAAGTGGATTCCGAAAAGATCATATTAGTCGCATCATGCAGTTGCTTGCCTCTTTGTTACATCTTGGCAATCTCATCTTCATAGACTCGGTTGGCGTAGACCAGGAAGCTGCCTATGTCAAAAACACAGAGACTCTCGAACGTGTCTCGGACATGCTCGGACTCGATCCGCGCGCTTTAGAAAACGTCTTGGCATTCAAGACCACAATGATTCGCAAAGATGTCACAACTCTTATCCTCAACGCAGAGCAAGCCAGTCTTCAGCGAGATGAACTTGTCAAAGCCCTCTATTCCATATTGTTCTCCTGGCTGGTCGAACGCATAAACACCAAACTGTGTAATGAGAATTTTAGCAGTGTTATTGGTATACTTGATCTTCCAGGCCCTCAGATGAACGCCCGAACAGCAAGTGGATTCGAATCGTTCTGTGTCAATCTGGCCACAGAGCGCATTCAGCACTTCATGACAACCCAGATATTTGAATCTGAAACAGCCATGGCCTACCAAAGCGAAGGTATCACGATGAGCTCGGCTATCTCAATGGGTCACAATGCCGATTGTCTTGCACTGCTCAACCGACCTTCAAAGGGTATCTGCAGCCTGATAAACAGCATGACAGAGACAAGTGAAAAGGGCAAACGTGGATTGACGGATAGCAATCTTGTGGAATCCCTAATCAAGTACAACAGTAATCATCTTTGTTTCAGTGCTAAAACGGCTGATACAAATGCACGTCAATTTGCCATCAAGCATTTTACAGGACAGGTGATTTACAACCCCCTGGGATTCCTTAGTCAGAATGCAGGTCAGCTTTCGGTAGATTTTGTTGCCTTGTTTAGAGGCAGTGCCGACATGGCCCCATCCTGGAACCCTTTCATGGTCGACCTTTTCGCCGACCAGAGTCTCTCAACTGAACTTCACCCACGTAATGATCAGACCATAATTTCCGCACAGCAATCCGTCAGACCTACTCGCCAGCCATCCATGCGTCGCAATCAATCCAAAGCTGCACCTACCGAAGATAGTGCTTCCAAAACCTCTCGTATGGTCTTGGGCCAGTTACAGTCCGCTATGGATGAGTTGGTAGCGGCGTTTGAAGAAACCAAGGTCTGGTCTGTATATTGTCTTCGTCCAAACGAGAATGCCAACCCAACACAATTCGACAATAAGCGTGTCGAAGCCCAGTCCGAAGCATATGGCCTTGCTTCTGTAGCAGAGAAGGTTCAAATAGATTACAGTGAAGTCTACACACACCAAGCCTTCTTGGATCGTTATGCTGTTCCTCTTAATGGCTTTGGCCTTGACTTTACACGTCTTCCACGCGCAAGATGTGAATCTGTAGGAGATTTCATGGGTTGGTCAGCAGCAGAAATGGCTGTTGGAACAACAAAGGTAAAATATATTTTTTTTGACAACAAACAAAAAAAGACACGTCAAATATTTTATACAAAATTTGTTTATTTATTTATTTATTTTTTATTTTTTCGCTCACCCCTTATTAGGTTTTCTTAAATTATTCAGCCTGGAGAACGCTGGAAGATCAACTACGAGTTCTTGAAAAAGAGGATCAACGCAACGCCAAAGAGAGCCAGAACGCAGTAAATTATGTCGGAACGGATGATCAGTCTGTCAGCTCAGCGGCAGTTAACAATGCTAACGCAAGCTCGAATAACCTCTCAACAAGTCACCTTCAGTCTGTAGCAATGGCAGCTGGACTACCTCCACCTGCTATACGTCAGCAGGATGACCAACGCTCATATTATTCCGACGACGACTATTACCATCAAGATAACAATAGTAGCCGTTACCAGGATGAATCATACTATTCCGACTCAAACGCAGCTCACTCCCACTCTTATGGAAACGAGGGCAAAGGTCTCTACGGTAATGAGCGACCGCAGGTGGAAGAGATCGATATGACAGGCGAAGATGTACACAAGATGTCTCGCAGTAGAAAGCAGTGGTTGTTCTTTGTCTGGGCTGTCACCTGGTGGATCCCATCTTTTGCTCTTTCTAGCTGCGGTAAAATGAAGCGCAAAGACGTACGACTGGCTTGGCGTGAAAAAGTGGCTCTGTGTATGATTATTGTATTACTTTGTGGATTTGTAGTTTGGTTCCTTGTGTTCTTTGGTGAGATCGTTTGCCCTAAACAGCATGTTTTCTCCCAATCCGAACTCCAGAGCCATTCGAGTTCAAAGAACGCATACGTTGCTATTCGTGGCGAAGTATTTGATCTAGCCAACTTTGCTCCCCATCACTTTCCCACTGATATTGTTCCTACCGCTTCTGTATTAACATACGGTGGTACAGATGCCACTGCACTTTTCCCAGTCCAGGTGTCAGACTTGTGCCAGGGTGTAGATGGTGAAGTATCACCATATGTCTCTCTCGACTATCAGCTTAATTTTACGGATCCCAATGCCAAATATCACAACTTTTTGTATTCAAGCGGAAGATATACCAAGGACTGGTATTACAACCAGATCTCCTACCTGCGCAAGTATTACAAAGTCGGACACATGGGTGTCGAGCCTAAAGCAATTTCACAACAGGCTGTCAACCCAACATTGATCAACGGTATACAGTCAACCCGCACCTGGGCAATCATTGACAACCATATCTACGATATCACATCATACACCAAGAATGGTCGCTACTTATCTGCGCCTCCAGGCGAAGAGGTACCCTCTGGAGCCAGCACAGACTTTATGAGCTCAGCTGTTGTCGAATTGTTCCGTCAACAGAGTGGATCTGACATCACAAAATCATTCAATTCTCTTCCTATCGATTCTGCAGTCAGAGAACGTCAGCTTGTTTGTCTGCGAAACTTGTATTTCGTCGGAATGGTTGATAGCCGTAACTCAGCCAAGTGTCTGTTCTCTACTTACCTGCTACTGATCATCACTTGTTTGTTGGCAAGTGTCGTCATCTTCAAATTCGTGGCTGCTCTTAGATTCGGAAGCAACCGTATGCCAGAAGAATATGATAAATTTGTCATTTGCCAGATTACATGCTACACCGAAGACGAAGAATCTTTACGCAAGACGATCGATTCTATTGCGTCGCTCAAATATGATGATAAACGCAAGTTGTTATTTATCATTTGCGATGGTATGATTATTGGTAGTGGAAATGATCGCCCTACACCCCGCATTGTGCTGGACATTCTCAATGTCGACAACAATGTCGACCCAGAGCCTCTTTCATTTATCTCGGTTGGTGAAGGACAAAAGCAGCACAATATGGGCAAGGTGTATTCTGGACTTTACGAATGTGCAGGACACGTTGTACCTTACATCGTGGTTGCCAAGTGTGGAAAGCCCTCAGAGCGACAAAAACCAGGAAACAGAGGAAAGCGTGATTCCCAGTTGGTCTTGATGCAGTTCCTTAACCGTGTTTACCATGATGCCCCTATGGTTCCCCTCCAGCTCGAAATTTTCCATCAGCTCAAGAACGTCATTGGTGTAAACCCTACATTCTATGAATATGTGCTCATGGTGGATGCTGATACCGAAGTGTTCCCAGATGGTCTCAACAGCCTTGTGTCTAGTATGGTTCACGATTCCAAGATCCTGGGTATTTGCGGTGAAACTAAGCTAGCTAACGAAAAGGATACATGGGTTACCATGATCCAGGTATACGAGTATTTTATCTCGCATTATCTTATCAAGTCGTTCGAGTCCCTGTTCTCTACAGTCAGTTGTTTGCCAGGTTGTTTCACTATGTACCGCATTCGTACTATAGACGGAAAGAGACCATTGTTTATCAGTAACGATATCATTAATGATTACAACATTAATCATGTCGACACGCTCCACCAAAAGAACCTGCTGCATCTTGGTGAAGATCGTTACCTGACCACACTCCTGCTCAAGCATTTCCCAAACTTCAAAACCAAATTCACAGCCGAAGCCAAGTGTATGACTAATGCACCTGATCTTTGGAGTGTTCTGATTTCCCAACGTCGCCGATGGATTAACTCGACAGTTCACAACCTCGGAGAACTTGTATTCTTGCCTCGTCTGTGTGGTTTCTGCTGCTTCTCGATGCGTTTTATTGTCATGTTGGATTTGATTAGTACTCTTGTGATGCCTGCCATTCTTGGCTACCTTGGCTACCTCATTTACCAGCTGGCTACTGTCGAAGGAGATCTACCGATTATTACTATTGCCACAATTGCCGGTACATATGGTCTTCAGGCAATCTTGTTTATAATCAATCGCAAGTGGGAATACATTGTTTGGATGCTTGTATCTATCCTGGCTCTTCCTGTATTCTCGTTCTATATTCCACTTTATTCTTACTGGCATTTCGATGACTTCTCGTGGGGTAACACTCGTGTGGTTTTGGGAGAAAAGGGTAAAGCCGTGGTTATGGCTGATGAAGGTGAATTTGATCCCAAGACAATCCCTACCATGACATGGTCTGAATACGAGAGCACTCTTATGGCTGAGGAATGGAGTGACAATCTGTCTCAGGGTAGCGGCAGTCAATATACCCACAAGAGTAAAATGAGACCCCACCAATCACAACACTATAGTCTCAATGCTAATGGTATGGCAATGAATATGGGAATGGCCGGAGGAAATGAATCTGTTTATGGTTCGGGTGACAATGCAAGCGTGTACACCAGCAACATGATGCCTCGAGGATTTGCCGCGGCATCTACTGTCTATCGCCCTCCTTCTGCGATGTTGATGATGCCTTCCAACCGATCTGCTGCTTCTCTGGGAGACCACATGACTGGTGCTATCAATAATGGCGGAACAACAAGACCAAACACTATGCGCAACTCACAAATGCCTGGATGGACAGGCAGTAACCCGTCTTTAATGATGGATGGCTTTACCCTCAATGACGATGCAGCTGGACCTAAGAACGAGGAAATCATGTTCCAGGTCAAGCGCATCCTCAGCACCGCAGATCTTACAAAGGTTACCAAGAAGCAAGTGCGTGAAGAGCTTCAGCAAATCTTTGGTGTGTCTATGGCGGGTAAAAAGGACTACATTAATGTATGCATTGAGAGTGTACTCCAAGGCGCTGTATAAAAAGAGTAATAGTAATAGTAGTAATCATAATAGTAGTAATAGTAGTAATAGTAATAATAATAATAATAATAATAATAATAATCTCAACAACACCACCAACGACAAATACAACAACCCCAACCACAAGCCCAACAGTAACCGTAACCGTAACCATAACTGTAAAAATTACAACACTCACAACAACAAAAATCAAATGGTCTATATAAGCCTTAGTACCTTCTTTTGTATTTTTCTTTCACCTTCTTCATTTTATACTCTACATGAGCTGAGCTGTTTCTTAGAAAAAGAGACATGTCTCTTTGACTCTTCTCAAACATCCCCCAACGTCTTCCTCTTTTTAATACATCTGAAATAAGGATAATAAAAAAAAATATGGATAAATTACACAAATCCTTTGTATGTCTAATATATTTGACTGGCCAAATGTTCTCGCATTATCCCTTGTTACAATAATAAGCGAATAAAGGGAGTACAAGAGCCTAAAGGGAGGTATTTTTTTTGTAGGGAGCCGAAGGCTCTAGTTTATTAGTGAGCCTCTATGCTGCAAGGCAAAAGAGGAAAATCACGACTTGTTTTTGGCTTTTATATTTTTACAATGTTTTTCTATTTATATGTTTGTGGTTATATATATTGTGGAGGTATGGAAGGAAGCTAAAGGTGGGGAAAGTCGAGAGCAAGTTCGCTCTTGAGGCGGTCGAGAAGAGAGGAAGCAGTGGAAAAGGCAGCGGAGGAGACAAAAGGAACGTGATCAAATATGAACAGCCAATGATGGCGCCATATAGCCAGCAGCGTGCAGCCAAAAATTGAGGCAGCAGAAAGAGAAGAATCGGTGCAAGGAGGGAATGTGAAGGATTGCAAACCAGAAAGCAAGACAGTGGGTGTCGCGGTCTGGGCGAAGTACAACGTCCAGATTGACGACCATACGGACAGTTTGACCGGACACTGGAACAAAAAATGAGTTTGATTGTCCAGAGGGTGAGAGCAGAGGGCACAGGATGGGTCTGGGAAAGCGGTAGGGGTCCTAGAATTGAGGCGAGAACGGCAAGGAATGTTCTTGTGCAGGGCACGAAACCAAACGTTGCGGGCCCCATGCGGCAGGGGGAAGGACCAAAACCGACGAAGCTGGCGAGGGACGAGTGTGGGGCTTATGGGGCGTGCGGATTTGGAGTGGAAATTGCAGAGTAGGCGGAAAGACTGGGTAGACAAACGATGCCAAGGGATGCCGGGGACAAGAGCCGTCAAGAAAGGACGCACATAGACAGCTGTACCGGAAGGCATATCTAGCGAAGGAAACTGTATGGCACAGATCGCGGGGGGAATGGTGGCACGATACAGGACAGGGTGCAAGACAAGAGAGCGAGTGTAGAGACGTTCGAAGAACCGGTGAAGGACAATAGGACGACGGAGTATGCGGTGGAGGGGGCGTTGGGCAAGCACGCCGAAACTAGGATCTACTTCATAGGCGTCGGAAACCCGGAGATCGCGCCATGCAGATGGAAAGGGAGGGTGGTCTGGTTGTGCGGTAGTGAGATAGGAGAGAGGCAGAGAGAGACAGGTGGGGAGGTTGACTACCACGTCAGAGAAGTTGTGAGGGAGAAGATCAATGGCAGCAAGTAGGGTGGCCAGAGGAGAGTCGAAATCACGCTGATGAGAGGATCGGAGAGATGGAAATATCAAAGGAACGAGTGGATCAGCAGATGAGGAGTCGAGGCGGAGGACGTAAGAGAACCAAGGCGGGACCAGGCCAGAGGGGGACAGCGGAGAGCGGACGAGAGGCCGGAGCCAGCGCAACTGAAGAGCAGCTTGTTGAACCTAAGGATCAAGGACCCCTAGACCGCCGAGCCGAATAGGCTGGCAGAAAGTGCCGAGAGAAATGGGAGGAAAGGAGCGGTATTGTATAAACTTACTCATGATCGAGCGAAGTCGACGGAAAAAGGATAGAGGTACAGTGACAACTCTGAGGACGTGCCAGAGCTTAGAGAGGATGAGAGAGTTGAGCACTGTGGCACGGCCACGAATAGAGAGAGAGCGAGAGTGGTGGATATTACAGGTAGATTCAATCTTGGAAAGAATGTTGTCACAGAAAGAATTGCGCTGAGGTAAGGATTGAATAAGAGGAAAGCCGAGATATCGCAGGGGAGTGGAGGAAGATCTGTCAGACCAGGCGGTGATGTCGAATTGTTGTAGGACGGGGCGCCATTCTGGCAGTGGAAGACTGGACAGGGAGAAAGCTTCAGTTTTATGGAGATTGATGCGAGCATTGGAGGCATGAGAGTATGTGAGAAGATGATGATGAAGACGGGACAAGTGGGCGGCATCAGGCAGAAAGACTAGCAGATCGTCGGCATAGGCCAAGAGCTTGATGGACGGAGGTGGTGGAATAGCAGTGCGTGGTGATGGAGAAAATCCGGAAAAGGAAGGATCATGAATCACACGACGCAACAAAGGTTCGAATGCAAGGTTAAAGAGTACAGGAGAAAGAGGATCACCCTGCCGGAGTCCACGAGCCTGAAGGAATGATCGGGATAGGTGTCCATTGACATTGATTCGAATCTGTGTAGAGAAGAAAAGTTGAGATATACAGGTAACGAGGGAAGGGGGAAAGTTGAAATGCTGCAAGGCCTGGCAAAGGTAGTCGGGATGGACTCTGTCGTAAGCTTTCTCCTGATCCAAAAGAAGGCCTATACCAGATGAACCGTCCTGTCTAGCCTGTGCCATAACCAACTTGGTCAGCATGCCGTTGTCAGCAATGAAGCGTCCTTGGACAAACCCGGTCTGGAAGGGCGTAACAAGGGAGGAAGCAGCAGGCACCATGCGACGATTGATGAGGCGAGTGAACACTTTGGCATCGGTATTGATGAGAGCGATCGGGCGACAGTTGCGGAGGGAGGTGAGGTCACCTTTCTTGGGAAGAAGAGAGACGCAGGTTGATTGCCAGGACGAAGGGAACACACCGAGGGCAAGCCCATCGTTAAATATTCGAACAAGTAAGACAGCACACATCGGATGATCCATAATTAATCGCAGAATCTCATAAGGCAGGCCATCCGGCCCAGGGCTACTGGCATTAGGAGTGAGAGTGGCGCCGTCTCGGATGTCATCCAAGGTGAAGGGTTTAAGGAGGGTCGTGGAGGTAGTTTCGGAAAGAAAGAGGTCTGGTGGCAAGTGAAGGAGGAGGTCGTCGATAGCTGTCTGAGCAGGAGGGTCGGGTGTGTAAAGATCTTCATAAAATGCAGCAGCAGCTTCCGTAAGATCATCGGGATCAGTGCATAAGGTGTCGGTGAAGGGGTGGCGGAGGCTGGTTATTGTGGTTCGAGCTTGGCGAAAAGCAACTGTGCATTTCAAAAACCCAGCGGAAGTTTCGCCTTGTTCTCTCCAGTGTTTTCCGGCGCGGAGTGCTAGTATCTCGGTGCGTTCCTGTTGAACTTGCTGAAGTTGACGCTCGACGATGGGCAGCTGGAAGTTCTGAGCAGGCTGATGGCTAAATCTATGTATCAAATGGTCACGTTTACTATGAAGCTTTACCTCCAAAGTGGCAAGTGATGGGCGGGTTGTGCGTGAATATGAACGTGTGAAACGAGCCACTTCGACTTTGATCAGATCCCACTGTGATTGGGGGGAAATTGAAGGCGAGAGTAGTGGTATGAAGGATGAAAGACAGTCGGACAGGGAGGAGCGGAAGGAAGGGATGTTCACCAAACGAGGGTTCGCACGCCACAAACCTCGACCAATGTGAGACAGCATAGGAAAACTAAGATAGGTACGTACAAGGCAATGATCGGTCCACAGGGGCTGAACAAATGTGACGGTGGACGAAGAGTGACAAGACGCTATATCCTTGGAGGCATATATGTAGTCGATAGTCGAAGAGGAAAGGTCGCGATGAAAGGTAGGCATAGGTTGAGCGTCAGACAAAGTGACACAGTCTACAAAGTGGTTAGCGACAAAATGCAGCCATAGACGTGGCGCGAGGCCAGCACGAGAGGCATTTGCATATGAGGAATAATTAAAATCTCCTAGCATAAGAAAGCGAGAAGGAAGGGAAGGGAGAAGATGTGGGGAGGATAGGAGAGAGGTGAGAAAATCATATCGAGGACGATATGAAGCAGGGACATATAAAACGCAAATACGAAATGGGGCAAACAAATTGGAAGAGTGAACAACGGTGGCAGTAATGCAACGACCACAGAGAGAAAAAAGAGGATCAGTAAAAGAAATGAGGGGAGAGAGGGAAACCAAACCACAGTGAGGAGACCATAGTGAGTCGGATGCTTGAAATTGAAGATGAAACGTCTGTTGAAGAGCGTCTGTGTTGGCGTGAGTTTCTTGAAGGGCAAGTATGTCTAGAGAGAGGGAGCGAAGATATCTAATAAAGAGAGAGCGATTATTGGTGTTTCCGGACTTGACAAGTCCGCGGCAGTTCATGGAGGCTATATTAATCATAAATTTAAGAATGATCGCCGTCTGCCATCTCATCATCAGTTAGGATATTCTGGGAGTCTTGGTCGTCGTCGCCGTAGGTAAGGGTGGAATCAGTTGGTGGGGTGAAGAATACCGAATGACGAGATGTACTTTCGCGCCAGACGCGATCCGTAGATGTCGGCAAGTTAGAGAAAAGAACGACTGGTACTTGACCGGGGGCGGGAGTGGCTGTGGCGACATCGAGATATGACCTAGTGTTGGTTGTGGTAGAGGTAGTAGTAGAGGGTTGTGGAGTGGTTATATTGGCTTGACCTAGTGTTGTGGTGGACCCAATAGGTGGGTCCGGTACTTTAGCGGGAAGAGCCATGCCTAAAGGGAGGTACAAAAGAGGGGGTTGAAGTGGGCATAACAAAAGATAATAGAAATAATAAGGGCGTTTTATTGTGATTATAAAACGTAAGAAAAAATAAATTAATAACAGGATCTCAGGTAGTGCAATTGCACGTTAATCGCAAACAGGCAAATAAAAGGTATATTACTTTTGGATCAATGGACCTATTTCTACAAGTGCTACACATTTGGCTATCGTTGTCTACTCCTGATCTGCAAGCAATTTGTATTTTTTTGGACATATTCATCAAGCGACAATTCTTATTTTTTAAGAAAAAAAGATTCCCTTACATCCCTATACGCACAAGTCATTTTTTTGTACTTTGTGAAAGCCGTATTGTTCGGATCAAACGGTTGATCTGATCTACTAGCTTAAGTTTGCCGGCTAATTAGGTGCCGATACACAATACAAATACTCTGACCATCCTTCCAAAAACTCTAAATCTAAAGTATACGATATTAACCTCTAAAAAGAAAAGTCACCAACAATCGATAGAAGGGCGGAAACCCTTTGAAGATCAGCAATAAATACATACATACATACATATATATATATTAAAAAAAATTATTACACTCACATATACATACGTATATCAATCTATGTGTGGTATATTATTCTCTATTTCTGACACTCGGCCCGAGAATTCGCCCTTGTGGAATTCTCTCGAGGCACTCAACACAAAGCGAGGCAGGGTTTACTTACATTGATGGCGATCTTGTATGATCATAGCTGATCCGTTAATGTGAAATAGGACCCGATGCTCAGCAAACTCACGTCATTACAATTCAAGATCAACAAGCACAACTATATTTAAGATTCTTCTCATCAGTCTTGCATCTTCGTGGTGATCATGTCGTCCCTCAGCCAATGACACCTGCCACTGGCGACGTATTGAGTTGGAATGGCGAAATATTTGGTGGACTTGAAGTAAAGTACAAATACACAAATATAAAAAAAATATATATAAAAAAGAGATGTAATCAAGATATCTTGGGGTTATGTTTGGTTTAATTAAGAGTATCTTATAAATATTAATATTAGATCACTTTGGGAGAAAATGATACAGAGGTATTAGTGCGTCGATTGGCTGGAATCAGTCCCACAGATACATCAGAAAAGGCAGTTTTGGATATCCTGACACAGATCGAAGGCCCATTTGCATTTGTTTTTTGGCAGGTAATGAATAGAAGAATACTACTTTTATTTTGTTTTATTTTATCTATATTATTAAATTGTATGAATACTAATATATATATATATGTATTGTAGGCGCACACCAATAGACTATGGTTTGGACGTGATTGTCTTGGACGTCGGTCGTTATTGTGGGCACGTTCCAAGAGTCTCACAAACAAAAGCTTTATGTTGAGCTCTGTAGGACCTTCTTCTGCTTCTTCAGATTCAGGATCAGATAATGTTGTGTGGGAGGAGGTTCCTGCAGACGGTTTATACTGTATTCAAATGGAAGATATCGAGACAGAAACAACAGACGAATCTGTATTTGGACATCCAATCCGTCACTTTTCCTGGGTTCAGCAAGAAAATTCTGGACCAAATACATTGCCATTGGTAAGATTAATAGCATTCTTGTTCTTTTTTCTTTATTACTATAAGACAAAATGTAGACTAATCAATTTCTTTTTTCTTTGTCTTGTAAAAAAAAGCCTTTTCCTTTAATCAATCGATATGTGCCTAAAGACCTTTCCGTTGATACCAGAGAAGGAGAGCCTGTCGTAGATGGTGAGATGGAAACCGCTATAGAAGAATTTACTCTTGTTCTGAGCGAGTCTGTCCGAAGACGTGTAGCTGATGTTCCATCTCTTGGGTGTGTAGAATAATATAAACGCCCCCCTTTCTCTCATTTGGTGTCTCAGATAGTATTGATAATGTGGTTTGATCTAATTCATATATTTTGAAACTATTAGTCCTATCGAAGCATGTGCCAGAGTGGCCATATTGTTTTCTGGGGGCTTGGATTGCATAACTCTTGCTGCATTAGCTCATCAACACTTGCCTCATTGTGAGCCTATTGATCTTCTTAATGTCGCGTTTGAGAACCCTCGTCGTGAGCAGGCTCTTCAAAAACCAAAAAAGTCAAAGAACAAAAAGAAGCACAATGATGTCGAGGTTACCGAAGAAAGCTCCACTGCCTTGGACCAACAACCCGTCATTCAAACAATCAACATCTACGATACACCCGACCGAGTCACTGGCAGAGCAGGTGTAGCTGAACTAAGGTAATTAGAATAAATTATAATAATGATAATGATAATGATAATGATAAGAATTGTTGTCGGTTAATCGAATAGAAAGATTGCACCAGAAAGAATATGGAATTTTGTGGAAATCAATGTTCCTTACCCAGAAGCCATGTCTCACAAACAGAGGATTATTGAATTAATGTATCCATTAGATACAGTGATGGACCTGGTGAATATTATTATCTCAATTAGACCATACTTAGACAGTCAAACCAAAAGCGCTTGGCAATTTTCATCGTATTTATATATCTATCTTTTGGACAAATAGAGTATTGCTATGGCATTCTGGTTTGCCTCTCGTGGTGAAGGAACAATTGATGACAATGGCAATACAAAGGTATGTCATCTAACTGATTTCTATTACATGCGTATCTAATGCAATGATTATGTAGCCATATCATAGCCGATCTCGAGTATTGCTCTCTGGATTAGGAGCAGATGAACAATTGGGTGGGTATTCCCGCCACAAGGATGCATTCCGCCGTGGTGGCTGGGATAAAGTTATTGAAGAGGTAATCAAGCAATGGTTGATCGTAGAACAAAGGGAAGAAAGAAAAGGCTGTGAAAGGTAAACATGCCAATAAGTAAAACAAGCTAAAAAATGTGTTTGTGTAGACACAAATGGATGTGGACAGAATTTCTACCCGTAATTTAGGCAAGTTACATATTATATTGCTATTAATCAGAAAATGATAATGTTAATGATGATATACAACTACTTAGGTCGAGATGATCGTATAATGTCAGATCATGGGAAAGAAGTCCGTTTCCCGTTCTTGAGTACAGATGTTGTAAATTGGTTGTGTCGCTGCCCAATTTATATCAAAATGGATCTTCGTTATGAGCGAGGTATTGGCGAAAAGCTTCTTTTGCGTAACGTAGCTCGTCGACTGGGGTTGTCTGAGGCAAGTAAGAATTGGAAAAGGGCCATTCAATTTGGGGCCAAGACTGCCAAGATGACAGATAGCTCTAGGTCAGAAAAAGGACAGCACAAACTCTCTTGATAAATATAAAATTCAAATTCAAATTACAGCACTTGTACTCGGTAGTCTTTCCATTCTTCTTCTTCTTCTTCTTTTATTTATTTATATATATGTATATATGTGTGTTTTTATTTCTTTACTTTGTTCTCTTCCTTGTTACAAAAAAAACAAAGGAAACAGAAACATACTGCTAGCTTTAAAGTATCAAAAAACAAACGCAAATTGACATTTCAAACAAACAAAAAAAAAACAAATATCAAAAGAATAATGAAGAAAGAGTAAAAGAGTGAAATGAAGAATAAGCAATTTACAGTAGAAGGAGGGAGCGCGTGTTTGAAGATTTTAGTGTAAAATGATGGAAGTTGTATAATGTGGGACTGGTGTGTCGGTAAGGTTTTTTTTGGTTTTTTTTTGTTTTGCTTTTGTTTTGCTTTTTGTTTTTAGTCCGTCTGTATTTCAGCTATTTTGTAAACATAGAGAATGTATCAGGATCCCAAGGATTCTTATATGTATTGTGTGTATATGTGTATATGTATATGTATATGTATATTTATATATTTACTGATTTCTGTGTATTTTGTGGGTGACCCACAACTTACGAGAAGTATGTTCTTGTGGTGGGCAGTGCATCATATTAGATTCTACCATCATAGGCCGTTGCATCATTACAGAAGGTCCTGAACCATTAGGAGGCATCATGTCAGGAGGGTAACGCATCATCATAGGAGCACCTTCAATAAAAAAGAACGTAAAAAAAATTAGCAATGTCAAATCTGATTTTACACATTAAAGAAATCTTACCATGGGGTGGGTTTCCTTGATATTGGTACACTTGATGTGGTGGGATCCCTTGCGGAATCATTGGTGACCTTTGTGGAGAAGGATAACCTTGAGGGAAAGGAGATCCGTCTTAAGAAACGAGTAGTTAATTGGTTAGATATTGGGTTATATTTATTTGTTTGTCTATTAATTCATTTATGTACTGTAATGTAATGTAGTCTACTTACGGGGTGATCCACTGGGCATTTGTGGGCTATATGTAACATTCGGAGGGGCCCCGCCATGCTGCATAGGCGATCCACCATGTTGCATCGGTGCACCATTAATGGGTCCACTGGGAACAAACTGTGAACTCATGTAAGGAGCTCCTGGAGGTTGCTGAACAGCAATTGGAGCCATACCAGGCATATATTGCTACAGTAAAAGTTATTATTTGGTTTCTTTGTGAATGACTTTGTCTCTGTGTATTCTAGTTTACCTGAGGATAGCGATACTGAGGATATCCATAAGGATAATTGGGAGGAGGATAACCGGTGTAAACGTCTTCATCATAGTGAATAAACTGAGTAAACTGGTGTCTATATGGCTTGTTTCCGAATGGCCAAATAGGTCCTATAGATATACATTTTCATATATATTTACAGTTGAGAATTAATTCAATTTATTATCATTATCTTATCTGGTCTTACCCACAGAACTGGGGCTCACATTCTTCCCATGTGAGAAAGGAGCCGAGAACATTTCTGTTACCGAAAGGTGCTCTGTAGAGCCCCCTTTCTTCAACAAACGGCCTGCAAAGAATGGGGACGACTCATTAGAAGCCACGCGCGATCCTCCCTAAATAAGCAGAAAAATAAAATTAGCCTTTGTCAAACAATAGCAATATAGTCATATATATTTTTTTTGGTTTGTTTGTTTGCTTACAGGAACAAATGCAGGTGCCACAGGGTTTGGCTTGAATTCGGAAGCTTTGACATTAAACTTGAATCCGGACCCGACAAGAGATGCCTTGGGTGCTGCAGATACTACAGTAGACTTTGTAGATTCCTCGGGGTTGGCAGCAGCAGCAGCAACGGTAACAGCAACTGGAGTAGCAGCAGCGGTAGGAGGAGGAGTAACAGGTGCTACCATAGGAGGAGAAGCAGTCGAGGCTGATTCTTTTTCAAACTTCTCCGAGTATTTCTCTTCAGTCGAAATAGCCACATCTTTGATTGTTTCCTTGGTAATAGCCTCTTTATTGAGAACCTCGGGGGAAGGCAGGCTGACTGTCTTGTCACTTTCGGGAGACCCGGTTTTCTTTTTTCCTTTTGACAAAAGAGGCACAAGATCAGGAGGAACGGGTACATTAAGCTTGAAGGTTTTGTGGAAATTCCTCAGATCAGCCAGGCGCCCGTCCTTTTCTTTTTTCTGCAGCGCCTGCTTCTTTGCATGGAGCTTGTCCTTTTCAACCAAGGCAAACTGGCGAAATGTAGTCGCGATCTCTGCTTCGATGTGTTTGTTGCTTGAGGGAGAGTCACCAAGCTTCTATTCGACCACAGAAGTTTAGTTTTAAGGTTTCCCTTATTCCTATATCGTTCTATAATCATCTACCTTTACACTGCCTCCAATTTTGCTGAGTGCTGCACTGGATTCTTGTCGCATGTTGGGATGAGAAGAAGAAAGAGGAGCTCCGGTTGGAGCGACGGCTTTTGAGGGTGTTCCAGTGGTGAGTTTGTGGAGCGGACTGTTTGGTGGAAGATTTGAAACAGGCTTTTCTTGCAAGGGTTCTTTCTTTACAGCTGGTTGTTGTTGTTGTTGTTGTTGTTGTTGTTGCAGCTTGCGTAAAGCCGGTGGCATATACTTGTTCGGGTTTACCTCACGTACGACTGCACCATATCTGTCTTCCTCGTCCATTCCATTATCTTCTACTTCCATTCCACGTTCTTCCATCAAATGTACATTTGTTGTTGTAGACTAGATGATATTTACACAAAATTTAGACACGTTAATGCACAAGTGATAACAATTTCATGTTTCTCGGAGTTTTATGTAATTTCATGAGTAATTCTGTCGGTTTTTTGTTTGGTTTTTGGTTTTTGGTTTTACCTTTTGAATTTCATTAGCCATTTCAATTGCCTTTTTCTCTCGATCCTTGTACCCGGGTGCTGATCGATCGAGCCTTGTTGTATATATTTCCTCATCAAAGTCAGTCTTGAGACCAAACAGTTTCTCGTTTGCCGCAAATTGATCCCACGACCCGGCATTATTTGCAGAGGCATCCATATCTTCAAGCGACTCCAAAGCACTGCCTTGTACTTCAGGATTCCATCGATGTAATTCGCGTTCTTTAAATTCCATTTTACTGCTAATATCTGTATCTGTTTTGAATGCTACAAAATAAAGACATTGATATTAATTAATTAATTCATTAACAAATAAATAAATAAATAAATAAATAAATACAAAATGCAAACTATATTATATATATTTTCAATAATTAAAACTTACAATCACGATCTTGGACAGGTCCTTCTCCTACAGTGAGATCTACATCTGGTGCACTGATTTCTACCAGATCTTTTGCAACAATCAACAAAGTCTTTTTGACTGGATTAGACTTTCCGTTTTCGCTCGGAGGGGCGGCAGGATCGTAGATCTTCCGAGCCATTTTGAGTGACACACCAAGATCACCCTCCGAAGAAGCACCGTGAAAGACTCCTTCAAATTTTGTACCATCTCGAACTGTGACATGGACAACACTACCCTACACATAGAACAAGAAGAAGAGAAGAAAATAAAAGAAATAGCATTCCAAAATAATAGATATTTTTATTTTAATCGATTTTTAGCATTATTATTAGTATTATTAAAGAATATTCTTAGATTTTTGTATATATATATAAAATGTATGCGTGTGTGTACAACTAAAAAGAAATGTATATGTTGGTTGGCTTACTGTCAGATGGACCAGGAGAAATAGCATTCGTTCGTGCATGAGTTTTGCAATGTCTGGACTTTCGACATAAGGCTCGGGTTGTTTAAAGTTAGATTCCACAGGACCATTGCTATTAGTATTGTTGTTTGTGAACGCGTAAGAGCCATTGCGTCCGTTATTCTGATTTCCTCCCCATTTTTTATGGCTTCCACGACTAGAGCGCAAGATGTTAGTTTGATGATGTGATGATGAATTGATAATTACTTTTGTGATGGTTTGTGATGGTTTGGGTCTTGTTTCTTCCCTTGCTTTGTGTTTGCAAATGCCATGATTAGATGGCGTGGATAAGTAGGTCTATTTTAATAGAGAATGAGATGAAGGGGGATCGATGACGGTTTGATGGTGATGTCAGCCAAGAATAATATTTATATATATATTTATATATGTATTATTATTATTATTATTATTATTATTATTACTATTATTACTATTATTTATATATATATATATTAATATATTAATATATATAAATATGTGTATTTAAAAAAAGGGGGGAGTAGAGAGTGAGAGAGAGAGAGAGAGAGAGAGAGAGAGAAATGTGTTACAATGGGATAGTCGTCTACAAGCACTGTTTACTATAAAAAAAATAGAGAAAGTGAAAGAGAAAGAATAGAAAAGAAGAAAGAGAGCTGAGCTGAGCTTTGGCTGAGCGAAGAACAAGACGGAATAAAATAAGAAGAAATGCTCTTTATTGTATTTTTACATTTTATTCTATTTTGTTGGGTGCTTGAATTATGCCAGATGAAAACTGATTCTACTACAGCCGTGACTTTCAAGAAGTGTTTCATTTGCTGTATGGAATAAAGATAGTTGTGATATTTAATGAATTTCTGGTCTTTACTTGAATATTGTCCAGAGTCTCCCTAAGTCTTGATACAAACAAACCAATAAAAACATACACTCGGAGCTTCCATGGTCCATTCATTATTTTACAATGACAGAATACCTATATATCCTTACCATGAAATAGGTAGGCAAAGGCCTAAAATAATAATAATTATAAATGAAAAGATAGCTAAAGAGAGAAAGGTATATTAAAGTCGAATGATGTTTATAAGATATTTTATATTCCATCATGAACACCTTCCTTTTTCTAATTACAAATATAACATGTTGAACAAGTGTACCTATTTGGCTTTAATTATCATGTCAATACACACATATCCAATAAGATATATTTTTTATATATTAAACAGTGGGGTATCTATTCCAAATGAGTGTATAATATACTTTATGACATGTTTTTATACTCGAGTAAGACTATATAACTATATTACTCTAATGTTCAAATGTTTAATCGAATATCTATTTATTATAGCAGCTAAAGAGTTGGGTGTGGATACACACACACATCTATATAATCAAATCTAAGAGCACAGACTTCAATTACCAAAATGTAAATTAATACAAATATAATATTGAAAGAAAAAAGAGCATGCATTTTAAGCGTGTCATACTTTAAGACCAAATGCATTTACGAAGTTTAATAATAGCATTATTCTTGACCAGCTGCTGAAGTATATGTCACACTGAAATTCTTAATTCTACTATGAACATTAGCCGGCTAATGAAGAAGAAGAAGAAGGAGAGCTAATGAATAGAGAACTTTTCAACATATTGACCCAAAACGTATGCTCCAAGCCATTATCATTGTAATAATCTGGTACTTGAAAGCTTGTGTTTGCAGGATAATTTTCTACTTAAAAAACTCAAAAAGAAAATCAGCACTTTACAAAGACAGAATATTCAAAATAATCTAAACAGTCGTTTACGCACAAAGCTTCAATATATGTACACGATTGTTGTGCATATATAATGTACTTTTGGATAAATGGATAATTAAGTATCAACTGTTCAAATTACTCTAAAATAGAGGGAAATGACCTCGATTTTATAAACATCATACATAATGAAAAAAAATGTTCAAAAGTAAATAAACTCATATTCTGTACTTGGATTTAAGTATTAAACGAATAAAAGAATCGCCCAAAAAGATTAATTGTATTTTGTCCAAAAATATACACACGTATACGAAAAATAGCTTAATAAATAACTAGTAATAACGTTCTTTTTTTCTTTCTGTTATATATTCATTATATTACTCCCACTATCTATGGTGCTTTTTACACGTATTTTGAACAAATTATCTAGATAGCATTTGTCACTAAAAGTATTTAGGGTTTGTATTTATAGGATACCCTCCAATATAAGAGTAAGAATAAGATGTTTTTAAAACTCTTTGTCCAATACAATATGAGATCATCAGCTACACTATAGAAAACGGAAGAATAAATCAATTTACCAGCTTTCTAGACACGAGGGGCATCATCTTCATACACAGCAAAATTTTGATGCGTAAAGTTTCGTCTGTAATATGACGAAGTTCCAAAGATACTTTCTTTTTAGGCATGAAAGAATAGCAGACGTAATTGGGCATATAGTGCCATTTGGGGAGGTCAACTGTGGAAAGAATTTATAGTGACTCGTGGCTGTCAGCAACAAGAGCCACATCGAGAGAAAGACAGATAGTACGTGTTTCATCAATCTCCCATTTAGCTCGTCATCTTGTGCAAAATCATTCCATAGGTCTTTCTACGCGATCTTAGTGTTTCTTGCCTTTGTGTCGCGTATTACAATAGTTGAGCAATGAGATTATTCCTCTTTATTTTTACTCGATGATTCTTAACAGTCTGTGCGTTCATCAGCCCTAAAACATTTTTTTCCTACTCAACTATAAAATCGAATATTTGTTTCATTCAGCTGCATAAATTACAATGTAATTTAATATATGCGTAATCTCTAGGAGGTTATTCAAATAAAAACGTAAAATTATAAGCAAAATGTAATGCTTTTTATGGCCATACGATGTAAACGCTCGCCAATAAATACCGGACAATGCATACAAAGCAAAAAAGTAAAAAAAAATAAAAATAAAAAAAAAAAAAATTATAAAAAGTCGAAACCAGTAATCGGGTAATGTAAGGTTGCATACTGTAACAGTCACAACAGACGCCACCGATCCTTTTTTCCAACTTTTTTCTTGAATAACAAATTTTTTGAAGACCCGGTCCTTTTTTTTGACACCTGAACGGCCTACATTTTCTACTCCACTTCTTTCCTCATGGTAATATCTTAATACTCATTATCGACCAAGCCAATGCTCATTTCAACCAAAAAAATATCTATAGGTTAATTACGTGCTGTTCGAAACAGCCTCTGGCTATGCGCTGTTCGAGCGTCTCCAATCCGAAGAGATTGGATCAAAGTTGGCCGAAGTTCAGCAGACTGTTCAGGATCTCTCCAAATTTGGAAAGATGATTAAGCTCAAGTCATTCTCCCCATTCAAGAGTGCTGCCGATGCCTTGGAGAATGCCAACGATGTGTCTGAAGGTAATTTTTACTGTTACCAATACTAAACCCCTATCGTACTAATATTCTCTACTGTTATGTATTCTAGGTATTGTTAACCCTTCGCTCAAGGCTTTCTTGGAAATGAACCTCCCCAAGGCCTCCAAAAAGAGCTCTTTCTCCCTTGGTGTTGGAGAAAAGAACCTGGCTGGTGCTATCAAGGGTGAGTGTGGATATGACTGTGTTGCCGACGAGACCGTAATGGAATTGGTCCGTGGAATCCGTCTTTGGGCTGACAAGTTACTTGGTCAGTTGAAGGAAGGTGATTTGGAGAAGGCTCAGCTTGGTCTTGGCCACAGCTACTCTCGCGCCAAGGTTAAGTTCAACGTCAACCGTGCCGACAACATGATTATCCAGGCCATTGCTCTTTTGGATCAATTGGACAAAGATGTCAACACATTTGCTATGCGCATGAGAGAGTGGTACTCATGGCATTTCCCCGAGCTTGTCAAGATTGTCAACGATAACTATAAGTATGCCAAGCTTGTCAAGGTGATCAAAAACAAATCAGAGCTGTCCGAAGAGCACTTGGAGGCTATGGCTGAGGTCCTTGATGATGATGAGACCATTGCCAAGCAGATCCTTGACGCTGCCCGTGCTTCAATGGGAACCGACATTTCTCCCATCGATATGATCAACATTCAGAACTTTGCTGACCGTGTTGTCAACTTGGCCGAATATCGCAAGAAGCTCCACAACTACTTGGTGACCAAGATGAACTACGTTGCTCCCAACTTGGCCGCTTTGATCGGTGATGTTGTTGGTGCCCGTCTGATTTCCCAGGCTGGTTCCCTCACCAACCTTTCCAAATACCCTGCTTCTACTCTTCAAATCTTGGGTGCTGAAAAAGCTCTTTTCCGCGCCTTGAAGACCAAGGGTAACACACCCAAGTACGGTTTGATCTACCACTCTTCTTTCATTGGCCGTGCTGGTGCCAAGAACAAGGGTCGTATTTCACGTTATTTGGCCAACAAATGTACCATTGCTTCCCGTATCGATTGTTTCAGCGACAAGCCTACAGACAAGTTTGGTCAGGCCTTGAAGGCTCAGGTCGAGGAACGTTTAGCTTTCTACGACAGCGGTGCCTTACCCGCCAAGAACCTCGATGTCATGAAGAAGGTTATTGATGGTATGGACAACGATGAAGATGAGATTAAGCTTGAAGAGCCTGTTTCTGCAGTCTCTGCCGGCAAGAAGAGAAAGGCCGAGCCTGAGGCCGAAGATGAGTCCCCTAAGAAGGCCAAGAAGGAAAAGAAGGAAAAGAAAGAAAAGAAGGAAAAGAAGGAGAAGAAGGAGAAGAAGGAAAAGAAGAGCAAAGACTAAAAGCACCACGGTATTTTATCGTTGCTATCTTTCCACCCTCTTCGCCCTGCCTTTTACTTTTATTTTTTTTTCTTTCGATGTCCCTTCCTCTCTATAAGCATATCAAATCCATTTGTTTTAATGATTTTTATCAAGTTATTATATTTCACTCTTTCGCTCCCGTTCTCTTTGTTAACACTATCAATCTATCCATTTGTTTATTATTATTTTTCCAATGTAACCATCTTCCACATGCCAAGTAGAAATAAAACATCTCTCTCTCTCTCTTATATATATACATAAACACAAATATACTTATATATATATATTACATAATTGATATTATGAATATTGGAATTAATTGATTCAAAAAACATTTAATATGCAAACCCTATTTTATTTTTTTGTGACAAGAATAAATTAATATGTCTTACTTCCTTCGTTCTCTTGGAGGTCCGCAAAAACGAAGATTCATCTCAACTATTAAGATGCCAATTCCAACCTGTGAGTAATCTCAAATGAGAGAAAAAGTTGAACAAAAACTCATTGGAATGCAGTGATAATCGAACAAACCAACACAATAAACCTCAATCAGCCACCTGTGTACACAACACAAATAGATACTACCACCTTTAATGAGTTTATTGAGCGCTATCCTAGAGGTAAAACACGATTGTGATTTATAGTGGCTTTAATAAGATGCCTTGATTGTATAGGAGCTTATACCGGAATGCGTACCGTAGAACATGGGTCAATTGTAGAATTGACTAGTCATTTCAAGCGGATGGTTAACTCTCTGTCGCTGATGAATTTTACACAGCACAGTACTGAAGAAAACGAACACGTTAAGACCTCAATGGCTCCGTTTCGCGATATTACACGTTTAGAAGGCTTGCTTGTACCGTTTCTGAGAGCTGGATTGAAAGAGTATTATGCAGCTATTAATGATTCCATAAAAGAAGCCAAAATTTCTGTTATGATTTCCTACTCTTTTGAGGTACCTGTTTTTTTACTCAACAGAAGTTAGATTAATTTGTTTTTTTTTGTGGGAGAATGAATTCATTTAACACGATCCTTAGTTGCACAAACCATGCCTTGCGGCACATTTTTGCCTTCTGCCTGATCCTCCTCAACAAAGATGCAAAGTTATTGCAGAACAAGAATTAAGAGTTTCCCCAGAGATCAAAGATTCGCAATGGGTCAGGTAATTATAAATATAGCTATGCATGTTTTTGTAACCTATGTTTACTTTAGGGATCGAGCAGAAATGGAGAGAAACAAACCCAAAGATGTTAATGAGATTCTCCTGACAGATAGTGAAGGGAATATTTATGAAGGGATGTCATCAAATTTTTTCTCAGTGGAAGTTAGAAATGATAAACCGGTTGTAGTGTGTGCTCCTCTTGAGCATATATTGTTAGGAACCGTAATGAAGATTGTGATGGCTGTGTGCGAGAGAAATAAGATTGAGATTTTGTGGACTTTCCCTAAACTTCAAGATGCAAAGCAGGGTTTGTGGCAAGGGTGTTTCATCACAAGTAAGTGTAAAATCAATCAAGTATTTTCTAATTAACACCTATCAATTTATAGGTACCTCTAGACTATTACTTCCCATTCGATCGATTGGATTTAGAGACCAAAGGTACAGCAAGAAACGGGTTAATGTTGATGATGTTATTATATTTTAACTAATCTGATAAAACAACACAGTGCACCTGTTGAATTTCCTGAATCATCTGAAATCATAGAACTTCTTCGAAAGGAGATTCAAAAAGAAATTCACAGTAGATCCTATAAAATTCTATGATATCAATCAACCTCATCACTTGTAGACTCGGCGCCATCGACTGTCAATTCAAACTGGATAATAAAGAATACGGCAGAGTTGTTTTTTGACTTTGCCACATAACGTAAAGGCTAAGAAGAAGAATAAAAATTATAGAAGATTTTACTAGTTTGAAAACGTCCAATATGTGAAAAGAGCTATACCTGTCCATCCCAATAACGAAGTACATTGACTTCAAACCCTGGCAAGCTCATGGTACACTGTAAATTGTCAATCATATACAGTCAGACTAGATCCTACAAAAAAGGATGATGTGTTATGGCGTACCTTTTTAAAATCAAGATAAGGATTACAAAAGTCCATTGACCATACTTGATCTTTATCGACCTTAATGGCTTTTCGGTGGGCAGGATCAATGAAATATGCTTTACGAGCTTCAGAGGTGTTGTCAATATTCAATCCCAATTCACTTGTATCTTCCTCTACTCCTTGGCCTTGGCTATATGGCCAGACAGGTAAAGGTTTTTTGTGAACAGCTAGTCGATTCATAGTCACGATAAGTGGACTAAATGCCTGGGGATGGTCTGAATACAGATCGAGTTGGAGACCGGGATCAAACCAAGTTGCAAACTTGAAGGCAATTGATGATCCAAAAGGTAATGTCAAAGGTGCTTCAAACTCATTGCCAAACAGAATGTCGTCTGCTGTGCAGTCTTGGAGAAATCTCCCGACAACCTGTATACAGAATTTATCCTCATGTGTGTCAAAATAGGCGGAAGGATCTGGATAGTCCTTGAGACGGACGACAATATAGCCATCAAAAAGCTCAGTCTGGAGACGTATTGGGTTGCTGTCTTGGTTGATGTGTATTTGGCGGAGTGTGTCGACTGAAGGGCCGACTGTGACGCGAAGAGAGTGTTTGGAAGTCGACATATGAAAAGGAAACAGAGAATTACAAGATTGCCAAAGTGAGACGAAGAAGGTAGAAAAAAGAAATACGAGGTTGCACCAGCTCTTTATTTTATATTCTCCTCTATTTATATTTTATTGATTTGTTTATTTTCTGCTTTTTTTTATATTTTTGTATAAATCTTGTATCTCTTCCTTATTATACATATTACAAAATAAAAAATAGTTCATAAAAGCCAGAATATTTAGATGGGAGGTGTCTACGTATCTCTCAGTGAGCAAAAACAGCAAGATGCCACCCTTACCATCAAATCAATGGCTATACAGCTTGGTATCAATCTGGCTGTTGCGTTGGTCGTCTTGGCAGGATTCAGTTGGGTGCGACCAAGGCATTCGCTGGTCTATGCACCCAAAGCAAAATTCTCTTCGGCAGAGTAAGCTAGTATATATTATATATTTAATTAAAAATCTTAATAGACTGTTGAATTATTATCATTTTCGATTTAATTGATCTCTAATTATTGCGTGTTGCTTCATAGAAAACGTCCCCCTGTACTTGGATCGGGTTGGTTTGCCTGGCTTAAACCTGTGTTTTCTACCTCGGATTCATTCTTGCTCGAACGCATTGGTTGCGATGCAGTGCTTTATTTACGATTTCTACGTCTCTTGCGTCGAATGACTGGATTTATGGCATTCGTGGGTCTCTGCGTACTACTTCCAATTAACATTGTGGCAACTAAAAATACAGGGTAAGAAAGGAACATACTATTTTTAATTACAATGTATATAAAAGTGAATTAGCACAATCCAAATACAGAAAAAAGAAGCTAAAAAATCCTTATGTCGCACCTAAACAGAGATTGGCCACCAGCACCTGGTCTTGATTTCCTTTCTATATCGGGGATCAATTATCTTAATGGTAAATTAAGTGCTAACCCTGACACACGCTGGTACTGGTCACCAGCCGCAGCAACCTGGCTATTTTCACTCGTAATCGGATGGGCAATGTATAGAGCATCGTGTGACTATATCGACATGCGTCAAAAGTTCTTTCGCAACACAGATACGAGCCACAAATCACTAATGATTGGAAATGTACCTGAGGCCATGCGGTCGGACGAGAAATTAAAGAAGTGGCTGGAGACTTTTAATCTCCATCACCCTATTCAACAGGCCATGATGGGACACCACAACGCAAAACTCACAAAACTTACCAAAGAACACGAGGATGCCGTCTACAAATTAGAAAATGCCCTTGCTAGTTACCTCACTGGTAAGAATATCCCAAAAATAAAATTCTCCATGTACACCCACATATTAGCAATTAAAGTAATTGACTTTCTTACCCAAAAGATGGAAAGGCTGTAGCAAAGAAGCGACCAACTGTACGAGTAGGTGGAATTGCTTGTCTCGGTAAAAAGGTTGACGCAATCGATTATTTCACTAAACAAGTAAAGGACCTCGAAGACCAAGTCCTCAAAATGCGCAAGTCTAATACAAAAATCGCAAATTACGGTTGGATTTCCTTTAAGAAAATTCAATGGGCTCACAGTACGGATCGAGCCCTCGAAAAAATCTCCAAGACCATGTCAAAACCTGCTTTTAATGTTCGACTCTCGCCATCTCCTAATGATCTTATCTGGCCAAACCTACCTATGGACGCTAGTACGCGCAAAACAAAGCGATGGATTGGAAGAAGTTTCTACATTGCCTTCATTTTTGTCTGGATGATTCCTGTGGGTGCACTCTCAGCCACTTCAAATGTGATCAATCTTATTCGTCTATTGCCCAATGCTGAAACTTTCATTACCGAACATGAAATTCTGATGGGTATTGTCCAGGCCTGGTTTACACCTATTATAACAGCTATCTTCTTTTTTGTACTTCCAATGATATTTCGATATATCTCAAAGATTCAAGGATATCGAACCCAGACCACCCTCGATCGTAAAGTACTCATCAAACTTTACTTCTTCTTTATCATCAACAACCTGCTGGTGTTTACTCTGACATCCATTATAATTGGCTTGTACGGTCAAATCAAGGTTCTTGTTTCGTCTGGTTCGTTACCTACAAACGAGAGCATGAAAGAGTACATAGTTCAGCTGGCCAAGAACATCACTGATGTATCGACATTTTGGATAAACTATGTGTGCGTAAAAGGGCTAGGCATGACGATGGAATTGGCTCAACTTCTACCTCTGTGTACTATCACGCTTAGTAAAATGTTCACTCGTCCAAGCCCCCGTGAACTTCGAGACATTGCCAAACCACCCGAGTTTGACTATCCCCAAAATTACAATCTCCTGCTCTTCTTTTTCACTATCGCACTCATTTACAGCGCGATGGCACCACTTGTACTACCCTTTGCATTTGTATACTTTGCCATTGCAACCATGATTTACAAGTACATGCTCATGTATATTTATGTCACCAAGATTGAAAGTGGTGGTAAAATGTGGCCCGTTCTATTCCAAACGGTGATGTGCTCCGTTCTTTTATTTCAACTCATCATGATCTTGGTTTTGAACCTCAAAGGTGGACACATCCAGTCTTATATCTTGATTCCATTGCCTTTTATCACCGTTGCATACCAATACTTTTACAGCCGTCGCATACATGTTCTCGGTTCTTTCTTGATTGGGACAGACGATACACTGGATTATGTTGAGGAAAGTACACCTATGGTCCAGCCTGAGAAACACACCAAAGATTCATCAAAGGATGATCTTTCAAAGCAATACCAAGATCCTTTCCTACATAACAAGCTTACTACTCCAATTGTACATGAAAATGTCAAGCACCTTCTTCCTCAGGTGTATAACAGCTCTACTGAGCAAAAACCAAGCAAGAGCCATCGTATTCCGGAAGTTATTGAGATGACACAACAGTTTGGAAAAAAGATTCGTCATGAAGTAGATCTTGACGAGCGCAATGGATTTAGCAACCGCCATAATAAGCGTAAGACAGTTCTTGCAATGGATAACGGACGCAAACTTGAGTTTGGCACTTTAGACGAAGAGGAGATACAGCAGGGTATAGACGAAGAATCTGAACACGAAGATGAGGCAGATAATCTGAATTCAATTGCTCCCCTTCCTTTCAACGACTTGCCTATGCGTAGAGTGCCTACCCTACAGAGTGATATAGATGATGAGTCTCGTGGTCTAGTGAATGGCAATTATGCTAACTCATACTGGCATCAGCAGAGGGACCCTTCTTCGGCCCATGAAGATCTCATCAAGTACAACAACACAGTTCAACAAGCAAGAACTGGACAGCCTAGCTTTGATATCCCACGTTCAATTCCTCAGAATGATGTTCACAAAAACATAACTCCAGCTGCAGCAGAATATACACCACCTGGGTCTCACAGACACGCTGAGCGCAATGTTACTTCTGAGTTAATCGATGTTTACACTTCCTGGACCCCAGATGAAAAGACGCATTATGAACCAGAGATTCCTAGTGAACGCGAAAGTAAAATTTTGATGGAGGAATTTGATATTCGACCTGTATCTCTACATGAATTTGGTTTACCACCTCCTTCTATTCCTCCACATGCACCTAGTCACCCCGCTACTTCCTCTCGTCAATCGAGACGTTCGTCAGCACCAATGCTTTCTACTGTACCTTTTGTTACTCAACCTAATGTTAAGGAACCCATGGTCGCGAAACGGCGCCACTCATTCCAAGATGATCCCAGCAACATGGTTGTCCTACCTCATGTCAATCTCTTCCGTCAAACTTCTTCCCCTGCTTGTCTTGTCCATCGGCGAGGTCAAAGGTCGTCACAGCGCAGACAGATTGGAACAAACTTGCGGGTTGCTGCTTTGCAACGTAGTCAGACACTTCCGTATAGACGAACTGCTCCACAAGACGACGACCAACATGAACATGGTGACTTTAGATCTATTGGAAATAGACAAATCAATGCACATGTTCAAGAACAAACAATATCATCGGCAACAGTTGATGACTGGGGAAGCCGCCAACCATATCGCAGAAACAGGACTTTGGAACAACAAGAAGCTCGGCAACAAGAAATCGAGCAAGAGTATCAGCAAACTTCGTCAAGAAATTACCAACTAACCAATTCAGAGCCACCGCCCCCACCACCCCATCATGAATCCTCTCTAGCAGAGCGCGATTCAATGGGACCTACTCTAAACCTTTTGAATTTGGCTCACCCGCAAGGCATGGCTTCGTCTACTATGAGTCTGGAACTCATTAGACAGCAGTACATGGATTCCGTATCAGAGGATAAAGACTTCTTTTAAGCGAATAATTCTTTTATACTGACTCTTATATATATATATGTATGGAATAGTTATTACATAGTAATTCCAAAAAAAAATGATCATAATAAGAATAAAATTCCAGACTGATTTTTATGCAATCTATACATAAATGTGTAGATAACTCTAACAGATTTTTTTTCGGTATCTCTACACTTTTCAACTTTTCGACTTTTAGGTATCGTTGCTTTATTCACTGCTTTTTTGTGTATTATTTTATTGGTAAAGACATTGTGCTTTTTGTAAGGCTGTTAAGAACTTGTTATGCATGTTGGAAAAGAGAAATTATGCGCCTTGTGAAGTGTGTTTTACTGTATGAGGACACTTAGGACCAATCATTAACTCAAAATTCCGTTAAATTTACGGGGAAGCTCAAGAAAAAAAGATACTGTAAATCCATATTAACATGACAACTTTTTAAAGTGCATTTTGGGTCTGAGAGAGAATTAATAATCGTTACAAAATGATAAACACTCTTTTAAAGGAACGTGTTTGCTCTTCTAAGGCATTTGTCGCTTAGGAAATCCAAGGGTAAGCATTAGACAATGTTTGTAAAAATTCTTCGACTCCTCCTTCTCTAAGAACAGTGTTACTATGGTAGTTGTAGTTCATTATTGTTTTGTTTTAATAAGAATATTGGAAAATAAAGAATGCAAGGATTAATACAAGAAAAATGGACACACTGTGATGACATTTTAGAGATCAAGCACTCCAAACATATCTTGAGTAACATGTAGTTCCGAAATTGTTTCGTGTAAGGTCTGAGGTCGTGAAGAGCACTTTAAATCTTATTGGTCAACCATTAAACCACAGAATTCTAAAAATTGAAAACTTGAACTAGCAAAGCACATTATTTCAGTAAAAGATTTCTTTAAAAAAGGTATAAAGGAGTGTTACACCTTAAAGAGATTCATAAGCAAGGATATATAAACACCTTAACTTAAAAACACTGTGAATAATGATAATTAAACTATCAAGAAATATAAAAGCATCTTTGCCCTTCTTCTTCTTTGTTCTTGAAGAAAAACGCTGTAGATACATGTAAGAAAGAGAGTCACGAACTTGAGCCTACCTTCTAAAAACAATAGGAATTCATAGCACAATAGTAACGTTTTATAACTCGCATCATGAACGATGAAGAAGCTAATGCCGAACTTGAGAGACTAGAGCAAAACATTACATTGCTACTTCAAGATACAGATCAAAACTTTTCAAGATGTAATCAGATTGCATCCTCAATTTTACCGATGATTGATAAATTCTCAGAAGCTACACATAATATATTAAAGACCCACCAGGTAAAATAGAGTTTATTTTATATAAAAGTACAATAAAGTCTAGGAAAATAATGTATAGCTGAATATGCATTTTAGACATGGGGCTATTTCTTTGATTTGCTTCAAAGCTCATCCTCATCATCTGGCCATGGTACAAATAGACTTCCTCTAACACGTCCATTTGGGGCTTTTGCCACTGGTATAGACGCTATCTCAGAAACAACCTCAATTACAGAGAGTTTTCGCAGTATTTCAGAGCGCATAATCGAACCTGTAAAACAAGGCCACCAACATTTACTGGAACCGCACCTCATACCTTCAAGGCGGCAAATAGCACAGTCTTTACCGGACTTTACCCAACCTGTCCCACCCACAGCAGAGACTGCACGTACGCCACAACGAGACTTGGCACGTATGAAAACAGACAGTATATTAAAATCAAGTGGTCTTTATGATCTTTCGCCATCGTCTGAGACCTCTGGAGACGAGGAATCTGCTACAAATAACAGCAAAACATCTTTCCGTAGACCATCCGTGTCATATTCTGCTTCTGATGATCCAGCAAATTTGGGTGTAGGCACTGATGCAGATCGTGAACGAGCTCTAAGGTTTTTTAAAGAACGGGAACAGCGTTTCGGAAACATGCCAATGGATGAAGAGCTTCCCTCATTAGGAAGAAAAGATATATCACCGTTGCGAGCACAAGATAGAAATGCCAAACCTTTAGCCGATACGCCAACTACTCGACGGGTTTTTGAAACTTTAGCTCAGGACTTGAAGACGGGAAGAAAACCACGAATAGACATATTTGATGAATCGTATGAACCTCATAATATAAACAAGAGGTCTCTTCCTAGTGGATCTACAAATCGTCCAACATTTGAAGATTATACCCATAATCTGCGAAAAGATAAAAAACCACGGTTAAGCGAACTTGGCCGTTCCCATGAGTTTGAGTATAATAATCTACCCGGGAATTTCAGACCCATTGGTACACCAGAAGATCCGGATCCACTTAATTTCCCGGATATGGCTATCTCTAGACCTCTTAATGGTGGTGGTAGTAGCGGTGTAAATAGTGGCAGTGGTGTCGATGGGAGTAGCAATCATGGATATAGACAGGGGCCCGAAAGTGTTTTTAGCGAGACATCGGGATTGACCAGGGCAACATTCGGGTCTAGCTCTACAGGTCGAGGACCAGCACCATTTTCTGTCCATCGCTTTGGAGAAACATTTCGTGAACCTCCAGGATCTACACAACTTACACGAGTGTACAAAGTTTTTAGTGATAAGCCTGCACAAATGTTGACGCTAGAAGATGTCTTGAATGAAGTAAAAGACGACGAAAACCGTTATACAGCTGATTCTGTCATGTTGTTTATTAATATGCTCTGCGGAAAAAAGTATTTAAGGACTGTTGGCCAAGGGTGGACAATTCGCCGCTAATAAACAACTATTGCTGTAAACTGCCCGTCATGATAATAATAATACTCTTAAAAACAACTCTTTCATATATCTAGCTATATTGAACTGTGAGTACTTTTATAAGCCATTGTTTAATGTGCGTCTCTTGACCAGTTCTTCCCATTTTTTTTAAAAAATATATATAGGGTGGTAAAGATGGCGGAGACGGAAGATTTGTTTCGTGACCTTTAAAATCTTCTTCCCAGATTTTCAGTGTGTTTTTCTTCTTCTTTACTTTCTTTCTTCATCATGACCTTCATCTCGACATTGAACCGTTTTGCCCCCGTGGCATCAGTCGCCAAGAGAGCTGTTGCTGTCTCATCAAAGCCTGCTGTGGCCTCTTTGCTCCAGAAGCGTTTCCAGTCTAGCGGTACCGTCGAGGTAAAATATTTTAACTAGTATGATTTCAGGACCAATAAAATTATTGACGCGCCAAATAAAAAATAGATGACTGTACGTGATGCATTGAACCAAGCTTTAGAAGAAGAGATGCTTAGAGACGAGAAGGTCTACCTTTTGGGTGAGGAAGTTGCCCAGTACAATGGTGCTTACAAGGTAAGCAAAATGGGAAAAGACGGGAAAAGGCAGACTTTGTCGGAGATCTTTGATCTTTTTGTCCCCAACTAAAAAAAAAAATTATAATCAAAAAAATCAAAACGTATTGATGTGTTGTGTATGTGTATAGGTTACAAAGGGTCTTTTGGACAAGTTCGGCCCCAAGCGTGTTATCGATACCCCTATTACTGAGATGGGTTTGACTGGCTTGGCTGTCGGCTCTGCAATGGCTGGTCTTAAGCCCGTCTGTGAGTTCATGACCTTCAACTTTGCCATGCAGGTAATATTACAAAGAAGTGAAAATAAATAGACACATATTTTTGTTTTTGGATTGTGTTATGGGTGTGAAGAGCTTTACTGATCTACTTCTATACTTATAGGCTATTGATCAAATTGTCAACTCTGCTGCCAAGACTCACTACATGTCTGGTGGTATCGTGACTTGCCCCTCCGTCTTCCGTGGCCCCAACGGTGCCGCTGCTGGTGTAGGTGCCCAACACTCCCAGTGCTTCGCTGCCTGGTACGGTTGTATTCCTGGCCTCAAAGTCGTTTCCCCCTGGAACTCTGAGGATGCCAAGGGCTTGTTGAAGGCTGCTATCCGTGACCCCAACCCTGTTGTTGTTCTCGAAAACGAACTCCAGTACGGTCTTTCTTTCCCCATGTCTCAGGAGGCTCTCTCTGCTGACTTTGTTCTCCCCATCGGTAAAGCAAAGGTTGAGCGTGAGGGTAAGGATATCACTCTTGTCGCCCATTCCCGTTCCGTTGGTTTCTGTATGCAAGCCGCAGAAGAACTCGCCAAGTCCGGTGTCTCTGCTGAGGTCATCAACTTGCGCTCCATCAGACCCCTCGATATCGATACCGTCATCGCTTCTGTCAAGAAAACTCACCGTATCATCACTGTTGAAGGTGGCTGGGCATCATTTGGTGTTGGCTCCGAGATTGCTGCACAGATCATGGAATGTAAGTTATTGGGATGTAAACGATATATATATATATATATATATATATATATATACGTGTGCGTGTGTTTGTGTACGAGATTGAAACAGAGTTAACTAATTAACGCTTTTATCTGTGTGTGTGTGTGTGTGTGTGAATAGCTGATGCATTCAACGTCCTCGACAGCCCCGTCATCCGTGTTGCTGGTGCCGATGTTCCTACCCCCTATGCTGGAAACCTTGAGGCTCTTGCTTTCCCTGACGAGAAAATCATTGTCAAGACCGTCAGAGATGTTTTGGATAAGAAGCTTTAAAGAAGCAAGATGCATATACAAAAGACTACATAAATCACTTACAGAACCCAAATATATAATAAATCAACTCACTCACACACTATCACCATTCAAATAAGTAAATTTCTTCAAAATATACCGTTCCCTTTTATTTTATATTCTAATCTCAGACGCCACTTGTTGGAACCTGCTGGGAATGATCCTCCCCAAAAAAAAAAGTTTTCAAAGGAAAGTATTATTCCACTCACTGTGAAGAAAGGTTAAATGTTCTTGTTTCTTTTGAGTATTGATGGTGATTGGAACTTTCGTATCGGCTTGGTAAATACTGCTTTTTATTTGCTGATCTTGCTGTCGTATATAATGCACAGCTTATAAGATATGGTAGAAGGGAAGAGGGAACGAGTATGAAGTGTATCAAAAGAAAAATTAAGTTACTGGTGAGACATTGCGCTTTTTAAATAACGATCACTGCCTTGGCTATATAACCATGGACATAAATAAGGGTCTTTTTGTTGTTGTTGTTGCTGTTGTAATGAAGCCTCAGACTCCAAAGGCTGTTGAGCCTCTTGTTGCTTTCTAAAAGAAGACATCAGCTATTTCTAGCTTCTATTTGTGTCACAAGCGCTCTGAAGATCTTATTTTTCTAACATGAGAAGTATACTATAGTAAAACTATGATGAAAAAAAAAGAAACCCTAGTAGATGAATTTTGCATCCTTTTCGGGGGTTTAAGGGTTGTTTTAAGGTTGCATTTTAATTAAGCACTGCTTTCCCTCCTTTTGTATATTCCAATTTCAATTTTTTACATTTCACTGTTATTGTAGCTTAAAAGTGAATGCACTATTTCAATATCCCACTTTTCCCTCATTATATCTTTGTGGTCAATGTAAAACACCTCACCTTCCACTTTATACAATACAGAAAAATAATAAAATAACAACTCCCCCAAGTTATTAAAGAAATGTAATGAATGATCAAATATAATTTTAGATATACTTGGTGATAACCAGGTTGGAATGTTTATGTTCTTTTTCTTCTTCCAGAATTTGGGAGACTTTATCTCATATGACAACCCTCTTTGGTATTCTCTTTTGGTCTCACAGCACTTGGACGTACCAAATCCATTGATAGAAAGATATGATGTTAAATTAATGAAACTAATCATATAATATATGGAGGGCATATAATTATTTATAGCAGACGGTAAGAGAAAGAATAGAGAGTTCCCTTTTGAATTTGCCCTATGAATCATCATTAGGGTCTCTTATTTTTCGCAGTACATAATAACCGATATATTATATATATATATATACTTTATATGAAATTTATTTCTTTTTATATATAAAAAGATAAGATAAGATAACAAGCTGGAATTAGTATATACATGTATATTATAGGTTTCTTAAGTAAGGATCATCTTCATGTTTTCATAGTACATAAGCATCGGATTTTCTCCACTGCGAGTCGTGGTACGCTCAATATCACCATAGCGCTCACAAAACTCACGATGAGTTAGTACTCTAACACCCTTATCGTTTCCTGCGCCAGTACCACGACAGACGCGGAGATACATGTCCCGAAGAAGCTCAAAGTTTGTGGGAAAGAAGATATCAAACCACCCGGGCTGAACCATGTAAGTTGAGCATGGCACCATAGTCCCTTTGTAGCGTGTCTGAACTACTGGGGCATCAACACCATCTACAGAATCTGGCAAGCTAGAGAAATCGGACAATACAAGCTGGTGCTGAGGGAAATGAGTTTTGAGGGTTTCGAGCAGCATAAATAGCTTTGTGGGAATGAATTCAGGTGCGGTAAGATTAGGTGCCAAAGGCATATTCTTTAAGAGGGCATTCCACAGTTTTCGAGAAAGCACTGGGCTACGGTATCCAACCTCCTTACGAGTGGCCAGATATCGGGATATTAAACTATCTTGACCCACAGGTTCATAGATCTCTGTGTACTCTCCATTGGCATCTGTGCTCACCAAGGCTTGACGAGGCTCAAGTGTGTTGATATCGTACCGGATAAGATCATGAGCAAAGTTGTCCTATAAAAAAGAGTAACATTCTGATTGGTCATCAAGCACATACACATTCATATAATAGACTTACGATGACCTCCATCCCAAGGAAGAAACAGTGTTCAGGAACATGGACATCCCAGTCAAAAATACTCTTATTGATCACAGTTACACATCGATGATGATCCTTAGCATCACGAACGTCCTGCCGTTCTGATTGACGTTCGGCCAGTTTTCCAGAGATTTCGATGATGTTGTATTTGGTGCGTTTGTACACCATTGGTTCATTCTGCTGAATATAGTCCAAGATGTTCAGCATGAGTGTGCCGTTACCTGCACCCATTTCATAGATAATAAGATCCTTGTGGGGGAAATGGTTGAGCTTGTATTCTGATACCAGATACTTTGCAATAGCAAAGCCATACCAAGGCTACATGTAAAGAATAGGAAGAGCATGAGAATCATTACTTTGGAGCATGTGTATTTATTATCTGAGCATACTTTAAAAAGCTCGGTAGGCGTATGCCACACTTGACGAGCTACTTCATCCACTTCGTCTACATCTCCTTCAATCTCTTTGTAAAGTTTGGCTAACTCGTTCATGAACTCCAAATGATCCTGCATTCCATTAAAGTCAAAGTCTGTCTCTGGCGAGAAAATGACAGCTTGTTTCGAAAAGTATCCATAGTTGGGATTGTAGAGTGAATCGTCAATAAAGTCTCTGACAAGCATCTTTGTTTTGGTGGGTGGTGAAGTGGCGCTAGAAACATCCTTGGCTGTCTTGCGAGGATAACTTTTCCGGGCTTGTTCTTCCTTCTCTTCCTCTGCAGTCTGAGAGAAGAAAGGCGTCAAGACTCCTTGAACTTTGCTCTCGGTGGTTGTATCAAGTTGGCGACGGCCCACAGTAGGTGACATTGTCAGGCACCGGCGAAGAGGACGACTAGGAAGTCGCGGAATCATGTGATTCCATAGGCATTGTTTTGTTCCAGCTAATGACCCTGTTACTATACGTCGTTGAACTCCATGCATGACCAGATCTGTCAATGAGCGTTGTCTATAAACAAGCAGGCTGTTATTATTTTTAGGGAAACCAGAGAACAAGGAAACATGTAGCGGAGATTAAATGACAAAAAACAATTCATTGAATATATGTATAATAAAGGGTGTTTTACTCTGTTTATTCTTTGGGTATATGCTGTACAACTTGTATATTGAGAAATTAACACACATAGAATATAATTATTTAACGTAGTACTTTCTCTCTCAAGCTAATATATCTTGTCTGTGTAGATAAGTGCCTTTTATAGAGTATTAAAGGTAGATGAAGTGACGATAAGAGAAGCGTCATTCAGAGCGGAGTTGCACCAGAAAGTCTATAAAGCTCATTGTTTCCTAAATCTGTTTCGACAACTCTTTACCAATTTTTTAACCTGTAATTTACTGATATAACCATGGTAAGGATTTTTTTTACATATTATATACGTGTATAGATATTATTTCTGTAATAACAAGATGGCTCTTTGTATAGACTGTTCAGGTTGGAGACAAGGTATGTATTCAAAGCAATATTTTGTCGTGTTCTTACGCGCCAAACTATAGCTTCCCGATCTCTCTCTCTCTTATGTTCCCTTTGACCCCAAAGAGGATTTACAGGCATGCCCTCGGTAACAGAATACATAATAATTCTTGAACATCCAAAAAATAATAATGAGTTTTTATTAACTAATATGACACCTTTCTCTTTGTCTTGGTCCCTTAGCCCTATTCCTTTCAAGTTGCACGAAGAACTCAAGGGAAAAAAGGCTGTGATATTTGCTATCCCTGGCAAGTCTATATTCTTCTTAAAGAAAATCAGCTTTATGAAAAGCTCTAACATAATAATAATTATAATATTTGTATTTTATGAAAATAGGTGCATTCACTCCTACATGCTCTGAGCAACATGTCCCCGAATTCTTGGCCAAGTACGACGAGCTTAAAAAGCATGGTATCGACAAAGTCATATGTGTGTCTGGAAATGACGGGTTCGTTATGAATGCATTTGCCAAGGTTAGCGGAAGCAATGGCAAGGTGCTCATGGTGAGCGCAAGTGACTCGGGATTCTTTGAGGCTCTTGACTTGACTATTGGAGAACCCAAACTCGGATCCCTTCTCCGTCCCAAGCGTTTTGCTCTTTTGGTAGATGATCTAGTCGTCAAATATGTGGGTGTCGAGAACGGCCCAGGTATTGAAGCATCCGGACCTGCCTCTATTCTTTCCCGACTTTAAGGACTTCCCCCCCCCCCCC